TAGAAAGATAAACATCCACCTGCCTCGCTTCGCTCGGCTGAATGAGCCCCTTCGCGCTCCGGGTCATTCAACGGATTGGATGTTTCCTGGCGGTCCCTCCCCCTACACACCCCCTTCTAAACCCGAAACTGCTCGCTTCGCGAGCTTATTGATTGCTATGACTACATATAACCCTAAACGTTATCATTGCTGCTATCGACAGCTCTTACATATTTTAGAAAGTTCATCAATGTGTTCGCTTTCATTTGAACATAGTGGTAGATTATTGCTGCTTGTCGTAATTAGCTGAAAGGTGACGGCAGCTTCGCGTAGTTCTATATCTTATTGTTTCGCGTCAGATCTACTTACGAAAGATACCGTGAAGAGGTAAGAATATTCTATTGTACGTTAAATGATAATAAGTTAAAATAAGAGCTTAAAAGCAAAAAGAAAAGAGCAGAAAAGAGCTAAGGTGATGGAGGTGGAGATGCGATGATTGTTGTTGTGGGAGAGGTTGGTGGTGAATTTTCGGCTTGTTCAGGAACAGAGGCCGGCGGATGCAAGAGAACTTCATAGTTGACGATGTTGGTGGTTTGTGGTGGTCCAGACCCTGACAGATTGATGGTAATGCAAAGATTGTTGGGGTCAGTTGCCCTAGATTGCGCAATATATAGTTAGCTATGAGTGAAGACATCTTATGCAAGGCAGACACCGATATATCGCAGGGATTGCCCTTGCGCTTTGTGGATCATAGTAAAGGCAGGGCGGACAGGGAATTGGCGGCGGCAGAGGATGAAGGGATAATCTCCTTCTATTGTACACATATTGATACGTGGAAGGAAAATTCCAGGCCATGATGCCCTTAGTCAATTCTTTTCACGGCAATACACCGATCAAGAAGCCTTGTCACGAATAATTTTGTGCCATTGCACAGGCCGGCGTCGGGATCCAAGTTGCGCATGAGCACTACAGGCATGCCAGGCTTGAGCTGTAACGTATGGCTAGGTATGCCATTAGCGCTGAGACTGTTTAAAAACTCGACGGGATAGTTGACCACTGCTGCTTCTGGGTCATCAGCGTCTATGATACGGTCATTGGCAGCATAATCGCGCCCTTCACCTGGAAAAATACCGTAGGCTGCCTCGTTTATCGCATCGACGTCGACGTTTTTTGCTGCCAATATGGCGCGAGCGTTGAAATCTTCAGGTTGCGGCTGTGGATTGCGTATGTTGGGATATATGGCGTCAATAAGACCCATGGTGTCTGCTGCATCCATACGCCATTCCTGAGAAATTTCTACGCTTTCTGTATATGGAGCACGTCCATCGCCAATGGCAAGAAGTGTCTCAGCAAATGCGGGAGCAGCAGGACCGGCGTGACGTACACGCATGTTGATGGTCAAATGCAATACTTGAACATCACTCCAAAAAGAAGCAGAACGGATGCAATCACCAACAATTTCGGACCGAGTCCCTTTCTTGACGACGGGCAGCAACTGGCGAAAATCACCACCAAAAACGACAACTTTTCCACCAAAAGCAACATTGCTCAGGCGAGGGTCAACGGCACCCATGACATCACGAAGTGACCTGTCAACAGCTTCGAAATTCCATTTGCTGCACATAACAGCTTCATCCCAAATGATAAGAGAGGTACTCTGTATCAAGTGTGCATGAGGACCACCGAGTCGAATATTGCAGGAAGTGGACGCGTCTGCATTCAACGGAATCTTGAAGCGGCTATGTGCAGTGCGCCCGCCAGGGAGCAGGATTGCAGCGATACCGGAAGAAGCGACAGGCAGTGCAATCATGTCGCGGGAGCGCGTATGGCTCAAAAGAGTCTTGAACAGCTGAGACTTGCCAGTTCCTCCAGGTCCATTCACGAAAAAAACGCGTGGGTTATAATCGTCGTCAGGTCGGCTGATGGCAGTGGAGATGGTGTCAAAGGCGTGTCGTTGATCGTCGTTTAATGTTGGCAACAGCGTCTGAAGAAGATGACGCTGCTCTTCCTGATCGTACTCGCGCCGTTCGACAATCTCGAGTGCTTCCAAAGGAGGCAACAGATCAAGTTCGGTTACAAACTCTTGAGGGAGAGAGGGGAATTCTGACAGACGATGACCGGTTGCTTGTAAACGTGACTCGATGTCACCAAGTGCTCTTTGGTAAACCTGGTCTAGTTGATCGAGTGTCAATTCGGCCTCATTTGGCATAGAGAGCGACCTGCGCATCTCAAAAAAGTAGTCGTCGGCCATTCGATCGCGATAGGTGTTCCATAAGGACAGCGGATCAGCAGGCGAGCAACTGGTAAGTATGCACACAAAAAGTGCGCGGATTGCGGATGCAGATGGTGCTACTGCTGATGCTTCTTCTAAGCAACGATTCCATTCATCGTCTGACTCTAGAAGACCACGTGCTAACGCTGCTTGCTGGAATGTTGGATGGTTCACGCCATCGCTGTCTCGTTTGAGATCGTCAAAGCTTCTTGGTCCAGCCACAGAAAGCAAAAGAAGACGAAGACAGTACAACTCCATATCGGACAGAGAGGCAGAGTAGATGCGCGTCACTACATTCTTAAAAGGGGGATTGGAGCGGCGGTCCCATCGACGCTCTCGAGCATTCCAAGTGTAATGACAGGGAATCTGCGGATACTTGTATTGCTGGGGGGGATTCGTCCCGACGACAAAGAGCAAAAAAAGTCAAAAGCCTGGTACCCTCCCTTGCAGCCATCGCGAGCAGCTGCCAATTGCTCTGGTGTCATAGTGTCGCGGAAACGCACCAACTGCTGTTCTTGCAGGTAAATGTCGAGACTACAACCATGGGATCATGCATGTGCACACGAAACTCTAAAGCTCGCCATACTGCCTCTCACGGTCCAATATATCGCGCGTTTTGATAATCAGTGACTTCATTGGTCTGCGCAGCAGCTGGGTCGGTAGGTGTAGTGGTGGTGGTGGTGGTAGTGGGAGGAGTAGAACGGGTTGTTTCCAACTGCGCTCTGTCGGATCCTTTGGTGATGTACTTGCAAAGGTATTTGATTGCCCGAGCTGAGGTACAGATCTCGACGTTGATATACGCGTTGTACTTGTGACAGAGATAGGGGTTGTAAGGGACGACGTGTTGGTTGGTGGCGGTGAAACCCGATCGCTCATAAACGTGCTGACGTTGGGGATTGAAAACCCTTTTATATAGAGGGTAACCGTCACGATTTACGCGAGTCTCGTTGTTGTACGGCTTTGGATAGCCCTGGGAGCATCGACCATTCTGCATACAGACGGAATTGGGGTTATCGTTGCCACAGGGACCGTGTATCATGCTTGATGTTACTGTGCGGTACAGCTGCGGCTGTCTCACAGGGTCTGGTAATTCAGCTGATACAAATCGGTCATAGTCAGTTGGCGTGTGAGGGCGGTCTTGCTCGTTCAGGATCAACAGAATGTGGACGTGAGGTGAACCTCGCTTCTGGAATTCGACAGTGGCAACATAGCCCTCAACACGACCAAAGCACTTGGTTTCCTTGACATGCTTGAGCAACTCGGTAATCTTCAAATGGAATACGCGGGAACAGATGTCGGGACGATCATACGCCTTTTGCCCAGGATGGAGCTCAGCAAGAATCTCTGGCCGTTTGGGATTGCACGTAAACGTGATGAATAGCGTTGGTGTTCCTCTTTGGCGAATAATTGCGAGGCCATCTTGAAGCATTTGCTTCATATACCGCGGACCACCCGTAAACGACGACGGCAAAATCACAGCACGACCGACTTGGCGCGGATCCACACCATCACCGATACCACCATACAGTTCGGAACGCAAAGTGTCTTGATTCAACGAAATGAAAAGCAGGCGAGAAGCTTCAATTCTTGCATAACTGTCGACAACCAATTGCTGGAACAATCGACCAAAATGATGATCGAAAGTCTCATTGTCGCCACCACGAACCATGAGCATATATGCGCAATAGTCGAGCAATGTCACTGTATGCATATTACCATCCACTCCTTCACACCGCATGCCCGCGAACCAACCATGGTCACCAAATGGATACATGAGGACATAATGAAGCGGAAGATATGATGAGTGGAGGGAGCTAACGTATTGCAAACCTCGGGTACGGTCATGGATGACGATGTCGTGTGGTGTGGTTGACCCATCCACCCTATTTTCCACAACCATTGCTGCGACCTCTGGATATGTTTGTTGATCGTAGCGGCGTTCCAGATCCGATGCGCCACGAATGACGACGCTTAGTGATCCAATTGGACGATCACCAAGGCGTTAGGCGGCAGATGTCAGAGTGCGTGCAAACGGATTGTGTTGGGTCATGACAGTTTGGATACGATCGATGATACCCTGGTCGAGGCCCGAAAACAATGTCGTCCTGCGTGCCACTTGTTCTTGGGTGTCAGCGAAGTGGATTTGGGCAAATTTGGACTGTGCGTGATCCTCGGCCCGCAAGGATCCAACTTGATGGTATAGTGTACCATTGATGCGATACGTCGACACACCATTACTGCCGTCTGCCAAGTTGCGGTCGTAGTTTGCCTTGATGGATGCAAAAGCAAACATGTTGTTGTAGGCTCGGATATTGGTGTGGAAATTGAGAGCAACTTCATTATCACGACTGTGATCCGTCACCAATTCACGAAGGTCGGCGGGTAATGGGCGGGGTGAAGGGAAGCGAAAGTTGCCATGATTACAGCACATGCCAAACTGAGGACGCGAAACAGAAGAACGGGAGACTCTTTCATCCACCCACATGAGTGCATGGCAAAAAGAACATGCCCTATCCATGCGTGGCAAAACATGGCGGTGACACGAAGCGCCTGGTGCGTAGTTGATGCTAGGACCAATGGCATCAACAGCTCAGCACCATCACCAATGCAAAGTGAATATTGCATAGACTAACCAAGCTCGTTTGCATCATCGGTGTTGGCAGCCTGTTGGACCCGCATGGTGGTTTCAAGGTAGTGGACGGTGACACTGGGCCAAATTGATGAATAATTTAGGCACTGCTGTACGATTTGCGAGCGCGACGCATTTGGCATTACAGGAAGGACCTATTATCAGGTTTGATGCAGATACTTTAATGTAAGTACTATCGCTCAATAGTAAAAGAATGCAAAGTAGAAGAGAAGATACAATTTTGAATACCTGGCGAAAGTCAACACCAAAAACCCATGAGTTTTCTACCAAATGGAACATTGGCAAGCGCGGGATCGTCATGTCTCATGAGATCTTGGTTACTCCTGTAGTGCAGTGAATACGTTGATACGTGTATCGATACTTGTATACCCTTCAGCGGGTGTGGTCTTTTTTTGTGCTTCGCCACGTCTAGACTTGAAAATCATTGCCGCCACCCCATCTTGCGTCCACCGATCCAACCAGCGTTCTGCATTCGGGAACTCTTTGCGAAGCTGGTTTACAGCCAATTGAAAACCGCTCTCGCCGTCAACGTCGTACATTGTGTTCGTCAAGTCCTGGAAGTCAGTAACTTTCTCCACTGCCACCACTGCATGATTGGTGATGAGATGCTGAACGGATTGACGCCAATGATAATAACAACCTTTTGGCAAAGATCTGGGATCAATCTTGCTAAAAGGAAACGTTTGCTCGAATGCCATCATAAATCCTTTCCGCTGCGCAAGAGAAAATTTCATCACCAGCCGAGAGAAGCTATTATCGATATCTTCGTCCGTAGATCCAATTGCAAAATCGAACATGAGGAAAAAGGTTCCGCAAAATGGGTGGTCGATAGCCCGTCCAAGACAGCCTGGAATATAACTGTATACTGATCAAGTTCCTCGAAGTACATGTTGATTGTGCACAGATAGAATACGTCGGGAAGCAGTCGTAAGTTACATCCGTGAGCATTGGATTCATCTTCAAATCCACGCGTGCGGCAATGTTGGTCTCGCAGAAAGTAAGGCAATATTGGCGAGGGGCCATATCCGCGGATGGGATAAAGCCTGGGAACTCGTCAATTAAAGCCTTGAGTGCATCGTACGACAGCTCCAAAGCAGGCTTTCCCGTAGGCAACATGTCGTTCTTGACCAAGTAGTTGCGTCGATGCGTTTGATTTTGGATTTGTGCTGAAGATTAGCATTGATCAGACGAATTGGACGACTTGGGCATTGCGAACGGATAGTGCTAGTGCCAACTAACAATGCTTGCGCCGTATCCGTTAGACATTTCGAAATGCGCTTTTCAACCTTCTTCAAAGTATCCATTGTATCATGGAGCGGTACGTACTCGGCATTTGTGTGTGCGCCCTTGTGAGTCAACTTGCCGCCATTGCCAATAAATTTCATGTTGACTTTTGCATCACCTGCAACCTGAATCAAAGGCGATTTCTCCGGGCAGAAAGTACAGCCTGTTTTAATTGCTTCCTGATGTTAGCCTTGGTGGACCCAGGTCTCACCAGTTTCTCGCAATCTTCCTTGGTACATTGGACAGCACCAAGGCAAACCTCGCTGACGCTAATCCCCAGCTTGAGGTGATCGTAGCTTTTTTGGAGAAGTTGCCAGCCGATGTCTGTGTCGTTAACCAATCGGCCTCATCATCTTTGAAAAGCTAAATGTGTTGAACAATGTTGCCGTTCGGAAAACGCGTGAAAGACATGGTCGCAAATAAAGGGGAAGTGATATTGAAGCGCTTGTCGCGGATGGTTTTGATCCAGTTTACTGCAATGCAGAACGGCTGCTTTTCCTCAGGAACACCAGTTTATTAAACCCCACAAAAAAAACACTCACCCATCGATGGCTGCTGATGCCAACGTAAACGTCAAGAAGCTCGTCGCAATTTTCTTCCTCTTGAAGCAATTCGCTTTCGTCGTTGCAAAGCAACTGTCGCTGCATGCTTTTCTGGATGAGCTTATTAATTACAGGTAATGTCCTTTGTCGTTGACTGATTTTTGGCACTGGAAGGTGGAAGATAATAACGGTGTGAAATAAAGTAACGGAATGTGCAAAGTTTAAGTAACGTTGACGAAACGCGTAACAGCTGAAGTTGTATTGAAAAAATGCGTATGTTGCTATGTTTATCCCAACTTTGACAAGGCAATGGCACTATAATTTTCATGTCCAGGATCACGTTCAATAAACTTGCGCATCACCTTTGCCGAGCACTAAAAATTACCAAACAAAACCATGTTACCCGATCTGCTTTAACTGCTATCATATCTACAAGTATACACAATGGCAATGAAACGAGTGTCTACCTCCACAAGATCTGTACATCGCCCATGGTTGATGGGGAACGACTTTCGACCATCCAATTCATACAGATGGTCATCCACTTCGACAAAGCAGATGAAATGGAGGTCAATTCTTTCTTCTAGCGGTGGTGGCTATTAACCGTAATATAATAATAGTGAGTATATAATGTATCGACTACCCCCTCCCCAAAAAAAAAGCATTGAAACTAAACCAAATCAATATATATTATTACCCGTGTTTGGCCGTCGTCACCAGCAAGTTTATGTACCGAAGCAAGGAGCTCATTGCCTTCGAGTAAGTCGGCGCGCTCATCCGGTGTCAGATGCTTTGCCTTGCTTATGATGTCATGGAACAATCCAGGACCTGTCGTTGTATTATTTTCTTTCTTTGAATACAAATCCTATTACGAATCACCATGGCCGTATTATGTATGCATGTATACGTTACCGACAAGCTCTTTGTTGTTTGCTAATGCATGGATTAATGCCATCATGCCGCATGCATTGGATATGGTTTGCTTGAAAAACATGACATTGGGGCTGATATCCTGTTCCTTCTTTGTCAGTCTCGCCTCTTCTTCATGTCTGAACTGTTCTGCTGCCTCAGTAATCGGGTATAAAAAGATCATGGCGGCTACGGGACGAGGAACAAAACTAAGCAGCTCTGGATCGAAACCTATGGAAGAGTTATTGACTAGTTGTCAGCTTTCCTCGCTCTTTCCATTTTGAAAGGGTTCTTCCCCCGACTCGTCATTTTTACCATAGACGTCGTTGAAACTCCATGCCTTGTCAATACCGTTTACGTGGAAGACCTACACGAGGTAAAACGACAAAAATTAAATCTCTTGAAAGAGGTAATATCCGAGTCGTGGTGAGGATGATATAGACCTTGTTCCAAACCTATTGCATAATCACAAAAAAAGGGGGGACGGTGGTCAGCATAATATTACTTGAAAAGCAAGCAGCAGTGAGGTCGTCTCTTACGTCTGGATTAGCTTCAAGTGGTGTCCATTTCAACTTTGGCTTTTGGGTTGTCGTGTCAGGTTGATTTTCAGTTGCCATTGTGGTAAGTGTGAAAGAAGAAATAATAAAAAGAGACGTGCTGCGAATACGTGTCTATTCGATTGTGGGCAACTTATATGTGAACCACATCCGAGTCATCCCTCTGTGACTTTTGTTCCAAGCAAGCATACGCCAAGCAAAGCAAGTAAGCCCGCTTTTGGTCTTGTTCTCTTTCTCTCTTTCCCTCCGTCTCTTTAATCAAAAAAGTTTAATTACTTTTTTTTTTCACCTCGTCCATCCACGCTTCATCGCAAACATAAAGCAAGACGGGTCAATTCGCTTGTTTCCAGCACTTTTCATTTCCTTTGAAATCACTGTTGCAGTGTGCTGGATGTAATCACTTGATCGATTCAACTGAAAAAGTAAAAGCACATGAACAGTACTATTCTTACCTTAGATTATGGTAATTTTATATTTTGTATTCTTTTCCTACCTTTCTTCACACGTTGGCAATTTTTTGAAGCAAATTACCTTATCATCGTAACTCTCTGTAGTCCCTTGCCGCCACCAACACGAAACCTTCCGACATGAATGAACAACACCAACACAACGCATTTAATGACAATACATCCGTTCCACGCATGCGATCCAGTAATCCTGGATACTACTATGGCGACATGAGCCGTGTTGGCAGCAGTAGCAGTGGTAGTGGTGGTGGCAGTGGCAGCAACCCCAGCGGCCGAGTCCTTTTTGACCCCACGGCACCAGTGCCAACAACAACAGCAACAACACAGCTATCCAACAACGGATTCTATCAACAACAACCACGTCGTCCTGCTCCTCCTTCGCATCATCAACAACAACCAAGACCGTACATTGTACAACAACAACTATTACAGCAACAAACACAAACGGCAGTTCCGCCTCAGTATCAAATATTACAAGAACGTCAGCAGCCCATGCTTCATCCCCAACAACAACAACAGCAACAACTACAGCAACAGCAACAGCAAAATTGGTTGCCTGGAAATAATGTTCAGCTTGGTGGAATAGGAGGAATAGGTGCAGGACCTGGCGTTCAATTCGACCCACAGCAACAACAACAACCGGCTGAGCCACACTCAAATACCCTCGATACCTTTATTCTGACTCTGCTGAAAAAGCCTCAGGAAAGGATATTTTTGCTAAAGCTCGAACAGGATCTGGAAGCATTTATTAACAACCATCAGTAAGTTGTGCATTTTCATCAAACTAGAGAAAGAGAGATAAGCTGACTGTTAATGTTTAGAATGTATCGTCTCGATCTTCCACAAATGAACTCTTATCAGCGGCTGATGGTTCATAAAGTTGCGCCGTACTTTAACTTGTCTCATTTCGCTGAACCGGTGCGCAAGTCTGTATTTCTCTGTAAAAACCCTTATACAGCAATGTACGTATTCACTCTTATTTGATAATATATACACGTAGTTAGAGGTATTTGCGGGATGAGCTAATTGTGGTTGTTTTTATACACAAGTCCAGAGGTTGGGTTTGCAAAGTTGGTTGAACCTGAAGAGAAACAAGAGCCACAGACGGCCCCAAAGTTCAAGATCATGCGTCGTGCTGCATCGCCTGGCAGCAACAATGGCTCAAGACGGGGATCGCCTACATCCGGTAGCGGTGCAGTGGATAGGAAGAACATGACATACGAGGAGCGTAAGGCGGCGTACGAAGAGGCGCGCGCTAGAATCTTCAAGGACTTGGAGCAACAGCAACAAGCTGAAGGCAGTGATTATAGGGATGCTGCGGCTATGCAACAGACAACACCACCAGCGCCATCAGCAGCAGCTGAGAATGGGGATGGGGCATAACGACAGTGACAACAACAACGACGACGACGACGACGACGACGACGACGACAAAAAAAAGTTAAATTCATTTGCATATCAGAGGATCTTTGGCAACCATTTTCTTTCATTCCTTTTTCATCTTTTTTTTTCGGTTCTTTTTTTTTCCTTTCTTTCCATTATATTACTTGTTTTTAGATATCGCATTTCTTGTCTGTAAGCTGTTATAAAAGAATGCGATCTTGTTTGATGTTTATGTTGAACACCAACGTCTGAATATATTTCCTTTGTTTACCGAAATGTTTATATACTACTGCTACTATGAAAAACGTAGAGCCTATGCTGTGAAATCGATGCAGACCTGGGGTTGGGGAGGCGTCAGTTGTTAAGGTGTGTTGTGTACGTAGCGTAGTATGAGCGATGATTGACGTTTTCGACGCCTTGCCATCTTGGCTTGAGTGACATACATGCTCTTCCTAAGTAAACCCCGTCAACAAGCGAGCAATTTGCTTTAGCGCTTCGCGTTTGCTTCTCTCTTTTTTTATTACCACATGTCATCCCGCCAGCGGTCGTGCTGCACATCCCGCATATGCTTTGATACAGTATCTGGCTACCGCTTCACTCATCATTTCTCAAGCTTTTCAATTTCTGAGCGCTAAGCCTCGCGATGCGTATTAAGGTGGCGGCAGTCGAAACACATGGCAGTATAGCTGCGTTGGGATGCGAAGATGGGTTCCGTAGGTGGTTTCCAACATTCAAAGCACTGGTCGCACACGCGATGGCTGGCAGCGACAGTAATGCCATAGTGCTACAGTCTTTTGCCACAAGTGACCGGCTCGCCTAGCTTGGTTGTTTCACATATCGTTTTCCATGTCGACGGGGAACGGGCTATGACAGCTGGACGTTACCGACGTGAGCGACCTTGGAGAGCTGATGAATTGGTGTTGGATTTTGGAGAGAGAAATTCCATATAGCGAATGATAGGGCAGGGTGAGGCAATGCAAAGAAAAAGCGCCAGATTGTCAATCCTTCTTGTAGTGAGTCTTTTCTTTTAAAGCTTATTGCCTCAGGTGTTTTAGTTGCTGTGATCATCATTATCAACCGCTGCTGTTGCTGCTGTTATTGTTGAGCCTTTGGTTATTGACTGCTAAGTATCTGCAACTGCGTGTTGTTGGACGCGACGCGTGAATTCCAACATAATCCGGTCAGTGAATACAATTGTTATAGGTCGATCCTTATTTGTGTGAGTAAGATAGCTGTTTAACTCACATTTTGTGTGTCTCAAAGCCTTACATCCGCTTAAGGTGCAGTATGAAGTAGATGAAGGTATGCTCACTCCTCCGTATATATATATACTCACGGTGTACCTTTTGCTTTACCCAGAGATATCGTATCAGCATTTAAACAAGTTCGGTCGCGTAATAAAAAAAAATAGGAGCTTTGCACATGATGTTCATCAATAAGATGTGTACAGTCAGTAACATGATAGAAACCTATTCCTACAGCAATACGATTATGAAAAATTGCTATCATACAGATCGGATTGTTCGAACCTACCAACTTTTCGTCAGACAACGCAGATCCCGCGAAGCGGACCCGGGCGCGAGACGACGATAAGAACTTTCACCCATAAATCTCAGCTTCTTTGTGACTTTGCAAGAAGAAAAACTTTTTTCTTGTCTTTAAAAGGCTTCTTTCCGCCCAAAAACCCAGGTTTTACTACTTTACTCACTTTTTTTCGCTCTCAAAAAAGGTATGTCTAGAAACATTTTCCATTTCATCAGCTGTTTGTGATATACTTTGGAGCTGTTAATGAGCTCGTGTGAGAGGGTAAGAAAGAAAGAAAGTGATTCCAAGGATGCAAAACATTACGCATGTCTTAATCTACGTGTGTGGATCTCAAAAATATATACTGATTTAATGAGCCTGAGTAATCACTTTCTTTCTTTCTTTCTTGCTCGAACAAAGTACAGTTGGCTTGCAGAAAGGGTTTGTGAACTAACCGAACGCGTCATTGTTTATTACAGGCATCTTTTTTGAGTGGCGGCAAAAGCAAGCATCAGTTTATAGACATTTTATACAGATTCAATAAAAAACTATCACGATATGTAAAGACTCTATTTGTAAACATGCTTGAAACAGTGTTGGGAATGCATCTGCTTTGGAAAGATGCATGTACGTCCAAAATACAGAAGTAGTCCTATACGTGGGTATACAAGGGTATCAACAGAAAGGAAAGGAGCGCTCAATTCTGGTTCCTGATACACTTCTGATTCCAGAGACACAATCTCAAAGGGTTTTTTTTTCATATTCTGATGTACTAATTTATATACGATGTTTGCAATTTCACTGATTTCTTCTATGGAGAAACAAAATAAAAGCAAAAGAGAAAGAGAGAGAGAGAGAAAGAGAGAGGAAAGGAGTGTTGTGTGTGCGTGCTTACAGCTCATAGCCAACAAGAACATAACCTAGTTCTTGACCATACACCGAAGGTTCAATCATTTGAAATCCAAGATACATGAATGCCTTGAGCACCGTGTTATCTAGAAAGCATAAACTTTGTAAATGCGAGTTTTTCTCACAAGGTTAAAGAAATTAACGACTTACTATCAAGATGTCTGCGGTCGATAGCAATGACGAGGTACTCGCAACCTGTTTTCTCCTCGGCAAGTTCAATCAGATGCGTAATGCTGCAACAACAATTAACAACGATGCATATAACTCTCTTTTCTACTCTTTTGTTTGTTTGTTTTCAAGAGTGAACTTACCAAGACTGAAACTCGCCGTCTGCCCAGTTAGATAAACAATCCATCACGGGACAAGTGAGAAACACGGTATCATTGTGAATAAATGCCTGACATTGCACTGGCCTGGAAGTTTCATGTACTGTCGTCGTAATCAACATGTGTTCGTCGACGCTCTTGCTCCAGCGTGCAAAAACAGCGCCAACGAAATCGTTGTTGGTGCCTAAACACACGTACACGCACAAGTCTATGAGTCTGCTTGTTCTTTCTTCTGCAAATCATGCTACTTTCAGGACTGATACTTGCCTAGTTCCCGTTTGGAAACAGTGACAACGTCTTGATGCTGATGTGCGTTGGGATTGCTACAGTATTCATGAGGGAAACAGACTCTTTCTGGACTATTCGGGGTGGTGATGGTCGAAGAAGTGGCAGCTGCTACCACAGAGGATGATGTCGACGTTGTTGTGGGGCTTGTTGGTGTTTGTAGCACTTGCAGCTGTATAGCAAGCTCCTTTTTGGCAGGGCTTGCGATAATCATGGGAGATTCGATGATATGATACTGTTACTTGATATACTATTACTATTACTACTACTACTACTAAAGGCGAAATTTCCTTCCTTGGTGGCCTTGGAAAAGATGGTGCTTGAAGCGTAAAGGAAAATCACAGTTGTCTTGTCCAGTTCTACTCTTTTTCTGGTTGGGCGTTTCACCTATCATAATGCCCCGTTTGCTTTTAATGATCTTTCAATCCCATCCTCTTCATTGCACTTGAAACTGTTACTAATGGGGCCGCAAAAGGGCGGAGCACTAGCGAATTGCACTCGTAAATGTAATTTACCTGATGGAACGCCCTAAACGTTTATACCAAAAGAAAAAAGAGGGGGGGAGATTGAAAGAAATCAAAAGAGATTGAAGATTTGGAGGAGGGTAAAATGTGGAAACTAGGTTTCAACAGTGAAAAAAGAAGCTTGTGCTGATAAAGATGGGTGGAAATGTGCAAAAGCTACTGGGTAATTTCTACCAAACGGGAAAACTGGGTGGTTGTTTTGCTGTAGTCGTTAGACGTGGTGAGTGGGAAAAAAGAAAGAAGACAACTCGCAAAAACGGGGGAGGCGGAAAAAGAAGATTTTTCTCTTGTCGATAACCAGAAGCGAGCCAATCAGAATGCAGGATAGATACGAATTGTGGACGTTGTGAGATTGCTAATTGGATGTAACTCGACAGTTTTGCAGAAAACGGACGTTTAAACCAGTTGGGAGTGTGCTAATTCCATCACCCCACCTTTTTTCCTGCATTCTGACGGGGACGATGGTAGTGAGCACTAGCGCAGTAGGGGAATGGCAGGCTTTTGTAATACCCACACACACACACACACGACACACAAACATAACAATGACATAATGTATACAAAATTACCTGCGCCTCAAGCTTCGACAAACAAGGTATGTACGCTTTCTTAAGCTCCCTTCTTGCTGTCTCTGTACAAGCAGTCCTTGAATAAGAAGGGACGACACCCACTCTCCTTGAGCCAAGTGTATGCAATAGCAGTACGATACTCGAGAGCTGTCTGAACAAATGTAAAAAGATGCTGATAGATGTGCTACATGGAGACACGTGTGTGATATGATATTATAACACGATAAATATGTGTAAGATGTCCAAAAAAAGGACAGCAAATCCCTCGTGGTACTGTATGGCTAAAAACGAAATGGCTTGCATGCGTGAAATGAATGTACGGCAGCCTCCGACGCTTATGATGATGTTTGATATTTAATGTAAGGGATGTTGAGAAGTAGTGGTCAACGGTACCTTTTAATGGGTGTGGCGTTTGCCCATGTGTCTCTTGAACTGCGTTTTCTAGCGTTCTATGTCCAAAGTCCGTTCTGCAGCATTTTTCAGTTACGATAAATCTATTAGCGCCAGTTGCTATAGCATCAATGTACCTGATGATGATTATACTCTTATTATTGACGTTGGTATTATTAGTCTCCTATGTCAGCGTCTTTAAAATATGCTCGGCTCATGTTTTTGTATATTGCGTTATGTCTTCCAGCACCAACTCCTTTTATGATCAAAAATATGCGGTCGGTAATGTATGCACGAACAGTAGGGATTATTTCTCAGGTTAATTCAAATAGGCTATCGGAGAAACATTCTGACTCTAACCTGTAGTATACTTTTCTATGGTCCAAAGTTTCTTTTGCTGGTTATAGTCTCCAAGTTAGATGGCAAGTCAGCAAGCTTTCGAAAAAGAAAAAGAAAAAGTATTATAAATTCAGCAAGACGTAGTATGTCCTAGTAAGAAGGAACATGGGCCTCATAAAATCATCACAAAACACCCTTTATCCATTCCGGAAGAAAGTTATAGTAAAAAGCGATGACATCGACCTGTGCTACCAATACACGCACTACTATTGTACAACCCAGTGCCGCGACACAAAGTATGTGTGCGGGGTGGTGGGGGGGGGGGCGTGTGTGTGTGTGGTTGCACTTTACTGTCTTTTACCTATCAATCGGGAGCCCAAAGCCAATGGGTAACAAGACAGACTTGACAGGGTTGCCATTTTCAGGCTGAGCTTGGGCTGGAGCTGACAGATAATTACTGTCTGTATGCCCCTTGCTGGGATTGGGGGGTTGAATATAAGCTTCCTGTTCACCGGTATTAAGTAAATCCGGTCCCCGACTTGATTTGATAGAAGCACTTACTACCACATCGTAAAAGAGATGCTTTGCACTAGAGAAGGAACTTTTACTTCATTGGGAATGTATGTGAACGATGATTTAGTTTCTTTCTTTCCATCTCTCACGCTCTCGTTCGAGAACAAGGAAAAGGAAACACGGAAATTTTCCTAGTTATTATTCTCACCGCTGCATATCAACCACTTTTGAAACCTATCACGGCCAAGCTTTGTCAGCGTATAGGGGATCCGTCCGACACTTCTTGAAGTGCTAAGGAGGGTATATTGGAAGAAAGCCAATGTACCGTAACAAACACAAAAGAGAAGTAGCTAATAGGTCCTACCATAGTCATAAGCGGGGTATGAAGCAAATGAAAGTGTTATCTTATCGATCGAAGGGAACACAAATTAGCAATGTACGTAAAAACAAACACTTCCGAGAAACAAAGAGAGAGAGATTACTTTGTACGTATCGGTATGTCCCGAAACCTTACTTTGACAACTGGCGGGGCGATCTTCGTCTATATTCTTCTGCTAAAGTCTTTTATGTAAAAGAGCGGGCGAAAGGTCAGGCGAAAACATTGAATGGAAAGTAGTTGTTGACACTGCACGGAAGTTTACGAGGAAAGGCACCTGTGCACATGTACAAACAGCAGAGTGGATAATTGTTTCTCTGGAAAAATCACTTGAGTAATAGAGCCCAGCGCTTTTTGGTCGGGTAAAGGATGTGGTAAGCATTTTATTGACACTCAGTTTTAGACAAAGGAACCAATCAAAACTTTTCTATATGTCGGAAGCAAATCTTCAGCTGCAGTTTGCTGCTGCTGCTGCTGCTGCTAGAGGAAGAGTATGTGTGCATGACAAGGCAAGATGATGATGCATGGTATAATATATATGTACAAGAAGACATTAGAGAGAGAGAGAGAGAGAAAATGTGTATAACTAAGGATACTATGTAGATAACAGCAGTGGGGAATATAGATGGAAGGAGGAGGGGGTATACACTGGCTTGTTCTTCCACCCTGAGAGCGGTCGGTGAGCGTGATGATGATCTCTTGTCACTTTATGCTGCCAAAGCAACAACACGACCGCGCAACGGACTTGATCGCGAGGCAACAAATGGATCTGACCGTCGAGGCAAATGGAACCGCGGACGCAAAGGGCAGATGATTTTGTTGGCACGCATCATGTTAAGTTCAGCAGCAATCATTCGCAAATGAGCTGCGTTCGCCCGCAGTTCGCGACCAGGTCGAGGCACCTTCTCGGGTGTAGGCACTTGTTTCTCCTCTGCCCGTTCCCATTCCCTCTGCATCTCGTCCCAGTTATGTTCTTCACAATCAGCACTGTTGCTTAACACCATCGTCGTGCATAGACAGTTTTTGGGTGGTGAGGAGGATGATGTTGATGAATCGGTATTGTGGTCGCTAGTGGCATTCGGGTTGCTGTTGACAGTATTAGCGGCGGCAGTTGCGGCGTTACCGTTGTCAAAGGATGAGAACAGCATGTCCGATAGCGCCGCCAAGCTATCGTCGCTCGACAATCCGAAACCGTTATTGGTGCTGGACGAGGACGAAGACGACGAATATGAGGAACTCAGACTGCTACTCAGCGAAGGACACTCGTCGTCTATGTTTGTTGTTGTGGAGATGATGGCAATAGGAGAGGTTGACACATCAGGCTTGGCGACTGGAGAATGCGGTAAAAAGCCCGTTCGAGTCGGGATTGCTGTCAGGGTCGGTACAGTGGTCGTTGATTCGTCGGTAGCAGTAGTAGCAGTGGAAGCAAGAAAATCATAGATCATGGCAAATATAGACGGCGTTGTTGATTGTGTTTTCATTGTTGTAGTAGAAGAAGTACAGGATGGCGTCTGCGTGTATGATTTTTGAAAGTAAATTTACGGTATGGAGAATTACAGCACGGAATGCAAGGAAAATAGGAATCGAATATAAGGTTTTGTAGAGATAGAAAAAAGAAATATCGATCGTTAGCTATACCGTTGTGATACCACGAGGGATAGTTAAGTGTCCACAACCCACTGCTCCTTTTAGACAGCTTCTCTCCGCTCCTTTGTATATCAATCATTGTTGTTGTTGTTGACAGGAATAACAGAGAAAGGGCGCGAGAAAGAGCTTATTATACCAACAACCCACCCCCCCCCAGTTTTCTTTTACGTAACATACCGATTTTTCTGACGGGGTTGTTGAAGAAGGTGCAAAGAGCGCATCGACGTCCTTAATAAGATCTTGCATAGTGGCAGTGCGTTCAAGTAGCGACATTTTCTAAGTTGTGGTAGCAGTAGTGGTAATAGTAATAAGTAGTAGTTTTCGCACTAAAGAAGAGTGGGGAGAGAGAGAGAGAGGGAGAGAGAGAGAAAAAGAGAAAGCAAGGAAGGGGGGCAGAGATGCGAGAATATATTTATAATTTAATTGTGAGGATGTGTCGGGTGCGGTTGTTCCAGTTTGGATTCACTAGATTGGATGGAATTCACTTTCGTGGATCGGAACTGTTGAAGTCTCAATAGGCAGCTTGATGCCTTTTTTGGAAGTCACATTCGTGTCACGTGAAGTGAGTCCTGGGGGGTGGAGGGTTCAGTATCATTACCCGATTGCTGCTGTAGCACACATCCCTCTGCGTCATGGATATACTTGCTCCCTTTTGTCAGTTTGCCCACGATACGCTAGCTCGCACATCCCCGGATTTGTAGCCGCGGGAAAAAAAGAAGACTTGCACTTGGTCACCTCGATAACAAGCTTATCGTCCATCCGTTCCCTTCTTTACGGCCTGCTCGCTGGTAGACGCCGAAAGGGAGAGTCACTTGCGGAGGGGAGAGTCAGACCCGGCCCTCTTTCTTTTGTTCTTATCTTTACGCAGTTACCAAATTAAGAAAAAACAATGTTCTCATCGTGCTTGATACTTTATCTGTTTGTTGTTTGTTTGTGTGTGGGGTTAATATAGTGTACAGAAGCCCGCTGCTGCGTGATGTTAATTGCGCATCATGATATCTTTTCTTCCAGCAGAATTCTAATACACTTCACTCGCACGTGCATCGTTTGTATGTTTTGGATCTCTTTGTCCTTTTTTTTACAGCGATAGTATGGTAAGTAAGTCTAAGAAGAGGGAAAAGGATGGAACCAGACGAACGGTTGTGGATGTGTTACTGGAAAAAACATAAGAAATCAACCAATACAGTGGTGAGTTGGGGTTGGGTCTACGGTGCCACAATGATATGAATGTCCCTTCTTTCCCCTTTGCCTCCTCTTTTGGTGGTTGATAGATAATGCTATGCAGTATCCATTTTCTTGATAACTTACTTTGTATGCATTCATGCACAACTAACTGCTAATGCTATGATATAGCTACAACAATTTACCAGGAGCGAGCAGACTCACATGAAGAAAACTCCTGGTATTACTGAAAAAAATGGCTTTTGTACAATACTCTTTACATACACACATACACAAAAGGCTTCCATCGACTGATAAAAGAGCGAGAGGGGAGGAGCGGTGAATTTGGGGGACTATGCAGGCTTTGTTATCCTCATAAAAGCTTGCGATACCGGGTCCGCCCCCTCAAATTCTCACATAAAAAGATCAAGGGTGGTGGAATTCTTTACTGATGATACATATTACCGTCATTCACCTACCCTGCTGATCGGTTACTATTGCACTCAAATAAGCATTACTGTCAACAACAGATCTAAACTTAGAACTTTCCAATCGTCATAGCATACCATCATCGGTTCGTGATGGCTGGGTAGCGGCGCGTGCACATAGCGATGATGGTGATGTTGATGGAAATGGTAATGACCAAGTGACGACGGCGCCGCTAATTATAAGCTCCACTGCGGGTGCTATTACCATATTTAATCGTCCTGATACGTACGTACCAGGTTGACTACATACTGTGAGACAGAAACGAGCACTAACTTAGCACATCTACTGCCACTACAGCTTCTAGTACAAGTAGAGAATGGTCTGGGACGCTCTCTTATCCGTTCAACCGTGGCACGCCCGTAGCTTACACACGCACTGCTGCACACCCTAGCATATATCACAGTAAAACTAACTTGGACCATCAAAAGTTCAACGACTGATGGAGAACGGTAACAGCATCTCTGTTAACGATCCATCTTAAATGTCGTTTCGCAAGCAGACAAGAAGTTCTATTTATCCTACAGGATACACTTTATCAACGGCAAGTCTTCAATCTTCTCTTCTATTTTAGCTCACAAGGCCCTAAGCAGTAGTAGCACTTTAAGTAGCATTAGGGCCTTGTTTTATATGGTTGGTCTTTCCATCTAAATATAGACTACCTTCCTCGGCAAATTACTTTTTGGTGCCCTGGCAAAGAGCTGCTCGTTTAGAGCTACCTCATCAGAATGTTCAGCTACATTCATGCAAATGCACCAGCAAATTTTACTAGTTCACTGTCATTCGTCGTCGTCGATAATTCTCTACATAGATCGTTCATGGTTTCGCGTGCTGTCATGTAGTAAGCAGTAAAGACGATGAGCAACAGACAACGACAGTCTTCCTAGAAACACAAAGAAAAATGATGGAGTGGTCATCTCCTTCGTAAAAACTACTGATGCAAGACTGGACACTTATAAATATGCTCTGCGTTTTTGTTTCCTTCTACTTTTCTCTCTTTTTCCACATTACGGATGAAAGATGAACAAAAACACTGTTTGCTTTGTTTTGCAAGAATGGGAAAAATTGAACTCAACGTCGCTAAAATTGAAATGTTCATCGAGGCTTCCACTTCTCTTCAACGGTTCGAAACCACTTATTAGTTTTTGTGATGCCCTGAAAAACAACCGAGAAGTACGACTTTTAGCAGTAAAAATGAAGAACCGAGCGCACCTCCTTTCTATGTTGACATCGTGTACTGTACCCTGTTCAAAAAATGGCTATGTGAAAGCATAGAAGCATATATAAAGGAAGCCAAAACGTTCACTACAGTACGAGTTAAGCAAAGCGCCCTCGTACCATATACTCCAGGCCAGCTGCACAGAAGACCTTATGATAATATGTGATACTGTATGTAGTTAGATTGGATAAACAAAACGTTTCATCACTTGTTCTTATTGTTACAGTAGATCTCCAGAAAAGTACGCCGTTGATACAATCTATGCAGAGGGTACATGGTGCAAATCTTAAAAACGGATATCTCTAAAACTGATTAATATACGACGTACTATATGCTATGTCATCTATAGCTGATATAAGAAGACGCAAATTTGAGCTCACTGTCAAGAGTCTCCTCGTATGCCTTTTTAAAATCCTTGTACTGTACAGTAGCAACGTAGTTATTTGCCTTTCTTAATACAATTAGATAACAAGTACATCTACACCGTGAGCAACGGCCATCTGCACTACTGGCCACTTTATCTCTAACAGTTGACTAGTTTAGATGGCATAGATCTGTTGGACGCCAGGCAGCCACTTTAACGCACTACCTCTTAGTGGATCCTACTAAGCCGTCCGCATCCATCCTTTACGTTTCATAGCCAGAAACGTGAAACGGGTTTCTTTATGTCGCAAACGCACGGACCACGTCATTGTTTGTATACAGCGCCATCTTTGACGCCGTGCGACAGCAGTAATAGCACAAACAAAAATCTGCCTTGAAGGGTATAACGTTAAAAACGTCAGGATGTAATGATCTCATGTTTGTTTGTGTTATTGCTACAAATGTCTTGAATTGATTGTGGAGGGGATGTCAGTGTATAATGTTATTCTTTTTTAAGAAAAAGGAGGAGAGGGGTATATAAAAAAGAAGGGATCTAAGGTGAAACGTAGATGAAAAAAAAAAGATGCAAATAATAAAGGTAGACAGTGGTGGTAGTAATAGTGCTATTAGGCTTTAAATCGACTGCTCAACGATGAATTGGATGAATGATGTGCGAATAATGGAGGTCGATGCTGCGGTTCACACGTACCACAAAATTGTTGTAGACGTTGATAAATGGTGCTTTTGGTGACTGGTTTGCTAATAATATCGTCAAAGGCGCCGGCTAGTTGGACTGTGCGTTCATACGCTGTAACTGCTATAATAGGCGTGGTTCGGTTCAAGTTGTTGGTCGATTTGATCATTCGTGCTGCTGCTTCACCATCAACTATTTTCGTAGACAAGAACATTTACCAGTCAGTATGCTGTAAATTTGAATATTATAGACTTAATTACAGTATCACGGAAACTTACTGATAGGCATGCGGATATCCATAAAGATAATATCGTATCGTACATCACCCATGGCGCTTCGAATCGCTTGTGCGCCATTGCGTACAATCACACATCGGCATTGAAGCGTCTGGAGGATAGTCTCGAGAATCTTACAGCTGATTGGATTATCATCCGCAACTAAACAATCCAACGGCTTATTGCTTTGCTGCTGCTGTGGTGGGCTTGTGCTTGGTATTGGAGGATATGTTGTTGTAGTGGGAGCAGCTGTGATACTGCCACTGCTTTCGTGATGTTCATCCAATGGGTGCGTAGCACTATTAGCAGCGGCTGTAGCAATAGCAGTGCTACGATCACCAGGCGATGATGCGGACCGCATTCTTGATTTTTCTGCTAACCGCTGTGGTTGTCCTTGAACCACATCCATCGACCGTCGAACAGTTTTGGTCGATGCTGAATGCGACAATATCATGGGCGGCGGTAGTGGCGGGTTCACATCCTCTTCTTCACCAGCCCCTGCGACATTACCGGCGGCAGTAGCGCCCGCATTAGCTGTCGTAATACCGAGAACCGTGTTTGATGATTTTCTGCGAGGTGTTTGTGGCGCAGGAGGCGGTGGTGACGATTTGTGCAGATCACTGGCAACGATACTGTCATGACGGATTTTTCGAATTGCATCTTCATTTGCCTTTTCCAATACGGGCAAGTTCTTGTAAACAAATGTGCCAAACTCTTCTTCATGCTTTTTGTCACTGTTCGTATCCGTCAAACTGACCGCGCTGAGATGCAAGCCCTTTTGTTGTAGCAGCTGTTGTTGTTGTTGCTGTTGATCTTCATGCAAATGTTCAGGATTTTGTTCTTGAATAATCGCTTTGGCCTTTTCAACTTGTTGCTTGTCATCTTCAGGTATCTGCAATCCTCCCGTTCCTTTGTCTACACCGAGTCGGTCTTCCTCCTTTCTAAGCATAGTTGCACCGCGCAAGTCGAAATAGTCTGTATCTTCCATGTCGGCAGGCTGTGGTACAAAGGCCGGGGATTCGGTCAGGAGGGAATCCCAATTGATGGACTTGAAAAACGGATGGTACTTGACCTCGTCTGATCCGTTGGCACCTAGTCGTTTTTCCGGGTCCAAAGTCATGAGCCGCTCCATGAAATCCCGAGCTTCAGGAGACACATCCACAAGATCTTCGTGCCAATCAATCCGCCGTGACAAGATGTTTTCAAAGACTCGATCAGGTGTATCGGCGTGAAAGGGAGGGATACCATATAGAAACTCGTAGCAGATCACACCCAATGCCCACTAAAGTTAAAAGAAATGGTTAGAATTAGTTTAAATCCATCGTAGAGCAGAAAACAAAAGCAATCCAAATACTTGCCCAATCTACCATGGAATCCTGGCTGGTACCTAAGATACTCTCTGGTGCTAGATAATCCGGCGTGCCTACTGCTTTGCGTGGGGTATCACTGCGGTCACATTGCATGTACCCAGGCGTGCTCAAAACAGGGGTATGATTGTCTGCCGCACGGGGCGGTGGCGTATTGCTGCTGCTGCTCGTATCCGATGGTGCCCGTGGATTCTGATGTAGCTGTTCTGGTTGCGGCTGTTGTAGTTGTGGTTGATTATGTTTGCTCACATCTGTACCTGCAGACACAGAGCTGGATCGAGAGCTGCGACGTCCTTCATCGAAAAGCAAACTAAAGTACGAATGGCGATATGCACTGTTTGATGGCGTTGTTAACATATCCGATGGTGCTTCTTCAGGTGATGGTGCAGGCGAAGACGGGAGAGCATGACCAGACGCATTATCGTCATAGGGCGTTGCCGTGCTTAGTTCGTCTCGTACACGGCGATTCAGAAAGCCAATACGCGACAACCCAAAATCTGTCAGCTTCAAGTGTCCGTTTTGATCGATCAATAAGTTGTCTGGTTTGACATCTCTATATCAAACACCAAAAAAAGGAAGATTAGCGGGAGAGCTTCCGTCTAGGACAATAAAAAAAGTTCGGTGATTGTAGACGTACCTGTGAATGACATTTTTGCTATGCAGATATGCCAGACCAAGCGCCACTTCTGCTAGATAATTCCGTGCCCAATCTTCAGGCAGGCTGCCCAGGACTTTGACCAACGCCGAACAATCGCCACCGTTGAGATATTCGAGAACCAAGTAAAGATAATCCTTAGACTGGAACGTATAGTACAACTTGGTGACAAATGGACTATCGGTCTGGGTCATCAAAATCATACGTTCGGCCTTGACATTGGTCACCTGGTTTTTGGCAATCATGTCTGACTTTTTCAGAAACTTGATGGCATAGTAGTCACCAGTGGACCGTTTCTTTGCTAAAAACACAGAGCCGAAGGCACCTTTACTAATTGGCTTGATGATGTCAAAATCCTTGATACTAGGAGGTGTAAGCCGCGGAGGAATGAAGGCTTGTAATGGTTCTAACGGGGATTTGCCTGTAGACAAGTCCTTGGCGGATTTCTGCGGCCGTAACCCAGGTGATGCCATGGGTGTATCAATCACTTCGACCTCGAGGATAGGTGCTTTGGGTGGCGGTGTTGGTTTGCGACAATGACCGCCGCTACTGCTGCTACCACTTGCCCCTGATATGGAAGATCCTCCTGCGCTTTTACTGCTGCGTCGATGCTTGCGTGATAGCCGGCCAACACCTCGCTTGAGTCTGCTCAAGAGTCCCTTTTTTGGATGTTGTTGCTGTTGCTGTTGAGGCTCTTCTTTTTTTGGTGGTGGCTTCGGTGGTTGTTCAGGCACAAACTCTGTCCATCCGTCTTCTTGTTGCATTGTCTTTTGGAAGTCGGTCCTTGTTCGTTCATTGTATTCCAAATGATCTCGCATGCGGTTTACCACATCCACCTTTTTCCGGATCATACCTTCGACTTCACGGATCAGATTGATTGTATTAGGATCATCTGCTGTAGGAGGTCGCCAATACAAGATATGCACCATCTTTGTCTTTGAACGAGGTGACTGTAACGAACGAGCTCTATCATCTTTGCCATCATCATCGTCATCATCCTGCTTTTCATCAATATTTCTATTGTTTTTCTCGCTTTCGCCTTGTCCGTCTTCATAATCGTCTTCACCACGACCAGGCATTGAAATACTGAGTGCAACATCGACAATATCAAGAAGATCCTTATACACTTCGAGGTCAGTTTGTTTTAATTCGATCGCTGAGGGTACATTTTGTTCGACAGGAAGCGCATCAGCACCATAGATTGAGTCCTTGTCGCAGTCGTCGTCTCCATTATCATCATCCTTTATATCTTGTCCTTTTTGTTCAGTAGCAGAGGTGGAAGAAGGCGGTGATAAGGACGAGGGCAAAGAAGCATCTTGTCCTTCTTCTCTTCCCGCTGTTTCCGTGGAGAGTTCATTGATTTCAGCCTTGGTATCTTCTGAAATCTCGACGATGTGGTGTCTCAAATCACGTAAACTGTCGTTGCAAATATTGACATCCAATTCAGTCCGATGGATTTCGATACAGAGTTCAGAATGCTGTTCAAAGAATGCTGCAACGACCCAGCGTTCACAGACATGGCAGAGGACGGGCGGTATTGCCATGAGCATTTCTTTTGATATTTCTTGCTCTGGTTGATCCTTGATTTCGCCCTCTCCTTCACGTTGTTGTTCTGGGAACTGAAGCTCTTGCTGTTTTTGCTGTTGATCTTCGTTATCATCCTGGACAGTGGTTGCCACCAAGCCTGGCGAATCCAGGGTTGGTTCAGACAAAGATCGATTGCGCATCATTGCTTTAGTCTCTTCAACTTCGCCAGCACCGCCAGTTCGCTGCTGCTGCTGCTGGCGTTGTTGTTGCTCTTCCTCCTGTCGACTTGAGGTTGAAGTCGAGTGCTGAATAATGGACCATCGGCGTGAACTGACCGGCTTGATGACCCACATGGTATGACTTGGCTCTCCCGTTACTCGATTATACATCAACATACCCTTGCCTTCCATTTCCGTCGTAGCGTCGTATTCTTCATCATGGTCAATCAGCATATGGAATCGTACCTCGACTGTCCGAGAATCATCTGTAAGCAGCTCTTCGGTCGCTTCGGTAAACACACGTTGGTCTTCGCTTGATAGGAAACGTGATATACTGGTGCCCATGATGGATTGAGCATCTTCGCTCCTACAAAGTAGCATAGTTATTAAGACAACAGTTTCTTCTCCGTTAACACTTTTTTGCTTTACCTGACATAATCGAGCCAAACTGGACTGACATATTGGATAGCGATTGTACCCAAGCTCAACTCCATGATGATTGTACTATTTTGATTGCGTTCTGCTGCCTCTTGCAAATCCAGCTGCTGCTGATCTAGTTGCTGATCTTGTTGATCTTCTTGAGTGGATACAGAGGATAGATCATCATTATTGTGTTGAGGCAATAACCGACTCGGTACAGCTGATCCCACAATATCCGATCCACGACCTGTGCCATCACTACTGCTCGTCGGTAATCGCTGACGAGAGGGTAATTCGAAACCGCTGCTGCTACCAGCACCCGTATCGCTACTGAGTTCGCCATCTTTGGTCGATAAACCACTGATTGATTCTAGATCAGTTGTTGCACCACCATCCGTATCACTTGCTGCTGCTGCAGCAGCAGCAGCAGCTGACATGCTTGCTGTAATGGTGGATAACTGTTGTTGTTGTTGATGATGTTGTTGCAACGCAGCAGTAGTAGGAGGCGTTGTTGATGACGACGACCAAGCCCAGAAGCCGCGTTCGGCCTCCCACCAATCCAAAACACGATTAAATGCTGCAACACCAAGCAAAAGTCGGACATACCATTCACGGCATGGCCATTCTGGATGTTCGTCCCATTGGACGCCAATGGCTTGAATATTGGATACAAGATCTGCGCAAACGCCTTTGTAGTCCAGAAACACATCGAGTGGGGTATCCATCACGCTTTGCGCCAATGTAATCAAGTCTTGAAGTGTCAAGATAAATGGTGTGGCTTGATACGAGTCTTCTGTTATCAGCGTGATCATGTTGTTCATGTTAGCTGGAGGCGTTGTTGTTGTTGGTGGTGGAATCATTACGGTGCCACTGCCACTAGGAGTAACATCACCACTGGTAGTCGCTGTACCAGCATTACTGTGGTAAAAGTTTCCTCCCCCTTCAATATCTTCGCCAGAATCATTATGCTGATGCCGCTGGCGATGGCGATGGCGGCGGTAGTCATACTGATCGTCATGGGGATGTTGTTCCTCTTCTTGTTCTTCAATATCCTGCAGTTCAGTGGTGATATTACGTTTCCGTTGCTGCTGTTGTTGTTGTACTGCAGATATACGCGATGGATGACCTGTTTCTGTGTCATTATCGCTTCGATCTGATTGATCATCACCGATATCACCACTTGCGCTGCTGCTACTGCTGCTCATTGGTTGCACACCACGCTCCAGCATTTCATCCATATCTTCCACATATTGTAAACCACGTTCGACATATTCGTTCAGCCCGTCAATGATACGACGCATCTCGGAATCACACGCGTCTTTGGCATACTGCAGCCGGGATCGAATGGTATTTTGCACTCGAATCGAAGACGATTTGTCTTCACCATCATTGCCGGTCCCAAAAATTCTGCCGAGTCGACCGAAAAGACCAAGGCGATGATCAATTGGGTTATGAAATCGGTATCCCACATGGGTTGTTGGAGTCGTCGCTGCGGAAGGCACTGTTACATGCTGTGGGAGCTGTTGCTGTTGCTGTTGCGATGATAATCTTCTAGGCGGTGTACTACTGTTGGTATTGTCGCTGCCAACCATTTGGCTTAATTGCTGCGACGCTCGACGGTTATGTTGCGATTCATCCGCTTCTGAAATAGCGTCGGCTGTATAATCGCTTATGGATCGTGTGATGTCCGCTTCATCCGGCGAAGTCTGGCACCGGCGCAGCTTGGGTTTTACAGCCGGACGTGTTGCTGTTTGGTTTTCTAGGGTATCTCCAGGATGTCCAGATTCATGATCAGACGGTAATACATCCAGCGTTGGTCCACCCAACACATGGTGCGGATGATGATGGTGATGGAAGTAACTTCTCAAATTATCGTCGTGGCTTACTGGTTTGTCGCTATGTCTTCGCAAGTGAGTAAGCAGTCGGCTTGGGGATGCGTACCACTCGGCATTCGACTTGACCGTGCCCCACCACATAGACAGCCTATGGTTGATCGAAGAGGATAGTCGTGTTTCTGCGGTTGTAGTCGCTGTTTCAGGCTGTGAGGAAGGCATTGACGATACAGAACATATGGACCGTCGCCGTTCGATTTCTTGCGACTTGAGAACCTTGTACTCGTCCAGCCAATCGACCCACGGAACATCGTTGACAACATTATGCTTGTCACCTTGCTCCGCTGCTTCCTCACCGCTTGTAACCATGATAGTCGGCATTGGCTGGTTACCTTCTCGTCGTCGAAATATTCGGGCTGCTGCCTTTCCTGCTCTGCTTTGATGATCATGACCACCGTTGTGGTCTTCCTCCTCGCTGTGGTCATATTCGTCATCGTGGTTACGACCCATACGAAGCGAACACCATCGTCGAAGTTTAGCTGATCGAGACATGTACAAGTTTTGCGCATAGCTGTCGTCCGAATGTCGAGGCACTGAGAACAACGATGAAGTTTCACCACAGGATGTTTTGGGAACTACCAAAATCATAAGAAAAGTTAATTATCAATACAAAATAACGCTCTTTTTTCGCCTCGTGAATAAATTCTGCAAAGTGCATACCATGATCACGAATGAAATAATCACTGTTGATATCCTGCTCCCATCGTGTCAGCTCCGGTGCGGATGTATTCCCACTTGGTACCAAAGGATTATGGTGATGATGATCATCATAATAATGCGGCATCATTGACAGCCCACTCGTCATTTCGTCGTGGGTAGCGTTAAGCAGTAATGCTGGGTATACATGTGTTTGCAATTCCTCCATGTAAGACGAGCCGTGTTGATGATGATGTTGTCCCTCTCCTCCTGCATCCGACGAACGACCAGCTATTATGGATTGCGTGTCACTGTTGCTGCTACTATCCAAATCTATTTCGACGACATCCTTATCAGCCTCACTCGCAGACGCAGCTGTAAGTGATCCAGATCGAGTTGCATTAGAGCTGGGTGTCGTCGTAGTCGTAGGTGGCGTCTCAATAGTCGTATTGGGTAGTGAACGTCGATTCGATTTTCGTTTGCTCGACAATTGACGACGTAATAAAGTATGCAGTGAATGTTGATATGCTGGTATACTCCCAGGAGCATTGTTGTTGTTTTTACTGCTAGATTCGGGTGATGATAAATTAATGTTGTTGTTGTTGTTGGTGCTTCGGTTTGCTGCGTTGCTCGTACTTGAATGGGACGAGGAGGATGCAGACGAAGGAGGTGGCGCGCAAGATGATGGTAGTGGAAGTGCTGGTGGTGCATCCACGACAGGATTGGGCAGTGTACCGCTCACAATACCTGCTAGCTCAGTATTAGTTATGTTTTTTAGCATGCTCATGGATGATCTACGATGCGCACGTTGTTGTTGCTGCGTCGAGCCATGTGGCGTAGCACTGACAGATGTGGTAGGAGGAAAACCGTGAGCGGCGGTCATGGACGGGGTTGTCGCACTAGGTTCGTGTCTCGATGCATTGCTTGCTTTTCCTACACGTTTTTTCTTAGTATGTGAGTAGAGAGGGAGAGAAAGAGAGGGGAAAAGTTTACCCATCAACCAACCCGGGAAAAAAAAAGATCATCTAAATGCAACACAATGCTCTCTCTCTCTTGCCACCTTTTGAATAAATAAGATTTACCTCGATCCGATAAGTTGGTGGTACCAGTCATTGTTGGAAACTGCAAAGGACTCCCGCCGCGAGGAGAGTGAAACAACCGCGGCGACGAAGAAGGCGAATAAAATTCGTCTGTCATGGCACTTGAATCAGTGATAATAGAAGAAATAGATGAGGCTCTCCGTTCATGGTAGGGTTGTCCTTGACCTGCGACTCCTTGACCACCAGGGTGATTACTGCTTTGACGCTTTAGCCCATACCATTGGAAGGATGAAATGCTTTGGGTATCAGTAGATGTAGTAGATGCTACATCATCCAGATCGTCCACATACGACGATCGTTTGATCGGCTGTTGTTGATGTTCAGAGAGACGATTTTCCCGCAACTTGCTGATGGATCCGGATTTAAGCATTGGCTCACCAGTAGTAGAAGAAGAGGATGACACGTATCCACCAGATGCCGGTGCTGGTGCTGCTAATGGCGGTGGCGGCTGTTGCTCCTTGAGTCGCTTCGCGACAATTCCTTTAGGCGAGCCAGTCGGTGAGGACGATGAAGAAGCATAATTGATGTTGCTACTGTTGTTATAATTCATGCCTTCAGCCATGGAACTTTTACGGCTTTTTGCTAATCGGTTATTGTCTGCGCTCGTACTGCCAATAGGTGTTGAAGGTGTGGATGGTATACTGGTGTCGGGCAAATACTGCTGCGGTAATGGGGGAACGGGTGGCACTGACGACGATGGTGTTGTCGATTGTTGCTGTTGTTGCTGCTGTGTTTGAGAAGAAGCCGAGCCATCGATCCAACTCGCTCTTTTGGACTTGACCATGTACTTTCCACCACTGCCAGCAGGCGGGCTCGCATATCTTGGTGAACTGGAAGACGACGATTGATGAGGCGATCGCGGGTTGGCCTGAGAAGATGCACCCAAGTGCACGGTCTGCTGCTGCTGGGAATCTACAATTTCGCTACCGGGACTACTACCATATTCCGATTCACCACCACTGCGGTAATGGTGTTGGTGTTGCACTTGTTCTCCTGCTGCTGGTATCGAAGTTGGAGGTGGTAACTGTTTGTTGTAAGGGCTGTTGAGTTTATTGCTACTACTATTATGGTCGTTGCTGAGCAAATCGTCGCACGAGGATGACATTGACGATCGACTGGTTCGTCGCTTTAATAAAAGCGGTTGTGGAATGGGTACGCTGCGTAGCTTTGTGGATGTAGACGACGAGGGAGTACCCGTTTCAGACGTAGATGCTGTTGTACTGACAGGACTGTGCTGAGCGGATTCACCAGTAGTACCACTATTTATAGGAGCAGTAGTAGTAGTAGTAATGGGACCGATTCCCGCAGTAGCGACACACGGGTTGGAAATGCCTGCGTGGAAAGCACTCGGTGAAGACGGCGACGAGAATGTGGACGATTGTCGCTGGACCGACGAAGGCAGCGGCGGCGGCGTAGACGTGCTTAACGGTGATGACGACCCTGATGAGAACAGGGTGCCGTTTTTGCTACTACTTCCCATGTAATTATGTCAAAACGGTGAGGTGTATATGTGCTTTGTGTGTGTAAAACACAATGTATGAAAGGGAAATGGGGTAAAGAGTACGCAAGTAGTGAATGAGTGGGTAATGATAGTAGCTATTCTTCACGTCGACTCGAAAGTAAAAAAAAAGCAGCAGCTGCTGCTGTGTTCCAAGGTTTTGCATTGAATTAAGCACCAATAGCATTGCCTGGTTTTCCTTTGTCTCTCACTCTCTACTACAAGATATAGACTACACTATTCCCGAAACACATCATGAGCAGCAGAACAGAGGGGTACCATGCATTTCTGGCTTGCTGCTGGGAGCTGCACGGTGCTGTCATATCTTTAAATAACACAACACCTCGGTCATTACTGGCGTTATGTGAGAGTCGCATGACAACCTATCTATGCGGCACACTGAAGCATATTTTCATCCGTCTGCATGCTACTTCTCATTCTCTCTGTCCCTAATTCCTGGTAAAAATAACTCCATACTTTGCTGTTTTTACTTTACTTCTACTGGCGGCTTATGCAATCTTGTTGGTGATAGACTTTTATTATTACCCAACTATTGCTACGAATAAGACGTCTCCTTTTCTTTTCTTGAATCATGAGCTATTCTCAATGCTTGACTGTTTATTTCTGGCTACCAAAACTTTGTGCTTAAATTTTTGTTATCCCTTCTATAAGTGCCATATCACAGAACCACACAGTTTGTAGTGCCATCAACTCCTGAAATCATACCTGTTAGCGCGAGAGAGAGAGAGAGAGAGTAAAACGCTGCCTCATTTTTGTCTTGTGAGGTATTTTGTCATGTCAATCAATGGACATATACATATGGATAGTAATGTGTGACACCCTTCTTAGCGGGCTACTGATAGATACTGGATGTGCTTGTCACCCTGCATTGCTTCCTCTTCTTCATCTTTACCATATCTGTGATAGCAAAGAATGTATATAGACAAATATGCTCTGGCAATAATGACATAACTGTGATGATAATCTAAACCGATTTGTATTGTTTTTGCAATGGAGCTGCTTCATTACTATGTCTTGTTACCGTTTTCGTTCTTATATAAAGAAATTCGATACGTTGCTCTATGATAGAGTCTAAAAATGTACATGCGTCGACGTGGTTCAAGTGCGAAACACGTGCAGCTGTTATAACGGCGCTTTATTTTTCTTCGCAATCATCCACCTATGATATTAGTATGGCACATCCTAGTAAAGTGATTACATAGAGCAGAAGTAAGTGTACGTATGCATACTTTTGTTACCTGCAGCTTACCCTTTAGTATGTATCTCGTGCGAAATACATATCTACACAAATATCGAATTCTCTCTTTCTTATTACGTTGCTGCTATTTCATTCATCTTTGCGTTTTTTTAACGAAACAGGCCATTGAGACAAAGGCCACACTAGTACAATTCGTTAACCTAACTTTTATCGAGAAACAGAAAAGCTGAGCCGTTACATAATGACGACTCTAAAATCTCTCCGTGTAGAGCTATATGTACTACAAACCTAGAAAAGAAGAATAATGAGTCCATAACATAGACAAATATCGGCGTATTTGTTGTTGCTATACTGTACTCTCAAGAGCAGTAAGCTCAATATCCACTTGCTCGCAGTAAGATAGAATTATCAGCTCATCTCACATTTCATCATCTATTTTCCAGATGAAAGCATATACAGTAGTATGCTTTATTTACTATGGTATAATATGTTGCTTGAAGAATCAAAAAAGATCACTAATACATTTTTGCTAAAAGTCTTTTTGATATCATCTTGCTCTAACTCGAACAGGTTGACTTATCCAGTAATATTACAAACAGTGATACAAAAAAAAAATATGCGTGAGGTATGCTAAAGATACATACAAGGCAAGTGCTGCTGGAGTTACCTACATGATATAGGATTATCATTGAGCACTTTTAACAGATAAGCAACGAAACTTCGTATATATATATCCTTCCAATTCTAAAGCCTATTTTGTGCGATGCAAGCATATGATCTTTCCCGGTTCAGATGTGCTAATAGATATACTATAGTATACCAAGTATTAACCATGGAATTATGCAAAAGCTAAAAAAAGATATGCGTACGGCACTTTCGTAATTCAGGGATCATCATCAGCAGAATGACGGCGTACTTCTCCTGCACTCTTTTAGTAGTCTCAGCAATTCGACGCACCCCCAGATCTTTAGCCTCGCAATCTTCAGCAACATCACTGAGTAGCTGACAGCACAGCAATAATAGATGGAAAAGTACACACACACACATGAAGCTATGCTATTATCCATACAATGTCCATGCTACTTCCACGAAGTACATAGGCCTCTGTATACTTGGAAGCCCGCAATAAAACTGCGCGCCGCATGAAGCTGCGTCTTACCATATTTGTACGAACTGATTTATTCTGTTGTCTGCCTTGCATATTATAGAAAACTTGCTTTGGTCCCTTTCTTATTTCCTCTCCTCCTTGTTTCAACTTTTCTTTCCTTTTTTCCCTTCTTTCTCTCATTCTCTGAATGTACTTTATCAAATGTCTCAAACGACACGTCCTGTACGACGCTTTGCTGTGATTGCAGCAGAAAAAATATCCCAACACTACTACAACAACAACAACAACAACAACAACAACAACAACAAGCGAAAACGCAATGAGTACGCTTTTCTAAGCAGCACTGTTACTACAACAACAAACAGCAAAGTCAATACCTCAACAAACAATTTCAGCAGCAGCAGCAGCAGTATGAAGCGGCACAAGAGAGACAACGGTCAGCTAAAGCGCTCAGCACGCCATTCTGGTTTGCCACAACCAGGCTTGTCATTCGAGCTATGGCAGATCATTTTAAAAGACCTGGTACCTTCCCAACTCGCCATTGTCGCTCAAGTCAGCAATGGCATGGCTGCTATTGTTCGTGGTCTTGTCATTTGGAAAACCATTGCTGAGACGGCCAATCTAGGTTTGCCTGTCACCCGTGGGATCCGCAGAACGTATTTTGGCGTAGTGCTAGTAGCGAGTAGCCGTGTCTGTGAAAACTGTTTCACAAAATGCAAGCCGTCAGGTTCACAAGCTGCATTGCCGGTGTTTGTCCAGGAACAAAACAAACAAGTTCGTATGTGTATCAAGTGTCGAAAAGTTTATTTCGACAAGCATCCTGAGTTACTAGTATCACCAGCAAAAACTACAGCCAAGACATCATCGTCATCGTCATCGTCAGCAGCAGCAGCAGAAGTAGAAGTTGAAGACGACGACGACGACGACGATGACCTAGACCATTTAGATCGTGTGATCCTTCGTCATTATGGTGGTCGTGTCGGCGTTGAAGCAGAAAGACGAAAACAAAGGGCCATGAGCGAGACACGGGCGAAGAATCAGCAAATTCGACAAGAACAACGTCGTGTAGAGCTCATGCAGCGCCTTTCCGAGCTGGGCATTTGGTACGACCCAGAGTCAAGCATGGCGTTTCAACGTTACATTATTCGTGGCAAGCCGAATCTCGAAACAGTAATACAAGGATTGGTCGAAGAGGCAGATATGCATCGTGAGCAAGAGGCCAGACAACAAGAGCTTGAGACAAGACTTAAGCACGCTCTGGCGGAGCTGCTTGTGGATCAAGATGATGGCTATGAGGATGGGGGTGAAGAGAAGAGTCAACAGCAGCGAGTGACCGAGTACATAACAACGTTGCGCGACTGCATAGTATACATTCAATTCGGTCTGCCTGAACAACTGGATCAAGTCGTGGAAGCGGTCGTGGAACGGGCACGCCAGGATCAAGAGCGCGAGACGAGACGCAAAAAGTTAGAGGCAAAACTTACAGCATTGAAATTGGAAGAATACATAACCTCATACGAATGCATAACCTACATTCATTCTGACCAGCCGGAAGATGTGGAACACGTCATCCATGCTATTGCAGAACGCGAGCGTGAGAGGCAAGAACGGGTTGAGACGATAGCACGGCGACGCAAGGAATTGACAGATCGCTTGGAGGAAGAAAATATCTATCATGTTTTTGGCCATATAGAGCATCAGATTGCAATGCTATGGATGGAAATCGAATCCATCATCAGCAATGCCAAGCGGGAGGCTGCGGATCAAAAAGCTAAAGAGGATCGACGTCGTGTTCTTGAAGAAAGACTACGTGAAAACGAAGTCGAGCTGAGAGAAGATTCGGCAATCTGTACAAGCTATATCAACCATGGTACCGGCAACTTGGATGATGTGGTCACCAGAATGACGGAACTAGCCTGGTATTTCCGTGAAACCAACTATGGAGCCATTCGCCATGGGGTTCATGGTAGGTTATATTACAAACGCGTATCGCTCGAACAATACATTCGCGAACGACTGTCAAGCATGAAGTTCGGCCCTGTCAGCCATGATCCGGACACGCTGGCTCGGCCACCCCCGTCGCTTTGGAGTACAATCAAGGTTCTCGAGTTTAAAGAATGGAAGGAACATGCCAGAGCGTGTATGGTTGAAGGGCTTGTCCGAACGAGCAATATCACAGTCAAGGAGATCATTAGACAGCAGTTAGAGTCGACGAACGTTCTCAATAGCGCTCACCTTGCAGGGATAGTGACAAACGAAGTGCTTGTTGCGGCGATGGATGAGGGAGCTGTGGCTTTAGCAAAAATTCCATCATCATCATCTTCCACGTCCGCCTCTTCCTCCTCTATTACTACGAGCACGAGATCATTCAGTTCAGCTTTGCGAGAGATGCTTGGTGACGTGACGTTCTCGATCTTTGTGGAAAGCTACCGGTTGCCGGCCGTGTCCAACGTACGAAAGAGACTGTTTGACGAACAGGTGTCTACATCTGCAGCGGTCAGCAATCCTGGTGCAAGCAGCAACGTACAACAGCACACTAACAACACCGCAAATGACTCAAATGTAGCCAGTGATAACGACAACAACGAGGATGTGCCTATGCCAGACGCGCCGTATACTACAGAGTAGTATACATATACCTTACAGTCTATCTGCCCTTCTAACTCGCCTTTTATATCTACTCTCTCTCCCTATACCGACTCACATTGCATCTATATACACATAGCAATTAAAACTTTCTTTTACTTACTTAACCTCCCTCAGCACAATAAAGAATCACATTAGCATATTGTATAACATATTACTACTGTATAAATGCAGCGTTGTAAATTATATTAAAGGTCGGTGGTGTAAATTATAATAACTGGTTTTGTTTGCTCCACACGGACACATACACACCCCCGCTTAGACTATGCGACCCGACGAACACAAAAAGAAAGATTCACGACGATATCAAGCTCGTAAAAAGAATCAAGGCGATGCTACAGCAGCCGAAGTAGCTGAACGACGAAGACAGGCTGCTGTCAAGGCACGCGATACGGGCACGAGTATAGCAGCCATACGTCGCCGGAATGGCGAATTACCGTCTATCCAACAAGCACGCGAATCAGCAGAAGCTACGGCCAGAATAAAAAGCAGCAAGTTTATTCGTCGTAAAATCGACAGCAATCGTGATCGATACACCGAGATCTCTGATCAAGGTAGTTCACATGGTCAAAGATATTTAGATTAAGGAAGCATATTCACATACAAAACCAAATACCATTCAGATGCCATGTTGCAGGATGCCGAGATGGGAATCGATCGTGAAACGACGAACTTAGTTGCTATGCTAGAACAACAGGGTATGTCCCTTTTTAAAAAAAATTAAAAGGAAGGAAGAGACGAAGCCATTCTTAAACTGTTGGTTGTTGGTAATGTATCTATTATACGTAGACGAGACCGAGCCTGGATCGACATACTTCAAATTTAAGGACGAAACTGTGGATACGGGTCTGCTCGAGCAACAAGACCAATCTTTATTCCATGTCGATTTCAATATGTATGAAGGCATATTGGGTCAAATAGATTGTCGGCAAGTGCTGGGGCTCTCAGAAGAGGATTCTGCATTGGTAAAGATATCTGACTATATCAAAAGTGAATATATGGGAGTTAGCTATCTGACATAAACAACGATAGGTCGACGCAGCGTTTGGAGAACAACCATTGACTCCTACGAAGCCGATCGTTCCAGCATTTGCAAAGACAGCACAAGGCCTTGTGCTGTTGAATCAAAAGCCAAAATCAGAGGCTGCGACAGAGCCATCTGACGGAATATATATCCGGAATGAAAGGAGAATGCCACAACATAACAATGTATCCAAATCATCATCTTCATCTCCCGTGACAATAACAAATACTGGTAAGCAATGAATGCTCCCTTCCTAACCGCTACATTTGGTGTATGTACAAAGAAAGAAACTAATTTATAAGGATGGGAAATATTTAACAACAGTTGATGATGTTGACGACGAAGGTCTTGACGAGCTCTTAGCTATGGGACCATCCAAAAAAGCACAAGGTTGGTTTACATGTGGTGCAGGCATGGTTGTAAATTGTATGACTAACAGGTTCTTCGTCACATTACATCTTCCTTTGTTTTGCTACTGCAGATAAACTTCCTGCTCGGGACTCTGCCGCGACGACAGCTGCTAATAGCAACAGTACATCTCCTAAAATAGCTGCTGGTGAGTTTTTCTTATATATATATATATAAATTTCATTGTCCCCGTTTGTAGGTAGGTAGTAGGATAAAGAATGAAGTATCAACCAAGCTAAATGGATTATCGACAGTATCATCATCATCGTCCCCATCCATACCGAAACCTCGGATTGCGGCGGCAAGTTTACCACGGCCTTCAACAACAGCAGCAATGACGAAACAATCAGAACCTAAGACTGCAGCCAAGAAAAAGGATGACGATGAAGCATGGCTAGACGACATTTTGGGATGATGAGCAGTGATGATGGATGACGGATTGAATGATCCAGACCTCAAATGGATATACTGGATACGGTAAATCCGGGCTTGGTTTGTGCACGGGGCAAGAGGTCTTTTGGTTACCCACCTCTACACATGTACACTGTGTATACACGCACACATACACTATCCCCCATCCGGGTCATGGGGCTATTTTTCTTGTATATAAACGGGACGTGCGTGTGTGTGCGTCGCTGATAAAATATATTATTTCCTTCTCTCTCTGTCTCTTTAAACTTTTGTGGCTCTGCCCCTGACTTGGAGCTTTTCTTTCTCTCTCTCTTTTCCCTTAGTTGTTATTCGACAAACTCACTGCATAAAAATATAATGCGATGAGCTCACAGGCGATGATGATGACACAAGACGACGGCGTCACGGACAGCCTCTATCAACCAGAAGCCAAAGTAAACCAACAACAACAACAAAAAGGTCAACATCATAAGATACACGTACAAGCACGCTCATGTCGACTGCGGTTCCACTGGCCTCACGGATTCTCGTACCTGGCTTGGAAATACCGTCAATGGAAATGGCTACACCAATCCGAGTTTGTATGGTGTTTCCGACCGGCGATCGGAGGAGGAGATCACCATGATGATGGTCACGATTCATCTCCATGGAAACCCTTTGAATCGAAAAACCAAGTAATTCTGTGGCAAGCGTACTATAACCAACCGTATCAGAATCAGCCATCGCCCTATTACGAATGTCAAGTTCATGACAGGGCAATCGATCAAGGAAAACAGCTGGTGCGAATAATTTTGCACGAGCATGTGGCTTTCACTATGGATCCAGATTGGTCACAACCATTAGTGTATGAAGTAGCTGTGTGTCGGGTGATGAGACGGTCTGCACGGACTTTATGGCGAGAATGGGTATTGCGTGAAAAACAAACGGGTCCTATGTATCAATAATCTAAATGATAGTAGGAATAAAAAGTATAATAAAATGCTAGCGAAGGGGAGGGGAGGGGCCCCTTGTATTTCTGTTGTTTACAACATAGACAGTCGACGTACATGATGTGTTTATCCGTGGAGTAAATTAAAACAAAAGCACATAGACCGTGCACCTGCGAATCGCTTGTGTCACAAGCAACAGCAGCTGCAGCAGCGACCGCATGAGAAAAACGTATATCCGAAGCGGAACTGTCGTTCCGTTGTTGGACGATTCAGTTAGTTGATTTGGGTATAGCTCTGGGTGATTGTAGCCCGTGGTTTGATGATTGCAGATGATGTGAGAATCGACATCTCATGCCCCCATTGGTCACCTTCCTCACATACTATGCGTATTTCCAGTACCTTTTGTTGATCAGCTGAAAAAGTTGCGTTTCACAAAAAACCACATCGTTTCATACAATTACCGAGTAACCCGATTTGTTTATTCTCGCTACAAACCAACAACATGGCCTTAATTAAGCTTCAAACTTTTTTTATAATAAAGTCTATCGACAAAGTAAGTCAATCGATGTGTAGTATGTAGTTATAAACTACAGTAGATATGCACTTTTGTAACTTACAATCCGTCATCTACTTATGCAGTATCACGATAAGAGCAAGGTGGCCGGTCCTTTCCATTTTGTATAGCTGTTTGACGTATTGCCACAGGTGTGTAGTGATGGAAAAGATCTTACAAAGTTGATGGAAGTACTGTAGGATGTTGATAAGAGCGAATTTGTACATATGTATCTGTTATATACTGGATTTTTCTTCCCACTTAGCATCGTAGTTGCGTCGCTGGGAAGGTAGATATTGTGCCGAGTTTCATGCTCTTGCCAGTATTTATTTTACGTTTCTGCACTTGCGCTGTTTACAATTGCGTTTATTTTTCAAAGTAAATTAGAGGCAAACCAGGTTCATGCCTTCATTCTTCAGACTTCTCACCTTTTTCTTCCCATTAAAATACTCTCCAACCTTCTTATATAATCATCAATCTTCTTGATTTTTGAGCATGTCTATCATTTCTTCTTTCGTGGTGGTGGTGGTGGCATCATCACTGGTGGTCCTGGTCAACGATGCTGCCGTTGGTTTTGTTATGCTTGCAAGTGCCCCAGCTTTGCCGGTCGACAGGCCATTAAAGAAATAGCCTTGTAGCACTGCAGTCTGCCCAATCGATACTGTATTCTCGCTGATTGCTGCCATTGACAGGCATGCTGCTATTTCAAGTGGTTTGCTGTTGCTGCTACTGTTGTTGTTGTTGCTCTTAAGATGTGTAAAAAAAGGGGCGAAAAACGAAAGTGTGTCGATCTCTAAAGTATTGTGTTTTGCATTGTGGAAACGGGTGGAACCGCCTTGTCACACTGTGCACGCACCCTTCTTCTCTTTCTTTGCACTTCGGCTCAACCCCGTTACCAGCCCGCATGTGCTTACAGCGTAATGGGAGTGCCGACAAGAAGAAAGAGATAATCCACACTTATGTCATGGTGTGTTTCTTTTAGCTTCTTTCCGTCGCGAGATGCGAGCGCGTACCACATAATTTTCTTCATGTATGTACTGTCTCCAGATGCCTTATGGCTTGTTCTTGCGTGAAACATGAATACCAGCTTTCTCTCTTGAAAAGGCCCGTCCGCTCTGTTGCTGTCCTGCATGAACATTGCATGAAGAGCCCAACATCTATGCGTAGATCCATAACGATAAAATCTGGTAGTATCATACGTCCCATAATATCTGATAAATAAGTAAAAGCTTAGTATCTATTAAAATAATGATAAATTACTGAGCTCGATGAAAGAAAGATGCCCATGAACTAGAATAATATATAATGTACTTTAAATTAGTAAGGAGAGTTTGTGTCTAGCGTCAATAAAAGTACAAACTCTAAGAACCTATTGAAAGCGAGCTGAAATAAACATATAGAAGGGACGTATAATACATACAGTACATCAAAATCTAGAGGAAACATAGTGATGGAAGCGCCAGTTTATGAGCTGCACCGATCCAGTTGCAACGTCACCAGCGAGCCATATACATGTTGATACTAAGCGCTATCACATTACGATCGACAGGTTGATGAGAGACAAATAGATGCCGCAATCCTGTCGCCATCGTGTCCTCGTCGACTCCTCTTTTTCCCACTTCGTCCAAAGGCCCACCAGGTCATAGCATTTGATAATGCTAATTTTTGGATAGGTTGGAGCTTCAGTCCACTTTCATTTTTACATGTCTCGCCAAACTTCATGAGCTTGTTGGATACATTGGCGCTATTTCACCGACACTTTATGCAAGTCATGTGGACATTGGACGTGTCAAGTCGGCAAATGATGGGAAACAACACTGAATGGGATAACAAGGAGAAAAGCACGTTAAGAAAATCGACAATCCAAGGCCAAAGGTTTGTCTTTTACCATTGATGAGCACCTGTTTGTTTTCGCCGTGGTCTCATTCGATATGGGTGATAGCATCATGCTTGATTGGCCACGCATTCTTTTTCGCCTTGTTGCAACGGTAAAACGATGGTGTCCAGTCTATAATGTGTTGACAATGGAGTGGGCTGCAATGAATTTTTTCTTGATAGCGTAGCAAGCTGCAAGTCGATCGAGATGAGTACAGTACATTTTAGCGTGCGTTTTTCAGGAGAAGATCAAAGTTAGCAACCGAGTCAGTAACGTATTCCAGCCCTTTTAAAAAGTCCAAAAATGCAGGGATCTTGTACTTCAAACATTTGACCTGCCCGAAGATAGCCAAGTGCAAGTTAGGTACCACTATCTGCATTTTGACCGCATCTTTAAAGGCATTGCGGTAATTAAGGACAGCGAGACTTCGAATAATGCGGCTGCCAAGGTACACTACCTTATCTTCGGCGTCAAATATCTGATCATTTCCCTCTATTGCGCTTCCAAGTCCAGAAACAAAAGGGTGACGTTCAGCGAATTAAATGATCGGGCCAATTGTACTATTTGCCTTTCAAATCTATCACTTCACTACCATTTGCAGGTATCCCTTCTCCAATTCATTTACGTTTCTGTTCCTCTTGCACTTCCTGACTTGCAAATACTTTCGTTTACGCGGCAGTGTCAAGGCAGCTTTCTAGGAGGACATCGTTTGCAGACGAAATTATAAACAGTACTAGCAACTTCCAATCAAATAACCGGATTCAGAGCCGCATTTAATTTAGTGCTTTAGCTTGACAGGAGCGTTTATATTCGCTTTCCTTTTTATCACCAACGTAAGAAGAATATGAGCTCTCAAGAAAAACCTGCAGAGGGATTGAGTAATGGCACTGAAGATTTAGCCACTTATGTGAGTGCAAATTTTCCCTCTCTTCACAAGCGAACAAAGTGTATACAAATCTCTAATGAGATATGCCTTTATCGTCAATAGATCGATAGCATTGTTGAAAAGCTCGTAAGTATCGCGTGGTCTCTGTAGTGTTTTCTCTCTCTCTCTCTCTTTTTCATTGGTATGTTACATACAGTCATTCACGCTTTTATCAATAGCAATCAAAAGTAAATGGCGTGAACACCGAACTTGATACCAAATGTAAGTGTCTTACCTTTGAATTGCATGAGACAAGGAGAGACATTGATAACCCATATTGTTCTATTAAAGTCGAAGATATGAGCACCCGTATCGACAAACTAGAACAGACCATCAACAGTATTCTTCAGAGACAGGAAGAGCAGGAAACATCTGAAGAAAGGAACGATACAACGGAGCAATCATAACCATACATCAAGCAGCCAACTTACGGACGACGACGTTGACCTTTTACGATATACCCCTCTTTTCTCCTTCATTCGTTTCTACGTATACAAATTTACACACGCAAACACGATATTGGAACAGCCTCAATGAGAAACGTAAATATCTTCAAAAGGCACTAATCAGATTATTTTATAAGATCGTTTTATACATATATTTCTTATTATTACTACTATCATTGAAATTGATTCTTATCTATTAGAATAATACGAGGATGGAGGATGTGATGGAAAAGAAGAAGAAGGAGGAGGAGGAGCAGGTGAAGGAGGGTTATGATAATTACTTTGATGGTTATTGACAACAATACCTGGAGAAGAACGGTCTGGTTGTGATGAGGATGATGATTCATCAGCATCTGAAGGAGAGGTCCATGGGTGATAAAAGTAAGGAGGAGGTGGAGGGAATGATGATGTCATGGCGTCAAAGTTACTACTGGTATCTGTTTGTGGACTGTGAGTTGCTCTGCGACTATTATTGTTGCTGCTGGTGCTGCCATTATAACTGGTGCTGCTGCTGCTGTCGATATTCATATTGCTGTGGTTGCTACTGCTGCTGCTGTCGTCTGTAGATAAGTTGGGTAATTCACTAATGGTAACATATTGCTGCTCTTGTGCCAGTCGTAGTGATGGTTGATGAAATGTAGGTGGAGCTGCGATGGGAAATTTCGCCAGGTGTGAATCGTCCAAGATATTATTAGATGGTCGAGTAGGCGGCGGTGCGCGACGAAAGATAGAACCTTGACTGAATGGTTCAATGCGGTATGATGTTGATGATATTGATGACCGTGGCTGTTCTTGTTGTTGCGGAATGTTTACGTTGTTCTTTGAGGGTCCAGGTAGTGATGGTACACGGTGAAAGATCGAACCCTGAATAAATGGTGCCGTTTGACTGGGAGATGAGATTGTGGATATTGACGATTGTTGCTGGTGTAAATGTTGCTGCACGCTCATGGAATCATTTTTGGGCGTTCTTGGAGGTGCTGGTGCGCGATGAAATATAGAACCTTTGCTGAATGGCGCTGTACGGTCCGTCCTCGGTGACGATGATGTTTGATGCTGTTGCTGTTGCTGTTGTGGTTGTGGTTGTGTTTGTGTTTGAAGATGCGAACGAGCGATGTATAATTCAGTGTTTTTGTTATTTGACGCAAAAGTTGGTTGTTGTGGAATGCTTTGTTGTTGTATGGATGGCTGTATGCTATTATTCAAAGACAGGGGCAATTTGCCACCATCTGCTATGTCCAATAGGGCGAATGTTTCCGAATTTATAGGCACGGAACTTGTCCAAGCTCTATTCGATTGGGAATGATGTTGCTGTTGTTGTTGCTGTAGCTGTGACTGTGGCATTGATCGTACTGGTGATTGATACGATTGCTGTTGATGCGACCTTGATGACTGAGGAGGAGAGACCTGTGTATCGCTGAGCATTGGCTTCAATGATGGTGCAGATGTATATATTTGTTCAGGAGCGTTTGATATGACGGGATTTGTTGCTGTTAAACCGAGGTTGTTTGCAAAAGATACTGCTCCTGACGACAACGTTGATGGCACGATTCTCTGCTGATATGCATTCATCATCTGCTCGTACTCAGCTCCTGCCTTGTCGGAACCGCCATCGCCTGTAGGCGTCGCCATTTGCTGTTTTTGATAAACCATATCGGATGATGATGATAATGACACAAGAACATCACCGTTATCACCATCAAATTCTGTCATGTTGGGAGTTGATTGATAATACTGGTGTTTCTGTCGTATTCCAAGCGCTGATGTAGACATTGTCGGTTGGTGTTCCGGTTGATATTGTTGCGATCGTACAAAGGTTGCTACTGACAGCGATGGTGTCGAATCATCCAAAGGCTTCTGTTTAACTACTAATGGCGAGCTAAATTCTTGATGAGGCGGTGACGAGCAGTTCTGAGAAACATCAGCAGCAGCAGTGGCGGTGGTAGTGATGTTACCGGTGGCTGCTGCATGGGAATAAGCTGAGCTGCTAGTTGGCGTGTTATAATGTGGTTCTGTTGGTATAACATTCGCTGGACGTTGTGGCGTGCTTATCGCTGCTGGTGCGATGGTCTTAGGCGGCTTTGTTGTTGGGTTTGGTGGATATAGCTGGAGTGTGCTATCAATCAGTCTGATAACAGCTGCGATCTCTTCCACATATCTGAACGAATAACTTTTCAAGACAGATCCTAGCATCCGTAGTCGCTCGACAGCATCCAAAGCAATTGCAGACGACTCTTTAAATTCGGCATTGGATGCTAATATTGCAACACATCGGTGTAACGTAGGCACCATACGCACACACGAGCACATGCGCATGGCCGAACCGTACTGGACCAGCATATTCGTCACACTTGCTGCCGCCTGCTCACTATTACGTACGGCCATGAGACTTAGAGCAGTAGAGTTTTCGAGAAAACATTGATACATTTGTATCTTGATACTATAGTACTGTGCATGAAGCAAAAGACTGAGTTCTCTACGAAGCGGATCATCGTCGCATGTCGTCGTCGCATTCGAACGTGGAGTCAGTTGGGCATGTTTGGGCAAGCTACGGTACCATTCTTCTAGCCCATTTTCCAGATCACGGACTTGGTACAAAAGCGCATTGGTTGTATCTGATTTCTTTAGTGCTGCTGCAATGGATCGACGTAAACGTAGGAGTTTGATGGACATGATGCAATAGTCAATACAATAACCAACGTCCGCATTTTCAGAAGGTAGCTTTTGTGGCATCGCCACTTCGATTTCGTCGTCCTGGAGTACGGTAGGACGATTATACTCTACAATTGTATAGAGTTGACACCAGTAGGTGGCCCACCATAGTCGTCTGTCGTCTTCTGCTCGCATTACATCGTTCAGATGATTTTGTTGATGCTGTTGTTGATAATGGTGCTCGCGCTGTGATCGCCGCTTATGCAAATCTAGATCCTGAGCCATGCGTAGCGCCAAGTCGCAATAAGGAAATGCTTCTTCTGCCTTGTCATGAAAATGATACAAGAACAAGTGCAGCAAGGCACGTATAGTCGTTCGATGGCTGATTGTATGGCAATCTTCTAACAATGCTAGCGCGCATTGAAGATAGACCGGGCCCATTGCTGTCTGTAGGTGGTACTCTGTATCTTGATGCAGTTCGTCTTCATGGTGATAGATGTAAGCGCGAACAGACATGGCCAGCAGTAGTTCACGAGTTCGCTCTGCCCCTGAAAACTGCTGCAAATAGTTTGTGCCTGGTGAATACCTTGTACCCACCATTTGATAAACGATCGTGCAACGATGATGCCAGGAGTTGATAATCATTTCGAGCCACTTCTGTTCAACCGCATCATTTCGTGCGAGCAGTTCGTTGAGAAGCACGTCGGGCGGTTTATTGTATATATCGTCGGCCACGACGCCAGCTGCTGCACCCATAGAACTTCGTGAATGAGCTGCAAACACGTTTCGTGCTCGGTTGCGGATTTTTTCGATGTTGATGGTGCTGAAAAGAAGCTTGATAAAATGATGTACTTCGGTGACCCCGGTCTCAATGCACAGACCCGTGGGCTCCAGGCTGAATCGAGGTTTAGATTTTGTCGTCGTCGTCGTCGATTGTTGCTGCTGCTGCTGCTGCTGGCGTTGGAGTTCTTGGTGTAATGGTAGCGGAGGTGAAGGTCGTCGTTGTTGTTGTACAGCTGTCGTTGAGGAAGACGACGACTTCGCCGCACGAGCCATTAGCTGCTTTTCCAATTTCTTTAATTTGGTCTCAATCTCGCTCAAAGGCATCGAATCTCGTGATGGTTCGGTCAGTAAGGCTGTTGTCACGTTGTATCGACAAGGCATTGTATTTTCATTGCATTCGCTACATGCTGGTTTGACACGATCGCAAATGACTTTTCTGTTTTTGCACTGAGAACACTATAATAGGGATAAAAAACACACCCCACAGAAAAATAAAAAGAAAGGAAAAGCTTGAGCACAACTATAATAAAGTTTTTCTCTTTCAGCACAGAAAAGAAAACGTTTATTTTACAGTAAAGTGAGAAAGAGCAGCAATGGTTGTGTCAGAAGTTGTAATGGTAGTAGTGATACTGGTATTCTTTTCGCCGTCATCGTTACCGTCACCAAAGCTACCACTAACGCTGCCACGTCCTCTTATTCCACCTCCCCCTTCTCCGTCATCGTCGTCGCCATTGGTTGGGAATTGGAATCGAGTTAGCATTAGAAAGCAAAGAGCGAGTGTTGTATCGTGGCAGCATACATAGCCAAAAGTTTAACGCGATGGAACACCCGAAAGAAGGTTCTATCGCAGATCAAATAAGAGGGTCCGTAATACATCCCGTCTCGGAAAAGTATTTCTTTTAGGCTATTGTCCAAAAGTATGGATAAACTCTTGCAGCATGATTGGGTAGTCTTCGTCTAAAATACTCAACTTTCTGTGGGGGTTTTTTTTACCCCCAACTCCTTACGCCTCCTCACATTTTGCTCCTCCTCTTCACCCCATCAGAACAAAGAAGACCCGGAATAAAAAGAGAGGAGAGAAGAGGTGACAAGCTTCATCAAAAAGTTTGTTTCTTACATTTCCTGGCTATTTTCTCCAGCAGGAGTAATATATTTCAGAACATCCAACTATTCAACCCTTATAACCCTCCTAAAACTTGTTAATAATGCAAGCTCATTGGATCGACACGAAAAACAGCAAGGGATCTGAAGATGAAATAGGATTGCAGTGTAACATTTCGTGCATTTTAAAAATTAAAATAACAAACAAAAAAGCATACTTAGTAGTTTGCGTGTACATGAGGATGAAATACAGAGAGAGATAGTGTGTGTGTATGTATGCGAATATGTGCGTGTTTGTATATGATACTATACATTTTAAAAACGGACGGACTTGACCACGTTGCTCTTGATACCCGTCGACTCGCCTCCATAAGTGCCCTTGAGTGGTTTGACCACTGCGCGGGTCGAAGACAACTTCTTGAGCTTGTCTGCATATTTGTTTCGGTGCTTGACACGAGAATTGCGGTTTTCCTTCTTGCGTCGTGGCGTAAGACCCCGATTCTTGAGGATCTTATATGATGCCAGCCGCTTTTCGCCTTCTTCTAATTGCCATGGTCCTTCTACAAGCGGTGCCCGGTTTGCTTCTGCTTCAGCCTTCTTGGCAGCCTTTGCTGCGGCCTTGCCTGCTACGACTTGGTTGTAATAGTCATCGTCACCATCGCCGCCAGCTGTGTTGTTGATCTCATCGACCAACCCAGCATCATCTTCATAGTCTTCGTTATCCAAATCGGCTGATGTGTCTTGTGGCTGCGGTACACCCTTCTTTTCTCCCCGCTGCCGTCTATCTTTGTAAGGTATGTCAGAATCGCCTTGGTATTTAGCTTGTAATTTCGCTTGTTTCTAAAATAACAAAGCAGGGAACATGACACTTAGTCTTACTTCTTCTATCGTCTTTGCCATACTAGTCATCTCGAGGTAACCAGGTGATGAACACCATAGTAACACCAAAAGTACCAGGCAACGGCACCATAGTAACCAATAAATCAAAACTTACTGCATCAATTTTAGTGACATAGTCTCTTATTGACCGTTTCTTGGCTAATTTATCTTGCATATCCAATTCATCCAATGCCTCCAATTCGCCGAAATCGTCTGTTGCACCTGCTGTTCGCTTACGTTTCTTGTTGGCTTTCTTGAGACTCTTAAACTCTTCTTCAATGTCAAATGCTGTAATTGCCGTATCATCCTCCAGATCCTCCTCTTGTTCTTCGTCAGAGAACTGTGGTACAGTTGCTTCTTCTTGTGCTGCTGCTTTTTTAGATTTCTTGGCTGTGGCGTTATTCTTTTTGGTGACATGTTCGACGTCTTTAACTTCTGCTGTAGCTGGTTTATCCAATTTCTGTGAAGATGCATCGAGATCGTCAATGAAGGCATCAATTTGTGATCGTAACTTGACTTCGACTTGTTCTGTCTTTTCCAATGTCGATCGTAGTTCCACCAATGCGTTAATGACAGGGTGGCTTTGGATATCTATCGATCCAGATGCTTTCAGGACAAAGTAGAACGAAACGTTGGTCAAATAGTTCAACAACAACTGATGTTTGAAGCGCAGAAACTTGGCTGGCTTTTCCTCTGTTGCATTTTTGGATTGTACCCTTTAAAAAAAAGTAATAAATCAGTCTTACGCTTATCATGATCTTTCTTTTCTAAGCTACCACACAGATATATAACACCTACCGTTCCAATACTACATCCAAATCACTCACGACTTCGGATTTTTCCTTAAATTCGTTCAACAAATCCAAAAGTTCGGGTGATTCGTTTTGTAAAATCTTCAGTTTTTCAGCCACAGCCAAGTTCTTACGTCGCTTCGCGGCCGTCTTGCTGACACTAAACGAAACCAAGTGTTTAGTATCTGTCACTTTTCGCCAATCTTCGTCTTATCCATCAACGTATTTCCGTTTCCAAACAAAGTACAATATTTACTCGAATGTAATATCATCCAACTCCTTGCTGACATTATCAACAAGTTGTTTATCGACCTCTGAAGTCTATATATGCCAAAAAAAAGTCCTGAATTAGTAAGGTTGTTCAATCGCTATATATCTCCTGAATCATAAGCAAAACAAACAATTACCTGGCCGGCACCCGTGACCCAAGCATCGTCCATGAAATCGGCTTCGTCCATAGCAGCAATACGTTGCTTTTGGATCTTTAATGCTTCTTCCTCTTCTTCACGCATTTCGTCCAAATCCTCGCCTTCGTCTGCGTCATAATACATCTTCTTTGATCGACCCCAAGTAAGATCTGTATTTGCATGGCGTTAGCATATGTGTGCGTTCCCGGCATTTTGATAAATTTACCTTCATCTTCATCGTCTTGAGCTCTTTTAGATTTCTTGCCATCTCGTTCTTTAAACTCTTCATCGGATTCTTCCTCTTCTTCTGATTCGTCAGATCCCAAGCCGTAAACTTCAGCTTCGCTCTCATCGTCTAGTTATAGAAATGTTGATTGATCTGGTTGTTAAAAAGATTAATCTTGTAAGGAATCATCGTTCGAGGAAGGAAAATCAGTACCTTCATATTGGTCGTTGTCTTCACCGAGCAAAATCTTTTCACGTTCTTCGTGGACTATTTACAGAGATTTACATTAATGAGAGATTAAACCACGTTAGAATTGTCGTTAATAAACCTTTTAGAAAGAATTAAATGCCCTTACATTCGTCTTCGGAATCGTGTTCGACATCGTCCCATGTGCGAATGGCTTTGATTTTGCCATCTTCACCCGATTGCTTAGCAGATCCGTCTCTAAAAACTGGTGTCTTTCTCTTGCCCATTTTGGTATACTGGCTGGTTTTTTATGTAAAGGACGGTAGCAGTAGTGCTTTTCTATGAACGACCTGAAAACGAGAAAAAAAAACCCGCAATCATGCGCGGAGACTTGTGGCTTTTAAAGATGGAAGAGCATACACTAGCAAATCTTAATCTTAAATGGGGCTAGCGAATACTATAAAGGTTGCTTTTCACTACAGTGTCAAGAAAATGACACCCATTACGAGCGGAAACATGTATGCTTGTATCTAGAGTGTATTATTAGTTTTAGTCTATCACTTGCGCAAAGGGCGTTGTCCGCCTCCGTGCAACATATATTGTTCTTATCCATATATCCCTTGCCCTTCAAAATCTGTTATTACTTTATTCATTATTTCGCTGTTCATTCCAAACTTGTAACTTATATCCCATATGCGCACATCCACGCCCACACATCCTTTAGAAATGTGCTTTGTTGAACATTTAAGGCTCAAGAATATGGTATAGAGCTCGACTAGCAAAGCAAAATCCCATGTTTCAAGGCTTAACGAGAATGACAAGTAGATCATCTATATCGCTCAATTCTAGTATATGACAGCTCAATTCTCTCAATAAGAACAAATCCATAGCATATGTTATGTCATCCAATACAAGGTAGTTCTCCTGCTATTTGTCGCTGGTGATATTATTACCTGTTAGACATGTATTTTTTTTGTTTGGCCCGTAGAGATAGGGCAAGATTTTATTTCCGACATCGTGTCTGAGAGAGTGACGGTGCCGGGGCAGTACATCCATGATGCTGTAGGCACAGACCTTATGCCAGATTTAAAATACAAATAGTGAGCTGATAGACTGATGAAAATGAGAAAGATAGTAAAAAAAGGAAACCTGTTGGACACGCAGTATAGTTTTAGCAATGTTGTGTGGAGTTTGAATGTGACACGTGACCTTCTATAAGTGCCAATCCACGCTGGTTATTTTATTGGCTGCGACGTTAGTTTTCAGAACAAACGTTACGACCCCCCTTATAGAAAGATAAATGGATCCAGAAGACAGAGAAGAGAACGCACGGCTCAAGTATCTTGCACGTGCACCCGGCGATGCAGCAACCAAGGCGTATATTGCCAGTAAATATTTGGGATCAGGCGGCGGCATGGATGATGGCACTAAAAAGAAAAAGAAGAAAAAGAAAGTCGTCAAAAAGGGCAATCTGGGCATTGTCGATGACGAAGAGTCTGGGTGGAAGCCAGTGCACGACACCGATCGACAACAAGAACGTAAACGACGCGAAGCCGCTGAACAAGAACAGTTACTTGAGTCGTCAACAGGAGTTTTTCGGGGGCGAACTGATGGTTGGCAGACGGTTCAGGAAGGCGCTACTGGCAGTAAAAGAATGGATATAGACGACGAAAACGACGAAAACGACGAACGACCCGTGTTTGTTAATAATACAGGCGAGGAGATCGTTGGGCAAGAGCAGGAGCAGTTAGTAAGAGATTTAGGAGAAGCAGGAGCAGCATCAGCAAAAGCAAAATCATCGAAAGTAGTAGCAGAAGGACCCAAGATGTCGAGTGGACAAAGAGCAGGATTATTGACAAGTCATGAAATCAAACAAGAGGCAGCTCGGGCACGAGAAGCGGAGATGCAGATGGTTCAACAACTCCAAGGAGATCGGTCGGGGCGGGACGCGGAGACCGTCTATCGAGATGAGACGGGACGCAGGATCGACCCGAAGATTAAGCGAGCAGAGGAGGCGAGGGCAAAGAAGGAAGCCATTGAGCGAGAAGAACAGCGGATGGAATGGGGGAAGGGGTTGGTCCAACGAAGCGAAGTCGAAGCACAGCGACGGCAGCTGGAAGAGGAGAAAAATCAACCGTTGGCACGGTAAGTGGACAAAGTGAGGAGAGGAGGCACTGCATTCATACAAAGAGAGAGTGATGAACAATATGCACACTAGATGCTTGAATGTGCGGGTTTATATGAGAGAGAGGCCTTGTTTTTATGGGCTAAAAAAGTTTTCTGGGAACCCCCACCACCTATCACGCAAGCCATATAATATCAAGAAACCCGGAGGCAGTAGAGTTTATCTCTCTTCCCCTCTCTCTCGCTCTCTCTCTCACGCACACAAACATAAATCTTACACACACAGAGTTTTGGGTTATGGGCAAAAGAAAGAAAGAAAGAGTATAGTTCAGGGATGAAATATTAATAACAGTTGCTTGTGCTTTATTTTCATGTTAATACAGATATGCAGATGACCAGGATTACAATCAGGGACTTAGAGAACAACAGCGTTGGAACGATCCGGCTGCGGGGTTCTTGACGGTAAGAAGAAAAAATGGGACTATAGCGATAATAACACTCATAGAGATAGAGATTGTGTAACATAAGGAGCTTATTTTTCGTTTTATGGATAATTTGATTTATTGACACATGTGTTTTTTACTTACTAACTCTCTATCTATCTATTTATCCATCCAATGTCACACTCAAATACACTAGAGCGAAGGCAAATCCAAAGGCTTAGTCAGGCCTAGATATAAGGGTGCCTGGAAACCTAATCGCTACATGATACCACCAGGATATCGATGGGATGGTGTCGACCGTTCTAATGGATTTGAAGACAGCTTCCTGCTTAGAGAAAACCAAAAGAAAGCACGAGCAATAGAGGCACATGCATGGTCCACTGAAGATATGTAAATAATCAAAGATTTATTAAAACGGAAAACAAGAAAAAAGTCTGTGTGTGATTAGACCTTCAAAAAGGTGTGCTACTCAAATGTACACACATAGCACATATGCATTCATTCTTTATTTCTTTCTTTTTCTCTTTTTTCAAGACACCCCATACCACCTCAACTCCTTCCGATCTGCACTTGCTTGCTTTATAGTCTTTTCTTTCTCTCTTCCTTTTCCTAAATGATATATCTCCTAATTGTTATATGAAGCTTTAGGGGCCTGTATAGGGTTGTCAATAGGCCGTAAATGGTTTGTAAAGATCGGCAATACATGTACATAACTCCAGACAACAGATGCATTGAGAGGGGAGGGGGTCATTTGTTTCTTGACAGATATATAAAGGCCGGGATCTTGGCGACTCGGGACATAGAATCGCTATCAGTTTATTGCTTGACTTTCTATCAACCAACTTTCTTACTTCTTCTAACCCACTCACACATTTTTGAAAACAACGACAACATGAAAGTATCAACAACTTGCACCTTACCTCCATTGGCCGATTTGCTCAATCCTCCACGCAAACCCACAACCATGCCACTTGAGGTCCACAGCTTGCTGCCACCTGTGTCAAGCCCACCAGCATATCATCCATACCACCATCATCACGCACCTACTAGCGCCGCTGCCTACCGCCCTTCGTACTCGCAGACACCTTTGAAAGCCAAGCGCAAACGCGCGTCACCTTCACAGCTTTCTGTCTTGAATCACATCTTTAGCCAAACCTACTTTCCCTCGACCGAGCTTCGCATCGAGCTTGGTAAGCAGCTTGGCATGAGTCCGCGGGCGGTCCAAATCTGGTTCCAAAACAAGCGCCAGTCGTTGCGAACACGCGAACGACAACAGCAGCAACAACAGGTTAGAAAGCCTTCTTCCGCTAGTCCAACATCGCCTTTGCACCACTTTCACCCCCATCCTCATCAGCAGCATCAGCAGCAGCAGCAACAATTGCACCCCTGCTACGGCTCACCAGCATCATCAACCGGTTCTACTCTCCCTCCAATTTCTCCACCCTTGTCACCTCCTTCATGGCAGCATCAGCAACAGCACCACTACCACCACCATAGTCAGCGGGAGCAGCAGTATCACTACGATTCCTGTTCTTCTTCTCGGCCCTCCCACATCGCTTTGCCGCCCCTTCAGCTTCCTTCTACCCCATCACAGTCGGCATACCCTAGCCCCACATCTATCGATTCGATCATCCTCCACTAATCATTAGAATCTTATTGAGCAGTGCCGATTTCTTTATCTTCCAATCTTCTTCTCTATTTGTCTTCGTTTTTGTGTATAGTTTCTTTATGTCCTTTTCATTCATTTTCTACTTTATCTTTTGCTCGCCTGCAAAACAAAAATCGTTAACCCTTACCCCGAAAAAAAGGATTCCCCTTATCTTTTTCTTCTAATCCACTCCTCTTCTCCCCAAACCCGATTCAACAAACATACGTTATGCTCATGTCTACTCTCTCTCTCTCTCTCTCTTTCTCTCTATTTTTTCATTTTGTCTGTCTGTCAATCACATCAACAAACCTTTCACTTTACCAGAACACCCAAAAAAAACAACAACAATGCATCACCAGCATCAACAACATCGCATGAGTCCTTTTTATCATCACTGTTATTCCGTTATCTACTCTTTATTTGTATATGCTTTCTTTTCCCCTTCTTCTTTTACAAATAGCTCGCCTCCTCTTTTTTATTACTTATTACTCTACTCTCTTATTATCGTACATTAAGTCAAAACATCTTTGCACGCACGCACGCACACAAGTAAAAAAGAAAAACACGTTAATTATCCTTGCACACTCTCTGTTTCCCCTGTCCCCACTCCTCCATAAATAGTATATCTCGCACGCACACTATCCGCACTTAACCTTTTACACAGCATTTTTCTCTTTTTGCAGTTATTAGTAGTCTCTTTCCTTTTGTATACAGTTTCTTGCTTCAAAAAAAATTATAATAAAAAATTTAGCCTGTAAAAAACAATTTGACTTCTTATATCTGCTAAACATTGATTTAATTGTCGCGTAATATAATTAATGGTCTATACTAACTCAAGTAGTTTGCTATAAATGGAGAAAATCATCGATCCTTACACTGCGAAGCATAATGCAATGAATCTTGTTTCTCTCCTGCAGCATATATTTTCGCATAGCGTTGCAGATGCGTGTAGCAAAAGACGCTGGTGGCCAGTATCAGGCAGAAGTATGTACTATGTGATATGCACATGAAAATAAGCTTATTAGCTATTCTTTTAAAATAGCAAGTTGGAATCCCGGATTTCGTCTTTTCATAAGTGTTAATAGGTAGACCCCATGATCAGCGTTTTTACAGTGTAACTTGCATGCAACGCAAGAGAGATATGTAGAGCAGCGGTTGCTGCTCTTGATGGTGAATGGGGACGGGAGAGGTGGTGAATGAACTTGCTCTCCCTCTGCACCCCTTGAGAAAGGTCGTCGCTAATGTAGCAAATAACTACTAAGTGATGGGTTTATTTTCTGTATTATATCCTATAACACGCTTATTTTATGTATTGAACCCAATGAAAGGTAACCCGTTTGTTTTTTGGAACGGCGTGCTAATGCAGCAGACGCGTCATCACCATCTGTGTTGTAGATAGCATGATGCCTGTGCATTGCATACGCTTTTTTGCGCGCTCCCACGAGAGAAAGAGAGATGGAAGGGACTTTTGAGAGGAGCTGGAGGAGGGAAAAGAAGACATTGGCGATGGTATGCATTCTTCTTGTTTCCGAGCAGAGATCTATCAGGTGTGGTATACGTACAGCAGCAGCAAGAAGTACGTTGTAAGTACCATGCATATATGCAAGATCAAAGGGGTAATAAAAAAGCGTCAGTAGATGTTGCATGTCGTTTCATAGAGAGCGATATGTTATACTCTTCTGTTACAGGAGCTATCCCTCCAATCCTTCCTTCCCAATAAAGTTAAGAACACTACCTTATTTAAGTACGGTATACTGCGTGCCGTTCCTTCCGGGGGGCGACTTGTATTTTTCGATAACCCTGTGTAACTTCCTTCCGACCCCCAAACCTCTCACCAAATAATAAAAACTTGATTCTTCCTTCCCTAATATTTTCAATAAGTTAAGCATATGATACCCACGTACACACTTAAAAGTAGATAGGACGTTCACACTCTCCCTTCAAAATATGTTAGGCAAAACAAGACGACGACAACCATACCGGTTGGATATGTACTTGTTCCGCAACTAAGTGTAGTCTTTAGAAGGACGCGCCATCAACCGTAACGACTACTACTGCTATGGTCAGCTTCATTTTATTACTATGTTGGTAAGTGTAAAAAGCACGAGCTATAAATGTTATCGATGTTGTTGGCTTTTTATTAATTAGTTTCGCTTGAATTGTGTTGAAAATACAGCACATGAGGATGTTGTTCCTTTTTATAACTTGTTGTTGCCATGCTGAAAAATAGGAAAGGTATTAAACTTTCATTTTACACACTGCTGATGCACTTACCTACTTCACGTATAATATGTAACGGGATGTGTTGTTCCACTTTTCATTGTTTCTCTGTGATGTTTACAGAACTTTATCAATGTGGATATGCATCAATTAATCACATTTAATATCACATGTATTCTGTATTACATTGAAAATACGTAAACTACTTCTGAGATTGCGCACCATGGAAGTATATAGCTCCTTCTCCTTTGCTCCACTAATAAACTTGATGAGATTATCACTGCCAAAGAGAAGCGGTGGCTGCTATTGGTGCTACGCCAATATAACAAACATTTCCCTCTCCACCCCCCCCCCCATAAAAACAGAATTAGTCAAAGTCAAAGATTGCGGGGATCTGCCCTATTGCAAGTAGTCTCTGGTAGAGAGAGAAAGAACACAACGTCTGGATTTTTTTTGCAATATATGCAGTAGAAGCAGGAGTTTCCACGATTATGATAGGAATCGTCTGTGTTGTCGCTGCTGCTACTGCTGCTGCTGTCGGTATTACTTCTTATTATTAAAGTCCTTGAAAAAATTCAATGATAATTGGGATAGAAAGTGTACATAAGCAGCCCCTCCTTTTAGGAGGAAAGAGAATCTTTTTGTCTCACATCTTCACTCATCCCCGATTCCCGGTAAAGGAGCCGACAGTGGTTTGCAGCTTGTCGGTTTTCCTTTATGAGATCCAGGAGTCATTTTTGTTCGTGGACTGAAACTGGCACAAAAAAGAAGAGCTACAATGTTTCTACTTGAAAAAAGATGTTTGTAGAGGGGGTGGAAAGGGGAGGAGAGAAGGCTGGAGAGGAGAAGAGTAGAGGGAGCGTGGTAGAGAGAAAATGATAAATATATAATACGTGTCGTCTGTCGGGGTAGTACTAACAGAAGAAGAGGGGTTGTAGTAGCAGCAACAGTATATTTTTAGCGTACTTACGTGCAGGACAAGATTCATCAGAAAGGGAGATGAATTCTTTAGGGTATATGTAAAGGAGAATGGAAGGCGTCGGTTAAGGATTGTTAATTTAAAACCGGATGCATCGATCAACATTCCGAAAACGAAAAGAACCTGCTGTTACTGCTGTTAAGTATGTAATCAGCATCCCTAGTATGTGGGGCAGCATCTACCATTTGTTTTTCTTTTTTTTTTTTTGTTTCGAGAACATCGTTATTGCTATTGCTCCTTAAAGAGACAAAGTGTATAACTCACCCGAGGATTTCCTACTACGGGTGTACCCGAATGCACATTATTAGCCTTTTTGAAATTAGCATGGGATAAATTGGAGAAGAAGTTTGTTGTTGTTATATAATGTTGTTGGCTGTGGTGCTTGTTAATGCAAAATATTCTATTAGTGTAAGAGGAGACTGAACCTGCTGACAGGTCTATCTCCATCACACCAGTCGCTGCATGCTACAACACTTCTTATTCCTATCCGGGGATGCTGTAGTTTCATAAAGGAACAAATAAACTATGCTGACGCTACTATGCATAAAGCTTCCAGTGAAGGGAGCAAGCAGCTAAAATGTGAAACGATATGCTGTACTACTACGCGGCGCTATCCCCCTCTCCCTTTTTCTATTTTTTATCTGTTATCACTTATAAAATTTCGTTCTGCAGGTTACAACAGGAAGGGGATTCGATTGGAAAGCGACTGCAGAAAAGGACAATTGACTTTCATAAGCGGGAAGGAGAGTTTGTGGAACCCTTGCTGCGAAGCGCTTTTGGTATCGGCACAACGGAGCAGTGGTAACCTTATGGTTATACAATTGCCAGTAAGAAGCAGTATCGTACAGTGCTATGTTACCACCATACTCCTTGACGACGTATGTTTGTTTTATCAATCTGTATCCATCATTACGCTTTACTCGGTGTACCTCTCCTCTTTCACACACACACACACACGCATTATCTCTTTCTCACTATCCTCCTTTTTCTTATTTTTGTTGACAACTTGCCTTATCGGTCGATATTGGTGCCATTGGAGGAGATATTAACAAAATAGCTTCTTCTCGAAACGGAGAGTCGAAGGTTTGAATCGCGTGCGCACAGATTAATGTTCGATGTAAAAGCTGTCTAAGAATTGAGATATGTGATCTTTAAAACGATCGACTGCGCTGTACTCATGGTGAAGAAGAACGTACGGAGAAGAAGGGGATGGTTGGATGGTGTTTAGAGTTGAAATCATGCGCTGAACATGTTCCAGTAAACGGCGGGCACGATGTTCTTGCGATTGTTTGATGGGATGCAAGTTCGCTTGGACACCGGCACTGTGTGTGGGAGGAGGTGATGGTGAGGTTGTTTGAACAGCCTTGCTTATAGTCTGTGGCGATGGCTGTGGTGATGGTAGAGTAGATTGAGGTTGAGATGGAATGTTGTTGGCGGAAGCGATGGCTCCCGCAGTGTGATAACAACTGGAGGTGTCTGCGTCTAATACGGATGAAAAAGTGTATTACTTAGGTGTTATCTTGGCGACGTTAGTTGTTGGACGTGTTAAACCTTCGAAAAAAGAGGTCCAGAAGTCACTGTGTTCGTCTTAATGGACCAATAATTGCAAGTCACCCCAGGACAAAGTAGGTTGAGAGTGCTTTTTGATGCAGTAAGGGTCGTTGCGTAGGCGTAAGGTTTTGCAAAGGTGTTTTTTTGAGGAATTATTGGCACGCTATGTAAGAAGAACAATTAGACTATGAGAGTTATGCAAAGAAATAGCGATTTACAAGTGGGTTTTTGAAGTTGACTCTTTTTTTGGAAGGTCGAAAGTCGTCCTATGTAAAGAAAGTTATAGATGGGTTTTGCACAAGTCGATAACGGCAATAATTCTTTACCATTGGGTAATTAGGGTTCTTATGTCTGTTAGAGCGTTTTTTCGGAAACATTGCAGATTGAGAAAGAGGAAGAAGACAGATGGAAGATAAAACTAGTAGGAAGGACAAGGTAAAGCCTAACAGCAACGTTTATTGCATGTAAGATTTATAATCCTCATGCATCATAGAGCAACGGATTCAAATTGCTACTTGTCCCACTCTTCCAGTTGGAGAAGGAGTCAATAGAAAGGTAGATGTATTTGGACAAACGAGACGATCCTGTTGAGAGCAGAGTAGCATGTAGAGCGACATCGGAAGAAGATACAAAAGTCAGCCGCAACGGCCAATGATGCGTGACAGCAGTTCTCGCCCACAGCCCCGCATCTGCATGAATTCATGATAGCTCAGGCTGTCGTGTAACGCAGTTTGTTTGACTACAACGAGTCGAAACTTTATCTTGCACTTAAGCATAAGATGTTTAAAATAAACAACAGACCTTTCGCCAAGCATCTCTTTTTTTTTTACCTTTTTTTCTTTTTCCGCTTAGCGGTGCTTCACTTTTTCTATTCGGTATTTGCTGAAGTTGCATGTGTAAGTATACAGTGTGCTCAATCAAGAGTGGATGCTCATGACGCCAAACAAATCTATAAGCTATACATCATTAGGATTCGATAAAATTTTTTTAAAACGATTCTCTAGTTTCTCCTTCTACCATCCCAAAAGCGTTACTTTCTCCCAGAGCAGCAATAACGACAAATGACAGCTTCCAAGAAATCTGTGCCTATTACAAAACATCACGCCCTACGAATTCCTGGTACAGCAACCACCTTTACTTGATTTGTCAAAACATACCTTACTTCAAAATACCACAAGGAGTATGATGTTTTCTTGAACAGCATGGGTTTTTACAAGTAAGCAAGAGTGTGTAGATATATCCAGCGACGGGCGTTTCCGCCGATCATCATGTGATCAAGAAACATTATGCATCAACTTTGCTTGCTGGATTTGGTGTACATCATTATAATTGTATATGCATAGCCATTTCATACATCACTATCTGGCTGCCTATTACATGGGGCGCTAGCATGAAACGACTGCAAGAGATCTTTGACATTCATGCCTCGTACATCCGGCCTTTACCTGATCCTATCAGCACGAAGCTGACTCGAGACATTTATCGCCTAGAGCTCGGTAACCTCGGCGCGTACACGAGTTATTTGGGCATGTTCAAAGAAGAAATCGAAAAACACGGTATGTTCAAGGATGACATGCTGCTTCATGTTTCTGGCGGTGCATATCATCCTTTAATCCACATTGCATACGCGCTAGAGTTCACTTTACCAGATATTGCTGCCGAGCGATTGGCCATGGCTGCTTGCACCTCTGGACTTATGTATGCTCCGCTGCTGAAGCCCCTTTTAATTGATGGGCATGATGCCAAATTTGGCATGGCAGCGGGTGATCAGAAGAAAAGATGTATCGAAGAGATTATCAACGCTATTCGCACAGACACCGAGTTCGACGACATGATCAAGTTTATCAAGTTTACCGACGATTTTATGACAGTACTTGAAAATCTCCGCGCTGCAGCTAAGTTGCGCGAATACGCAAGCCAGTGGGATTATACGGGTAATACAGTACTATACCAATGGCCTTTACCTCATATAATGATGCATGGCTCTAATTTCCTTGTACGCATCAATATAGATCCTGAGACAAGCCTCAAAAAACTGTATATAAACTGCATATTTTATACATGCTGCTGCTGGCATCCGCAAACAAGGGACCAAATTAGACTTCTACTTGGTGCATATCCTAACTTCTGTCCATGCAGTTTACACCATTGTATCATTCTTGGAGCCGGGTCAAGCAGAACTCCTTTTGCGTGGCCATATTTCCGAAGCATTGTTGCATTATGTTTCACGGGGATGCCCTAGCTTGCAGTTGGATTCTCTAGCAGAATACAAGTCACCACAGCAAGCAGTCGTCGATGGCAGTGCGAACCCATGGTTGGATGTGATCAAGCTTGCTCTTGCGGCTAATGAAGTTCATTGCGTTAAGGCTGTGCGTGCAATCGCTTTTGCACAAATTGTGTACGGTAGTCCGAGGGATGACATCTTACTTAAGGCGGCACAAGTGACAGTGGACATAACTGGCAAAGGACCATTCATGGGGAGCAATTGGAATCAAACGGGTATTGGATTTGAGCAAACTTGGAAGGAGGAATGAATGTACAGACTACTGCATAATGTAGACTACAGTATGTTGCTAAGTATCTAACAACGACAACAATGAAGTAGCACTTCTTTACAATCACAAATAGAAAATTAACTTAGTATACATTTGCACTGAAGTTTCTTAAAAAAGTATGACCGACTCTTTTATCAGTTGTTGGCATTGCAAATTATGCCCCGAAAAAAATCCGTGCTTCAATGAGCTCTGGAGTTTGTAAAAGTACTACCACGTTTATATCCGTTGACATTGATATTGCTCCAGTATTATTGGAAGTTAGTGCTAGATTTCTGAGGTAAATTATACAATCAATTTATATTAAAAATCATCCTAGGCAGGAAGAGATGTTAGGAAAGGAGAGCAAGGAGTTTAAGAGCTGATCGAGACACACTTCTTGTGTATATCTAAAGACATCTGTGACTTATTTGGTACGCCTTAGTACAAGGTTGCAATTCGTATGTATACATAGTGCACAAGAATATAAATACTATACTTGCCGTGCAACATAATTTAACATATGTTACGTTTGAAGCTAAAAACTACCTAGGAATATGTCCAGCTATTCAACTACCTCGCCCTGGAAACATTGGTTTGCTGTTTATGCAGATTTCTTCCAATAATACTCGGAAAAGAAGCATCACGTCAAATCGTTAATTCAGATGGATATTGATATCAAAAATCACAACTGAGCTGGCACTACTGTACTCTCTTCATCATGAATTATAGATGAGTTACACATACACTATACAGTTTTTGATTGAATGAAGACCTCTTCACGTAAAAACAGCCAGCAGTAATCTCTCGTGTTAAAGGAAGGCGCTTTTATCTTCTACCTTCCTCTTTCTCGTTTCCATATGATATATATGTATGCTCTACATAACAATACATTACGTATGTAATTATTTTGTTCTATTCGCCACCAAAAACACAACACATCCTTCTTGCATTTGAAAAATAAATCTACCACAGCTCTACAACAGTAAGCGAGTCCCTAAAGTCTCCTCGTACGACAGTAAAGCACTCAGTGGTGCATACATACACTCCCATACAACAAAAAATTCGAAATGCGCACATCCAATATGCTCCCTCTTTGCCCCCTTAAATTCACTCTATTCAACCGGCTGATAAGTTCTCGGTAACTCAAGGAGCGCACTTGGAGCATGAGTAGATCTCAGAAACAATGAACTACAACAGCAAAAGAAGGCTTTTGAAGATATATTTCAACAAAATACACGATATACTTTAACAAATGTCATTCTATACAAAAAAAAAGTGTTGCTAGCGATGGATACATATTTTTTTAAGACGGGAATTAAGGGGCTGATAGCGCCCATGCAAAAAAAAAACGTTCTCCCTGCTGCGTAGTATAGTTCGTTCCTGAAAAAATCGGATATAAAGGGGAGAGACATCGATAGATCCGCTTTTCCTTACAAAACAGTTGAGAATGTGTATATAAAGAGTCGTATAGTACGACGCTTGTAGGGGGAAGGAAAAAGGACAGCAACAACGCTTGAAAATTTATTGAATACGTATTACATACATATCAGAACTATGGTGCGCACACAATCATCAATTATTACTACTACTTTATGTCTTGTCCTCGCCTTGACCACCACCACCATCATTACGGGCACTGCCGCCGCCACCGACAACAAAATTCTTGGCTTGGAACCCGAATGCATTCGAATCAGATTCAACCCTTTCACTCTTAGATGTTGTCAGTCCTACAGTAGAAGTCCATGTCAGCCTTCGAGGGATGCTTGTGGTGTGCAAAATCTATCTGAAGCCCAAAATTATCTCAAATGTTGTGCACCGAATGGACTGGAAAGTGCCGCTGATTGCCTATAATAATTCCAAAAAACATGGTCTACCTTAGTGTAATAGAAAGCAGAGCAAAACACTGTACCTAATTAACGAAAGAAATAAACACATTATACTATGATATATATTCGGGTTCGTCATAAGCATGTAGATTGGTTTGTTACCAAGATACAAGTCATCCGCCTCAAACCAATTGATGATGCTAGTGCAAATCAATGGTCGGGCCTCCTCAAACATTAGCTCTTTTGCCGCTGATAGATCGCATTATATTGTGGCCATTGCTTTAAACCAAACGATCGATGACAGTCTGTATACCACTAGCAATGATTCTTCCCTCAAGGCGACTCAAGTGACTCTAGATTATACAGGCAGTCCCTCCGCTGCTATGGCGACGGACTGGAACCCCACTACAGTTGGATTTAACATTGGAGCAATGTTAGGTAATGGCGTCATTTTTTATGAAACAGACCATCTGACAAGAAAATTTACGTTTTGTACAAAACTAATACTAGCACTCTGTCATTTAATATAAACGAGTATAAATCGCTGAAATGGTGCCCGAGTCATAGGAACGGCGTTGTTTTGTTTACCTGGTACCGCATGATGATAGTGTAACAGCGAGGGTCAACATTGTGCCGAAAAGAGTAAAAAGTCGCCTTGGAGATCGTCATTTTTCACAACCACCCCAGATGCATGATAAGCTTCATTTGATAGGTTTTCAAGTGATTATATTGCTATCCAAAACGGCTGTATGTACAGGTACAATTTAAAAAAAATTGAACATGAAAAGATGCTAAACTGCGAAACTATTATTTACGAAGCGCGGGCAGCTTTGATGGTAAATTTGGGAGATGCGTTGCCCGAATCCCCCATGAGCACAACGATGTATGATGTCTTGGTTTCCAAATCTGCAGGCAAAGTAATGCTTTGTGCACCCTTGTTGAGTGGGAAGCCAGAAGCCAAATCCCAATCTGAAGTATTACGAATGCATTAGTGTTTTTTTATCCCCAAACGCGTGCTCTTTGGCACGTATTAAGGCCAAAATATATACTAAGATAACTTACAAAGATGTTCGTTGATCGATCCGTCTTCCAAGTAACCGAGCTTGATCATACCACTACATGATTGTGAGCAGTAAGACGTTAATGACCATACTGCTGCTATTACTACCCTTTTACTTACTTTACACCCTCAGGTATATTCTCGCCGTTGATGGAAGGTTTCCTAACAGGACCGAAATAAAACGCCAAATAGAGTTAGTCGATGCACCAGAAATCTATACGATTCTTCGGTCACAGTTGATATAGGTGTAATGATAGTAAATACCATTGAACGGTGTAACTTTCTCCTGCGCGCCATTTGGTGCCCGAATTGGGCGTGGTACTATTATTAAAACGAAAGATATTTTATCATATCAGTTAATCATTGCAAACAATTTTGGAGATATAGGGTAGAATATATCATAGCTTTCGTCTCTCTTTTTATACATATATCATCTATCTTAGCGTTGCCTCACATTTCAGGATTCCAAACGATCGCGCTGGCAGCGGTAGCAAGCACAAGAAGCAAAAATGCGACAAAGGACTTCATTTTCGTCTAATGGAAAATATTTGGTATAAATGTATGTGTGTACGTGTGCTCGAGAGAAAAGCAAATACAGTAGTAGAGAAGATGTTGAATGTATATGTGGATATGTTGCTGGTTATAAGAAAGAAACTACATGTCAACTGCTGGGTCTTTTTATACTTTGCTGCTTTGAAGAAACGCGCTGAGGTGCTTGGTACTAAAACAAATTTGGCTTGCCGAAAATATTCATTTACGAATAAGGGTATTGCAGCAAACAAAAATAAAAGAATCAAGTCGAGCTCTTTTTTGTTTCTTCACATCAATAACCTACACCCTATCTGTTTTGACACTTGAGGAGCAAGAGCGACCATCTTTTTGAAGAAAATAGATCAAGTGGCAGGCTATTTTTTGTTTCATAGCTACGCATCCATCATCAGACGACGGATTAGTTTGCGCCATTGAACTAGACGACGAGTGCACGGCCCGCGGGGCGTATCGCATTGGCGTGTTTCAAAAGAAACGATGATGATCCTATGATGCTAGGAAAAAGCAAGGGCGGATGACTATCACTATTCGTAGCCGAGGGTGTCTAGGAAGCAGCAACTCTTAAAATCAGTTTGGTCCATGTTTAAATACGACTATTCTTAGTTCGATTATTGCTTACAGTCACCACATGATATTATACATACATGATGCATTACCTGATATATAATGAAAACAAATGAGCCCGTAAAATTGGCACTGCGCCTTGCCCTGGTTTGGTTTGGAGGGTGTGAATTGTAAATTTACATATATGAAAGAAGTTACGTATACATTATATGCATGCGACAGCAGTCATGACAACAAAAGAGCCTTCGAGCCTTTTTTCCCGCTTCTACTTAGGAGCTGACACCGGGTTCAAGTTGTTCATGTTATGGATAATGCTTGCTAAAAAGAAGGAGGGACGCAGTTTCACATTACATTAGACTGAAAAACCCGAGTCGTCAATGTTTTGTTTGTCCCTTGATGTAATGTACGTACGTAGGGCGCCGAATTTACCAAATTTGAGTTTTATTTGTATACAGACACATGGGACAACAGCATATGTTATAAGTTTCTGTGCTGCTGCTATCTATAAGCACTTGACGCGCATACATGAGTGCATATACTAGAAAAACCTTTATCACCCCCATCTCACATAAGGAACAACAACAATACGGCGAAACTCCTTTTCGGTAAGTTATTTCACTTCCTCGCACATAACAACTTTGTTGTAAGATTGCATGTATTCATATGCCATTAGTGTGTAGCAGCAGTTCGTCGTGAGAGAAATAAACCATAGTATGATGTATGTAGTAGTAAGTTCATTCAGCCGACTAAGCTGTGCTGCTTTTGAACCTAGTACTGCTTCAACCCTCTTTGATTTCAGTATTCGTAGATATAAAATCAACCATGGATCATAATGTCCCTTGTACTGTCGTAAATATCGATTCATAGTGCCGACCTGATATATAAGGAATCTCAATATCAAAACTAATTGATTTCAGTGGATATCACCTTTTACCTTTAGTTATGACGAAGTCGATATCATACTCAGCAAGAAAGCAATCAGCCAAATGTTGTCCGGCACCACTAGAACCAATAGCACGGATAATGTTTTGATGGACTCCACCCTCTAGAGAGTTAGTACCACGGGCACACCGATAAAGGGAAAGGTTTGCTCTTATATCGTTTCCAATTTTATAGTACAGCGGCATATCGGGAGATCAGAAACTTGGCCTTCATATATTGCCTTGAGCATGTTTTGGGCTTGACGGTGGGCGTCATTACTAAACCGTTTCCTTCCAGTTCTGGTGCAAATTAGGTTACTGTATTCAGCAAAAAGATTATGGACTTTTGGACCGGGCTCGTGTGGTGGTGCGACGATATGTTTCACTCTTAGCATAACCCAAGATGGATTTGTGTTCAACATGTATTCCCATGTAATGTTTTGGTCGCTAGATATCGCTCCATTTTTTGCCGATCTTCTTGGTCCACAACAAAGATAGCGTTGCGTAGTTGCCGGGAGCGAGAATGTGACGTTGGGGTATCTTGATTAGCGCCATAAAATGATAGATGTCTTTTAGGATTCTCGAATATACTGGTTGCTGCTGGATATCCTGCGCATAAATATTCGTGAAATTGGAGTTCGAAGAGTCGGAACATGGTATATTTGATGAGCTTTGTTCAATTGGAGTTGTCATTGGTTTCGTGTGATGTTGACGTCGAACAAGAAGATGTTGACTCCTGATCACTATCGTCTGGTATACTGTCGGTTATATGATGTGTATCGTGCATATCGTCAGGTATGTTGGCTTGTGATCGGTTATTGCCTTGATGCGGTGGTTGCTCTCGCCATAGACATAGCGACTTTTTAATTCGAATCGTAGCATGGATATAGGTACTGCCACAGAAAAAGGGAGGTCTCCAAAGTCCATAAGAGTTTTATGAGTGTGCGAGTCAAGGATTGCGCCAGGAACACAAACGTGATTGGTCGATATATATGCCATGTTGTCGTCAAATGTTATCTAGTAATTCATGAAGAGAAGCACACGTTGTTAATGAATCATGCATTTCTTCCAAAAATATTACGTAAATCGTAAAGTACCTGCTGCTCATTGTGTAATATCTCGCCATATCATATGCAATTGGAAATGAACATTGAAGACGGGAGTAAATAGCAAAGTACCCACCATGCAGAGGAGGATTTGGTACGGTTTTACCCAGTGTACGAAAACACACAAGCTTTGTATATATCGCCAACGACGCCCGCGCGTCCAGCGCTGCATAATACACTTGATTCTCGGAAAGATATTGTGATTCCCAGTTGCTGTCTCTATCATTCTTCTCGATCCTACCACCAAGTATTTTTTCGGCAATCGTAGCTAGTCCTACATTTCCATTTTCAATGAAGCCTCGTCTACGAGAAAACTTGCCGAGCTCCAACCCCGTGCCTTCATGATAGTCTAGTCCGTAGTCGCGCTTTAGATTTTTCAAGTCACCAATAACATTACGGCAGCTTTTATTTACTTGGATGCCTTTAGAAGAGTTTCGATAGAAGGAGGAATATCTTTTTACTGGCGAATTGGTAGGACAAATACGTGGCTCTAAACCACAAGTTATTCTGTTAGCGTGAAGCTGTAACTTGCTATAACGATAGTGTAACAGAACAGAGCCAATACCTTGTATGCTAACTGTAATATTGCCAATTTGCCAGGGGAAGCATGTCGACTGAAGTTCCATTCGCAATCCAAATCAATTACAAGCGTTTGGGGATCAATATCACACAAGATGGTATTCGTAATTTTTTCTTCAGCTTCGGTTTCATTGCGTATGTAGTGCGTGGTAATAGAGGTTGGCAGGTGTAATATGCGATTGTCGTGCGTGGATTCAGTTAAAGTCAAGCTGCTAGTCTTGGCACCGTTCTTCAATGAGCTGATATTATCAAGTAGGAACGCCTTGTCTCTCCGGATGTTGTCAGTATAAAATAGCTGCGGTGGTTTATACCCGTACGCCGTACATGTTGTGTGTTTTCATCATTTCCTGAAAAGGCGTCTGTGAATGCGATAATGACTTGGTGGGGACTTGCAATTGCATTGTATCTCCTCATACGCGTTACATATAGTATATAGAGCGCCAAAAGTCGGTGCGTCACCCATTTTTGCAACTTTCTTCAAAAATTTGAATGTGTGGTCTCCCTTGAGTATCTCTCCATCAATAGTAACCATCCGCTTGTCCATAATTGGACGAAGAGAACCCATGATAGCATTGTATATGAGTCGAAAGTATGGTATAGAAGGAATGTATCCAGCGTATCCTTGAGGATCCTTGAATGTAGAGAACTCAGGGTAGCTTCTGATGCAATTTTCCGTCTCCTTGTAAATTGGGTTCGTTCGACGATGTATTTATTATAGGGTGTATATGATATGCAGTCGGATATGGCATGCGAGATGCAGTTCCTGTAGCATATCTCAAAAGTTTGCAACTCCCATACCGTGCTGCATACAAGGTCGTAAAATGTCAATGAGATCCTTAGAGATAACACATCGGTAAGAAATAATGGCGGGAAATTCTGTTTCAAGATTTTTTCATCGTGTGCACCCAATGAGACATGACAGGTTTTGCACTCATATCGTCTTGACATAAAATAAAAGCATCTTTCAAACACATAGTTCACTGTTAAAGGCTTGCCATAATTGTTGCTGCTAACAATACATACCTGTTCACGTACACCACTCGACGTGCATAAGGATCCTTGTAGAAGCCTTTATCTTCACGTTTGCTTTTTTAAAGGTATTTTCGTCCGCCTCACTGTGGGGTGTGGTCTTTTTTTGTGCTTCGCCACAGATTTGTGGGATATTTTTTGTGGGATTTTTGAAGACGAACATTTTTTGTGGGATATTTCTTATGGGATTTATAAAGTCGAACATTTTTTGTTGGATATCATCTTTTGTGGGATTGGGATTTTAGTACAACTTCTTACAATTTTTGTATAGTCATTGCTACCATCATATTATTCACTCTTCTTGTTCTACTATCTATCCCATTCGACAGCAAAAGAAAAATGTACTTTAAAACACTTATATGACAGTATGGCAGTAAAGATCGTGAACTTACTCTGTATCTTATCAATTGAAGTTTTTTGAGTGCTATATTGGTTATTCATGTTCTTATTCTATAATATGTATATATGTATGATGTATGTACGTGTGTGTGCGCCCTTGTGAGTCAACTTGCCGCCATTGCCAGTAAATTTCATATTGACTTTTGCATCACATGCGATATGAATCAAAGGCGATTTCTCTGAGCAGAAAGTACAGCCTGTTCCCAATTGCTTCCTGATGTTTGCCTTGGTAAACCCAGGTCTCACCAGTTTCTTCCTCGGTACATTGGACAGCACCAAGGCAAACCTTGCTGACGCTAATGCCTAGCTTGAGGTGATCGTAGCTTTTTTGGAAAAGTTGCGAGCCGATGTCTGTGTCGTACACCAAATGGCCTTCAACATCTTTGAGGATCTGAATGTGTTAAACAATGTTGCCGTTCGGAAAACGCGTGAAAGACATGGTCGCAAATAAAGGGGAAGGGATGGTTTTGATACAGGTTACTGCAGTGCAGAACGACTGCTTCTCCTCAGGAACACGAGTTTATTAAACCCCACAAAAAACACTCACCCTTGCCTAGGTAATCCTAAGCTTTTGCATATGTAACCTAGGTGATCGCTTACAAATGATGCATAAATAACCCATATAGTAAAATGACAAGCATTTGTAGATAGAATCAGTGCATTCGCTTTAAAGATGCGTAATCATCTCTAGCTAAGAAGCACGATCATAAATCCGCCCCCTTGATTGCATCAATAAGGATGAAACACTTAGCGGAACCTCAATGTTTCCTATTCGCCACACGCCATGATTGGATGATTGAAGGGTTCAACCCGTACTCTTTTCTTCGCTCGACACGCACGCCATACACATACACACTCACTTTTCTTCTACCATACTTGATTTTGTTCAGCATTTAAAAGAAGACAATGTCAGGCTATAACCTCATTTGGGTGTTCATTGCTGTAGTGATTGCCTCGGCTGCAGGCTATGTATTGACGCCAAAGGGTGACAATCAAACGTAAGTTATTTTACGAGATGTACTGATTGAATCAAGAGAGTCGTCGTACGTGGAACGAAGAGCAAGCTCAGAAACTCAACCCTTGTTAAAAACCTCAACAATTGTAGTGTGATTCGTACAATTATTATAATGACGCTCGCATGCTGCTACATGTCGTACGTATCATTGGACACTCTGTCCTAGAAGAGATAGAAAGAGAGGGAGAGAAAGCTGTAGGACGGGGAAAAAAGAAAAAGGGAACAGCGGATAATCATTTATATGATAATGATGTGTGTGTATATATCCTAACTGTCCTTTCGCACTGTACATTGGATATTAGATGGGCTATTACGTACCTCGCGCAACTTCATCCGTTGATTGTCCCGAAAAAGACAGGCATGCGTCCTCATCTCGAGTAGAACAAGCTACATATATAACATCCCCCAACGTATATTATAACGGCCCAGACATAAAGAAAAAGAAGAGCTTCTCTACAACATACCCTTATAACTGTACCAATCCCCTTTTACTGTTTGCCCGAACAAAGCACATCCTTCTTGCTAGTTGCATAAACAACATGTTTTTTTTTGAAGTTTGGGTGTTTCTAGATATCTCTTTCAATTTTAATCCCCCACACCTTGTTGTCCTAGAGGGGAGTTGTGTGTGAGGTGGGGGGGGGGGCGCTAGAGAAAGAAGGTATTAAGGGTTTATGGTGTGGGCTGAACACCAAAAGAAGCTTGCAGCCTTGGACCTTATGTAACCTTGAGCGTTACACATAGTAATTCAAGAAAACACTCTCCGGTTGCCACTCCTATTGTTGTGTTATAGCAAGAGAGGGTGGCCTTTTACCAAGTTTGTTCATCGCTCTCCCTTCCCTTTTTCTTCTATTCTTATTTTAAGCCCTTTTTTTTCTCTTTTTTGCCATATTCTACTACATAGAGTATAAATATCATCTACCGTCATCCATTGATTGTTATATTTTTCGGTGGCCCCTCCTTCCCTTTCCTTGTAATTGTCAGAAAATACACCCCGTAGTATCCCAGGAACGCAGTTACGAGCGACGAACAGGCGATAACAACGACAGCTTACCAGATAGCAGCAGCTAGCAAGACGACCTACCGACCACCTACTTGAAGCAAACAAAAAGAAAACGTAAAGTTTCTAAACACAATACTCAAGGGAGATAGAGCTCAAACTAGCTTTAATTTTGGTTCACTTGACTCATCACGTCAAAATGAATTCTTGCAGATTGTCATTTTCTTTCTTCGAAATTGTCTCTATTTGAATTTGGAAACCATGGGCTTTGTAGAGAAACTTAAGACACAGTTCGACCTATGGAAACTGGAAAAATACACAAAGCGTCGTCAGGTCGCAACCCCCGAATTTGAGCAAAAAGGTAAAGACACATGATAGGATGGTAATTAGCAGATAATAACAAAGTGGAAATATGTTGTCATTGTTTGCTAGATCGCGATTTCTATCGACACTACTACCAGGATGGCGTGTACCTGCATCAGCACCAAAAAAATGCAGCAGGCGAAGTACGGCCACCGCCAACAGTGCCCAGCAGCAACAAGAACCTTAACAGAAAATCCACGATGCTCGGCAGAAAGAGTGAACACATCACCCGATGCTCAGAGACCTACAATTTCTCATGATCGGTGCAGATGATTATTAATATCGATAATAATAGTGCAATTCATCAAAAACAATGTCTATTACTTTCGGATCGTTCTCTCCTCCCTTACATTAGTTCAGCGTCTAACCCCCCCTATCATCCACAAAGCAACGCAAAGAAGCAATCCTCTTTTCCTTTCCATTAACCACAGCAACAACAAGTTCTTCAATTTGTATATTATATCTATCTGGCATTTAACCATTTTCAATCCACTCCTTTTCTTTCAATTAATCATACTCTCTCCTCACAATCGTTCTTGTTTTCAAGATTAAACAAAAATGAACTATGTAACAACTGAAGCATGGGTATATCTTGTAATACTGCTGCTAACCCTGTTTGATCCATCACTAAGTTAGTTTCTTTAAACGCATGGGATGCTTTATAGGTCAAAGGATCCAGCAACATGTGTGTTTACTATACACGTGTGTGAGGCTGCTAGAATGCAGAGGATTATAATTCTTGCAAAGCGACAGCCCAGGATTTCTATCGAGTGGGATGCGCCCGAATCCAAATCCGGGACCTGTAACGCGGACGCGAAACACGTTTACCTTTTTTCATCTTGTCAATTAAAACCCATATCACACGCAATGGTAAGCACTTTTGAAACCACCCTTTTACACAATTAACAAACCAACAAAGTACTTAAAGATCGCTTAAACCATCACAGAGTCAGAAACGGACAAGAAGAATCAGAGATGACAGTGACGATGAATACAGAGGAGCCAGCTCGAGTCAACGTATAAAAACAGATCCAGGATCAACCAACTGGGATGCCGAGGTTTGTTTTAAATTAATTCCTTTTTTGTTGGTCCAAACACAAAAACTAAAGATTCCCAACGAATTCTCAAGGCGTTTCAACGAAAAGTCAAAGACACGGTGCGATACGCGCTTGCTTGTGAATACAAACGCGTGCCCATTCGGCGCGACGAAATCAATAAAAAGAGTACGTATACATACTTGCATGGACTCTTCACGACTGCAAACATACGAGTTAATGGCTTTGTTATATGACATGCTGAATTAACCTTACTGTATATAGTTTTACAAGAACGATCACGCGATTTCAACCGGGTTCAAGCGGATGTTCAACGCAGGTTGAAGCATTTATTTGGATTCGAAATGGTGGAGTTGCCCCCAAAAGAAAGACCTACACTGGATAACAACAAAGGTAATAGAGAGAAGCTTATACTCTATAAAAACTATGGTGGAAGAAAGAGTACAAAATAGAATAAAATACTCACCATGTATGGTTGATAGGCAAAGCAACAACAAAGGCAGGATCCACAACCAAAACGTACGTTCTGTGCAATTCGCTCGAAAATGCATATCGCACACCTGAATTGATACACCGTTCAGACGAAGAAACTGAATTGCATGGCTTGCTCTATGTCGTTCTTGCCCTCATCTTTACAAATGAGCAAATCATGTCAGAAGGTGTTACCGAATTTTATTTTGGCCCTTGATCGAGGGGGTGGGGGGGGGAGGAGATGGAGAAGAATGGATTACGAATTTATCAAAGTGTTGTCTGTTTGCTCATATACTGTTATAAATTTATTTTGTAGTGGACCTTTTCGAGCATCTGGATCGATTAGGTGTTATTGATGACTCACAAACATTTGGAGACCGTGAAAAAGTGCTTGATTCGTTTGTAAAGCTAAACTATTTGGTGCGAAGCAAAACAGGAACGGATCCCAATAACGAAAGCGGTCGAGAATACTACTGGGGACCTCGCGCAAAAGCTGAGGTAACAGATGAGGATATTATAGGCTTCATTGTCTCGGTAAGTGTATATAACATGAGATTCCGTGTCCTTTTCACCTTGTCATTTATTGGAGGAAATGTCTGATTGATGCGCGCATGAACTATGTGTAGACATATGGTTCCGATGTCAACGAGGAAACGATGAAGGATTACATCTATAGAGCAGCAGGGTACGATTTGCGGTAAAGACGCTTTTTTAGGAAGAAAAAGACGACGCAGAAGAAGGAGAAGAAATGAAAAGGCAGTGATTATGACACTTGTTCAAGTCTTGAACCGCCTATCTAATATATTTATGGTAAAAAAACATCCATGCCAGAAAATGATTGCTCGATGCGTTCACGACATTCTGCCTCCTCCTCTTTTCTCTGTCGCATACCCCAATCCCCTCACACTTCCTTTCTCTTTTCTGACTTTCCAAATAAATGCGTGTCGCTGTTGTCGAGCCGCAGACAAATTACTGGGTATATATTCACACATGGTTTTTGACAACGCTATTATATGATATGGGCTGGAAATGCAACTATGTGGTTACTAACAGCAAGCTATTAACTTTGCATCATTAACATTCTGCTACCATATATATAGTACAAGAAGGATTGGAATAACTCTATGGAATCATACACATAATCCCTTTCTTATGTTTGCTCAATACACATACGTCACCTCCTTCCTTTACGTTGCTCTGAAATACTATTTACCGCAAAAATCGATATCTGTAGTTCTACTCACATATAAATTGATATTCTCCCCTAGACTGAAGTTTGCTGACGGAGATTTCTTTTGGCAATGGAAAGCGACGAGGAACCATAGTAAGATATAAATTTGTAGCAGTACATGTCAAGTGCTCAATGCACTGGTGATACAGACGCACACTACTTTTTAACTAGTGCCTAGATGACTTTGATAACCAAATAGATAACTTGTTGTGTATTATACACACATAGAAATATCAGAATGTCCACAGCTTACAAGAGTATATACACACATAACAATTGCTTCTATTGTAAGGTCGTGTTTGGACAATGCAAAAGTTGCCTTTTCAGAGTTTTTGAAGTCCTTGGCTGACTTTTTATTGTTCACCATTTTGCATTATCCCCTCTTTCTTTCTTTCTTGAACAACTATATATCCCTTACATACTACGCACACGTCCTCACAACATGACCTCAGTCGGTACATCAACAAAAAAATCAATTTCTAAAGATGAATGGGAACAACGATTAGCCAAAGTCAAAGTCAATAAACAGTGAGTTTCTTTTACTTTTTTGCCAATTGGCACAGAGTCTTGTTGTAGACATGTATATAGCCCACTTATTCAATGCGTATATTATACAACAACAGAGACCTCAATCGACTGGTAATGAACTACCTTGTTATTGAAGGCTACAAAGATGCGGCAGAACAATTCAGTCTTGAAAGCGGACTGCAGCCTACCATTGACCTAGAATCCATTCAAGAGCGCATGGACATTCGACACGCGATCCAGTCGGGTGATGTCGACACTGCTATTGAACTTGTTAACGACGTGAATCCAGAAGTGAGTTTCATATATCTATCCCTTTCCGCCATTATATGTGATGTATTCCAGTTTACAAAAACTTACCCGTATGCGTATGTAATGCAACTACATAAAAAGATCCTCGATACCAACCCAGAACTCTTCTTCCACCTACAACAACAACGACTGATCGAAATGATTCGCAACGGGGACTTTGCCGAAGCGCTAGATTTTGCAGCAGAAGAGATGGCACCACGAGGCGAAGAACATCCCGAGTTTCTCCAAGAGCTGGAACGGACCATGGCACTGCTTGCGTTTCAAAATGTTACAGGTTCGCCCGTGGCCGACTTGCTGCATCCTGGTCAACGACAAAAGACAGCGAGCGAGCTGAATGCAGCCATCTTGGTCAGCCAGTCGCGAGAAAAAGATCCGAAGCTGCCAAGTTTGCTGAAAATGCTCATGTGGAGTCAGGAGCAGCTTGATGAACGAATGACCTATCCGCGCATCGAGGATTTCGTTTCGGCTGATCTGGTTGTTCGAGATAGTCAAGGCAACCCGGTCGATGATGCTATTGATTCTTCAACTCCATTATAAATAACAACAATTTGATTCGATAATCTTATTTCAGACTTTTAGATTCATTTTCTCAAGAGTGTATATGTGTAATGGGGTGATATTGTATGATTGAAGAAGAATAGTGTAGGTGGATGAAACAACATTGTACACAAGGAAGGCTATTACACACGCATGGATGGGGTTCGCTCTAGTGCATCAAGGACATGGTTTATACGTTGTAAAGTACATTCGGGATCAAGACTTGGGTCGAGATAAAGCACCTTATCAATACCTTCTGCTGCTGGATTTTCAGGTGGATGGTAGTTCTTTACAAAGCGAGATAGGATTTGTACACCTTCGTATCCAGTAACGCCTGTTGGATGATCCTCTCTGTTCATAATGCGGTTACCACATTCCTCAATCATCACCAGCACCATTAACGACTTAGTATCCGTGACTCACGACATGTTTCGCAGTAGCAAAAAAAAAGTAGTAACTGCGGCACTTACCTCTTTATTGGCAGTGAGCACGATGCAATCCACAGGGACCTGGAATTCACGAGCAATGCGGATCCAAGTAGCGCGCTGTTGTTCGTCAAAATTACATCGATCAATCACTACATTATACTCTTGACGTAAAAATTTTCGGCAATGGATTTCACAGTTTTTACGTGAACGTAAATCATCTTGGTTCACTCGTCGCCATTCCTGTCAACGAAATTATGTTATTTTTTTATGTCAGTATTTGGTTGTATATGCTGCTGCTTTAAGTTTGAAGTTACCGGCTTGAGCTGTACGAGTTTGTTTGAAAAGGTACTTTTGCCAGATCCCGGTAAACCGACCAGTATCAAAACGCGGTTATTCATTGCACCAAGTGTAGAAAGCAAGACTTAAATTTCACGCTGCAAAAAAAAAACAAAGAAACGTGATTTGTTCACTAGCCACAACAAAGCAACAACAAGGGCGCAGCATTTGTCCAAACAGAAAACTCTCTTCTTCTTTCATTCCCACAGGTCTCTGCAAATCTACTTTAAAGAGAACGGGGAAAGGGAAGGGTTTGGGACACGAGCTTCCTGTTTGGACTACTTGGAGCAACACATAGATGTTAGCATGTGGTAACAACCGACACCATGTTCTTAAAGTAAGGCACCAAAAATGGGCAAGAGGGTGTCCCACAAGGTTCCCGTTCAAGGTAACACCAGGGAAGGTGCATTAATGCAGACACCATCCCACCACCACCGCACACAGAACTTATTGCTTGTTTGTGCGTATGATAACTAATCAATGATACTGTCAACCGTCTATCATCCATCATTACCATTGATAAAATAAGGCAGCAATGTACATCAGTCAATGTTGCTGCTGCTGCTGCTGCTGCTGCTGATGTACGCATGATAGAACAGCTTAAATAGCACAAAGTATGAGTGTGTATGTGTGGGGTGAATGAGGGTACGTGCGGTTAACAAACATGCTGTAATCAAGCATACTACGTTAAACTATACTTCTGTTGCTGTTGTTGCGGGAACCAGCCCGCCCGCGCGACCATCCACTTATAAACACACGCGTACAGCTAGAAATTACAACTGTTTCAATTGATGCGGGTGGGAGTGTCAAACAAGAAGGTCAGGCGACATTTCTCTTTACAACCGCAGTACGTCGTATACACCCTCACATAACATGTACACACCACACCACATCACACACACTCTCACACAACGCATAGTGGACCATCAGACGTGGCCCATTCAATCATCATTCGCTTTATTATTACTCACACGTTCTCTTCAACAGAGAACTTGCCGCAGTGCTTTCTGTTTTCCCCGTGAACAAGTTTCTCTTTTCTCTCTCTTTCTTTCTTTCTTTGTTTTTTTTCCCTTCCCCTGTTTTCATTTTCCCTCGATCTTACAACAAATACTAGAAAAGAATGACCTCTTCTACTGACCTGGATGAATTCCGAAACCAATGGAAGCAAGAAGTCGTCCAACGCGCAAAAAAGTCCGTGCCCCTTCCTGCTGACTCGCCGTTTGCGACACCGCCTTCGTCTCCGCCGCTCAAGCCAACGACAACAGGAGCAAAAGAGCTCGAGGAAGAGTCCTCTATTGTTGTTGCTGTTGACCACAGCTGTACTAACAGTAACGATGATGATCATCGTGGTCCTGACACTGAAGCAGCAGTGGAGCAAGGGGCGGCAAGTCCATCGCTAGCTATTGACATGTATCGCATGGCCATGGATATGGAACGCAAGGGACAGTTAGGCCAAGGTTAATAACAATACTAAATTAGTAGTGTGTGTGTGTGTGTGTGTGGTTTGCTTTCCCACGAAGGAAAAAGAAGGAGATCCTGATGATTTTTTTCCCAGCACTACTGCATTACCGGCGAGCATTCAAATTAGACCCGGACGTTGACAGAGCGTACAGGAAGCTCGAGATGCTATCAACATCTTTATCTTCGCTATCACCTTTTGTTGCCGAGTCTGTAACTCGCGCAGCAACAGTAGCAGGAGGAGCGACCCCCCATCACCATCTTCAACAACAACAACAACAACAGCAACAGTACCTTTACCGTCAATGTGACCCATTAGTTGCTGCCGCAACAGCTGACGGCAGTGATATTCGCACTTTGCTCGGCTACCCGCATCACGAGTACCCACTGTCAACAACTTTGACAAGAGAATCAGTACTGTCAAAAGAACAAGGAGGGCCAGGCACCAGCAGTAGTAGTACAAGTATTGTGATTGACCCATTAAATGCACTTATCCGAGAATTCAGTCAACAAGATCTCGCGTATATACCTATTGTTGATTACAAGCCTGTGGCTATTGCTAAACTTCCCGGTAAGTGTTTCTTTGTTTTACTTGCAAAGATATATGTTTAGTGCTGTGACCACGACTGAACTCGGTTTGTTTTTGGCATTCACATAGATGAAATGCTTGTACATGTGCTTGGCCACTTGGTCCTTTATTCCATAGCTACGATGCCGACTTTTGCACTGGTTTGCAAGCGGTTCTTTTTGGCGACGCGCTCTGCGAGTCTGTGGCGTCATGCATGCGAGCACATGTTCCGTGCGCCAGGGATGACACTTGTCCAGTCGCGTTATTACCAGGCCGAATTCGTCAATACCCTCTACGATGGCTACTGGCTTAAAATGTTCATTGAGCGGCCGCGTCTGCGCTATGATGGTGTTTACATTTCCGTCTGCCAATACATCAGGTAGATAGAGTACACATAAACTCGTACTTTTGAAAGAGGGTGCTATACTGATGGTTGTTGTTGTTGTTGTTTATAATGCTAAAGACCGGGCACGTCAGAATCAGCATGGACGCAGCCAGTGCATTTAGTTACGTATTATCGATATCTACGGTTCTTCCCAGACGGTAGTATCGTCAAGTATCTTTCAACAGATGAGCCAGCTGACGTGATTCGGCTGCTTACTCCGGAATTTGCGCGCCGTCAAGTCTTTCATGGCAGGTTCTGTCTTGATGACGACAGTGGTCAAGTGGCCGTAGACATGCGCGACAAAACACGACCTAGAGACCGGTTCCAAATGATGCTCTACATTAAAGGCACGAGCCGTGGCCGACACAACAAGCTGGGATGGTTATCGTACACGAGCAAGAAGGATGGTCGAGAGGATGGAACAACGTATGATTTGAAACTCATGCGACCCTACTTCTTTAGCGTGGTGCGTAGCTATAGAAAACAGGTGTAGTTTTGAAACTCAGCCGATTTAAAGTGTGTTTGAAGTTTTGTAAGAATAAAAACATATGAGAACGAGGGCTCGAGGTATTTTCTATTGTTGGCTGGAGTTGATAATACACACACAACGAGATAAAAAAAAACTTCTTTCCATTCCTTTTTCATTTCTTTATTCCCCTCCAATTACCCGTAATCTCTCTTCTTGTCCACTATATATACACACACATATATATAAATGGCAGTTGAATCAGCACCAGCACCTGAGTATACCTCTCTGTCGCCGTTGGCGGCAGCAGCATACGAGCATATGGAAGCAACAGCGCGTTTGGTGCGCGTAGCACTGGCCCTGGAATGGACCATCTTTACTCGGTTCATTGTGGGAGTGATCTTGGCGACACTGTTGACGGTCATCTATCTGCTGTTTACTTTACGGAATGCACGACAGCCTTTGGTCATTTGGGAAAGACTTAATAAGCCTATTGTTAAGCTCTTTCGTCCCTGGATCTTTGCTCAGTTGCTTGCAAACGCCGATCCATATGCACAATCGATTGGTAAATGATATTTAAGCAGGGGACATCTTGTTGTGACTATGTGTGTGTGTGATATGCTACCCCTGTATGATTCAAGGGGGGGAGAGAGAGAGGCTATGAGGTGGGTAGTTAACATGTGTATCATCTATCAATCTATCTATACATGCAGATTTACGTGTAGCTACGTTCTCCAAGGGATTCTGCACAGGATTTATGCGTGTAAGTCTTGTAAAGATGCATATGAAAAAAATAATATGGGTAGTAATAAACTTTGGTAATCACAGGATCAAAAGCGCAGCCGTAATCCCTTCAGAAGGTAGTGTGTTGGTGTGCAGGAGCAAAGATGTGCAATTGTTGGGCAAGGATAGATTGGAATGCAAAGCTATTTGCTGATGGGGCTTTACCGGGTTAAAGCCACATGATGGATATTATACTGATCGTCTTTGGGCGGGGGTGATGATGATGATGATGATGATGATGTATAGCATTCATGCAACAGCCATGGCTACGTTTGCGGAGACAATTGGTGGACTTGCGTTGATGAGCACGATCGGACAAAAGGATCGAGCCATTCTAGTATCACTTAAAATGGAGGTAATGTAGTAAACATGTCACTTGGATGCGTGATTGCCACGCATAGCATTATGTTACTGTTCTAAAACATGAAGCGGGGCAAAAATGATGTAGTACAAGAAAAAGGCGCGTGGGCTGCTGACGGCGTCCTCCGACTTTACACCGCCGCCATTTACTGCTGGACGACAAGATATCGTGACCGAAGTTGTCATCAAGGATCGCATGCTGGACACGGTGGCGATTGCTCACTTGGGCTGGGCTGTTGATTCAAAGGAAACATAGAAGAAAGAACAATGAAAAGTAGCTGGATCATACGTACGTATATGCTATCATCAAGTAAATATTACTTTTACAGTTCAACTAACAAAGAATGCTGCGTGCATATGTGCGATGTGTTCGTGCGCAAAGGACGAATAAAGTTTTCTTCGTCTACTGAGAACGAGAAGAAATGTGTAACCGTAAGGCGTGCATGCTGACGCATAGAGTGAATCTACCAGCTTTCTCAAGACCAGCAGCAGCCTGCTTTGGGTGTAAAGGACACTCACTGGAATGAGGGTCGAGAGCGTAAACAAGTTCTCACGCATGTGTTGGCAATAACAAACAGAGGGGGTTGTTGTTGTTGTTGTTGTTGTTGTTGTTACTGCTGAGTTAATCTGATAATACGTCAAGTGCAAAAGTGAAACGTGATGGCAAAGGCGGGCGGGGGGGAAATAGGGAAAGCGGCACTTGTACGCACTATGTATGCAGCATAGAGCAAGCACAGTAATACAACGGATCATCGCGCGCAAAAACAAGAAGCATGTCGAGTAAACATCGGGTCGTTCTAGGAAACAAACAGCATCCACCGTACCATCAACAACAGGTAATCTTGGCCCCCGCCTTCTATATTTTGGGCCCCACACCCCCCCCCCGCCCCCTGGATTTTATTTTAGAATATATTCAACCTAGAAGGGGCGTTGTTTCTTTTCCTCTTTTCTCTTTCACTCAACAACCTATTCTCGCTTTTTTACGCTTTCTTTCGTATACGCACCCTTTCTTCCTCTCTTTCTCTCTTTTTGCTCAAAGCAGCTTTCTTATTTCGGATTCTTCGTGGCTATATCTTATCTTTGTGTTTTCTTGCGTTTTTCTTTTTCTTTCTTCATGTCAGAGAATAGCTTGTTTCAGTTCGCCCAGGTGATAGCAGACCAACCGACCCACCACCACCCGCAGCCACAGCCGCCGCCGCCATCGTCGTCGTCGTCAGCGTCGTCGTCGCCGCAACCGAATCAACGCATCACACTGTCACAGCCGCCACCATACCAAGCAACACGATCTTCGGAAGCAGATGGTCCTCCCATGGCGGCTCGTCGTTACCTTCCGATTCGCAAGGTAACCTTTAGAGAAGAACACAGGGGAATGACACGCCATCTCACTCATCACCAGCGCAAAAGTGACTAACTTGCCTATCTGTGACGCCATGATAATAAAATAGAACGCTTGTATTGTGTGCGGTGTGTGCTTCACGTGCTCTAGGGTAAGCGAGTGCAGGAGTGCAGCATGATAGGCTGACATTTCATAAAGCTGTACGGCACAAACTGTATATGTGAGGAAGTCCAACCACGACGGGGCAAGAACCTACCGGAGGGCAGTCTCGATTCAAGGGCCAAGAAGCTGCATCCGCAAGACAAGGAAGACTACGAATTCTCGATGAACTGGCTCTCGGAACACGCCCACGCGATTTACAAAGACGAGTCTGGTACCGTCGTCGGCCTGCGCGATCTGTCCGAGGTGTCACTCTGCAAGGCACACAGCAGTACGCTCTACCGCGCCAAAAAGCGACACGAACGAGGCAGGAATCAAGCCCCGCCCTCGCCCGCCGATTCCAACGGGATCGACATGGTGATGGATCGCGATTCCTATCCGTTGCATCCCCATCCTAACCACCACTACGGCCCGCCGCCACCTTTGCTGGAAGGCGGTGGTATCGCTGCCAAGGTCCGTGAGATGCAGTATCATCACCCTCATCACCATCATCACCACCATCATCATCAATATAGGTCCTCCACGCCGCCTGATTTCAGCATGATGCAGCCGTCGTCGTCGCTCAAAAGGAAACGCATATCCAAGCAGCAGCAGCAGCAGCATCCATCGTCGCCATCGGAGAAACCCCATTCAAGCGCGTCGACGCCGCTTTACGCCACAGGCATGGCCCCGCTGTTGTCGCATCATCCGTCGTCATCGTCATCCTCGTCGTCGGGCACGGCTTTGTCGCCCCGCGGCCATGATCCTGCAGAGAGCAGCTTCTCGTTGCCTCCGCTCCACTCACGCGCGTCTTCGCTGTCGGCATTATCGTCGTCGTTTCAGAACCATCTGCATCTGTCTGGCCCATACCCGACCACGTCCGCCTATCCTGCAGCAGCAGCAGCAGCAGCAGCAACAGCAACACAACCACCTCCTCCTCCTCCAAGACAACCGTCGTCATCGACACCACCATTGCAGGTAGCAACCAGTGCTAACTCTACAAGCACTGGCGGAAGCGGTGGATCGCCACCGTTGCCACAGCAGCTGAAATCACTGGAGACGGTGTCGCTCAAATCGATGGACACACCAAGCAAGTATTACTTTCGCAACCTGGCCATCACTGACACATTTACGTTCCGTGACCTGCTCAAGGAGATTGACATGACGGGAACGCCACCCGCTGGTAAGCGTATTGTTGTGTCGGATGAAAAGAATGAAACGTTTTTCCCATTGGATCAGGCTATTCGGAGCGTCATCCAGCGACCCCTTTCGACTCACATGGAGCTTTGCTTGGGATTGAGCGACAAGCCTTCGATTGATTGGAGCAGTTATGCTTAATTAAACAACAACAACAACAACAACAATAACAATAACAATAACAATAACATAGGAAACAGGTCGGAAAGCTGTTTCTTTTATCATCATTTGCCCGTGGCAACCTCTTTACTCACTCATTCATTCATTACGCATACAGTTCATTTATCCACAGACCTGTAAATTATGTATACCTATCCCCTTGTTCTCTAGCGCTGCTTATCACACTCTCGTTTTCTCTCTGTATGTTCTTCTTTGGTTTCTTTCATTCTGGTTTTTTTTATAAGGCTCCATATCATTATATATCGAAAGTTTGGTCTTGTTCTTTTTTTTAACACAACACCCCTGTTCAAAATGCAAAAATTTAAAAAACTTGAAATATCCATTTTTCGCTTTTCTTTTATCTTCTTCTCTCTTTCACCAAAGCGGGCTTTTGAGGAGGATGCGCAAAACACCCTACAACCCTGATGTATCAAATGAACAAGTAATGAGGCAGGCTGAGCAAGCCAATCGGGCTGCTGCAGAATATCACCGTCAGCGAGAAACAGAAACGGCGCACAACTTTGACGAGCTCGAGTTGGATTATCCTAACGTGCATACCGAACGGATCGACCCTGAGAACTCGTAAATAGCATTTTTACTTCATTTGGGGCAGCAGAGTAATTATGGAGATAAACAAAGGGTCATTGTTGTTGTTGTTGTTGGTGGTGCTAATTATGTACTCGAATACTCGCTTAACCTGCTGCTGCGTAGATCGTGGACTGATAACCCCAAGGACCAGTGTGAAGTGTGTAAGTTGAGGAATGGCATATGATAATGACGCTGTATCTCTCGCGGTCTGACATCATACACATTGCTCGTTTTCCAGTGCTTGCAGATGACAGCATCCTGCCAAAACTGTCAGACAAGGATACAACACCACTTACAAAAGCCCAGAAGAAATCGGATCGGTGGATCAAAGAGCGCGGACAGCAAAAGCAAAAGGACAGTGGCTCACCGTATCGACAACGACAAGACGGCTCTGCTGATCTAGTGGGCTAGTTAATCTCCCTTCGCACTCTCTATCCCCTTTCTTGCCTCAACTGTATAAGTTTAAAGTGACATGGTGACACATAAAAAAACCCCAGTTCGCCAACAATTTCTTATGCAGTAGCATTCATCATCGCACAGAGTGGGTTTCAACACTCTTTTTTACTTTTTGCGTCGCTGCCCGTTTACCATACCATACACACGCACACTACAACATGCCTCTTCTAGACTATACAAAATGGTTAAACCTTTTTGACGACGTTCAAAAACAAGCGGGAGGTGCTTTTCGACAAGGGCCCCCTGAAGACTATTTTCCACTCGAAAGGGCACCCAAAGCACCGTGCTCAAAAGCAACCTGCCAGTGCGTGCGCGTATACAGCGTCTCTCAACGACCCGACACCTCTAATATCCTAGACCATTTCTTTCAATCGGTCACCATCAATGCCCGACACAGCATGTTCATTTCGGGCCGAACCGTCATTTCGCCCATTGCTAAAAAGATTGGCATTCCATTGATCGTTTACCTCGAAGCGCCACTTCAATATGCCATTTGCAAACCTGATTTACGTCCACTTTATGAAAACCAACCCGTTACGTTTCTGCTCGCTCAACCTAGTAATGGACTCGCGCCCATGCAATACCAGGACGGTGTGGGTACCGCGCTCGTTGCTCGACTTGACCATGAACCGCTCAGCGTCGAAGAGCTGGCGGCTATAAACGCCTATATACACATGTTGATGAATGAACGATATGGCCGAGGGCCTGCTGACTATCAGGTGCAAAAAACAATCACGCATGCAGATTATAAGCGCTTTACTACAGGCAATCATAATATTTTATCAAGAACTTTGTACGAGCAGTGGCTCAATTCTAATCCTGACAGTTGTACAATAACTTTGTAATGATATGTCAAGTTTTATGTAGTTTACTTGCTGGTAAAACAAAGGCACAAGTGGCCGCAGCCTTCTCCCTATTTTTTGTATACCTTATCATCGTATCTTATTTTCTCGCCATGGTTATGCATGAAACTTATTGTCAACCACACCCATCAATAAACCCTTAGCTCAAAGTCGTTAAAATGAACTATTAAAAGAAAGGATAGAGGAAAGAAAAATGGTAGGAGAATGTGTGATAAAGAGACTACAGCTAGGTATTCTTTACTAATGCTAATACAGCTCTGTGTATGTATGTGAATTTATTATTGTTGCTGCTGCTGCTGCTATTGCTGTTGTGATGGATTATCCCCCGAACCTTGGTTTTCCGATGCTCGTTCAGCAGCAGAGCCTGCATGAAACTCTGCTCGAACATGGTCATAACGTTCTTGGAAGGTTTGATAGCTTAGGATGGGTAGAGCATCTTGTCGCTGCTGTTGTTGTTCTTCAACTTCTTTGACCATAGTATAGAGCGTTTTTAGATATTCTAAGCGTCTGTGCAAACAAGCCAATTTTCTATCGTTCTTTTCGCGCGCGATACAGTTTGCTTTAAGAAGAGCAAGGATATTAGGAGGCGTACGAGTAGGCAATTGTCTATATAAAACGTCATGTAAATTGCCGTATCCTTCATCATCATAGAGACGATAGAATTATTTAATTGTTACCCTTCAATTTTGCCGGTATCAGGAGGTTGGGTACGTCTGCGAGATGGTGATCGGCTATGTCCTGGTTGCCCTTCATCGTCACTGTCCTCATGTGTTCGCTTGCTGCCTGTCGAGGATTGCTCAACTCTTCCTAGTGTGGGATGAGAAGCTCCTTGAGCGCTGGCGCTTAGCTGTTGCTGTTCTTGATCCGACAAAGAATTGGAATTGGGAGGCTGCGATCGTGCTGAACTATAGGTTGCTGAAGATGATGATGTTGCCCCTTCTTGGTTTTCTGATGCTATCGTGAGCGACGCTGATGAGGCGGAATTGCTCTGGTCAGATCCGTGTTGAGGAGACTCTGACGTTGATAAATCTGATGACGAGCCAGGATTTTGGTCCGTGGTTGATGATTTGGACATAGGAAGATGCTGGGTTAGTAGGAAAAGGAAAATGGGTAGAGAAGTATGCTATCGCTTTTTGTTGTAATCTTGCCATAATTTATATACACACACTCACATAAGATAAGTGAGAAGGAGCTTATAATAGAACTGGTGACGAGTATCTGTACAATTTCCTATAATGAATTGCTTGGAAATAAAATAAAGAGGGCCTCATGTCTCTGATTGTTATAACGAAAAAAAGCTGATCAGTGATATTTATTGTAAGAATTATACATAATTTCCGTTTACAGTTAAAGACTGATAGGGACGGGTTAGGGGAGAAGGCACCATTTATACTCGGTTGTTTTGATTGATGTCGCTTTCTTTTTGCATGAGCCAATAAGTGATAACTTGTCCGTATGTTTTCTCTCAGGCATTGAGTAAGACGAATGCCTTATGTTTACTTTTACCACGACATATTGTTTAGCATACCGATTGGTCGCACCTTTTTTATTTCTTTATACCGCATGGGTTAAGCTGTATTCTTTACAATAACGAAAGGGAAATAAAACAAGAAAATCACTTACGAAGGAAACTGGTGTAGATTATGTTTGTTTTTGGGCTCCAAAGCTCATGTTGCATGCTCATTAAAGTAGCAGGAATTGCCATATAGTAGCAAATGCGTTGATCTGAGAGTACATACAGTGATATAGAAATTAGTAACGGCCCAGGAGTAGAATGTTTTGCTTAGTACTAATATGGGATGCTTTACAAAGAAGAGCTTATGAGGCAACAAAGAGGGCTGCAGCATAAGCGGGGATGTTTGCCGCTACTGTATTAATAAATCCTCGCTAAACTTACATGATGCGCTTCATACCGCAATGTACAACGCTTCTACATATTATTGAGTGCATTTATCTGTACATTTGCAAAAGTGAGACTGTACAGCTTATATATGCACTTGAAGGCATACTGCTGTGCTCGTTCGTAGCATTCTTCAAATAACACACTCGCAACAGTGATGGATGGTGATGATGCTATTCGTGCTGTGGACTATGTACTTCGTTGCAGTTCTTCCATCTCATTGGTTTATGTTTGAAAAGGAACACAGAGAATGAAATAGCTAGCACCACCGCAGTAGTAGCTCATTATGCTTGATATATTTAGGAAAGCTACTGAGAAATGCTGGCAACATCATATTACATTTGCTTTCTGTTATAAGTTTGATCTGGCTACGTTCTCACTGCCTTATTTGCTGATTATATATGCTCTTTCGAACAGATAACTCAATGTCCTGGGTCGACCCATATGCATAAATACTTCCCTTTAACTTCACCGAATTATGTACGGATTCATAAGTACTGAAGCTACCTAAATTAAAACTCTCGATCTAAGGACAGGTATATCCATGAAAAGGTCGCCTACTTATTGAATGGATCACAGCACCGTTACAAGCTTGGATTGCTTCCCAGAATAGGAAGGTGACGAAAAGAAATTCAAACGCCGTCGAGTCTTACGCAAGATACGCGCGTTTCGCGGTCCAAGCTTTCGTCTGTTGCAACTTACCACACATAATCTTTACAAAATGGCCGCTAAATACAGTATGCCCAAGGGAGGCTTCAGCTTCGACAATTACGCAAGGTATAAGAAAAAACAGACCAGCACACAATTTACGATGCGATGCGTTACATATTGTTAAAAGCAACACCGTCGTTAAATTCAAAATTGCATCTATCTTTTTGATATATAGAAATAAAGCTTTGGAAACCAAAGGCGCTCGGCCACCCAAGGCCACCAGCACGGGCACTACTATTGTTGGTGTTCTTTTCAAGGTATATACTCGCAACAAATATATACAGCAAACAAGCTGCGATTTTCTACATTCAAAGACGAAAACAAGAAAGACGATTCGCTCTTTTGTTACATCCACACACACATACAATCTCTAACACATAATGCGTCGAACTTTATAGGATGGTTTGTGTCTAGGTGCCGATACCAGAGCCACCGAAGGACCCATCGTCGCTGACAAAAACTGTGAAAAGATTCACTACATTGCTCCCAACATGTAATTATCATACTTTGACATTTTCGAAGCGCAAAGCGAATTGTCAAATCTAATTTATAACACGACTAATTTCTTTCTGTAAACAGTTACTGCTGTGGTGCAGGTACTGCCGCCGACACGGAATCGACAACGAACCTCATTAGCTCGCAGATTGAATTACACAGCCTTGCCACAGGACGAAAGCCCCGTGTCGTGACAGCAATGACTATGCTCAAACAGATGCTTTTCAGGTATATATAAGGATAGCAAAAAGGGATGATCCAAGGACATAACAAAGGGTTAGAAAAGAGAGATAACTGTTTAACATGTACGGAAATGTTCCCTTTTATTTTCTGTTCAGGTACCAGGGACATATTGGTGCCGCGCTTGTGCTCGGCGGTTTTGATGCTACGGGACCCCATTTGTACACAGTCTATCCCCACGGAAGCACAGATAAACTTCCTTATGTCACCATGGGATCGGGCTCCCTCGCTGCCATGAGTGTCTTTGAAAGCAGGTGGAAACCCGATATGACGGTAAGGATGAATAGGGAGTGCGTGATGGGGTGAGAGGTGGGGGAGGCGGGGAGAGTTACAGCGCCCAATCCCAATTGGACACACACACACACACAAAAAAAAGGGCAAAGTTCTATAAACTAAAGAAACCGACGGTGATGGCATTTAAACGTACGATGTTTATTATTCTTATTAGCGTGAGGAGGCTATTGAGCTTGTAAAGGATGCCATTGAAGCGGGTATTTTCAACGATCTTGGATCGGGCTCGAACGTGGATGTCTGTGTGATTGAGAAGGATTCGACCGATTACTTGCGAAACTATGCCAAACCAAACGAGCGCGGCATCAAAGAGAGCAGCTACAAATACCCCCGAGGCACCACTGCTGTATTGAAGGAGTCGATCACCAACCTTGTCGACGTTTCTGAAGGAGATGCAATGGACATTTCAGTGTAAACAAAAAAAGATTGCGTCAAATTAATACACACATTCTTTTCAGAAAAAAACAACAACATGCGGTTTTTTCTCTCAAAGTCTTTCAATTGTTGATCTGCAAACTTAATAGAGCTTGAGATACATTTGTTTAACCTTCCCACAACAACCGTTGGGAGAAGCCAAAACATGGTATTTAGATCGGGAATGACGGATCAATGGGTGGATGTATGGTGCGATTTTATGTTCTTGTTCAGAGATTCCAATTGCAACTTGATATGATGTATGATGCTCTCCTCTGCCCTTCTTCTGTCTCTCTCCGTTGTTTATATTTAGTTATGTATATGTGCTTTGTATAGCGATGCGTCTGCGAGTAACTGTAGACAGTTCTATGAATCCATATGTAGAATCGGTGCAAGAAAAAGTGCTTTGTTGAGCGGAGACAAAGAGAAGAACACATAGGAAAAGGCTCCCTGCATGATTGGTATTGTCGGACGATGATGATGGGGTTTCAGTGTAATTTGATCAATCCAGCCAGGATAGAGAGGAGGGCCCGTTCACCCTAGTATTCATGGGACCAGGAAGGGGAGAAAGGGTGTATGTATATTTATCAGCAAACATAATCTAACATCAATATCCGCTATTCAGGATGATTTTGAACAGAAAAGAAGACTGACGTTGGGTGCTTCTTAATTAATCAACCAATTTGCGATCCGTTCATGCGTCTGTGTGTTCTTCTCGCACTCCCTCACTCTCACTAATGCGGTGCTTTCAGATCTTGTGTTGCCTTACACCAGTAATATGTATTCTGCTACCGACCTTCCTGCGACTCCTCTCCCCACACGCTATCCGCACGCGCATATATCACGTACGACGCAGACCACGCTGCGTATGTGGAAGGAGGTGGTCTTTGCTACACAGCATCAAACAGAATTGAGCACAAGGTTATATCAGAGTATGTAAAGCGAGAAAGAAAAAAGTGGCATGACCATGCAAATGTGCAGCACACTTATTTTTACATTAGTAGTGTAGAGTGTAAAACGATTTTTGCATTGATGCAAGGGCCATCTTATAATACTTGGCAAACATGGAATGAAATTCTTCTGCAGAAGTGTTTCTTGCTATGTGATTATTCAATGATTGAGCAAATAGAGCTAGAGCTGGAGCTAGTAGTAGAGCGCTACTAAGTATAATGGTCGCAATGTTGTAGTAGGGGTGATAACTATAAAATATAGTTAATTGATTGAGTGGGGAAAGTAGGATCATGGAGTGCTTGAATAATGAAAGTGTGATTAATGTTTGTATATTAGCCCACCAAATCTTCCTCTTTTGTTGATATTTTTTGTACCTTCTGATATTGTTGCCGCAACTTTAAAACTAAGCCATAAGGGAATAACGGGGTGCGGGGGAGGGGAGGAGAACTTTACTATGTATCTGGACTCTTGGCGGACATATCCCACATCCAATCTGGAATTACACACGCACGGAAATAACGGTGATGAAAGGATACGTTTTGGTGGCGATAGCAATAGTCATAAATAACAACTTAGCAGCAGCACGGTCCAATGGCAGGGAGCAGTAGTCGGGGTTGAGGGAAATTGAAGGGGAGTGGATGTTGTTCTGAGGTGTCTAGAATCAAGGAGTCGGTGGATGGAGCAATAGAAGCCGTACGAGAATTGTTGGAGAGGGGGAGTGTTAAGCTGACGCTGATGCTGCAAGGTGATGATGACTCGCTGTGGCGGCACGTATAATAAGAAAAAGCAGTGTTAAAAAAACCACGTGAGGTTTCATTGGAACCGTCGTATTGAATGCCGTTTACAGCAGTTTTGTACGAAAGAGAGAGAGAGAAGTGGGGGTGTTTGTTATGCATGTGGTATATGTGCTGTGTGCCTCTCTCTTTCACGCACCCAACCCCCTTCCTCTTGCCCCTCTCCCCCACTGTTTTTCACCCAAACCATCATTACATCCGCCTCCCTTCCGAGCTCAGCAATCTTTTTTTTTCCCGGCCAAAAAAAGCCAACAACGCGTAAATAATTAAAGTCGTGATAATGAATCTTCTTCTTCTTCTTCTTCCAAATTCTCTTTATCACTTGTACTTTTTCTACACACTCACACTCTCTCACACTCATCGCCACCATGTCCTCGCTAAGATGTACCAATGAAGAATACCATTACCCTCGACGACGATGTACTAGTAGTAAAAGCAACAACGCTCACCCACACCGTCACCATCAAATGCCTTCCCTTTCATCCTCCATATCATCATGTTCCACCTCCTCTTCTGCAACGGATAGCCGCAATCTGCGCAGAGAACAGCAACTGATCCATGATCGATACGCACATAATCAGCAACAGCACCATACATCTCACAACCTCGAGCGATCTCGCTCGGCAGGAAGCAGCTACTATTATTATCGTGCAGGAGCAGGACTCAGAAGAACAAGCAGCAAGATGACGAGAGACCAATACGGGAATGGTCAAGACTGGGATAATATTCTACAATTGTCCAAGTGCCGGTCATGTCCTGCCAGACATCAACAGCACCAGCACCAGCAGCCAGAAAAACAGCCGCAACAACGTCCACGGTCGCAGCAAGAGCAGCCAAACCCGAGGCGAGTGTCATTTAATCAACAGGTCGTCGTGATCACGCCCACATTGCTGCCAACAGAAGAGAGTCCGTATCTTTTATCTGCATTGTTCGATGAGCAAACACAGCAGCATTCAGGTCACACAAATAAGAACAGCCATTGTCTAGTTACAACAACGCCGACACTCTATGCACATGCAAGAGATGACGGTGACTTTGACGACGACACCCAGCAGCAGCAGCAGCATCATAACGCCAGCAACTGGTGGTGGGACGAATCACAATTGGCTGTAGAACTAGCCGACGATACAACCGACCCTAGCGACATTGCATGGTACAAGCGAATCGTATACCACGACACCAAGTTATTACCTTGTCTAGACAACATGATGCGCCGCCGGTCATCCAGTACCACCACCACTACTACTACTACTACTACTGCGAACACCTCTAATTGCGGCAGTAGTGCTAGTGATAAATGGTGGTCTCGGCGTGTCTCAGAAGATAACAATCCTCCTGCAGCCCGTGATGCGACTGTCATGCCATTGAAATTGACTGGCGGTGGCCGCGTTGCTGTCGGTGCTGGCCGTCGTGGTGGCACCACCAATGCCTCTACTACCACCCAATCCTCCCCCTCCTTCCCCACTTCTACCTCTTCATCATCACCATCTACTGACCTCCAATCACATTGCACAAACCCTAAACGACGACGCCCCTGTTTACAAAAATTCACCCGGTCTATCAAAAAATTAGTGATGGGATTTGTACTATAGTATACATATACACCCACTCGTAAATACGAGTAACTTAATCTTTTTTATAATAGTAGACATTATATATAATGCACAATTAATCTGTATAAATCAAGAAGAAGAACGTACTTTACACGTCACATCAAACAACAAAGTCGTCCTGCTCTCAGTAGACAGCATGAATGTTTTTGTTTTGGCTGCAAAAGAAGCTCAAGCATACCCTAATCCCTTGGGCTTGTTTTTTATTTCCGATCTGATGGAAGGTTCTCTTGGTCTCCATACTGATAAGCTCTCTTTCTTCACCAAACTACATTCTCTCATTTCTCTTAAAACAACCCCCCCAAATAAAGAAACGGACTTGAACAGCACACATTAAACTCCTTGTATGCATCACCTACTATTTTCTTCTCTCACTGCGCATAGCATATATATATATGCCTTCGTCGCTGCTACATGTTATCAATTACTATGGCTTTTTGCATTATAAAATGTAGACATACGCTAATGCCGCCGTGCTACTCTTTCTATAAAAAAACCTGATGCATACATAATTAGTACATTATTTATCGCCCCATGGCTGCAGGGCAGAAATATATCGTAGAATAAGCAACCACACACATAGTGAAATATGTACATACATGCAGTTACTCTCTTATTGATCTGATCGAGTATGTAGTATGTGCTGTGATTACCTGAATGAAACTTTGCAAAAGAGCTTCGATGACTCGGCTCCACCTACTGCACACCTGCGCAGACAACAAACAACTTCTTCAAGTATTACAGATCACAGCAGCATAGAGAAACGATGTTGCTAATGTTAGCGTCGTTAAGCTGAAGGATGCTTGCTTAAAATCAATTATATTCTTATATCTACCAAACCAATGATGATACTCATGTAGCGTTAGTTTGGGAGATTGGATATGTACTTGTGTCAATATCAGCGTGCGAATTAATTCATTGTCCATTATACAGTAGCGACACGATTTAACCATAACAAGAAGTGTTCCTGGAAAACCTTAGTACATGCACCTCACCGTAGTAAAAAATACACATGGAGTAAATAAGCTACTATTATATAATATGTTTGTCATACATTCAATGACAGATCTTTTATGCTATGTACTAGCTGACTACGACGCATCATCATTGATTATGCTATCGTAAAGCCTTTCTTTAGCTAGCCTGTTTCGAAACTGAATACAACACGATACCTAATAGGTTAGTAAATTGAATCGTAGTTCCTTAATCATAGAGATGATAGCAATGAGGGGGTTCTTGTTGTTATTTATTAAAGACGGAGAGAATACAACGTAATATAAGCATGGCAATAACAAGGCGAGGAGGAGGGACAAGGACAAGTTATCAACGTCTTTTTGCCGGGTATAATTCATTGTAGGCTAGTGATGAGACGCATACTTCATCAAACTCTTCACGTGATAAATACCGGTGCGCTAGTGCTTCCATGGATGTGTTCTCATTCACAAAACCCTGCCTATAATTTTTGCATAGAAGGTTGTTAAGTTGAGATTGATAACGGTCCTCCTCTATCTCTCTCTAATACATACCGTTGCATCAGTAAGCGCATGTCTTCCACACCGATCGAATACTTCTGGGCATGTTCTGCGTATGAGGTCAAGTCATCTGCTATCTGTTCAAAGAATACTTCGCTCCTAGTAATTGAGTGGGGTTTTTAGTAATTGGGTTCGCTGAGCACTATAAGAATGGTACGATCAGAGTAAAATATGCGACGATATTTGTAAAACGCTTACAATGCTTGTAATTTACTAGTGACTAGGTAAGGAAGCGGTGAACCCGAGAACTTTGTGAATAGTGCTCGAGCGTCAGCTTTTGGTATGGCTGCGCCACTATAGTATGTTTCATGGTAGGTGCTTTCATTGCTACGTTATGAACAGTATTCCATATTTAGTCATTCTCGTTCTTCTTCTGTGTCGATAGTTTACTGCCACCCCTCCCCCCAAGTTTCCAAAAGAAAAACAGACGTACCCAGCAAAGTGGTTCTTCACTTTTTCCAGCTTTTGGGACGCAAATGTATTTCCAGAAATGACTCTTGTGATGTTTTGTCGCCTAGTAAGAAGTTACTTATTATTAGTATCATGGCGACAAGCCCAAGTGACTGATGTCAGCTTACATTGCTTCAAGATTAACCAAATCCGCCATTTCAACGTCGTTGTCGTCAACATTGCTACCACCATCAAATTCGGTTGGAGCCTTTCTGCTGATGCTATCCTGTGGGCTTTTTTTTTGTTTTGAAGAGAACCGTAGTAATATTGGATTAGGCACATATCATGAGGCCATTGTTCTCGTCATTTGGGGTTTTGTTGGTTGGGAAAGAAAATGTTGGGGGTGGGGAGGATAAGTATGGCTGTTTGTTTTGGTTACATACGTTTTCCTATTCGATACTAGTCCAGCAGCTTGACGGTTGTTGCCATTCTTAGTACCATGCCCGCCCATTCCGGGTATTTCCCTAAGTACGGTAAATATCATCATCATCAGGGTCAACCCATGATCTTGGTTTTCTCTGTATCCTATAATGTGCTTACTCTTGCAAAGCATCGAAATCGGCTATCGGCTCAGGTAAATTATCCTCGGCTGCCTGACCCGTCGATGGTAAACTATCTTGGTTTTGTTCCATCACCAAACCACTGCTTCGCCGCTTGGATCTCGTGGATTCGTTGTCTGCCATTTGGAAATCGTCATCGTCATCGTCACCATAATCGTAATCAATATCATCGATATCTTGATCCATAAATTGTTGTTGTTGTTCTTGATCATTATTTCCTCGAGGAGGTGATGCTGATGGCTGTTGTTGTTGCTGTGATAGCTTTGTCCGTGCTGCGCTTGACCCTTCTGGTTGTGTGGATGGAGCAAAATGCTGTTTTAATTGTTCAGGAGATGTTGGCTGTGGGTAATGTCCCATTCTGCCCTTCCCTTTGATGTCGACATTGCCCCTGGTATCCTTCTTCTGCTCAGCATGCATAGGTGATTCTTGAAAAGCAAGAGGTTCTTGAGATGTAAGCAATGGCCGCTTATCCACAACCTTGGAAGGGCCAGCCCCTGGTACCTCATGCTGATCCATTCGTTCATATCGAGCGCTAGTAGCCCCAGTAGCAGGAGCAACTATATTACTAGTAGCAATGTGCGTAGCACTAACAGGAAAAGTCGTTTCTTTTGTTATTGACGTTGGTGCTAATTCCAAATCCAAACGAGAAGGCATCCACCCCGTACGGTCGTTGCCATCATTGCCATCGTTGTTATCGTCATTTTGGATCGCTGTTTCCTGCGATGCCACTAGTAAGTTTGAGTCTGCGAAATCACGTTGCGTCCTTTGGGTTGAAAACTCGCTAAAGTTCGTGTCAGAGTTATAAGAAATCATTGAAAGCGTGTCGTTGAAGTCCTGCATCGATCGGTGCCGCGTGTCACGTCGACGACGGAACGAGTACTTTTGGGTAAAGGTAGGAAGCTGCGCAGGTTTTTTTTGTAGCTTTTCATATTCGCGCTGAAACTCTTCTTCACGGTTACGTTTTGATAAGGACGTGTGTTGCTTTTGCAGCTGGAGTTGTTGTCGCTGAGATAATTCAAACGCACTTTGATCGGATTCGGTGTAAGTGCTGCTTTCCGGTTGTGATTCGCCGATCGAGGGTTCACTTGGTTGTGCTGTTACAAAGTAAAGCTAGATGTTAGAAAGCCAGTTTTACAGAATGAAAATACGAAGAATAAACAACTACACTTGATATGCATACCGTTGCTCAATAGCTGGAGTATACGGCCTGCTCGTTCGCGTGCTGATCGAGTACGTTCTTGGAAATCTTTAGCTGGTAAGTACAGATCCTATTGTACAATGTAAGTATATAGTAGATATGGCGTTTTCTAATGTACACGTACATCAAAGTTGTCATCGTCAGAATCGCCAGCAGTAGTGAATTGTAGATCCATAGTAGAATAATAGTTAAAAGGCACCGTTTTCGTCAGGACCTCAGCACAATTCATTGGCGGACTTTTCTTTACCACGTACGCTAGCAGCCAGCGCACACTTTTCACTTTTTTTTCCTTGTTGTTCTCATAATCTCTTTTCTTTTTACAACACAAAAGGAATTCACAATGGCACGAGACGAAGTAGCAACAGCTTCACGATCGAAAATTGATCCTGCAAAAGAAATGGAGATAATGAAGGCGACTACCCGTGCTGGAGGTGCCTACATTCCACCCCATCGACTACGACAAATGCAACAACAAGTGACCGACAAATCAAGCGATCAATACCAACGCATCACTTGGGAAGCGCTCAAGAAATCTATCAATGGTTTGATCAACAAAATCAACACTTCTAACATCAAAATGATTGCCCCTGAATTGTTTGGCGAGAACCTGGTCCGTGGCCGAGGCTTGTTCTGCCGCAGTCTCATGCGGGCACAAAGTGCAAGTTTACGATTCACACCTGTATATGCTGCCGTCGCAGCTGTCGTCAATACAAAGATACCAGACTGTGGTGCATTATTGCTGGCACGATTGGTAGTACAATTCCGACGTGCTTTCCGTCGTAATGATAAGGTAATGCTCTTTGTTATAACAGCTAGTAATAGCATTGGAAAACGATTGACACGTTATTTGGTACCATTGTGTTGTGTAGACTGTGTGCTTAGCTGTATGCACTTTTATTGCACATTTAACAAACCAACTCGTTGTCCACGAAATCCTTGCTCTACAAGTCCTCGCATTACTGTTGCAGCAACCCACGGACGACTCGGTCGAAATCGCTGTAGGCTTTATGCGCGAGGTCGGTGCTCACCTAGCCAATGTTTCCCCCAAACCTAACAACGCCATCTTTGAGACGTTCCGTTCTATTCTACACGAGGGCAAGATTGATAAACGTACACAGTACATGATCGAAGTCTTGTTCCAGGTGCGCAAGGATAAATACAAGGATAATCAGCCTATCATCCAAGACTTGGATCTGGTAGAAGAGGAAGATCAAATCACACATTACATCGGTTTGGACGACGAGGATCTTGACGTCGAGGAACGACTCAACATTTTCAAGTACGACCCTGATTACGCGGAAAACGAAGAGCGATACGCCGAACTCAAGGCTGAAATCTTGGGTGAAGGATCTGAAGATGAATCCGACGACAGTGATGAGGATAGTGAGGATGAGAGTGAAGAAGAAAGCGAAGATGAAGAGGACAAGCAAATGGAAATCCAGGACAAGACAAATGCCGATGTGATTGACCTGCGACGAAAAATCTATTTGACGGTCATGTCCAGTGTGGATTATGAAGAATGTTGCCACAAATTGATGAAGATCAATATTCAAGAGGGTCAAGAGGTAATGTATTAATAACTGAAGTTGTAAAAATCAAAGTATTGCGATTGGGTTAAAGTGTTATAAGCTAATTCTCTTTTGCTCAACTTACCATGTGCATAGATTGAATTATGTAACATGATCATCGAGTGCTGCTCTCAAGAACGAACCTTCCTCAAATATTATGGTTTGATGGCAGAACGCTTCTGCAAAATGAACCGGATATGGGGCGAGAATTTCGCGATTGCGTTCAACGAGACGTACGAGACTGTCCACCGATACGAAACCAACCGACTACGCAACATTGCCAAATTATTTGCCCATCTTTTCTTTACGGATTCCCTAGCCTGGACCTGCTTTTCGATCGTCCGTTTAACTGAAGAAGACACAACATCGGCATCGCGTATTTTCGTCAAGATTCTCTTCACCGAAATCAGCGAATTTTTGGGTTTAAAGAAGCTCAAGGAACGTATGGATGATCCATATATGGCCGAGTCATTCCAAGGCATGTTTCCCAAGGACAATCCAAAGAACACGCGTTTCGCCATCAACTATTGGACCAGTATTGGATTGGGTGCGCTCACTGAAGAGTTGCGTGAATGGTTGCGAACTGCCCCTCAACAAATTATGCGAAAGCGTCGCGTATCAGATTCCGATAGCAGTAGCAGCGACAGCTCTTCGGATTCGGAGAGTGACAGCGACTCAGATAGCGGCAGCAGCAGTGGTAGCGATTCGGAAAGTGATAGCGACAGTGTGAGCAGCAGTGGTAGTAGCAGCGGAAGCAGTTACTATGACAGAAATAAGAGAAGAAGACGCTAAAATCCCGTTTATTTATATCAATCCACCACTCCCAACCCCAATTTGTCTTTTCTTAATCAGTTAAATTGTCTAAAAATTTGCAAATATCACACACTATCAGAATAAAAAGCACGACCATTTTTTTATTGATGAGGAAGATCAGTATGCTCTATGTAGGATGGTTCAATAGTAACGGTCTAAGAGAATGTGTAATCGTCTATGAGCCTTTACTGCCAATTGTCATTATCTTTGGTGAATCATTGCAGTGATATGTAGTCAAGACTATTGTTTGCATACTGTTGATTATACATATCAGAGTATTGTGTTCCAAGATTCAAACTGAAGTTGTCACCATCTCGGCAGTCGAAAGTATCATAATAGTGATTTTAGAAGGTTTAAAGTCGTTTTCTGTAGCAGCAATTGTGAAAGTTGAGAGTAGAGCTATGCCAAAAAGGGGTGTACATAATGCGATCTAGAGTAGCAGAAAAATGATTTTCTGTCTATTCTTGTGGTAGTTTGTGCTGTAGCAGTCTAAGAATAAAGAACTGATATATGCGGAAACAAAAGTCATAAAATATAACAATGAAGTCTGGCTTTTGCTTTTTTTTACGCTTCTGACATTTGAAAATTTTTCTTCAGAACATATAGTAGATACTGTAACCCCTATCGATGGTAGCTAGCAACATGGCGACTAAATGGACGAAGAAAACAACAGAGAGAAATGGGTATAATCTCCACTTTATTACTATACAGGATATGAAAATACGCATAATACAGTACAAAAGGTTGGTAGTATTGTATTCCGAATAATACTGACTGTTATCTAAATGCGTTGAAACTAACCGCATGTAAAACGAAGATATAATGTATGTGCGGCAACCGTGCGTTGTCGTCATATGTAGAACCTTTTAGCTGATTTTATTGCTTTGCTGTATCAGTCTTCGTTAATTTCAAAGCACAATGGCACCAACGAAGGCTACTATCGAAGCAACGAGTAACGAGGCGAGCATGGTGGGTGATTCTTTAAATATGGATCCTTGGCTGCATTCCGGTATTTTATTGTAGTCGAAACTTCCACATTGGCCATAGAGTGGGTAATATCTGAAGCCATATGGGCACTGCCTTATATACGTCTTGCCAGATTCTTTGTCACATTTGTAGAAGGTAATACATGTCGAATTCGGAACCGCCATATGCGGTATGCCACTTTTGGCGTACTCCTTACACATATCAACATAATGTGATTCTGCGATCACATTGCCGTAGAGATTTCTGGCAATCAATGCAGTAATAGCGTTAGACGTCCCATTTGTTGTTCGTACAGTAGCAGCAGTGGAGTACGGCAGTAACCAAATGGCACCAAGGAGATTAATCGAAAAGATAGCGGCACACAAACGCATCTTAGCTTCTCGTTAAGTGGTATATGCGCTTTAGCAGGAATGTACGGTACAAGATACACTGAGAATGTAGTAAAGAAAAAAGTAGATGGATAGGTTGCAGAACTTTCTGCGGGTGCCTCAAAACTTAAAGGTGTCCTTTTATACTTTTAAAAGTGCTATGATATGGCGTCTCAATTTCAGACCTATAACTGACGACTTAGCAAATCCAATATGACATCGTCCGGATTCTCATTGACAACATATCGGCCTGGCAACAATTAGCGCTTTGTAGGCCAGTCGACTGTCCCAAATCACGGTTGCCTCCGTCACCTCAGCTAGCAGCACGAAAATTTTCTAGTCATTACAGGTGAAAACTTGTTATTTTATGTCAAAGCTGGTTAGTATGAGTGATAGTGGGTCACCACCAGGAATAGCTAGAATAGCAAATAAAGGTTGCAATCCAAATTACGATTTTCTATTATTGTGAAAAAGAGTAAGAAGTAGCGTAAGAATTTGTGAATTCAGGTGCAATCTAGTAACAATTGGTGACTTCAAAGGAGGAGAGGAGATCTCAAATTTTTAAAGTATCACGGAGCCTTGAGCCATGTGGTCTTACGTCAGGATACACATGATAATCGTTATGTCGAGGCGATTTAACTGACTGCAAAGTTCCAACCAAAAAATCAATGTTATCTGCTTCGGCAACACAAAGCCAGTTGTTTCGTTCGTCATGTGGCGGTGGTCCATAAGGCATTCCATACTGGGTTTGTTTTGTGCATCAATTCTCTGGCCTAAGTCATAGTTTTTCAAACGAAACACTGTCATTGCTTTCAGAAGAATCTCGTGCATGACTCTGATATGGTCGTTTTGTTGATCCTGATACAGTAGTTGACTCGAAAAAGAAATTGTGCGCGCTCCTACACTGCATACATTTAGGAAGTTGATGCATTGTTCAATTTTTTGAACGACAAGAAGTAAACCCAAGAAAAGGAAGTAGAATAACTGATTCAAACCATTTTCTGGTGACAGAAACCACTTTTCGTTAAACAAGTGGTATATAGAATTTTTGAAGTTGCGTGTTTATCTGCTTTTAAAATCCTTTTCCATGACCTCCTGTCACTTTCCAGAATCCTCGTAGGTCCACCAAGGAGCAGACAGTTTATGGTATGGCTTGTAGTGTATAAAATGCCTTCCAAAAAAAAACAACTATGACAAAAAATAAAAATTTCGAACCAGGGATAAACGATCACTTGCATGAATTGTGCGACATCATTTATAAGAGGTTGTGACTATACAGTATACTAGCAGGTACAGCATATTACCTTACCATTGATGTGATGTTCATTGTCCTTATGATGAGATGCTTGGGAAACAAATGAAGCACCACTGGCTGTTCTGCTATACATAAATTGCCTAAAGAAACTATTCCAAAGACAACCAACTCTGTCAATGATTAAAGTGCATTGTAAGAGAAACAATGGCACTGCTGCTTCTTTCCTTGCTATGGCCTCATCCGCTTTAGCTGTCTATACAGTATTGCTTATATTTCTCTAGACTACAAGGGTCAGGATGTGCGTGATTGATGTGAATGTACAGCTATTATGTTAATGTGTTGCAACACATATGCAAATGGTGGCTCGAGTCATTAGCCTTGCATTTGAGCGATGGTTTAAGACAATTTAGCACTTTAGCTTTAATGGCAGTTTGTTTGAGCACTTTAAAAAGATGTTGTTGGTTTGCACGTCATAAAGGCTTTCCCCAGCTATATGCTATATGTGATGTGCTATTTAATCCATTACTTCCAAACCTTTAAGTGTTTAGGTCTCTTGAAACTTCTAGAGCTTATACATCAGTTATCTCAATAAAACATTCCCTTCTAAAAAAAATCACGAGCATATGATAAAAAGCTGTTTTCTCTGATAAAAAAAAAGGTTTATTACATCAAAGTACCACGATCATCAACTTTTTTGTTTCAATCACTATTACTGAGCGGTGAAGTGCTCATCATTGGTGGACTACGTAAGCAATATGAAGTATCAGTTAGCACATGGTAGGCATTTCACATCAATCTTATCTCTATCTTCAACTTTTCTTACCTTGGTCTCCGGCCGCCCTTGGCCTTACTAATTGCTGCTAATTTTGCCGGTGGATGATCCGTGGGTGTCAATAGCTCGAAGCTGCAGAGTAACTCATCGTTGATGCTCATGATTGCACCAAAATTGTCAAACTCTCCACAGTAGTTTGGCGCTGAAAACACAGTGACAAGTGTCCTCTCATTAAAGAATTCATATCCGTCTTCAACAACCTAAAAACATAAAAGAAAACTCTTATTAAGATGCCGAGATACACTAAACCCTATTCTTCTCTTGTAGAAATAGAGAAGGAGCGACAACGCTACCATATGTGCCCTGCAAACAAGATCAAGATCAAACTTTGCAAGAAATTCGTTGACAATCCGTTTTCCAAAACAATATGATACTCCTCTGTCACTATCCTCCCAGTCATCGGTGCTAGTTGAAGGATCTGACCATAAAAGGTCGCTAAAAAGTGGTGGGTAAGTTTTACTTCTCTCGTTCAGATCTTGTTTTGTGTTATATTTACTTCAATAGCCCATATTCAGGCACATCGGTAGGCCGTATAATGTTTCGTACGTCGTCTAAAGAGTTTAGTGACGGACTTAAACCGCCATGTACACAGAATATTTTGCCTGCCACAAGCGCAGCGATCGGTAGTGTGTTGAATACATCGATAAAGACACGCCATATTTTTACATTGGTACGTCTTTTACATTCGTCATAAAAACCATATACTGCAATCAGGGTGTCACACAGTTATCAGAGAGATTTTTTGCTTATTAGCGCTCGTCTTCCTTTCAATATACACAGACTCTCTCTATAACCACGTTCGAAAAGCATTAAAAACTTCATCCTTATACCTCGGGTGACATTGGCGCATTCGTGATTGCCTCGGGTTAGAAAGAAATTTTCCGGATATTTGATCTTGTAGCAAAACAGTAACAAGATGGTTTCCAAAGACTGTTTCCCCCGGTCGACATAGTCGCCCATGAACAAATAGTTGGAATCCGGTGGAAATCCACCCTATCATGTAGTTCATATTTGAGTCTCTTTCATCATGTTTCAAGCCGACGATTATCTTCAAGTTCCCGCTATTTACCATTTCAAATAATCGCAAAAGATCGTGAAATTGTCCATGAATATCGCCCATGATCTTGACTGGTGGACTCAATTCGATCATTGACTTTTAAATCATTTGATGATATATTATGCAGCATCTCGTTATTAATCGTTGATGATTTGACTATCTTCATTTTGTTTATGATGCAACAAGAAAGGTATAGACTTACGGGCTGACTAAGGAACACTTCTTGTGCTGCCCTACATATGGCCGTGATTTCCGAGTTTCTAAAACAGATCGACTTGTGCACTTTGCCACCCATGCCTACTTCAAGCAAACGGTTGATACATTCGTCGATGTCCAAATTGCTACCAATGGATCGCATGGATGTGGCTGTCAGCTGGTTCTGATCCGATAACGTCAACTGATTCAAATCGGTATTTAGGGAATCGTCATTGTTGTCTTGTTCATTTGCGTCGTCTTGTTGGTCAAGTGCTGCTAAACGATCGGTCGCGTTGTCTTGTACTGAATTGGCTGGTAAAGGTTGTTGTGGGCTGTTGGAATTTACGAGTATGGAATTCAACGAAGTTGTCTTTGGGTGTTTATGCACAATAGCAGTTCGTATTACGTGAATTGCCAGAATAGAAAAAAGGGATCAGCATTATCATCAAATTATGTGGCACCCTTCCTTCTCCGGCGCGCGTGCATGCGAAGTATAGGGCTTACAGTAGTGTTGTAGTATTCATTATCCGAGTTTTCTGTTCTGATGATACTGGGCCTTTCCTTCCGTTTTTTGGAGCTGATATTGCCCATTATTTGCTGGATTAAAGGAAAGTTAAAGAAAAGAACAACAAGTAGTTTAATACGGGGGTTTTCTTTTTTTTACTCATTTTTTTTAAACAATTCCCTGGAACTTCTCTCACTCGTAGATCTTTTCCCCACATGCAGAGAAGACTAGGCTTCTTACAGCGGTTTGCTTCCATCCTTCCCGAGCCCAGCTCACGCAAGCTAAAGTCCCCTTTCTTCAAAAGCTTTGTAATACCGAGTTATTTGCCACCGGTTGTTATACTTGCATTTGTTTGTATAGAGTGCATTAACTTGTATAAGTAAAGCTGTAGTGACCATACTAAGCAACAATTTGCAGAAACAAGTGTCTTATCATAAATTGAGATGATGCATGGTAAACACCCATTTTCAGGAAAGAGCAAGGAATATGTGTTTGGATTTATGTGCGTGGGGGAAAGATGGGTTTTTTGCTGTCTATGGCTTAATTGACTTGAAGCTGACAGTTTCATTATCGTATAGGATCGCTAATGTATTGGTTGTCGAGAAGCGAAAGCGAGATGACAGAGAGATATGCACAGGTTTTCGGTTGTTTGTGGGCTCGATTGAACCGTTGTTGTTGTTGTTGGTATCGTTCTGTGATGCCTGATCTGTAGACAAATTGACGACCGAGTCATTTATGTTGCCACTATTACAAAGAAGATATCAGTAAAGTTAATGTTCATGGATGCACCCATAGAATGAAAACAGAAAAAATTACATTTTTGTTAATGCGGATTTGTTCTTGAGCGTCAAAGGTGATTCAATATCTACTGCGTACAAAGCAACTGCCGAAGAATTGGTGAAGATCACAGCCAACCTCCGGCCAGTATCAGGGCATAGTACAAGCTCCTTGATCGAATCTCCAACAGTAAAGCATTTGCCATCCCCGGCTACGCTGTCAATCGAGGGTAATGCAGAGTATACTTTTTCATGGCAGATCTCTAGATAGCAGATAGATTTAGTTTCTCGGCCTGTGATAGATACCACCGCTTTTCAATGGGTATATTTTTAAGTTTACCTGAAGCATTCGATGATCCTGCCCAGTAAATGAGATGAACATCGCTTTTACCGTGCATGGAAAGCAATAAGCTTCGACTATCAGGTGCCCAGCATGCAGACTATATATCATTTCATAAAGGATGTTGGTATCACTATACATTGCTTTTACAGATCTGCCCGCAAGGATCGTATTATCCCATACCTGAACCCATAAACCCGGTGGATTATTCAACTCTTTATACGTCCAATCCAATGTATCCCACATGCGCGAGGTTCCTGATCTGAAAGTGAATCCATAGAGATAATTCTTCAGTCAATAAACCTTGTAACATAGCTACTGACGTAACCGTAACTTACTTTGTCGCCACATAAAGCCATCGTCCATTTGGACTCCAGCGTAACAGCAGATTCCCTTTTCCTTTACGTTTAAGCGGCATCGTGCTTAAGAACATTGTGTCATAAACCACAATTGTGCCCATTGTTCCCGATGCTGCTGCAAGAAGATGACTGGCTGGTGATGGATCCCAAGCTATCGAGCTGATATTCTCATGTTCCGGATGGAATAAGTAGTTCATGGATGCAGAGTCTTGCTCTGATTCGCTTCCAAGGTTCCAAAGACAAATACCTTTTCTAACAGGTTAAGAAGAGATCAAGTCAGTTAAACACCATCAACTATCAGTCGTCAATGCTTCCGCTTTCTTACCGACATCCAACGGCAAGTGTACCGCGTGCTCGTTTTTTCCATTCAATACACGTGATATCACGCATAAATGGATGTTTCAACACTTCGCGCTTCCAGCCTTGGTGTTGTCCTTCTCGCTCGTAAACATAAATTGCATCGTGTTCATCGGCAAAAGCAATAATGTTGCGGTGTGGGTGCCATGCCATGGATCGAATCGCATCACTTTTCAATTCCGGTGGATCGTTAACAAGCTGACTAGTGGGTCGATAATATGTATGAATCAATTCACCAATGACGCGTGGTACATCATAAAGTGGACTAGTATACATGAGTTGTCTTGTCCGTTAGTCGTCTGATGTTCCTCCTCCTCCTCCTCCGCCCTTCCTTTCCCTGTCAAGCGCAGATATGTCCATGTAATTTTTGCTTACGTGTTCGCAGTACTGTTTTCGTACCCTTTTGTACTAAATGTGTAGACAAATAGCAAAATGAACGTTCAGCCTTTTCATATATATATTAAAGTGACGATAAATTCCTTTCATAACTCGTCTTGAAGTAATACTACGTACATATCCCGAATATACTGTCGCAGCGGATTGGTTAAGCTGGTAAAAAACCCTTGTTGAGCGGTATCCTGGGCAGGAAAAGTAGTAGTTTCTGTGGCGCGCACTGGTGCAGATTCGCGAGTCAAAAGTATGGAAGGTGGGAGCTGGTCCTAATCAATTAGAGCAGTGGATTCAAGTTTAATTACTTTATTGCATTTTATCGTATCACAGGTGAGTTGGAGATAAAAGCGATAAAGGGGGAACGTGTATGTTTGAAAAAAAAAGGTGTACTGAGTACTTCTTACATTACTGTGCAGGAATTGATCCGAGACAGGATCGTGTTCATCCATGACGTTGACTGGAATAAAAAATCATTACCAAATTGCTACTTAGCAAAAAGCAAAAACAATCGTGCAAAAAGAACAAAAAAAGCCTGTTGATACCTACTTTTTACTGTTGTAGAGAATAAAGAAAAAGAGATCTTCCGTTTAGCTAAAGCATTTTTTACGCGAATTTCAGCTGCGAACCGCGACACGCGCTTAGAAAAAAAATCGGCCCTTTTCATCCTGTTTCATTTGACAGTATAAGTTCCTCTTCGGCTAATGGTATTTTAGTAGCAGCAGCAAGAATAGGATTAGCGAGAGATCATAAAGGTCCAAACACCATCACATACACTAACGACCTGTTGATTCAGCGAGAGGGAGCTTGCAGCGTCAACCACAGCCGGTAACCTGCAGAAAATGCGCAAGTAGAGCTACTAGCCAATATTAACAACAACATTATATCTTTGGTTATTCCGACAATACTTGTCAACAAGTAGTTCTTTTATATATACAGATGACAGCAATAGTAGAGGTGGGGGAGGAATTAAGGTTTTGACTGAACAATCGTAACGGTGTCTATACCCTCAGAGAAATAAGCCGCCCTGATAGCAGCGTAAGGTAGCGTGAGCGTCTCGCGTGGCGCATGGCCGACAATGTTGTTGTTGCACGCGGCAAAAGGGCCAGCTACGTTGCCGGCATTCGTCTACACTAAACCTGAACTAGGAAAGGCTCTAAAAAACTCAACATGCTATCAAAATTGGAGTACTAAGTTTTAGTAGTGTATATGTTGATGATGAAAAATCAAATAATATTAAAACTGCATGCAATGCCTCATTTTCCTTATTTCAAGTGATATTGCTTATCTTCCGATATTTTTTCGGGATACGGGAAGGGGGAAAACGGATGCAAATGATGATGAAGAGTAAGAAAGAAAGAAGAAAAAATGGAAGCAATACCAGGAAACGAGCTTGTGTCAGCTGTGGGTAAGATATAGGGAATCGTATGTATTCGTTACTTTTTGAATAGCAGTTGTTACTATTATTACACTTTCTTATATCCTGATTTCTATTATACATCTATATACATCGATGACGATATATAATGTATGTAGGGTCCCATGTAATAATATTATGTCAGAAAAATTAGAGTTTAATCGCATACGTACAAATTCCATACTTTCAGCAAACAGGAACGGTGAGGGGCAAAAGAAGGGTAGGGATGAGAGATGAAGTAGGGGAAGCAGGTACATTATATGATACAAATGATTGGACCTACACACTTATCAATATACACCATTTTCTTTAAGGTTATGATATTTACATAATAACAATAGCAGTGGCAAAAAAAAGTTTACATTAATGGATATAGAAAATGAGAGATACAACCAGCGATGTTACAAGGTATTATTGTCGAAGAAGAAGCAGAAGACACAAGCACTTTATTGTTGTGTCTAGACCCATAAGACGAAAGCACATAGTTCTTTGTGGTTCATCCCCCGAGTTATGATGGTGAGCTATGCTTCAAGTAGTAGTAGCATCTGTTGTTGTGGGGGTGGTGGTAATGCTCGTATCATCCTGTTGCGACCGTGCATTGCAGCAGTAGTAACTGTAGCTGGTTGTTTTGTACATCATGGACTCCAGAAAGTTTGCAAGTGCCGCATAATTCTTGCAATGCCGGGGAAGCACTTGACGTTCGATACGGTCAAGTTCCAGGGCAATCCAATCATTGATACCTGCAGGTGCGCCACGCACATAGTCCCAGCAAGTAAGCTCCTCTTCTTCTGTTGTCGAAAATATTGATGACGATGGTGTCCCTGCTGTTGGAACAGGCATTATCTTTCTAAAACTTTTTTTATGTAAAAGATATGAACAAGATAATAAGACCGAAAACAAGAAGGAACAGAAGAAGAAGCGAAGAAAAAGGAAAGAGTGAAAGAAATGTGCAAAGCCCTATTCTTTCATGAAAAGTGCATACTTACACATACATGGAGTGTTGTTTGTTGATGTACATTTCACTTCAGACCCTCATCAGCCTCATTGTGTACCACCACAGGGACATGACGCAAAAAAGTGTGTTGTTCATCCATTACCGGTGTTCTTTTTTCTTTTGCGGAGGCTGGAGTGAAAAGTACAAAAAGACAGGTGAACTGAGATCAATAATCAGGTATTACACACTTTGATGATGATTGAGTTTTGACGACTTGTGTGTAGCACTGTTAGGGGGTCCCGTGTCACAAGCTTATTCTCTATTAGTTCTTTGAGCGACACCCTGCAGAATCTTAACCGAACGGCGATAATGTTCGATGATGGTAATTGTTATGCCAAGGGCAACACGGCAACCACGACAAACGGTCATTACACAGAAAGATTTTGAGTTCTCTACTGCATACCTTGGGAGCTTCGCGCCCCCCTTCTCCGACCTATTTCAAGTGTGTCCCATCCCTTCGCTCGGTTCCTGCCCCCAAACCATCCTTTCTCCTTTCTCCCCCTTTTCCCTTCTCGTAGAGAATATCTACTCAGTATAAAAAACAATGTAGTACAAGCAAGGTACGTGGAGTAGCATTATCTGAGCTGATATATTTAAAATCTTTTGGAAGAGCGAGACCTGCTGCCTTATTTTATTACAAAGGAAAAAATGGATGGATGATATTGGTGATGGTAGTATCAATAGTAGTAATAGTAGGGTTAGTAGTAGTAGTAGTCGTAGTAGTAGTTGTAGTAGTAGTAAGAAGTAATAGTAAGAGAAGGTGAAATGGAAAAATAAACAAATGTATAAAGAGGAAAGAGAGAAATATATATAAAATATATATAAAAAGACGCTGTGTATGTGTGAGAGTGAACAGAAATGCGACATTGAATATATATGTTAAGCTCGGACAGCAATGATTTTGTTCGCATGGCTTGTAATATTGCTCACACCAACCATGGGCTCACGGGACCGTCGAAGGCGCAATCGTTCGAGAAAGACAGAATGCGTGGCTACTGGCACTGGCTCAGATGACTTTCTATTAATATCGTCGTTGTTGTTTCCTTTGGCGGCGGGACTGATGGCTGTGGTGGGCAGTGGTGTATTATAGGCGGCAGTAACCGATGGGACAACAATAGCAGCATCGTTAGCCCTGCTATTCTTCATGCTGTTGTTGTTGTTGTTGTTGGCGAGCTTGCTGTTGCTGTTGCTAGTGCAATTGCTAGTACTCGGCTGAATCGATCGAGGCGATGAGATCGTTGCAGATGAGATGCTCGGGCTGGAGCTGAATAGCCGTTGATGTTGGGATGATAAACGTCGCTTGATCTTTGCTGAAGCAGATGGGACAATGCTAGTGCTTTTGTCATAACTGCGTCGGGGCTGCTGGCTAGGTGAAGGGGCTAAACTGGGCTGTAGTTGATGGTCCTTGTTGTTGTGATGATGTGGTTGTCGTGATAAGGACGAGAGCTTACTAAGTGATGTAGCAATGAATCGACTCGCAGAAGACTTGAGTGGATCGGGTGGAAGCGAGGAGTAGGCACGTGATGCATTAGAAGTAGCAGGCGACGCGGCAGATGCTTTACGTAAAAACACACTAAAGCTGCGACGACTGTTGTTGCTACTGCTGTTGCTGCTTTTGCTGCTGTTGCTGCTGCTACTAGTTGTGCTGCTGCTATCACTATTGGCTGATGACGATACAGATCGACGAGGCTTGTAACCTAGAAACTACCCATTTTAGTTACTGTTATTCTATATAATTTTCCTGATTCTATTGCTGCATCACTATCAGTACTGCTGCTGCTGCTAAGGCCTAGTGTAAATAAGTAATTACCTTCTGTCAAGGCTTTGGGCATACCCTTTTGTTTGACACGTTTGATCCATGCTGTCAATTGAGGATCAGCACGCATGCATAACTCAAATGTCTTTTCATACAACGCTAGGCGCTCGCAGGTGTTTTTAGTCTCCATCATCTCCGAATAAGATCTTGCCCGGTATCGCTTGTCCAGCTTTGGTCTTGCTGTACCATCGTATGGTACAACAGCACAAACACGTCGATTTCTTCTGGAAGATCGAGGTGGCAATACGATTGTGTTTTCCATTGTTGTTGTTGTTGCTGCTGCCGCTGTCTAGGGATTAAAAACAATCAGAAGGAGAGGAAGTCTTCCCAACTGTTGAGAGATGATAGAAGGGAAAAAAGGATCCATCTGGGAAACGGGTTGTTATATTTATATTAACCAAATATCTGAGCTGATGGTATGATTTGATGTGATGATACAATCACATATAAAGCATATAGTTCGGTGTATTCCGCCTCCCTCCCTCAAAAAAATCCACCCCTTTGTATGAGTCCTTTTTCTTCCCCTCCCCCAAGATACCCCGCCCCTTTCTTAAGGTGAATTATAGTATGTGCGAAGAAAGTTCTGTAACTCTTTTTTTCTAATATCTCTCTCTCTGTGTGCTGTTTCAATCAAACATATTACAACGCGCCATTAGAAAATAATTACTACAGTAGAAGTATCCAAGAGTATTATTACTTCATACAGTGAGCTATGCTCTATACTGGCTCCTTTCATTTAATTCTAATAGCTCTCTCTAGATACAATCTCTCATGCCGGTATCTCCCGCCTTTACACTTGTAATGCTTAATAAATAGGTTGGATATATGGAGAAGGAAAAAGAGGGTTTCCTTCTCCTCCTTAACAGCCCGAGGCCTCACTTGGTATCAGAAACAACTCTTTTGCAAATCTTATGATGTTATCTGTTACTGTGATTGCTATATCAACATGCGATCTGCCAACCACCGACATCATGTAGGGATCAATAATGAACAATGAAAAACGAGTTTGTGGTTGGATTAGTTTCTTGGGGCTCCTCCCCATCTTCCTACTCCTCCCCTCCAGGTGTATGATAGAAATAGAGGCGCTGGAGATAAAGAGTGTATACGTGCGGGCGAATGCACGTCCCTTTCATCTTTTGCTCTCGCACACTCTCTAACACGCACACAAACACTTCCGAAATCCCTGTATTTAGTTTTTTTCGATCTCGGTGACTCTCCGCTCTAACCTAACAATCAATGCAATTTTCTTTTCTTCTTTCTTTTCTCTACTTCTTTTCTCTACTTCTTTTCTCTACTTCTTTTAAGTTATATAAGGAGGTAGAATAATAAAGGAACTAGCGATGGCTACGATGAGAAATTTGTATTGATAGTTGTCAATAGTCAAAAGTAATGTGTCTCGTATCGTACATCATGCATGGTCGTTCATGTATGACGTTTTATCTGCCCAACAATTCTATTATTTACAGTACAAAATATACAGATGGCGTAAAAGTAAAGTTATGGATTAGAACTATAGAAGACGATTTGTTAGTGACGACCTTTTAGAGAGCGAAAGAGCGAGGAGAGAAAGTGAGTGGATGTAGGAGAAGGAGGTGTGGGATTGTGTGCGTATAAAGAGACCGGGAGCTGCATACTGCAAGATCGGCATGGTCGTGCACCGCCTTAACTTCATCGGTTACTTATCTCACTAAAAGAAGGGAACAGCTTCTACTATTACTATTACTAGTACTACTACTGCTACTACTACTTCTGCTGCTGGTTATTTTTATTCCTGTGCCCCTTCAAATGCATTTAATTCAAGTTCCAGCACACGGATCACCAGTTCTTTCCATCCTACATACTACCACCATCCACTGGATGGAAAACTAGGGCATAGAAAGATTTACGTACGAGTATAAACTGTATGATAACATTTACACTTGGCATTAAACCCAGTTTGACTACTACTTTTACGTTGACCTATAATAGTTGTCGCATTTTCTGCTATATAATGCTGCCCATATATACTACATGTCGGCATAAAATAGTTAATCAAATACAATACCAAATGCACGTAGAACTCTCTGTCTCTTTAAAATGACGACATTAATGATAAGTGATCACCATTCACCTTTTATTCGTTACAAGAAGGTTCACCAAAAGGAAGAGCGAGAGAGAAAAAAAGACTCTAGCTACCCCACACCACTCCCTTACTTTTCGTTCCGAGTAAGAAGAGTAGGGGCCAGTTTTGGTGCGCGTACGTGATATGTACAGAAACAAATGAAACGGGGCTCACAGACTGTCGCATCATATTTTGTGAGACTGTGTACGTGTGCCTACACATACTGTATGAGAGCAGGAGAAGCACGAAGAGGAGCGACGCTTATATGTCTTCCTTTGCCTCTCTCTCTCTCGTTTCGGTATACATTGCAGCTTTCAGAACGTGTAAATCAGTCAAAGAACATGGGTACGAGGGGTGCAGCACTTCGTGCTGTGTTTATGCCATGTATGAGCCAACTTTAGCCAAACGTTAGATAAAGGATTGTGCACTTCACGAAGACCCAATTTGATGATAAAACATACTGCCCAAGGAGAGTCGGAGTGCGCTTCCCTTCTTTTCATATCATCATCGCTCAATTTGCTACAGTAGCTGCTTCTCACTTGTTCTCTGCCTTCTTTTTTCCCCTCTTCTGTAGAGTACGTAACCCCTCTCTTAATCCACAGTCTCACCTCTCAGCTTCTAGTTCCTTTTCACTGACAGTGCATATGCAGACCTGATTAAAACAGGAAGAAAGCGAGGAGAAGAAGGCGGTATGCGTGTTCCTGGGAAGACCAGCCATTCACTTGTTTTACTCTGTATTCTCGTACGCATGAATGGTGTTACACATGATCTATATCTCTCTTCTGCTCTCATCACAAGTTTAATGAGTATTGATGATAGCTCGGGGTATTTTATTTACTGTTTTGCAACTTTCACTCGTCGTCGCCTTCGACAACATCATATAAAACGCGTATCCGTAGCGAACAATTATCACAACAAACAACGTCAATGCCTTGCTCCAAATCGTCCTCAGTGATTGCATATGTTCCCGAACATCGACATCTCATCGAAAATGTTAACTTGTCTTCATTATACGCCATATCGTCCAGATCAATTTCGCTATTGATAACTGCACCTTGTCGCCGCTGGCGGGCTGATCATAATTCCATACAAAAAACCAAAATCACCCCCTCATTTCCCGTTAGTAAAAGCGGTTCTCCTTGCTCTTTAGGTATACTTCCTTTTCCCTCCCCCTTTTCCTTTCATATCGAAGAAAATGCTCTCTCTTTCTCACCTGCAAGCTCTGCGTCATATTCCTTTCGACTTTGTGGAGTCCGCAGTACATCCCATGCACGAAGAATGCGTTGTGCTTGATCATCGTCTTGCGGTACAGATCCCCGCTTGTCTGGATGATGCTGTCAAACAATAATAATTTAGAACTACATGTCTACCTAGAACTTTTTGCTTTTACATTTACCCTTAAAATGAGGTTTTGGAAGCGAAACTTGATCTGTTCTGAAGTCGCATTTTCCGAGACATTTAGAACCTCGTAATGGGTTTCTTCCATTTGGGCATGGAGCACAAATCAGCTTTAGTGGCTTGGTCCAGAGGAAAAGGGAGGACAGATCAATGCTTGCTATTTCTCTCTCAGCAATTACGTTCGTGAAGATCGATTATAGATATCATCCTTTACCCTGAATGCAGGTTTCATCTATTTTTGAACGCCACTAATTTTGAAGATCTTCTTCATTCTTTATCATGACGACTTAACGATGATGGCTGAAAATCAAACACCCTCCTACCTACATCCAATAAAGTGATCTTCAAGAAGGTTGACTTTTCAGGGACAGAAACAGGTCGCATCCATGTGATCCTTGATATTTAGCCCCCCATACCTCTACATATTTGACCGCCATTGTTAAAAGCTTAATTAACAATGACTATTAGTCTCCAACTACTTTGATACATAATATGAAAAAGGAACGAAAGAAACGATTTCTGAACGAGTACCACGTTGCTGCTGTAGATATAAGGTTATTTATCGTTCTCACCTCCTCCTCTCCAATCTTTTTTAACTACACCGATTTTAGCGTATATAGGATGATAGATAAATATACTGGTAAAATAGCAGTATAAACGATATGAAATAGAAGAATCTTGCTGCTATTGTAATGCTTGCTTAGCTCGTCCTCGTTCTATTGGCGCTGCCTCATCCTCACGTAGTAGATACAATCTGGGAACGACATGGTGCCTGCTTTTTCGTAAAAGAGGAGGGTAACAATCGCATAAAAGATCTCATCTTTTCGGTACAAGATCTGTCGTATGTAATACATACTGCATGACTATATCCAAGAAGAACGAGGATGTATCATTTCTCTTTCTCCATCCTCCCCCTTTACATCTATTCATATAGCAAAAGCAATGTACTTATTATATTCGTCAGTAATATAAGAGTATGCGCAATAAAAAAGAACCTCGTGTGCCAAGCCAGAAGAGCAAGAAAAAGTGTATATACAATTTCGAACTAGACACACTTGGTACATGTGTGCACTCTCTTTTACTACATACTAAAATCAACATCTGCGGAAACGTAGATCTCATTATGCTTTTAAAGGAGAAAGGGTGTCTATATCAGCATGATGCAAGCAACCCCTCTCATCCCGTCCATAAAATTGTCAAAAGATGACGAAGAAAGAGAGAGACATACATGCCTTGATACATATTTGATTGGTTTTGATGAGCGGAAATGAGAAGAGAGAGAGAGGAAGAGAAGCCCATTGAATGCTATATTATTCTCACTTAAATGACTACTTGTATGCACAGTAGGGGTATATCAAACATTAGATCTCATACATAAATGTATATACATACTAACCAGCCTAATTATTTTGCACATGTATGTATAAACACGGCTAACAGTGAAAGTGCGAACAGCGGTTCACGCGACTTTAGCAGTAATCGGCTGATAATATTAATGAGAGAGACAGTGGTAAAATGGAAAAAAAAATTACGAGCGAAGGCATGTCCTTGTTGCTCACCGCACATTTAAAAGGGGTGTTTCACCGTATTATATTGATTATGTACTACATAGGAGCTCGACGAATATTCCATGGAGCGTATACATAATTCTTTCGTATAAATTATTCGTTATATGCACAACCAAAGTACGATGGTGCCGGAACCATATCGCATATACCAGTGGTTTGCTTAATCCAATCTCCACACTATCCGTTATTTTACTGCGTGTTTTGAGAACAACGCGACTTGGGTCTCGGGACGGGCAGTGGGATGGTATGCGATCTTGGCGTGGTGGTCTGAGCTTTGTGATGTAACATCATCTGTTTGTTGTAGGTAGTCCAGAATCAGAACATCGGCAGATATATGTAATATGTAACAAGGCCGTGCTTTGGCGACGATGATGGTATGTATATTCTTTGAGTTGTTCAATTGATAACTAGAGAGGCAACATGTGGTTATGGGCTATACTAATATTACATCATAAATAACTAACAATAGAAGCCCTTGATGCATCCCTTACAGCAACTTCTTCCCCCTTCGGAAGCTTAGGAAAGAGGCCGTTATAACGGATGGGGTTTCTGGCTTGAATTTTGAAACCATTCTAGTCATGAATAGATTGAACGTTTGAATCCATGGAGCAAGAGGGACACGATAATGGATCAAAGAGCGAGTGAAGAAGTTATAACCAGTCTCTTTATTAAACTACGAGACTTACGCGACAAGCTTCAAGCAACTGTTTGCTACACAAAGCTCATTGGATAGCTTTTTTTAAGAATGTCATATCAATTTTATTTAATACATAAATCTTTGTCAGTCGAAACTTATATTATTATTGAAACTATAAATGGAGGAGCACTATATCACAACTCAAAAAGATTTCAACCCTGAATGATCCGTTGAAAGTGGAATTATGCGGGGATCATGTGAAGTTTTTATTGTGTTATTCTTACAATTCCCAACATTCTGGTGAAGATATCGAGGAACACGAGTGTTGACATGAAATGACAAACTGGCTCATTTTAATTGACACCTAATATTTTCAATGTCGTTCTTTTTGCAACCATCAGATAACAGGGTTGATGTCAATGATATCGCGATGAAAAGTAACATATGTATGTACACTTGTTGTAAAGAAAAATGTCCGGCAAGTCTGTAATATTTGCCGGGGCAGTGCAGTTCGAAGATTATATTGAATGATGGAAATGTTGAGATTCTAGTATTCGGAAGATTGAGAAGGAAAAAATCAGAGCATGAACAGGTGCAAATATATCCGCCGCAGCAGAGATAGCTCAAGTGACCTGTCAAAACATGATCTTGTGCACTGTTTGGGAAGCGACCTTTGTGTGTGAGACAACGCCAATACGTCAACGATAATGGCAGATAGATTTCTGCAATGGTTGCAACAATGGTTGCAACAATGGTTGCATACAGTGAGACGTACGTAGAAAGTAACCGCAAAACATTTTCTCTATATCTTGGTTTAGACAACAGTAGCTCTCGCTAGTGCTACATATGTCATCTTTTATTTCCACACAACGATTTAATTGATACATATATATGTATAGATCAATAGACAGAATGTAGAGGATATTATACGCTTATGGGAATCGGAAAAGAAGCCCATTCATGTTTGGAAGCAAGATATGTTGCGCATGTCAGTGAATTAGATGCAAGTGAGTGCTATAAGATGCTTTGGATGGTGATGCACATATCTTCCGGTCAAGCCACTTTTAGCCTCGCCAACATTGCTTAATAGCAGTACAGCGTCTATACATATCAACTAAAAAGGCTGCTGTATCAAAAGATTAATCGTTGCTATCTCTTCATGAGCGATTGCGTCATAGGAACTCAAAGTCTAGTTAATATGGTTAGCAAGTTAGTAACTTGTATACTTATCATAGATAAAGTGAACAGCTTCAGGGACCCATAATGAGCATGATGTGCCGCTGCTCCATTCCAAGCACCTGCCAAATCAGACTACTCTGGACATCGGTACTCAGACGGCATTGGAGACCTGTTTAACATGAGTGAGTTAATGTCTGTTGGCTTGTGTCACGGTCAACTTGTCGAACAGCAACTGCTCCATGCTGGCCCGTGTTATATAAATTCGCCTAACTCCGATGGTTTCCATGACTGGACCCATGTGTCATCCGTTTGCTTGTTTTGCTCCGAATTGACCCGACGATTTTCTTTTTTTTTCTTCCTTCCAATGCTTGGTGCTTTTTCCTTGCTTTCGCCCCTATTGTAAATTACCACTACTGTAGTTGCCGCCGACTCGCTTCTTTCTCTCCCTCTGTCCTCTCTCCCTTTCCCTCCCTCCCTCTCTCTCTTTCTCTCTTGTCTTCTTCCGCCTCTTATTTGCTAACGCTGAATAAGTTCGTACTCGCAACGTACTCTCAATAACCCTCATTTCAACATGGCGTTCCGGTTCAACTGGCCCGAATTCGATGCGGGCTTCTATGACGAAGCGAAATCACAACTCGAAGCTGCCTTGAACAAAGGCAACAAACCGAAGAACATTGTGGACCATATCACTGTCAAAGAATTGCACATGGGCAGCACGGTAAGGGTGGCTCCTCTTTTCTCCCCATAATTGTTATTGACTGGCTCTAATTATATAATGCGCCAAAATAATCAGCCACCAGAGCTTGAAATTTTGGAAGTGGGCGAACTGTCGACGGACAAGTTCCGTGGTATTTTTAAACTCACTTATGCGGGCGATGCATACATTGTTTTGCAGACCAAAGTGCAGGTGAGTGCGTAACTGTTAGTAGGGATAAAGAGTAGCAGCAGCAAGAAGAATTATGTGCTGACAACGCCATCCTTTTCCCAGGCAAATCCGATGCACGCCAAACAATCCTCTCATCTTGCTCGACACACGCGACCGAAAATACTAGCTGCCGACCGTCCACTCGTTGTACCGATGCTCCTGCGTATCAGCGATCTACGACTGCGCGGTATCATTGTCCTCGTAGTGTCGAAAACCAAGGGAATCACCCTCGTCTTTAAAAACGATCCGCTGGAAAGCATCGTCATCAGCTCAACCTTTGACAGCGTGACGAGCGTACGCAACTTTTTGCAGCGCGAGATCGAAAAGCAATTAAGGAACCTGTTTCAGGAGGATTTGCCAGTCATGATACACAACTTGAGTTTACGCCATATCCAGAACGAGCGGGAAAAGGAGGAGCTAGCCAAGAGACGTCAACGACCTGCTCCCCTGTCGGTCATGTCGGATCCAGGCATGGTTCGGTCATGTATTGGTGATATGGTCGATGACGAGGATGACATGCACTCATTACCCAATTCCTTGCCGTTATCTTCGCCGCGCACACCCGCAGATGGCGCTTCCATGTATTTCAATATGGGGCTTACCGAAGCTGCTGCCAAGCACCATTTCTGTCTGCCGCAGGACGTCTATGCCAATGGCATCCATTCGCTTGGATCATCAATTTACAGCAGCGGCAGCCTCAGTAGCTGTGACGATGACACGCGGTCTTACTCAAGCCGTGCCTCGTTCTCAGATATCATGCCCATGTATCGACCGACACCACCTGCCATTTACACAGAATACGCCTCCATCCAGGCAATGCACCAGTATTTACAAAACTGCGTGGATGACTCGGTCTCCGTAGATAGCAGCAACAGTCCGATCATGTCACCAACAGCCAGCACTGTGTGTGGATCTGTCGTATCATCGTCGACGGTGGCCGACATTTATGCAGAGGATGGTGATGCGCCATGGTATGTGGTGGAAGGCCCAGAGATCCCATCCCTATCTGGTTCGGCAGAGCAGCAAATACCCGTCATGTTTGACCAGGAGATCATTTTACGGCCCACCGAGAACGCATTGGCAGCAAGGCTGGCCCAACTGACATGCGCTAGCCGTACATTTTCACCATTACCGCCCGTCATCCAGCACAGTGTGTGTAGGAGTTTTCCCCACATTGTCAAAACCAAGCCGATGAATAGACGCGGTCGCAAAGTCCCCAAGCGGCGAATTATCCATCTTTCGCTGCGTGGTAATAACGACAATAACCAGTAACCTTGCCACGACTCCCTTATTTTTCGCAACACTCTCCCTTTCACTCGCGTTTTCTCTCTAAACCCTCACTTAACTACAGAAACACAAGTCCATCTATTGTACAGACCATCACTCATCTCTCGCACACATCGAATATCACTCTCATGTTTGTAAATACCCCTTTCTTTAAACGTTTTTATACGCAGCAACAATTGAAAAAAGTGCTTTATTTGTTTTTCAGTATTCTTTCAAAGGAGAACATGAAATGAAATTGTTCAGCGAAGTCTGTTGAAGTTGTCGCGGTTGTTCTTAAAGTACTCGCGGAGCTCTTGAGGCTGGCGACCCAGAGCTTGCTGGAGGTCGGGCGTGTTGAACTCAAGCTTGCCACGATCAGCCAAGGCAAAGTACTCGGCGATCAAGCGGATATACTCGTTGTTGAGGAAACGGCCCAAGGGGAAGCTGTGGGGTCTGTCGCGACGCTGCTTCTGATCATCGTTGTTGCCCTGCTCAGCACCATGTTCCTTGGGTCTGCTTCTGAAGCGAGGATCGTCGCGGATGCCGTTGAGGTAGTTCTCAAGCTCCTGCTGTTGGATCTGTCTGTACTCGACATTGCGATTGCCCAAGGCCTCGGAATACTCGCGGGCAATTTCTTGACCGTTGCGGGCTTGGTTGCCAGTGAACTGATACAAGCGCTGCTCGTTGCCAAGCGATCCAAAAAAGACACCCTCGCGCTGGCCGTTCTGGCGCGACAAGCGGTAGACGGCATCGGCCACATCGCGGGCATCGACAGAGCTCCACTTGCGGTCCTGGTTTACAGGCAACTGGAGACTATTGCGGTCCTCGATCATGGGCGTCAAGTAGTAGAAAACTTGGTTGAACAAGGCACTGCGAACGATGGCATAGCTGTCACGGTATTGCTGCTGCAAGTTGTTTTCCAGCTCGCGCAAATTTCTGATGACTTGTTGTTCCTGTGCCTGATCGGCGCTGAGACTAGTAGTGGATCAAGAAAAGAAGTGAGCGTTGATGTTTCCTTCCTTTTATTTTCACGCTGACGAATGACGAAACAACTTACATTGAGAACAGGCCAACATACTGGACACTGGACTGACGAGCTGCGCGGATCAAGTTCTCGCCTTCTTGACGGGCATTTTGCGAATTCTCGGGCACAAGCAACAGAAGCGAGGCTTGCTGCAAATCGCGCTGAAGACGTTGTTGGTCGTTGTAGTCGACCTGGATAACCTTGGCGCCCATACGTTCCAACTCGTCCAAGTTCTGGGTGTCGCGGGCCAAGAGACGGATTTCCTGTTGTTCATCACCACGTTCCTGACGGCGGCCTTCAAGGAAACGGTAAGCGAGCACGTAGCCGAGGAAGGAGTCGACGTTGGAGATAACAATTTGTTGGTTGCGGGACATTTTTTTTTAAAAGAACAAGTGTATAAAAGCAAGTAGTTGTTTTGTACGCAGGATCATCTACCGTTTGCAAAACGAGCTCTTTATATACACTTTCACGACTTTCTCCGTTTTGCATGAATTCTGGTTGGGTGTGAGAGAAAATAATCTCAATAAAATAATGATAATACGCGTCACAATGGCATTTTCTCGCGTCAGTCTAACGGGTTCTTTACAACTCTCATGTCACTTTTGTCCAAGGTTGTTCGATGCATGCGGACCATTGCTCCATTGGAGCTGGCCGACACTACGTGGGATAATGTTGGTGTACTTGTTGGTAGATATAACCAGAAATACTGGTTTTTATTTTTTGTCATTTGTGTGTATGGCTCGCCCCAACAATCTTTCTCATTGTGAAAAAAAAATAGAACCACCCTATCCTTCACCACAATGCAACAAGGTGTTCCTGACCATTGACTTGACTCCACAAGTCCTCGATGAAGCCTTGTCAGATCCCAAGGTAATAATGAGTATAAGAAGTAGTATGTTGCGCTGGCGAACCTAACACATCAAGCGTGCCCTGAACGCATATAAAGGTCGGAACCATCGTGTCGTACCATCCACCCATCTTTCGCTCGATGAAGCGTTTGGTCCAGGCAGACGTCAAGCAGGATATTGTCATGAAAGCAATTGCAAAGGGTGTGGGTATTTACTCGCCACACACAGCTTGCGATAACTGTGTTGATGGAGGTACGAACAGTGCTTTCCTCTTGTTTTTGTGTATATTAAAAAGCTTAATTTGATGGAATATGAGCGTATTCTAATTTGGCCAACAATATAAAAGTCAATGATTGGCTTGCCAGTGGTTTAGGCAAGGGCATTGTGCAACCTATCGTACCCGCGGTAAATCCTCCCGAAGGTAAGTATTTGACAGGTTCATTTCAGGACGAGATAGTAGTCTTTGAGAAAAAGTTAAAAGTTTAATTTGTTTCTAGGCCATGAACAGGCAGGCACTGGCCGCTTATTCACTTACGATGATCCCACGCCGCTTACGACCGTAATTGACAAGATCAAAGAGCTAACGGGATTGCCCTTCCGTAAGTAAACAACTGATAAGCCTCTTTATTTATATAAACATTGCCTGCTATATCTTGTTTATATTGCATCGACATGGATGGCCTCACCTCAACTTGTGTGTTTAGTGAGAGTTGCCAAGGCGGATAACGGAGACCGGTTGATCAAAACAGTAGCCATCTGTGCTGGTTCGGGTTCTTCTGTGTTAAATCCAGTGGAAGCAGACCTGTTCTTCTCTGGTGAGATGGGTCACCACGATGTGCTGGCAGCATTGGCAAACGGAACCAATGTCGTTCTCTGTAAGTGTAAACATTCCTCCGTTTTAGAGTAGGTCTTGAATAAAGACCAATAACTAATGTAAATGCTTTTATGTGTATAGGCGAACATTCGAACACGGAACGAGGCTACCTTTCGACAGTGCTTCGCCCCAAGCTGCAAGACATGTTGGTCAGCGAACGTTCTGCTGAAGGTGATGCCATTGAGGTCGTTGTGAGCAAAGTCGACAAGGATCCTCTTGAGATCATGTAGATATAAACATTTTATAGGATGCTTTTTATTTTTATTTTTATTCCTAAAGAAAACAAAATTTATACAACACAAGGAAAGGCAGTCTTTTGGACTTGGATGAAAAGGACTAGTGGGACGGAAAAAGATACTGGGAGGGGAAGGATGGAGAACGTGCGGAGGAGAAGTATGTGCTTTTGTGGAAAGACAGAAAAAATTATGTGGGATGCAAACTATGTATAAGTACTTTTTTTTTTGTCATTTACGATGCTCGGCACAACACTTCACCACCGACATTCTTCTTGATGGCCTCTTGCAATTCCAGCACGCCACGGTTGGTGTTTACAACAGCGATCTCGCCAGCCTGCAAAGGCTTGATGAATTGAGCTCGTCGTCCACTAGCAACGCTCTTCAGTTCATTGACGGTGAATGTGACCTTCTTGGAAGGCTTGCTAATGACAGAGAGGTGGCTCAACGTGGGCGAGTTGTCCTTGTACTTCAATGAGAGCCACAGACGGCGGGTGGCAACATTTTCGTTGGTGGTAGGGGTATACTCGGCATCGGGTCCAACGTGGTTGCCTCGCGTGACAGACGACAAGAAACCTTCACGGTATAATATGTTGCAAATAGCGAGATTCATTTTGGTTTCGGGAATGGCGATCGTCTGAAGTCGTGATCGGAAGCCATTTTGAATACGTGCACAGAGATCGTAAACGCGAGGCATTGGTGTATAATGGACGAACGGACGGTCAGTGAGCGAGAGAAAGGGAAAACCAATTTTTTTGTTTACACTTGCAAATTGCAAACTGTCTACACTATTCAAACGCCGCTGGAAATATTGCAGTTGCCTAGCAACGTCTTTGGTGGCAGTAGTCCCATCAACAGTGGTAGCTTTTTTGCGATAATACCCTGCAGCAGCTAATCAGCACGCTTAATCGGTACAAGCATAATACGTGCAACTAGTATTAATGAGGCTTTTTTGAAAAAATCTGCACAGGGAACATTCTTCATGCCCCAGCGCATACATGGAATATTTCCAAGAACATGCGTTCCCGTTATGTCGTTCAGACTGCAGCTACAAGAGGCTGCAAAAGTGGTGTTCAATAAATCGGATACAGTCATCGAAATGATGTCATGTATTCTCCTCTTGTTTATACCATTTAGTACAGAACATAGATATTGCAAAGTAACTCTTATCGTAGGCCAGTTGCTTGCTATGATAATGAGATATACTCCATTCAGTTGAAGAAATCCATTACACATACTATTAGACAGCAGCAAAAGAAATAGTAGAGCCTGAATCCTTGAAAACAACTTTTCCAACGGGCTATAACTCTCCCTCTATGGTCCTTCACGGATGTAAAGTAAAAAAACAGCCCATCGCAGATAGTTCGATAGTATGTATGCAACAAGAAAAATATACACATGTGTACATGCAGAGAAAAGTCTATCAAGTAGCATTTCTAATTTTTGCATGTTTTCGTTTATCGATGGGTGTACTTCTGTTAGCTGCTGATGCTCCACTGCTGATGTCGATGCTACTTACATAGAACACACACACGCATACGTACAATGATAGATACCGTGCCTAGCATCTCCCGATCTATCACCCACAATCTCAGCCCCTTGGTCGTCTTTTTTTCGCATTACTTTCCCAAACCCCTTACTTTTTATCTCTCTTTCCTGCTCTTTTTTAATGCGCAGAGTAGAATAATTTCTAGAAGAATGTGCTTTTCCTCGGAGGCAATCTAGGTGTGTATATGGTTTGAATTACTGATGTACATGAGTAGCGACAGAGCACAGAAGAACGTATATTCTTTATCAAAGCACTGTTGCACCGCCGTTTAATAATTTATATTATAACAATCTAAGCATTTATTTTTTCTCATATCCATACACCAAATTAGTGACCTCTCGCAGCGTTTATTTTTATACTGGTCTATTACCATATAGCACTACCGTAGCTTGCTTGCTTCATACTTTGTAGTATGACTGTAGAATACAGTGCATGATACGGTATTATAAATCATAAGCTTTATCGTGGTACTGTATAAAGATTAAATAAATGATATCACTCTTATACATAATACGTACCTTTATATTTATTTCGCATGATTGAGAACAACCTTTTATTCTGTTCTTGCCAATAAACGCACGTGAAGCGATTGCACTTAAAAGAAGGGTAAGAGCTTTTGGTGTATATGATAACATGAACAGACGATACTAATAACGGTGTTATTTTCACCTAGAAGAAAGCAATAGGCTCTTGTTGATCCGTCATTAGTAATGAAGGATATACTAGATAGCTTGCATCAAACTATGGTCTGTTGATATTCTTTATGCGAAAGAAACCGTCTATTATACTTGCTCTCTCATCATTCACATACACATGAAATATGACAACGGTTGCATGGTATCACGTATAACTACTGCGCTAAGCTGATTTAAAAGCTTTACAAACTGGTGAACAGCATAATTCTATAGTCACCCGCACATCACCTCCAACCTCCTGCCCCTTCCTTTTTTCTGTGGAAAATTCCCCCATACATACCATCACACTGTCTCCCCCTCCCCCACTCCTGTGTAATTTGACATGAAGTGAAGACGATGATAGAGCATGTAATACAAGCTTACTGTATGGTATTTGATTTGTATTGATGCGTGATTTCTTGCTGTGTAGATAGTGCTAGTTACAAGTTGCATAAAAGATGATTTGCGATAGCCTGTGAGTTTTCCGTGAATTGAGATGCTTTCTCTCCCTCTTTCATCTCAATTCATAGCTTGAGCATAAATGGTACACGCATGTTATATACATACACGCGCACGCACCGCATGAATGAATATATCCCCATCATCAAGAAGTTGGTTCCTGGATGTCTTGGCAAAAAAAAAAGTTGTGCGGAGTTTTCGAAAGTTCCATGCTTCTCTGACGGGCCCCAATTTTGGTAGATCACAAAGCATTTGAAGAGAGGGCCACCTTCTTTTTCTGTGCAGGATAATTGGAACAGGTCCCAACATTCGATGCAAGCATACAGAGCTGAGTAAATAAGCGCCAAGGATGAAGACCATCAACATGATCTGTACTTATCCATTGCTCCTTCAATCTCTCCAATGTATAGAGAGAGAGAGTGCCTGAGTGTACAGTACGTGCAATCCAGATGCTGATGGTTTCATATCAACAGTTTGCTATCATTACGAGTGGTAGTAGTTAAAGGTAGCCCGTCTATAAGCAGATGGAAGTTGGGGGAGGTGTGGGGGATGTCGGGGATGAGGAGCTAAAGAACTCATCATACACACACACACACACACACACACGATGGCAATATAGCAGCTTTCAAGATGATGCCCGTTCTTGTTCGATATATGCACAGGTAAGGACCAATCTATAGCACACAACACACGCCACCATGAAATACTCTTTGTGCTCCCCCACGTTGTAACTCTTTTTTACGCTCGCTCGCTCGCTCTGACCCCCACCCCTTTCTTTCCTTGTTAATCCTAACCCCCTGTTGTTTTTTATGCTTGCTGCTGTGCAATATAGTAGCGGGTACATGCTGTTGTTCTCGGCATTAACGAATACCAACTTTCTTATTTGTTTCCTGGTCCCTTCTTTTCTTATCCTTCTCTCTTTACACAAACATACACACACATTCTCTCACCACTCACTTCTTGCTAGCTAGCTACTACTACTATTACTACTTCTACTGCTACCATTGTACACCGTACGAACACAATACAGCACATCTTAACAGCAAGCACTATACGCAACCCTATAACATACACACTCACATACAGCTTATACATATAACACACATCTATACACTGGTTCTCTTTATCTTAAAAAAACACTAGCCATGTTGTTCTGGCCAAAGCTATTGAGCATCGCCCATGCCATTGCTTCCAGTGTCCGACCGTACCTGTCTTTATACCTCTCTCATTTACTCGGCTTCTCATGCAGCGACATTGGAATTTTGCTGGCAGTTCCACTCGCGTGTCGCGTATTTTCGTTAGGTCTATGGACAGTGCTTGTCATTGATCAACGACCGATGCTCCACGGATTCTTCATGGCGCTGTTAACAGCAGTTGGAACAGCCGCGCTGGTGCTTATTCTTTGGATTCCGCCCCATGCGAAATTCGCCTGGTCAGCTGCCCTTGTCTGTATGTTCCTCGATGGAATCTTTTATCAGCCCCTCACGGTACTCATCGACAGTGCCATCATTAAAATACTGGGGGACTATAAAATGCTATTCTATGGTATATATCAAATTCGTAGAAGAAGAATCAGCAGCAAACAGCAGTACTACTAGTATTGTTAGTCAGTAATGCCCTTGGTCTATACAGAATACCCGAAACCATTAGAAGCAAACGTGAGGATGTGTGTTTTGGTGGGAGAGGGGGGGAAGAGGGAACAAACTACGATGAACTCGTTGGATTCCTTTAGGGGGGGTGCTTGTGTGGAGAGAAAGAGAGAGAGAATAGAATTGATATTCGACATACAAACGTATACAAAGGCACATACACAGATCATCCACACCCTATAATATATGCATATCGGACTCATCACACATGTATCTTCTATAGATTCTCAACGCCAATGGGGCGATCTTGCTGCAGCACTCATGGCCGTCACCATTGGCTGGTCACTTGATGACGACCATGATTTCGATACGTTGATGGGCACTATCTTGATTGGTGCCGTGCTACTCTTTCTCGTGTCCTTGTCAACGACAGTTCTTCCGGCTGATCCAGCACTACTAGGCATTGAGGACGCCGATCATGAGGATCACGAGGCGAGCACGCCACTGTTAAAGTCATCGCTCGATATCGAATCGCCCTCGCCAGAAACGCCAACTACTGCTACTGCTAACCATATGCCAATGACGACGACACCGACACCGACAGCAAACTCAATCCATTCAGCCATCATGTCGCCGTATTACGAACATCGACCCCCATCCACATATTTCTATAAACCTTATTGCTTATTCAACGAGCAATTGTCGCATATATCTGAAGAAGATGCCAGCATGCTGCGACGGATGGCAAGTAATCCCAATACGCATCTCTCGATGAAACAACAACAACAACAACAACAGCAACACTATCATCCACAGCAACAACAGCAGCAGCAGCACCACCACCACGACAGCATTGCAGCAAGCTTGCTTTCGGAATCCATCGGTGCAGATACCGAAAGAGGCGACAGCGGCAGTATTGCAGGTAATGGCGGTGCGGGAGGAGTAGGAGGTGGCGGCGGCGCGTGCTGCACGAGCCCATTCAGATCGTCATCACAGTACTGGGCAACAACAACTACTGCCACGACAACGGCTTCCACGACCGCCAATAATCTCCATGACGACCATCATTTGTTTTCAGAAATGCCTTCATTGCAACTTGCGTTGTTACCATCGCCACCGTCAGAAACACCCATGCTGGTACTACCTATTGCCCTGACTTCGTCGTTTAACTTTATTGATCAGCACGAAGATGACGACGATGTTGACGGTGGTGCCCCTTACTACTCACAATGGGATCCATGGCCCGTATACTCGCTCATGCTCACTGTGCTTCTAGCCGGTGTCGGGTCAGCCATGATGAATGCTCTACTCTATATTTATCTCCATGACGGACTGGGCTTGCCAATGCACTTGATCGGCATTGTTGGAATGGTGTCGGTTGCAGCAAGAGCTGCTTCGAAACCTCTCGTTCATTGGGTAATCAACGGAAGCTTTTTTTGTTTTCTCTCCTCTTTTTGAGTGTGTATAAACAAACAAACAACAAACAAGCGAATATGCATATTTTTAGTTTGGACTCTCGCTTATTCTACACTCATTATGTTAGACCCTCCGTCGCTTTCCACTCGTTGCTGTTACCGGAGTCGCACATGTGATACTCATCATGTGTGCTTTCGGATATACCTGGCTGCAGCCCGATTACATTTTATCGCGCTTGGCTGCTGTCATCTTGCAGATACTGCAAGGTAGGTTATTTTCCATCATCCACAAGAAGATTTCTTTGGGAGAGATTGGGGGGGGGGGTGTTATGGAACGGCGGGGTTCATGGCACACAGTAGTTTAAAAAAAGTGACGCTGGATGATGTGATCGAGAGAGGAAAGAGAGAAAACATACACATAAGGTAGTAATAATAATGCTAAATACATAACGTATCGTTAGGGGCTGCTTTCAATAGCCTTTGGCTGATCGCTGTACGCCAAGTAGACTGCGTACTACTAACAGCCGGACAACATCAGCGTATGTTGTTGCGGGGCAAGATGTCGGCGCTGTTCAACAGCCTAGGACCAGCATTAGGTGCGGTCTTGACGGGCTATCTAGTGGATGCATATGTCCACGAGAACATCATGACCTTTTCCGGCTTTGTTTTTGCATATCGTGGCGCCGTTGTAGTGCTTGCCCTGTGCTGGGCTGTGTCCAGGGGGTGGACAGTGGTAGCGGATGACGATGCTTAAATCCTCCCACCACACAGACACGCGAGAGAAGAAAAAGAGGTCGAGCCGCCCTTCTTGTAATTAATTATAACTCATTTCTCCCACCCCTTCTTACTCCTTTTCCCGATTTACTTTTCTTTTTCCTATGTTATTTTTTTGTGTTGTAAAAGTATTATTTGTTATTGGGTAGAGACGACAGACACAGATCAAGTGTATATATTTTATTTTTCGTTTGCTTTTCTTCTTGCTCTTTTAAATCACCCTATCTGATTTGACCAGTTACTATCATCTCTCTTTATATTGGATCTTACAGCGCTCCATGACCAAAAAATCATTGAAGTCGTCAATGATGATGATATGAGTATCGGATTATAGCCACTCAACCATGTGGTGTTTTTTTTTTTACTTGAATTATACTGCTGTCTTGGTTCGTATCATCATCGTCGGTATTAGTAGTATTTGATTACTAGTATGGCACGTTGCCTTGGTGAGAAATGATGTATTTGGATGCTTCCAAAAAGGAATGTAGTAGCAAATCTGATAAGTAAGAGACTTTCTTGCTCTTTTTTATAAAGCAACCGGGCTGCAACGTCTTGCGATAAATAAGGCTCTTGATGGGAAAAGTATTGCCAGTGAGCGTTCCATATCGCAAATAGCGTGCATGCAATAATATCGAGCGAACCCAGAGAAGAAAAAGAAATAATCAGCTATCGATTGTTCTGTATCTTCCCCATCGCCTAGAGCACGCTTTCTTTTGCTGGCCTTGACTTACTTTTAGCCCGATTGGTCCTGTTGTTAGACTTTCATCCAACAATCCGTCTTTGCCGTTCACTTTGTGGGACAATCGGTTTTCCACTTTGGCTGTTCCTTGAGTAAGCGTGCTTCAGCCCAGACCTTTTGCCACTATGATATTGCTCGGGCACTTATAAACATAGTACTTGCAAGGGCTGTATCCTTCCTCTTCTGTTGTTTTGAGTTTGTATATGTGCAACAGTGCTTCACCTTCCCTGAATCGCTCCCACCACTGCCATTTCCGGCTAAGGCTTTCACAGACAAGTGTTATAGTAAAACATGAAATTGGAACAGTTACTGCTTCTAAGGGAGCGGCAAAATGAGATCAGGGTACCTTCATCAATATCCTCGATGTATTCCCAAATTGATTTCCGTCTCGTCAAGATAAGAATATATCATTTGTACACATAGGAACTGGTCGTTTTATTTCCTCATGATATACTCATTGAAAACCATAACCCAGTTTATTCAGGGACAGGATTCTTGCTTGCTATAACAAAAATTAGGTACATAGTGCATCGTGCAAAATTTGGACAATTCATACCTATGCGATATGTATATAGTATTATGTGACAGTTGGATAAGGCAGAAATCCATTTTGATACAGTAGTAGGCTGCTTTGATGACATGCTTTGATTTCTTTATTGTTTTGCACAAGACCAAATTTAAAGTGACTTTTTCGTCAATCACCATTCAGTCGACTGCTTTATTAGGACAGTGAATGGACCAAGTGCGGCAGCTATATTCCAGAAAAGGCTTGATGTCACGCACTTTCTTTGATTAATTAAAAGGAGCGATCAGTAAAGCGAGACCGGTGTGGTAAAGTCGTATACATGATGGCACATAGAAAGGACTAAATGTTATAGCGATGACGATGTGACGACGCTAAGCCTAGCTATCAAGTCGGGAGCCCGCTGATTGGTTAGAATTTTAGTCAGTCCTCCCTTTCCCCCCCCTCCTCTCTCCCGCCCGTGTGCATTCGTCACTTTCTTTTTCCTCTCTTCACCAAGAAAAAAAAAATCCTTCACCCTCTTTTTCCAAAACAACCAATCTTGAAAAATATGGCATCTGGAACAAATGCTCTCGACATGGCGCTTGACGACGTCATCTCGCAAACTCGAACTGACAAACGTCGACAAAACAACAGCGGCCGCGGTGGTGGTGGCATGCGTGGCGGAGGCGGCATAAGCAAGCCCAATCGCGGCGGTGCCGGTTTTCGATCTGGAAACAACAACTTTTCGGTATGTGGGGTTTAAGAGCATATCACTCAATCACACAACACAACACAACGCACACCAAATCCTGGTACCTGCCAACATTGCAAACACACGCACACGCACACACATACAACCGCAGTATTGTTTTATATACACTCGGCACAGTGAACAGCAGATTGCTACGATCTCTTTGTGTTCTATTGTTTTGTTTTGTTTTTTTTGGAAGAGGGAAATGCCGATAGATTGATGACGAACAGATGGTTTTAGTCTTTGCTGCTGAGGCGCAATCACGACCTTTTTCTCTCCCTCTGTTTCCTCTCTTTGATTTCTTGTTGCGTCTCAACGATCTTGTATCCTTTTTCATTTCCTCTTTTACCGGTGAAAAAGTACTAGTCGTACTTTGTTACTCGAGTGGGAATGAAGGAAAATAAAAAGGAAAAGGGTCAAGTGCGCTTGTTGCTGGGCAAGAAGGGGGGGCGTTGTGTTGTTTTTTTATTTTTCTCCCTCCATGTTATGTTTTCTCTGTCCCCCTTTTTTTTTCCGAATAATTTTACGTCTACCCTCTCAACCAACCATCGCTTCTGTTTTTCTTTTTTTACACCACAAAAAGCGTCAACCTTATGGCTCCAGACCATCGTATCGCAGCGGCAATCAATCCTACAACACACAAGCACCCAGATCGACACGTAACCAGCTGGTCGTTTCCAACTTGCACTACAACGTAACCGAAAACGATCTCTACGTAAGTTTCTCTTGAGTGAGAAAGGCGTGTGCTGGGGATAGATTTGAGCAAGTGAAGAGTGGAGGGAATAGGTCACTAAAAGAAGGGGACTTTTTTTTTTGTAGGAACTCTTTGGTCAAATGGGCAAACTCAAGCGCGCTTACTTGCACTTGGCACCAAGCGGCGGCTCATCGGGCGTGGCCGACATTGTGTACATGCACCCACAAGACGCGGAACGGGCCTCGGCGTCATACAACAATGTTGAGTTGGATGGTAAGACTGTTACTGCTGTTACGGGATGATAGCATCCCCCCCCTCTATTGTTTTTTATACGTTGGCTAATCAATTTTTTTAGGTCGCCCGATGCGTATAAGCTTTGCGACACAACCTGGCGCTGCGCCTCAGCAATCTGCAGGTGGAGCGATGCGGCGGCCAATGCGCGGTGGCAACCAGGGCGGATACACTCGCGGCGGAAGCAGAGGCGGACGCGGATCTGGTGGCAACCGTCGTCGTCAAGACAACCGACCCCGTCCCTCCGAGGCAGATCTCGACGCGGATATGGACAGCTACATGACTGGCCCTGTAAGTAGCATTTCTGACTGGTTTGTGCGTGGTGCAGAGACTAACTCTTCTTTTCCTCTATTCTCTATGGTGATATCTATGGTAACAGACTGACGGCGCGTAGTTGCGACGACACAAGGTCTGATCCACACACTCTATAAAGTGACACACACACACAAACTCTTTCTCTCGCTTTTGCCCACCCTCAGACAACACCTAAGAAAAAAAAACAATACTATCTGCTCCCTTGCTCTCTCTCTTTCTCTCTCTTATATACTCCCATCTCATCATCATCACCAATCATGTATTTGACGGTTGTAAACAATGTGCTTTTTCCAGTCCGGTTGGACAGCCGAGTTAATTTTGCAGTCGATATTATATATAAAAAGAAAAAAAACGTGTCGTTTCTTTCTTTTTGGTGTCAGTTGCCTGACTGCTGTCTAAAAATAGAAACCGTCTTGGCTCCAGTTCTTCTAGCATTTCCTTTTGCTATTTTCGCACCATTTCGGCAGTGTCAATTCTTCTTCCTTTCCTTTTCTTCTCTCTCTCTCTCTCTCTCTCTCTCTCTCGGCAAAACCAGTATATACACACCTGCCGTGCAAAAGTATACAATCGATACAATACACATGGCTGCTACTGTATCTCCACACCAGCCAGCCGCCCTACGCTTCGCCGACTGCTTTTGGGTAAACCATTCATATCCCAAAAGTCGCCACCCTTGCGTCATTAGCAGCATCCCTCGGCACCGCTTTTCTTGACTTGGACTAACACTTTTGCCATTTGCTCCGTTGCACTTGCTCTATAGGATTCCGAAGACCGCGGCGTCGAAGTTGTTTTAGATAAATTACGGAATTCGAAGCAGACCTGTGAAGAAATCAAAAAGCTTTACGAGATCAGGTACGGGGTTGCATTGTGTTTAAAGAAGGCACAGACCATTTTGATACACACACACCCCCTCTCTTCTATCACTCCTACCTTTTTGTTTTCTCGCTCTGCTACTTCCTTTCGTCCCCGCACACATAAGCGAATTGACCATCAAAATACCCCTTTCTCTCTCCTCCGCACCCCCCTTCCTTTTTTTTTTCTTATTGTTGCTTCGCGCTAAAACCATAAATCATCTATCTCCTTCAAAGGTCGCAAATCGAAGAAGACTATGGCGAACGACTCTTGAAACTTTCACAGCTGATTGTCGGACAAGCAGAAGAAGGCACGCTTTCTGAATCATTATCACATATCCCGAGCGCCCTTGAAACTACGGGTCGCGCCCATCTGGATTTGGCTCAGCAATTAAAATACCATTTGGAGGCTCCACTAGATGGATTTCTTAAAGAACAACGCGACATGAGAAGACTGGTAAGGTATAATATTCGAAAAGGGACTGGTAGACAGGCAATTATTGATAGTCTATGATTGTTTAGCATCACCAACAAATAGAAAATGCAAGGCAACTCAAAAACATGCACCATACCAACGCAATCAAGGTAATATAAACTCATCTCCTTATTCTTCCCATGTCTCAAGCTAAAATATGCGGGTCCTATTAGGCCAAGGAGTTCTATACTGCGGAATGCACCAAAGTTGCTGGTATGGAGAAGTATCTACGTGAACGAGGCTTTGAGATGGCAGCGGATGAAGTTCATCAGGTAACTCTAAATAAAAAAAAAATGGGGGTTCTCTTCGAGTATAGAGTGCTCATGGAACGGATGATTAGGTCAAGGAAGAAATCGAAGAGGGCAAAAAGATGGTGAATGCGGCAGAGCAAGAGTATAGACGTGCAATCGAAGTACTAGGATCTGTCACGAACGACTGGGTCGATAGCTGGAAGACAACGTGCGATACTTTCCAAGAAATGGAGGAGAAGCGTATACAATATGTTAATGGCAGCCTGCGCTCGTAAGTGAGGCACTTTAAGCTTTCTTATTAGCAGCTCTACCTGAAAGATAGCTAATGTAAAACCCCATTCTTATTAGATTCTCGAGTATGATGTCGAGCGTTTATCTTGTTGATGATCAGGTACGCATTACCCGTGTGTCTGGATTACAGGGAAGAGTGGTTACACGAATGTGATGACTAGACTAAAAATACAACAACGGTTAGTGCTGCGAACGTATTCGTACAACCTTGGAACTTACAAATGTCCAAAGCGACATTGAAGAGTTTATCACGAGATACGGCACCGGCAAAGAAATTCCTGGTAAGACAGAAGGGAACACTTTTCCAGGTAACCCAAGAGGGATGGGATGACTTATTATGGCCATGTTCTATTGTTCAGCTCCCCTGCATTTCGAACCGTATTCAAGCATGGACATCCAAAGCGGCCAGATCACCCCAGCATCGTCTGTTCATCAGGACATGCAGTCCGTAGCAGCAGCAACGTCAGGAACACCCCCAGCAGTACCAGACACAAAAGCAAAAGCACTTCCACCCATGCCCGAAAGCGCCAGTGAAGAACATCTCAGGTCGGTCGACCAGCAGTTGCAGGACTTGAGCGTGAAACGGAATTCGCGTGAAATGGTGCCTCAGACAGACAACAGCAAGCCAGTTGATCATCATGGTGCTGCTGCTGCTGATAGCAAAGATGATGCCGTCATGACTGCTATTCAACAGGTGGAGGAAATGCTAAGTGTGGAGGACATGTCTAACGAAGCTCAAGCTGAAAAGCGACGCTCTATATCATTATCCCCAGCACAACAACCCGAAAAGCCGCAATCTTCACCGCAACAAGAAGCAGCAGTTGTACCAGCACCAGCTATAGTACCTACTACCGAACAACAAAACGAATCAACAACGACGACTACTACTACTACTGCGGCTGCGGCTGCTAATAACGACGCATCAATTTCAGCTTCTCCCGATGAGCCACCAGCTCCTGCTACACCTCCTCTACAGGCACAGGTTGCTGAGCGGGCAGAGGAACAAAAGAAGGAAACATCATCTTCACCCCAACCAGCAGCAACAGCTTCAACTACATTAGCAGCTGTTGTGCCTTCTTTGGAAGATAAGGATCGGTCAAACCCAGAAGAAATATCCAAGGAAACCGATCTTCGATTCAAACCCGTACCTAATCCTGCCTTCAAGGGAAGCGATGGCAACGACGCTAATATCACACGAGTGGATTCTGGAAGTGATCTGAATGTTAAAGTCGATGACCAAAACCGAGCAACACCACCCAAGGAAACGACGAAACTGAACAATTTTGCTCCTGGTGCTGTAGCTGCCGCTGCCACAGTAGCACATGGTGATAATGCCGCGAATGCAACTGCGGCAGCAGATGTCCCAACAACAACAACAAAAACAACAACAATTTCTCCTCCAGCTATTACGACGACAGCTACAACACCAACGACGGTACCTGCCACTATCACTGGTAAAAAGAATGACACGGAAGAAGATGGATCAGAAAAGGATTACCCGCTACCGCCACCCAAGGCCGAGAAATGGGTCATTTCCTCCATACGCCGACCGCAACAACTTCCTGTACGTGCTCAGAATGCGCGCATGAGCATGTTCTCGACGCCAACACCTCCAATCGGTATACCTGCAGCAGATCCTGAGCCAGCAGCCTCCGTATCGACAGGCAACAAATTTCATCGTCCAAATGCACCCTTTAAAATCGAGATACCCAACAAGTCGCAATCCACCTCCTCACAACAACAACCTGCTGCTACTAGGGCAAACGCAGGCGTCAACAACAGTTATCAAGCACCTCAAGCAGCTGCTCAGCAAGTCATTGCTGCTGGAAGAGCACATGCACACCAGACGTCGTCTTGGCAATCGCCTGTCAACAGCTCACTTAGCCGACGATACAGCTCCATTGATCGATACCACATTAGCGACCGTCCGATTCCTACTGATCCTGTTGCGGTCGCAAGTGCCAATGCCATTTACGAAGACGATATTAGTCGAGAGGATACAACAGCCGAACAAAAGGCGTCGGATGTCGCACATAGTAACAGCGTTGGCAAAAAGAACAACCTCAGTTCGTTCATGAAGGGTGTATTGAAGCATGACAACAACAACGGCAGCAGTCATAGCAGTAGCAACAATAACAACGGATTACGGCCCGCCTCTGAGAAGTCCAATTACAACAAGTCACATTTACAACCAACCTCATCTGTCAGCAACGACGGCAGCAAAAAGGAGAAACGATTTTCGATGAATATTTTCAAGAAAGAAAAGAAGCAGCACAAGCAGCCAGAAGATCCGATTTATGAAGATGTAATCGTGTCTGCTGCTGCTGCTGCTGCTCCCGCTCTTGACGATTCCAACTATGCCAGCGCACCGATTCGGCCCTTGAGCACATCCATGACGCCCGTATCACGGCCGTCTAGTGCAATGGGTGGCAGTATGAGTGGTGGTGCGGGTGGTGGTCGCCCGATGAGCATGGCATATCCTCCTCCTTCACAACAGCAACCACCGCCACAACCACTGCCGCAACAACAACAACAACAACAACTACTTGATGACGGTACTGTTGTGCTTGAGTATGTGCATGCTATTTGGTCCTATGAAGCAAAGATCAGCACAGAAATGAACTTTATGGCCGGCGATGTATTTGCAGTGATCCACAAGCAGATGGATAACTGGTGGCTCGTGGAATTGATGGATCCTCAGCGACGGCAACGTGGTCTGGTCCCGGGCAACTACATGGAGTCGCATCAATAAATTATGTAAAATAGCACCAATAACCCCACCCTCGCAACTAATCTTTATTTACTTTGTCCTCAACGCACACTTCAATTCCCTATTTCTTGCGCACTGTTTTCTCATTCACTCTTCTTTTTATTTTCGATAATACAATTTTTTGGAAAGTTGTTATCCAATATCACTTGTATGATAGTGTTAAAATACAAAGTTCTACTGTAGGAGAATTCATGTTTTAAGGACCCAAATTCCAACGGATGTTATTATTCTTTTTGCTTTTTTCGAGACAATTCCTACAACATTCTTGGTATGTAGTATAGTACTTTGAAGCATGCTATGTGCAGTCATAATTGCAACGGGATTATCGATAGTGGAGGGGTTGGATGAAGGGAAATGGTATGTAGAAAAGTTCTTATTGCCGCATCAGCCCTGTGATCCTGCGTTATTTTTCTGCAAGTTACTAGGAGAACGGCTGATCTGGAGGAGCAGATCGTAGGGAAGAGTCGCTCATTTTTGACTTTTGTACGACGTCGTTCATTAGGAAAACCTTAATGTAATTTCTTACGGCATGGCAGTCGCAACTATAACATAATAGATAAACAACGAAGCAAAGAAAAAAAAAAGGAGGATGAGCAACCGCTGATGAGTCTGGATAATTCGACGATAAAAGCATATATGACCCAGTACGCTGCTGAGCAATGATTTCTGTTTTATTACCCTTCATGTGCAAGCAGTTGGTTCTTCAATGAGTATACTTCTTCTCGAAGCTGTGGCACGAGACCCTGCAGCTCATCATTACGTCGTTTTGCTTCTTGGTGCTGCTGGGCTAGTTCTTCCGTCCAGATCTTTTTCCGTTGTCGACATCTTGCCGCTTTACAGAAAAGCAATCATGACAATACACTTTGAGTTTGATAAACTTTCTGTTATACAAGAGGGTGCACTAAGCTGATAATAGCCAAGGGCCTCTTTCTGGACGTGCATTAAGTTTACCTGCTCGACGATTTTTTTCCAGCATGCGTTGCCGTCGATTGCTGCTTTCATTTAACATATGACTATTGCTGCCACATTCTTCAGCACCACCTCCACCACCGCTGATTGTCGCTGTTGTTGCCCCTTCGCTCTCGTTATATGGTGTCGGGCTATTGGAGACTGTTAAAGAAGGCGTGCTTCTCTGTGTCGACAATGCAGCAGAAGAAGCAGAGGTCGTGCGCTGAACGCTGTTACTTTCAATACCCAAGATCTGATGTTGATCGACCATAGGAGATCCTTGGTTGAAGTCTTCTTTGTATTTCCCATGCAGATCATCTAGAAAGGCGTCCATGACCAGGAGAAGAAAAAGAACCATGGAAATGCAAACAATGCCAATCGAATTTTCTACGGAAATTTTAAAAAATGTTGTCATCATTAGGCGGATGTGTCGCTGTCTCGGCATAAACCATATTTGACACTTGCCCCAGAACAAAACATTGCGCGTCTTTTTCGTTTCCTCCCATCTCAGCACATATGGGCAATGCCTTTGGTATCGAACGAATACTGCATAACAAGACGACCAAGCGTTCGAGTGACAACAGCCAGAGTGATCCGCCTTCTTCAAGTCCGCTTCCTGATACTGTTATCACATCGGCAGCTGGTGCTGATGATACCTCGTCTGTGGACAACAATACTGGTTTGTCTTCAACTCCTTCTCAACAACCACTTTCGACGCTGCTAGTGCCAAACCTCCAGGTCACATCTCTGGGCAGTGAAAATAACGACCCTTCGAGGCTTCGGAGCGCGAGTATGGGATCAAAGGCCATGCATTGGGACGTAGCACCTCCCCATGTATCCGATCAGAGCAAAATGCGTATCAGCCAGTCTACGGGCGCATTGGACCAAGTACTTGATGACCGAGAACAACAACAACAGCATCAGCGTCAGCAACGGGAGAAACGACGACGACAACGGCAACGGTGGCGGCGGCGCAAGCGTACTATTGGATCGGTCTTCAATGATATGTGTGTAAAGTTCAATGCTTGCGGAAATGGTTCCCTTAGCAGTGACGAAGAACAAGACAACCATCCATATCTCAACAATACCCACAATATATCAGAGCCATCAGAAAGCCGGTCAAGAAGTTCTGGCGAGATTGCGGATGTATCAAAATACCAGAAGTGGCGCAGAAGTATGGCTTCTGGAGCCAAATCCTGGCTATCGAGCAGTTCATCTGGGGCTAGTGAAGAAGCACCTTACTTAGCGTCACCCAAATCGGATACTGACATCCACACCGATCTCGATGCACTTTGTCAGGTATCTGGTTTTTTTTTTAAAAAGTGCATTACTCTGATGAACTAGGTTCCTTCTTACACAAATGCTTTTTTCCAAACGTTATGTGTACAACATGATAGGCAATAAAATCACTCGAAAATGTCCCAGGAAAAAGCCCTCCAATGGTGCATCGAACCGCATCAAACCCAGCTGTACCCACTGTGAACAATGACTTTGTGTCTGAGTACTACGATGGAAGATTGGGGCCGAAAATGGTATTCGATGATGCAAGTGAGCTGGATTTGTAAGTATTCATCATACTCCAAGTACTGCATACATGTATATGTATTGACAAATTTTTGGTTTTGTATGATCTAGTCAACAACGCAAGCATTTTCTGTTGAAGCGTGTATGGGGAGGCATATATCAGGCGAAAATCCGTAATCCAAAACTGATCGTTCACTGGATGTGCAGTTCTGGCCATTGGGAGCCTGAAATGGCACGTGAATTTCCTAATGCTAAGATTATCGGTTTAGATTACAAGCCTGTTCCCAGCGGCAGCTATACGCCTAAAAACGTCGAATTTCGACAAATGCGTGCACAGTCGCATAGTAACGGAATTCACGGACTTGAGAAATTCGCGGAAAACAGTGTTGATTTGCTTGTGCTACGTGACCTTTGGATCCTCGGCTCAAAAAACCAGCAAGGGGGGAATGTTCTAGAACGGGCATTCAAGATACTCAAACCTGGTGGTTGGCTGGAAATTTACGATCAAGGTATATGAGGGAAGCAGAAAGGACAAAGACAAAGAAGAAAGCAAAGCGCGTTTCTTATTGTTTGGCTAATTTTAATGATTTATTATAGATCGACCGGTTGTGTCTGGTGGACCTAACTTTGATCAGTTGGAAAGATGGATAGAAGTATGCAAGAAGATATTTAATGTCAGCTTAGAGAAACTGGAGCATATGGTCGAAGAACTTGAAGCAATAGGTTTTACAAACGTCAACTCGCAGTCGGTAGAACTACCAGTAGGTGAATGGGCATCCACACCAAGTAAGCTATTATTTGAGGGACAATAAATTAGTTAGTGATATTGCATAGCAGGACAAGGTTCATGACCAGTACTATACTTTTTGTAGTGTTGAAAGAGACTGGTTACTTTATTAAAGATCTGAGACGACGACGCTTCCTGATCCGAGCTCCAGGAATTCGATACTCCTGTAACGTCAGTGACAGCAAGTTGAGGCGCACGTTAAGAAGAGCATTGGATGATTGTGAAGATTATAGAGCGCATACTTCATGGTATTGCTTTAACGCTCAAAAGCCATTATCGTAAACTAAAAGAGATATAACAATAATAATCCAAAAAAAAGAACACCATCATCCAAAAACTTGGTAGTACCACTCGTACACTTTCATTATATCATCTTTGTGCATTTTTGACTAAATTACAATACAGCGTCAGCAGCAGTATACCCATCCCATACTAGAGATGATCCAAGTGCATGCAACAACGATCCCTTGTGTTTTAATATAGCATGAGGCGTGTCAAATGCACTAACTCGGCCAACTTGATCAATGACGAGCACTCTTAAGTGTACAAGAAAAACAAGAGACAATTAATAAGAGTGTAAACGCTTTTGAGAATGGGGTTCTTTCGCACGAGCAAACTTACCTATCAGATTCCATAACGGTGTCGAGTTTTCGTGCAATAATTATGCGCGTGCAATTGTTGAACTGTTGCTGAAGAATCCGTTGTACCAACTCGTCCGTTTCGACGTCCATCTGACATGAATAGATATATATTAGTCATCATGTGTTATACATGCACGGTTTTTGTTCTGCAACTTTTTGACTGCTAGTACCTCGTCAGGCTCCTCGATAACGACTATTCGAGTACGTCTAAGTAGGGCTCGAGCAAGTGAAATAAGCTTTTTTATCAAAAAGAACATTCGTAGAACAAAGTAAATCAACATTATCTTGCATAAGTTTCAGCTTTAGGAGGTATTGCTTACCCAGCACTGTTCGTTAGAAAATCTTTGCTCAGAGACCGGTAAATCTAGGCTTTGAACATCGATTTGCACAAGATTTAAGGCTTCCCACATCGCTAAATCATCACGGTGGCCGCATGGATCCTTTCGGTTTTTCATTTACAAAAGAACATTTTTCATTAGCACACTCTTTGTTCAAGGAAAAAGTTAATCGGTAAACAATGTAGTAGTAGTAGTATTAGTAGTAACTTACTAAATTTTCACGCAGTGTGGCTTCATTGAATAACACAGCATCTGCTGTTATCATGTTAATTCTAGATCGTAAATCGTGTAATCGTAACGTATGAATATCGATGCCGTCGATATCAATATTGCCTGTAGTGGTTCCTGTTGTTTGATTATGTTCCCGTAGTAAGTCTATACCAATATTACCGCCGACGACACTGATTCTTTCACCAGGATTTATTGTAAAAGTGGCATCGGATAATGACGCAGACGTGTATTTCTCGAACGAGACCCTGCCATAATCGGGCCAGCTTGAGCTCACTGAGATAGTATCTGTACGGTCATTAGGTTCACGTGGTAAGACCTGTTATGTGGAACATCGTGCAATCACAGAGTAAAACATGAATGTTTCAGTTGTTTTCAATACCTTATGATTTATCAGATTTAAAACAATAAGGAGACATATACAATTACCTTTTTTATATGGGCAACCGACGCCATCTTTAGCTGATGGCAACAAAATAAAATCGTGGGAGAAATAGTTTGAGTATTTTTTTTCGAATCCCTAAATAATCGTAAGGGCGTAAGATGCCATTCACATTACCTCGATATCTCGGTGAAGACAAATGCTAGACTCCAAGGAGCGCGGAATACTCATTGCATAATAAAGACTCAATCCGACCAATCCTGCATCGATCACAGGAGCAGCACCGTACACGACGTCTAATACGGCAAACAAGGCAGCACTCAACAGAGCAAGTGAGCCCAAAAATTCTGCACGGACGGCAATCCATCGATCACAGGAAGAAACTAAGCAAAATGCCCGTTCGGTATTGGCAACTTTGGCTTCCCCATCGGCAAGGAATCGCTGGGTTTGATTACAGGTCCGAATAGTTACCGCGCCACTGACCATCTCCCTCACAGCAGCGTCAATACGGGCATCGCTCGCAGCAACCATATTGTGATACCGTAATGAGGCGGCAAGGTATTGGCGCCGTAAAAAGCAGTAGCAAAATCCTGCATAGTATGTAAATAGCCTGTTAGTTGGATTATTGATAAAAAAAAATGTACAGCTAAAGTGTCCATTATTACCTAGTGGAATCAAAACGAGAATGATGAATGGTGTGGAAAATGCAATAACGGCCAAAGCTGATGTGACGGAAGCAATGACCACAAGGTAGCGATGGAAGAGTTTTGGCAAGGCTTGGTTTACGGTTTTCATATTCGCGCTCAGTCTGTGCAGAGTGTTTTGTGTTGCTGCATTGTTTCCGAAGACACATGTCGGCGCTCTGATGACAAACGTGATTCGAATATTTTAGCATATGACAAAATAGTAAATAACAATGCACTTGACATGATTCAGTTTTTTTCTTCGTGTCACCTACCTCATGATGTTGCAAAGTAGGTCGGTGTGAAACGATTTTGCCGAGCATACTGCACAGACAATCCACAAAAATATACACTGTAAGGTATGTACAAGGACAGAGGAGACGACAATGGCAGCAAACGTGCCCAAAAAGGAGAATGCGTCACTTGACATGATTCGTCCGTAGTTCAACCACATGTATGACCCGACTTTGGCGAGCTGGCTCATTGATTGTAGCAGTAAAACCATGACCACAGCCATCAGCGAACATGACTTTGCATATGTTGACCAGCATTCTGAGCGGTGTTCTTCCTTATCAATCTCATCCTTGTCACCGTCGTGGTCGTTTTTGTCGATGATGCTGGAACCACGGTCAACTGCTGATGCTGCTGTATCCTTTACGCTGTTGTTGTTGTTGTCTTCTGTTGCCATGATATGGTACAACCGCCCTCGCTGTTTGCTCATCAGGTCACCGAACGTTCCATCCATAACCATCTCGCCGTTCCATAGCATAATGATACGTTCCAATTGGTGTAGACATGAGAATGTATGCGTGATTAGAACGCGGGTTTTAGTTTGTAAATGACCTTGTATAACACGATTGAATAGGCGTCGACCGAGCTGGGGATGCATGTGTGTAAAAGGATCATCGAATAAGTAAATGTCAGCACGGCTATATAGAGCACGAGCTAAGGAAATCCGCGCCTTTTGTTCGTAAACGCCTCTTTCTTCTGATATCTCACAGATGTCAAGGACATTGCGGTAGAACAAGGGATCCCATCGCTGGCCAAACACAATGTTGTCTTGTAGATTCGAGTCAAAAATCCATGGATCGCGAGAAACGTAGGCAATAGAACCGCGGATAGTAAGCTCGCCTTGCGTCTTTGGCAATTGTCCGAGTAATGCGTTAATTAGTGCAGTACGTTTGCTGCCGACAACACCAACCAGCTCTCCTTTACATATAGTCAAGTCCGTAAGTTGTAATGTGGTGGAATCAAATGCAGCATAATGCGCTTCGATAAGTGGCAGGTCGTTATGCTCCCGTTGCTGCTGGTAGTAGTTGTGGCTGCTGCTGTTGATGCTGTTGCTATAGGTTTGAGACACGGCCGTAGTAATGATGTTATCTGCCGGAGCGAAAACATCCGGAAGAGACAGGTACGATTCTATGCTTTTGAGTGATTGGCTCGATCGGACAACAAGCTGCGAAAACTTAGAAATGTCAGATATAGGCTTCCACAGCAAGTCAAAGATGACGATAGTGACAAGTAGCGTTTGATTGGTGAGTGTTTGATGCTGGATGATGGATGCGAAAACGAACGTCGTAAAAGATGCGATAAGAGGCATGTAACTGGTCGAAAATAACGCACATTTCACTGTTGCAATACCGCCGATTCGTCTTAATGCCTTGACCTCGTTGTTCTGCAAGCCGATCGCCTTTATCATGAAAGGCCTTTCCCAAGCGTACAGTTTGACTGTACGTATACCACGTAGCATGTCACGCTGCGGATTTTATTACGAATTTGAGTGATCAGCATCATCTTTAAGTCTTATTATTGGGATTAAACAGATGGGATAATCTTACCATGATGCATAATCGGTTGTTTTGGTTGATATCATAGACGTTTTGAAAGTAATGCAACAAATGTGCGAGCAATAACTTCGCAGGGACTGCGAGAAGCATTATGCCTGCACCAGCCCATCCAGTGAATCCAAACATATAGTGAAGTGCAGATAGTCCCAGCGCTATCTGCAATGGCGCACTCCAACCTACATACCGAGTGCAAGTTGATTTATCAGCTTATCAATTTACGGAAGAAATTAAGCTATTTTTTCCCTCTACCTGTGTATAGACTACCGCATGTATCGGCCAACGTCTGCACATCTCCTCTTATGTATGCTTCTATCTGATCGTATACAGTGATGGAAATGCATAACGATGAGCACCTTGTGAGCCCTAATGTTTTGTTGTAGAAAGCGGAAAAGAGAGCACATCTATGCGCAATCAGTATATTTACCATATTGACCGATGGCGTGTCAACAGCCGACAAAGATTTGCGACACAGTGCATTGACGAGTAAGGAGCGCAGCTGAGAAGAGCATGAAGCAGACCGATGAAGAAACTGTTGCAAAAGTAATGATTGCACAACTGAAACGGAAAACATGTAAAACGCAATTGATGCACCCTTGTACAACGGCTCAGGGATTTGCTGGGTAAGGGCTGTGTGGTTTGCCACCCAATCCATTAACATATACAATAACAGCGGTTGTGCAAACTGTAGCGTATCATGTAGCAGTTTCAATACCTAGTAAGTAGCAAGTAAGGATGACATAGTGATAAATACAAGTTAACCAGCTGATTGTTATTCGACATAACGTACAGAGTTTTTCTACTTTTATATATGGAGCAATTATTTGTTTTTAGGCTTACACATCCTCCAAGTAACTGACGCATGATCGGGTAGTTTAGTATTAGCGCCCGAAGTAGTGAAGGACTAAAATGTGAAAAATATACAACCTGTTAAGATCGTTGATATATAACAAGTTTTTCTTGTTTTAATTATAGATTATGATAAGAGTATTACTGGCAAAAAGAAGTTACCTGTGCTTTTCCTGTTCAATCGCCCATCGCTCTTGAAACAAAGTTGAGGCTTGTTCTTCTACTCTCCTATCGAACAGATTGCACCATATTAAAACATAATACATTTTTGTCATAAAATACCGCTTATATCTACTACAATATCTACCACCAGAAGTTGTTTAGTGACGATGGTTGCATCCACGAGCTCATCCAGGAAAAAGTGAGCCTTCCAAATATGTTTGAATTTGCTGGGGGATAACCGCTCTACATTTACCGGAAATTTTATTGCTTAGTAGACTCTTCTTGTCTGTGCCAAAGATGCTTTCCTGTTCTATAGTAACTACCTCATGCTCACTATGGAGCTGAAATGCTTGTTGTTTCGTAGGGCACTTGCAATTTTCAAGGATAAACATGAGGCATGATAGTACGTATGTCGTTGTAAACAAGCCCATGTGTTGGACGCTTATCTCACCGCCAGCCCACAATCGGTATCCGTTCACAAGCGTAGTGAAAAGCCAGTAGAACAATAATATGCCAGATCCGGTCGAGTTCCGTGTATGTTCAACATGGTGAAGGACAATAGCCAGCAGCTAATATAAAAATAAATCCAAGGTTAGTCCTTCTCATTTAGTATCCCGCTAAAAGAAAGTTTAAAGTTTCATAATACTAACCATGGTGGCAATGTTTATAGTTTGAACGGTAAAATATTGTGTTTGTGTTAAAATTAGGTCGGCAATCATTGTGAACAGCAGCAAAAGCAAGGTTACCTATAAAACAAATCACTAATCAGCTGGGCTGCTCTTTATTTCTGTAGCGGTAGAGCTGTATGATAGTCTGTAGGCACATGATTTTATGTGTGTGTTACTTGCAAGTTTAACAAAATAAAGCCGACTTTGTGCCACATCATGGGTGAGAGGGTCACGTTTGAAGAGCAGGATGTAAAGACGGAGTGGAGCAAGTAAAATCAGAAAAAGTGTAGGGATAAGCTTTAAATGTCTAGTAGAAAGGACGATAGGTAGATGATGATGAGTCGCTATGTTCACATAATGCTTGCATTGTTTTTTATTTGCAGTAGCATGAAAATAATGCACATTACACATCATCCAAACAGCCGTAAGGCTCCTATATAATGTTTTTGATTGAGGTATCAGTGAACATAACTACGTGCTTGTAGCTTTTCTTTATTTCCTTCTTACCCAATTTTGGGAACAGTTGCGGATCCACGACGGCTGGTACTCTTCTGAATCCATCAAAATGAGAGTATAAAATAGTAGTTGTGGTTGTTGTTGCGATAAGAAAAAAGCAGGTTGAAAAAGTGAAAGAAAAACGAGAAAAAGAAAGAGCTTGAAATTTGATATACTAATAAACAAAGAAATTACGGATGTTTTGTGTTTGACAATTCGAAACAGCAGCAAGTTCATGGTAATCATTGTGTCCAATGAAAAACAATCGGCGGATGATGAGCTCCCGCCAACTCTGCAAGCGTGACACAGCCAAATTTGGTGAAGCCGACAATGAAACCCGCTCTTTTGATTGCTGTATATCATTAACAGCTTCTGCTCATAGAATAGATGACTAGCAACTTTTTTTTGTAATTACATGGATTGAAAAGAAGATGTCGGGATGGGGTATGCTGGAAAAGCCGAAGGATTATCTCTATAGGTGTAAGGGCTGTTGTGATAATTAAAAAAGGTGATGATGGGGGGAATTGTAATAAACGGGATATGCAATTATATAAACTAATGAAAATTACTCTACTTCGCCAATTCTTTGTATAGTAGTAGCAAATCCCTTGATTTTAGCACACTCGACTTTGAGGTTATCTGCCCTGGCCGTCTCCCACTCGCCATCTGCCATCATCTTTCGGGCGTATCTAAGGCACAACTCCTCCCTGAAATTCGTGTATAGCTTCCGATTATACCAGCGCTATAATATTCAAGTACATAAACATATGAGTTGGTAATAGCGCGCTTTACAAAGAAAAAAAGGAACAAGAACAAAGAGGATGCCGTTTACCTCTTTATTACGTGTTTGTTCTGGGTAATGGTGTGTCTGGTGGATGATGAAATCGTTGGGCAGGACCCAGTACTCGATGCCAGAAAGATAGATCTCGTACAAACACGCTGCTTTATTGGCGCCGTACCCGATAAAGCGCTCGTCGCACCAGGGTGTCCCCTGTTTTTTTATAATCACATAGGGCTCGTACGAATAGTTATAATCGACCACTTTGTACGGCTCTGTTGCCTGATACCACTTTGTGTAGTTTGTCGAGCCGTGGCCGCGAGTCCATGAGCGATGGAACATGTCAATGGGCTGCTGCATAAGCTGGTCCTTACGCGATGGAAAATGACGCCAGTCTTCACCATCCTGCTGATCCAGGTACTCAAACGCAGGCACTACTAGTGCTGCTCGGCCCGAATCTAGTTTTTGCTTTAGATCTGGCGCAAGCAGACGCAGGGACGACGGGAATTTGGTGCAAACATGAAAATCGACATCAAGCATCATGACATACTCGGTTTGGGCGAATAGTTTCGCCACGTTTCTCCACATGTTGAATTGGCGGTCATAATCGTCGATAATCAAATGCACGTCGACGTGCTGCTGCATGTCGGGACTGTTTTCCATAAGCTGATACAGCTCCGTCAATGCGTCCTGGCCGTCATCCGTATTGCTGATATGAATGGCGGCGGAGATGGGTCCTCCATAGTTGGTTGCAAGACGACTCAGAACATGGAAACGGTTTGGCGTGACAAGTGTTGCGATGGTTATGTCGTCGTTGCTATGTGTCGCTTTCGATTTAAAAAAGTACGGGTGGACGTTTTTCTGGCTGCCCATGGAGCTGTAGAATACTTTCGACATGGTCAAGTCATCTAAAACCCAGAGTGAAGAAAAAGAGTTGGTCAGATGATTGTATTTTGACATCATTCATCTTGTTACGCACTCAGAGTGGGCTGCTGCTGCTGCCGTCCTCGATGAGTTGCTGCTGTTGTTGTTGTTGTTGCGAGAACATGCTGTTGTTGCTGGAACATTGGTTCATCTTGAGCAGAACGAGGTGCAATTCGACCACCAGGACGGACATGTCGCGGTACAGGGGGACTGTTCTGGCTCAACTGAAGAACGTGAAACGTAGCATAAAATAGCGAGCCAGCAACGTAAATGAAAAGTAAATATTTGATAGATTTGGACGGTGCCATGATTTTGGATGAAAGAAAAGAAAGAAGCATGAACAACCAGTAAGTTTTTCTCTTTTTCTTTTCGGGGTCAAGTATAAAAGAGAGAAAGAAAGAGATACATAATGCTGCTGCAAGGGCGAACGGCATAATATTCATAATATGGTAAATGGGCGCTGATTCTCCGAGGGGAGAGTAGTCATTGGCTTGCGAAAAAAGTGCTTCTCTAGGATAAGGGGCTTTTATTTGCGAAAATAGGAGCAATTTTTTCTTAACCTTTAGGTGTCCAAAAACGTTGATGGTAATGACAACAAGAGAACGTGCGATCACATAGTTGAAGAATAGCTCTAACAAAAGACAAAGCAAATGGCTAAGGGGTAGTACGAGCACAGAAATTAGTAGTGAGCGACGGCAACAATGCCTGGTGAACAACGCAATCTATATTTAAACGAGACATTTTGCAATATCAATGTTAGTATCAGTTCTTCTCTTCCAACATTTTCTGATAGAGATTTACTTTGCAAGCAAGTGTAGAAAGTTTGTTGTAACGTGCCCTACCAGCAAGTTCTGGCACCAAAAAGACTTGATTAACGGTCTCGACCGTTAAAGCATAGACACACCTGCTGCAGCAGGTACGAACGATTCCTCCTCGCACCCATAATAGCTTGAGTTGGTCTCCTTGAACATGGTTATAGGTGGCAGCAACGATGAAAGAAAGAACCGTTGTAAGCTTGCACATAATACCAACTCCAGCTTTTTCCCAAAGCAATTGGCCACTTTAGCATCAAGAAATCTTAAATGCTCATCATCAACGGTCCGATATACCGCTAGATAATCAAAGACTATGTGATAGCGATTGTTTATCGTAAACTTCGATCGCAACAAATTCAGCAGATCGCCCCCCATATACAAGATATCCCCATATAGGCGACCCTGGCTTTTGATTTTTCCTTCTCCCCGGCATATCCCTTGCGTTGCGCTTGGTGCAACACGCAACGTACTATATAGATAAGCCATGATAATGATGCGGTCCTCTTTACTACTGCACGCTTGATACTGCTGCAGAAGTGCTTACGGGTATATACTACGAAAGTGAAAACTGCCTGCGGCAACTCTTTGGGAAGCTCTATCCAAAATTATTAACATAGCGAACTTAATGTGAAAGGGGCTAATAAAAAAACGAGTTTAAATCGTACCTTTGCAACAAAAAATGACAGAAAATACTGTGGCAAGAGTGAGCACCTCTTTGTATACTGCAAGAAAGCACAGCAGCAGCAGCAGCAGCACGCATAGTGATAAATCAGTCAAAGCTGTGAAGCTGTTTCGTGCATAAATGTATTATCTATGCGCTCGATCAATCATCGATGGTGTTAAATTAAGTAACAGGCAGGGCAAAATTAATAAAGTAACAGTCTCTCTCTATATGATATCGATCGACAGAAAAGAAAGATTGTATTATATCCTAGATAAGCTGATACTATGCTAGAAAGAGAGAACCACTACTAGTCATGGTATTTTGTAGTGTATACACCGTCCTCTCTTTCAGCTACACTCATCAATATATTACCTGAGTGTCGCTATTATTCAAGTTTATATGATCTGCGCGTTGAACATAGTGTCACACAAAATCCACGAGTGTATGTTTTTAAGGATACGCCAAATTACATCTACAACCAAAAGATCTGCATTTCCCCTAGAAGTGCTAGCAGATTTTGTGTGTACGTGTTTTTCGAAGATATTCAATCGGCGTGGTTATGCGTATGTTACGAAACTCCTGTATATTTAGGGCGTGATCTAGACTTATCATGCATACGCTATATTGTTGCTAGTTCTTACTCTACATAGCACAGTTATTTTCTCTATAACAGCTCGATGATGTGACATCACGCAAGAAAAAGAAAGGTGCAACATGGATGGATATCATGTCCGGACATCCCTGATTTTATGCAGCACATTATTTTACTGTAGGTCAATAGAGCATTGTCAAGCCACTGAATTGGACGGCCAAGCTTTCGCCCGTAAATAAAATTGGAATATCTAATACGATTTTCAAGAATTCAACAGTACTATTTAATTGAACCAGTAGCAAAGGGAAACATGATACGAGAAGCATGCAGCAACAATCCTCCTAGGTCATGTTACGTAAGCTTATGTAATCCGGGAACCTAATGAAGTCATGAGTGACACGAGGAAACTCGCTGTACGACACGCTTCCTTTTTTTGGCAAGAATTATAGACTGAGCAAATATAGCATAGCAATTGAGGCAACAGAGTCAAGAAGGTTATGTACAAATTTATTGTTCTTTCTGGAACTGTTTTTAAAAACGAGCTAGATAAACAAAAGGAAAAAAAAGTATGGGTATGGAAAAATTTACAAGTGTTTTTCTAAGCGATAGTGACGATATCATCGTAGAGCAAGGTTGTTAAAAACTCGTCGTAATGTTCACCAGTTACATTGGTGGCAAAAGCCTTCTTTGCGATCTCAAACTTGCTTGCAGCGTATTTGTCTCCACCCATTTCCTCTTTGATTTGTGCGCATACTTCATCCAACAGTTTCAAGTTGAGCTCTGGGGTGATGACAATGCCCTCGACGGTCTTTGCCTTGTGTCGTGCCCACTGCCACAACTGTGAGCGAGAGATTTCGGCTGTCGCGGCATCCTCCATCATGTGGTTCAAAGGAACACATCCAACACCTCGAATCCAAGCTTCCATATATTGAAGTCCAACGCGAAGGTTGTCACGAATGCCTTCTTCAGTAATCGTACCAGATGGAATATGCAACAAGTCGGCAGCAGTGACTTGAACGTCATCACGGGTCACTTCAAGCTGGTTTGCTTTGGGCATGTGTTCGTTGAAGACGTCCATGGCAATCTTAAGCAAAGCTGGATGGCACACCCAAGTGCTATGGTTGTAAATAAGTTTTTCTTCGGTTAGATATATTTCCTGCTTCCTTCATTTGTTATTGCCACGCGTGAGATTTAACCCCCCCTCATAGACACATACCCATCGTGGCCAGCCTTCACTTCACGGAACTTATCGGCGGTGACCTTGGCCATGGCAGCTTCGTTAGCTCGTGGATTGTTCTTGATAGGGATCTGCGCAGCCATACCACCCATGGCATGGACACCACGCTTGTGGCATGTCTTGATCAAAAGACGGACATAGGCATCCATGAAGGGCACGGTCATGGTAACCTGCGAGCGGTCGGGCAGCACGAACTCAGGATGCTCACGGAATCGTTTAATGAAGCTAAAAATGTAATCCCAGCGTCCGCAGTTCAGTCCTGCAGAGTGCTGTCGCAGCTCATAAATGATTTCTTCCATCTCAAAGGCAGCAAGGATGGTTTCAATTAGAACGGTTCCGCGAATGGTGCCGCGTGGTACAGAAAGAGCATCTTGTGCGGCATTGAAGATATCATTCCACAGTCTATAATATCAGATAACCGCATTTAATGCACTGTTATATCACACTTTCCCACATAAAGGAAAAAGGGTAAACAATAGTTGTAACCAAGCCTTGCCTAGCTTCCAAATGTGATTCCATCTTTGGCAAATAGTAATAAGGACCAGCCCCAAGTTGAATAAGTTCCTTTGCGTTGTGGAAGAAGTAGATGCCAAAGTCAAAAATCGAGGCAGAAGCAGGCTCACCATCGATGATTACGTGCTTTTCAACCATATGCCATCCTCTTGGTCTAAAAAAGGTCAATAACCACAATGTTAGCTCATGTTTGATAAGAGACACATACCCATCTCAGTCTAATACTGCACGGGAAAAAAGTAATTCGGATAGCTTACCTTACGAGAAGAGTGGCAATTTGACTATCCTTGCGCAGCTCGTACTTTTTACCATCAGGGTTAGTGAATGTAATTGTGCGACGGATAGCATCGTACATGTTAACTTGACCAGAGAGACAGTTTTCCCAAGTGGGAGAGCTGGAATCTATGCACATCATATCAAGAAGAGACGGTTAGTAGGTATGGCAACATTTTGATAGCAGATCACTCTATTTTTCTTTTTTATTCAAATCACCTCCCGCATACCTTCAAAGTCTGCCATGAACGTGGAAGCACCCGAATTGAGGGCGTTGATCACCATCTTGCGGTCGACTGGACCAGTAATTTCCACACGGCGATCTTCAAGACCGGGAGCAAGAGAGGCACCCTTCCAGTTGGGATCTTGACGGATGGAAGCGGTTTCCGATAAAAAGTCGGGCAGCTCGCCTTGATCAATAGCCAACTGACGCTCAGCACGCTTGACCAGCAAGGACTTGCGAGTTTGGTTGAACTGACGGTGCAATGTTGCCACGAACTGCAGAGCTTCGGGTGATAGGATGGCGGCTTCTTCCTTGGTAGAAACAGTGCCCAAGACAGAGACACCAGGTACGTTGTTGTTGAATAGAGTCATTTTTCTTGTAAACTTTTTTTTGGGCGTATAAGACAAAGTATTAGGAGGAATGAGCAGGAAAAAGACAATGCAAAACTGTGCGATCGTGTTCTCGCGAGGCCACTTTATATATGCGGCTCTCTGGATGGACCGCTACTCCAAAACCTTTTCATCATTGGACGCAGAATATGGAGAAATGTGAAACTCAGTTCTCTCTTCCACCGTGTCAAATCCTTTTTTTATGTACATTGTCTATAAATTACCAGATCAACATGGTTTAGCCACCGTCCTTTCTCTTCTCTTTCTTTCCAGTCTTCTTCATCATTCCAGCTGCTAGACCAATCTTAGTATGAGTGAGTACGTCATTGACTAACTAAAGAAAACAAGTCGTGCATAGTATAAAAGCTTAGCGATATCAACCACGAATATTCTTTGATATGGTTTCATGCCGCCCGTCGCCAATAACATTATCCGCTACCCCGCAAAGTGCTCGCCGCTTGACACTGACATCACTTCCCGAAACGAGCAAAAAGGTTGATCCGGAAAATTGTGGAGCGGACTTTTTGTCCAGCAAACCAATTGAAAGGTACTTTCAAGATACGTCAATGACACACAGCGCGCGCGTGCATTCGATTTTTAATGAGCAAACAACACAGCGTTGACCCACCGGGAAACAAGGCGGGGATTCTTCTTCGTACTAGCATATTATTATTATATGTATCCCTGAGTAGTGTACCTTTTGCTATTCCGCTTAATCGATTCTTCGCAGTCTTGCAAGAAGGATTGCAGCGAGGAAAAAAGAATCGGAATAAGAGAACGGAAGAAAAAGGAGCAGGGATTTTCCCACGATAAAATTAATGCTCTGCAGACCTGTCACCTGCGCGACGAAAAGCAACATATGGAAATTCTGTTATCAGTGAAGGAATCAAGCTGTTTGACAAACACAGTAATGAGAACTACGTACATCGTTCACAGTTCTGCGGCTTCCACAACGATGCCACTTGAGATTTTCCAGGTTTTTCGGATCGTTTTTGCGTAAAGCGACTAGATCTGAATGACTCATATACTGCCCTTCTAAGGAAACGTGTATAAACCGATGGCTTGTTGACAGAGTAGTTCTTGTATGCACTGGAACGTAACCAACAATGGTTCCATGTTTCAATACCATGACATCAATTACATCACATACCGAGCGCAAACTAATATAATGCATCTGGGTCGCGAAAGGCGGAAGGATGTCGAAGAATCAACATTGTCAGAGTTGTTGCTGAAAGGCGCATATACATTGGATACACTGCTCAAGATAAAAGCCTAGTTTTTCATGCTACTCATTATAGATAGTATTATGTGGTTCACCAATATTACAACAAGAACAACTGTTGTATTTCATTTCACATCCTTCACATCGTTCCCATAAAGTAAGTCTATCGTCATCATCATCATCGAAAACCATCAATATATTTAACATAGCTTCCAACATCCTCGTCCTCATCAGATAAGAGAAGCCCATCTGAGACGTTAGCATTCTCATCAAGAGCAGCAGTAGGTGTTTCGTTTCTGCTGGTATCTATATGTAACCATGCGTTATACTAGAGCTCGTGGAGATGACAGAAGCAATGAACGAAAAATTTATGCGAAACTACATATAACGCTACTATGGATACGATGTGGTCTGTGTGTATAATAAAGACATAATATCTCGTCATACTTGCATTGTGACTACGAACAATTAGTAACCATGAAACATATTCAACTTTTATTGCACTCAAATAATCAATGTGACGAGTCTTCTATAACTGACCCAATGTTGTTAATCCTCATATATACCAAGCCTAAACATCAGCAACAACCACTAATAACCAATATCGTACAGCGGACCACCTTTAATTTCACATCCGTACTTTCAACCCTCGGATATTTCACTTTCAAAGGATCATTCAGTGTTGAAACCTTACGGAGTTATATCTGCTCTGTATTGATAAGAAAAGGTTTATCCTTGGCAACTACTAAAGCCTGTGCGTTTAATGAGTCTATTGACGCAAATTATTAAAAATGAGGATCAAGTGATATAGGATACGGAGTAAAAGATCAATCCGGCCAGATAAAATGTATTAAGATAAGTACGCTATGTGAATTATGTGATCCATATGGGAGTTGGAAATATGTGTAACACCAAAATGTGCATGGATAAAGGAACGTCCGCGCATGGGAGTCTGTCCTAGTATCCGTTAACTTTCACAATCCCTTAATTTCACGAAATCTATATTTGAAATTAAAGGAGGTCCAATGGATTATAGCTGAAATGACATCGATTGATTCAAAAGCGATCTCTGCAGTTCTTGGGCTTATATTACTCAGATTCGGTATAGAACGCAGCCAAAGTGTGACAAAGAAGATGAAGCTGGCGTTGGAAGAAGCATACAGTAGTGGATTTAAATTCAATACTGTAATTGACAACAAAGCTGCTATTCGATCATTTAAAAGCATCGGTTATCCCAAGTGACCAAACACAACTATAATGTTCTTTCTCTTCACCTTTCATGATCAAACGAATTATGTGTAGCGCATTCAGCTCACAATACAATATGAAGTACTCACCACATGCCGAGATCATAACGTCAGCTGGTTTGCTACAGGTACTGAAATTGACAGTGAAAGTTGAGGCATTCTGCATTTTCTTGTTTTGTATACTAAATTTTGTGGGGAAAGGGTAATTCAATACTACTTCCTGTTAGGTTTTTCAATTTTTCATCGCTGTATCAAGCCGTTCAAAAGATTAATCACGATCATAAAGGGTAACATGGATAGACGATTCAATATCAGGCAATGACGACGAAAAAACCTACATTCAATCATCCCAAAACTTTAAATGCCGTAATTCATCTTTGGATACCTGGGATGTCTTTTCGGCATCTTTCTAAGCAGATCTCGTGCGAATCTACAGGCACTCAAAGGCATGTAAAAGCGTTTAGGGGTTTATACGTGTTGCGCTGTTTCCTCGTATGCGTATTCCATTATGCGGATTATGATGTGAAAATAAAATGTTCACATGTAGCTAGCAGTACATAGCACTGAGTAGGGCTAATATTAAAAGGTACAATACTTATACAATTACAGTTTAGAAGAAAGTGTAGAGTAGTAAATATAAGGGTAATTATGCCTCTTCAATATCCCGACGTTCAGCCATTTCCGGCTGTTCCAGCTCCCGTTGCTGTTCATGCTTGACTGCCACGGTGCCTCGTCCAGTTATCTTGGCGATCCAATCACGAATTAAATGGAACAACATTTGGAGGAAAAAGACAACCACAAAGCACGCGCCCACACCAATATAAAGACCAGCGGCAACAGGTCCTTGGTCCCAGTCAAGAAAAGGGTACACCCAAAATCCTGCACTGTTGCATATAATTATGTTGGTTATGAATTTCTTAGTATAAAGCATGTGGAATAAAACGGACCATGCTGTGTAACAATCCATTAAATCCACCTTCATCATCACTTCTCTTACATACCTAGCATGCACGATGAAACTTAAAAACATGTACAAAATGACATGGATCACAATCAGCAGGACTATATTCATCTGCATCTTGATACGACAGAATATCATTTCAGACATCATCATAAAGAAAGATACACCGTGTACAGACACGTTCAACCAAACGCCCAAAGCATTGCTGCCCTCTATATAGTTTTAAACGAAACAAGTATTGAATGTGAGTTGTACAATATATACGTTTCCCCAGATAAGACATTTCTCTGTACGTACGTCCTTGGACATCTGCCAAGAGGGCCCAATACACTACAGGAGTAATGATACTATACAAATTGAAAAAGCAGCATATTATTAGCTTTAAAAAAAAAGGAATGCTTCTCCTCCTGTTCATTGTGTTTGGCTCTCATTTATATAACATACTTGAACACGAGAATTGTGTGGTAGAGATAGTAGTAGAGGTAATTAAGGACCGCTGGTTGATTAAAGAAAGAAACAAGCTGTCGCTTAGCTAAGATGTATCTAACATGATGATATACCGCCGTCTACAAGAATTGATCTTTTTAGCTTTGTCCAACACTACTTCTCTTCTCCGCTCACAAAGGGAAAAAGTCAACAGTTTTTTTTTGTGATGTGTTTTACCACAAGATATGCATGCAAGCCGATAAATGTAAGGGTTGTAAAAAATGCAAAAAAGCTCTGAATCGTTCCGTCTCGCGCAGAGGATCCAATGTTTGTCCAGATGACGATGGTTGAGTACAACGCAACGATCGAGCGTATACAAAGAAAAACGTTTGAAGAAACCCAGTGTGAAGTCACCGCTGCCTCAGGAATAAATTTATCAAAGCCAAACCACCGAATGATGGCATAAGGAGATGGCTCCAATCGCTCATCCGAGTACGTCATGAAATGCGATATTTCTTATTAAACTACGTAAGAAAAAGAAGGGAAAGGGAAAGGGAAAGGAAAAAGAGAAATCAAGAAAGCAGGTCTTCTTTCTCATAAGTGTTGCCTCTCTCTGTCTTACCTTGCGGTGTACTACTCTGGAAAATCTGAGTTGTACCAGAACAATGGGCCTCGTGTAAGCTTATTTTGTAACAGATCCTCGAAATACCCTGCAAGAAAGGGATCTGATGTACCCTTTCTTTAACGAAACGAGTCCAATTCTATAGATTCTCATTTAAATAGTCTCTTATGTGAAGCAGCCTGCAATTATGTAAACAAGCACAATGGGCTGGGCAACGACGATACCAAAGCATCGGCACACAAAACTTTACACTGCATGCTACTGCTGCGCACATTGACTATATGATAGCACATGTATAGCGGAGCACGGCAATTCAGTCCGGAGTTCATATTTTACTGCTTCAAACTTTTGCTTCGTCTTTTTGCTGCAAATGCCAAACTATTCTTAAAAAGTGCAATGTTTGCCACTCTTTCTGTAGTGTAGGAACCTGTGGTATTCACGGACAGCAAGATCGACTTTCACATGCTGCACAAACGCATATGTAGGTCTTGGCAAAATCTTCCTTTTGGCGCCGCTTCCATTATCAGACGACCCCTCCATAGCGGATCAGTAGTTTCAATCCATAGCTTGTTGTAATTCATCTTGTTATTTTCCATCAGCGTCAAAAATCATAGCTATGCAATTTGTCTTATCCAGTCCCTACTGTATTGATACCAGCGTCAAAAAAGCATCACAAAAGATTTTCCAGAAGAAACAAAGCAAAGCAGCTGAGTTACTATGAGCCAGCTGTTGCATATTGCCACATTACTGGTTTTTATCCAGTTGCGCCGCAGGTGTTTGAATTCTCATCATTTCTCACTGCAACAAAAAGCAGAAAAACATGGTAGAGGAACTTACTTCTCCCGTGCTCGCCCATTTTTCCGATGCAACAAGTGGCATTGCTTTCAACTTATTTTATCGACTTCAAAAGAAGAGGGCGAATTCTTAGACACTCAAGCATAAATTTACCCAACTTCCTTTTTTCCTTTCACCTCCTGCTTTTATATTTGGCTATAATTTTTAGTGATGACTTTCAGAGCCATATTATTAGCAGATCATTTGTGTTATACTCCCGCTCACTAACAGCCAATAATCTGCTTAAAGACTAGTGCGAAACATTTAGATGATTCTCGATTAATGTATCTATTAATCGGAATGTTGAAATTATGTATGTACGTCTTGACGACTGCATCGTAGCCTATGCAATTGTTTCATCATCAATGCAACAGACATGTGTAACAGTAATGAGCTAAAGCTATTGTTTTTTTTATCAAAAACCATATTGTTCCGAGCACATATGCTTGCATACAGCCTTTCAGATGTAAACAGTGCATGTATTCTAAACAAACATGTGTGCGCCTCTTCTTAAATCGTACAATGACACTTGTTTTGTTTGGCTTATATAAATGCTTTGTTGACGCGCCTCTTCAATGATCTGCAAGGGGGTAAATTCCAAAGTGTCGCTTGGCGAACTGAGTTACTTTTAGATCAATCCAGTTTGCTGGGATCTGCAACAAATGAAGCAAATTATCTGTTGTCGGCGAAGAAAACTTTATATCTTGGGGAGAAGGGAGGTTCACACAAGGAAAATAGGAATAGTGGTTTTAGTAGTACCACCATTATATAGGTAGGAAGCAACGGCGATAAAAACTGACAGTCGAACGAGATGTAAAACATTGTTTCAGGAACCACATACATCAGAATCTAAAAAAGTACTAGATCAAGCGTCATTGTCAATACCAGCATTTAGCGGGCTAGCCATCGTCTTGCATCAATTTCACACGTGCGGGCAGGTATGTTATACCATCTTAAATGATTTGGGCCAGTGGCGTCAGTTAAGGCCCCGCACGTGTATGTGCATACTCTGGCGTTCAACATTGGTGAAACCTTGATTGCATAGGGTATCTATTTCTCGTAGACGTATAAAAGAAGCGTCTACCATCGTTGCCAATGTTTTAATATCTTACTTGCTTCTTTTCTTTACAATCTTTGTGACAACATGAAAGTTTCTGCTACTTTTGGAATTCTACTCGCAGCTGCTGCCTCCAGTGTCTTCGGTGCCGAATATAAGCTTCGACAGATCGGTGCCTTGAACACTGAGAAGTTCCGGGTTTATCTTGGTAAGCCATCTATCCTGTTCAATAGCCATTCTCTAATGAAATTTATTAAATCGGTTTTCAATAATGCATAATGAACGTACCTTATTTCTATCTCGTTAGAAAATGAAAATGGTGTGCCAATTTCACCGTTCCATGATGTTCCTCTTCATCCGGATCCTAAAAACGCTACTGTGTATAACATGGTTGTAGAGATCCCTCGGTGGAAAAACGCAAAGCTCGAGGCAAGTATACGGCAGAAACATCATTTTACTTCTGATACTGGTTCTTAGTACTTACCTTTGCAATGTATGATACCAACTTTGTATAAGATTGATCGAGAGGAACCGTTCAATCCCATTTATCATGATACCAATAAAAACGGCCTTCGCTATATCGCAAATATTTTCCCATTCCATGGTTATCCTGCAAACTACGGATCTATTCCTCAGGTACTATATTCGGCGCCATTAGACCAAGCCTGGACAAGAATCTAGGAGCCATTATCATATTAACGTAAAGCATGTTATCCAATAGACTTGGGAAAAGCCCGACGTACCCCATCCGGATGTTCACACCAAGGGTGGCGATAACGATCCTGTGGATGTTTTAGATATTGGTCAGCAAGTAGGATACCCAGGCCAAGTCAAGCAGGTCAAGCTTCTGGGAGGGTTGCTCATGATCGACGACGGCGAAACGGATTGGAAGTTAATTGCCATTGATATCAATGATGAACGCGCACCTCATTTGAACGGTATGCATACATAGCATATGGTCATTATGTCAGTGAATCTGACAGATTTGTTAACTCCGATGAAATGATATGTTTGTCTGTTATCTTTCAGATATTAATGACATCGATGATAAGCTTTTGGCTGACATCAAGCACTGGCTGACTGTATACAAGATGCCACAGGGCAAACCCGAAAACGAATTTGGATATGACGGCGCATATCAGAACCACGTAAGTTTTTTACATTTACATGTTGTGAAACATTACTACTGTACATGAAATCTTAACCTTACCCCTACTTTTTAAACGCTACATAGAAATCCATCGAGAAGCTTATGGTAGAAACTCACGGTTATTGGCAAATGCTGATCAATGGCACAGCAAAGAGCGAAATTGAGACGTAAGTTTTCTATGTCAAAAAGATACATTATTGACGCATTGAAATTATTCAGAAGAGCTGATCTCAAACACTACAATGTAGCGTGAACTTGTCAGTTGAGGGATCACCTAACAATGTAGACAGAAAAAGCAAAGAAGTAAAGAAGGTTCCAAAGGTAAAATATTGGCTTTTAACCGAGTTTTCCGAAAAGGATAAACGTGCTACGCCGTATAAAATTCGATCTGATGCTGTAAATTGGTTATGGATTGTTTTAGGGCAACAAGAAACCTGTCCCAGATGCACCCATTGACGAAAAGTATCAAGAGTGGTCGTTCGTTTAGACAGCGAGAATGCTTTTCGTCTTAATGCATAGAATATATCATTTGTCGATTCTTAGTACTTTCTGCATCTTTCTTTTCTCACACCCTATCTAAATTGAAGGTGTTAATAAATGCGTTGTATTTACTTGAAAAAATTTCACATACTTGTTCCATAGTAGCAGAAAGTAATAGCAAAATGTGTATACATGGACAAGACGTGTGCTACTTTTCGAGAGTTTAATCGAGCATAGGTCATTTTCGCCTTTGATCAACATACAGTTCGCTTATTCCTTTCCCCGTACTCCTGCGCTCCCGTTCAGTCGACATCCTTCCACTTCAAAACCTGAATTTATGAGGTAAGCATTACTTATAAGCTGATCAATCTAATTATTAAAGTAGTATTCCTTCAAAACTACATGGGTACAAGACAGCTTGTACTCAGTTTTGGAGGTAGTTAACAGAGCACTCGCTTTTCCCAAAAAAAAAAACTTGGTCACTACTGAAAAATGAGCACTTGCCAAAGTAGTACTTAAGATTAGTACTACCATGCCACCATATTAATACTGTGACAATTGCTTGACGAAATGTTTGGATGTCAACAAGCACTAGCTCTGTCCTGTGGTACATACACAGGATAGTATTATAAGGTGGCATCTAAAAGCAAATTTGTTTATAATTATGCATATCAGAATCGCACATATAGATTGTGCCTTTGACTTGGAAATGAGCACAATTGCAATCGAGCTAGTTTATGAAAACTAATACGTCGCATTTACAGCGTGCTAGTTAATTGAGGAACCAACTAACAACGAATAACATATCCGCATAGAAATAATGAAGACTTCGCTAGGCTCCACTGGGAAGAAAAGGGATCACAACCAATGATTTGTTTAGATCTGTTTGTATATGAACCCTTGTGAAACACAGAAGACCAATCTGACAGATCGTATCTTTTAACGATTTTTTTTTATTTGGCTGGTTTCCCAAGTATGACATAGCATGACATACATAGCGACATAATTTAACATTCACCTGAATTCTTCGTGAGACGACTACATACGCTGCACATAAATGTAATGGAAATCATATCCCATATGTTAGGTTTGCTATTCTTTTATTAAAGAAGAGCTTAATGGGCGCAAAAAAAAGTGAAATCATACACATTAGATACTTCTCCCATCTTTGTCTAAAAATGTATACATCAATTATAATTAAAAAATTGTGTAGTATCGAACACAGTGTCCTTTGGGAGGATTGGTTTACGATACTCGTGGGAGTTAATTATTAGTCTTGAATTAAAACCGTGACCGTAGTAAACTAGTTATCATTGCTTCCTTTTCCTTTTCTCATTTATTTATTTTATACAAAAATGCATATATATAAAGCTACAGTATTGATTTTTGCTGTTCAGACCATTGCTACTGTCGTCGCAAGCAGTATTGTCTTGCCAGAACCAAAACTTGTACTGAGTAATGATGACGACCACTATAACGAAAAGCGCTGTGCAGACGTCGATTGTTTATACCGTATCCGTAGCAAGGGCTCGCTTAACACCAAAGACTTCACATTGTACTTGGGTACGCTACGAGCATCATGATTTCTTACATGTTTGAAAGTGCTGTCGGTAGGCTCATAGTGGCTGTAGTAGCTATGGCGCTGAACTAAAACAAGCACTTTGTGTAAAACAGAGAACAGTCAGGGTGTACCAATTTCGATATTTCATGATCTTCCTCTTCAACCGATGACAAGAAGCGATCCTGATATCTTCAACATGGTGGTCGAAATCCCTCGTTGGAGCTTTGGGAAATGGGAGGTAAAGATAATAGGGAAGAGGGTGGGGGTAATGGGCGGGTACCTTATTGTTGCATATGCATGAAATTGAGCTACATACCAATGGCCGATTATGTTGTATGCAACATGGCATACTGTAGACCAACAAAGAAACTGTCATGAATCCAATCAAACAAGATTGTGAAAAGAATGGAACTCTTCGCTTTTTGCCCAACCTGTTTCCGATACGAGGTTATCCAGTAAACTATGGAGCTTTCATGCAAACCTTTGAAGATCCACACTACATAACACCTGAAACGGGTACTAAGGGTGATAATGATCCTATTGATGTTGTCGAACTCAGTGAGACACCCGGCTACATTGGCCAAGTCAAGCAAGTCAAAATCCTGGGTGGATTATGCCTTATTGATCAGCATGCCACCGATTGGAAAGTGGTTACCATCGATATTAAAGATCCCATGGCACAGAATATAGATAGTAAAGTATCACTGAAATGATATTATGTCAAAATGCTTTCAATTGTAGCAGCTAATAAGATACCTTTTTGCTAGATATGGATGATGTAGAGCAGTATTACCCAGGTCTACAAGATGTAATCAGAAACTGGTATAGAGATTATAAAGTTCCTTCCACGGGGCACCAAAACACATTTGGTTTTGCTGACAGGTATCTGGACAAGGTAATTATATCGCTAAATGATCATCTGCCCAAGAGGATCACTTCCATCCTCTTCCGTAGTATCACGGTAATTGATTATATTCTCAATAGGAGTACATGACAAGCGTCATTTATGAAACACATGGCCTTTGGCGTGCACTGATTAATGGAAAAACAGACAGAAACGTTATTCAAACGTGAGTTGTTGCAGAAAGCGATATTGGAGGATTGCTACTGTTGTAGAGGCATTAGGAATGGAAAAACTAAACATAATCTGCAGTGCAACATTAACGAACAAAAATTCCCCGTACAAAGTGAATGCGAATAGCCCCGAAGTTCGGTCCGTGCCAAAGGTAAAAGAAAACAAGAGTAAATAACGTACGAGTATGTTTAATATTAGACACAAACAATATACAGAACGATCCTCAACCATCGACGCCACCACCTGAAAAATACCAACGATGGTCTTTTGTACCATCTTCGAAAGACCAATCATAGCGGTTGTTCTTCCGATCCGCGGAACGCTCCTGCAAGAGGACCCCAGGGGGTCATATCTAATAATGTAGTACCTCGGAAACTAAAAAGAACCCCACATTAAAAGAATGATCCCATCTCACTTGATTTTGATATACTCCCGAGCCGGTTTTTTTTTTTTTGCAAAACATAATATATTATTGCTTTTGTATGATACAAATCGAAGACCCAGATTATACAGTAGATGCTATTGTTGTGTGTAGAAAGAAATGATGATGTGAAAAGGCAGGGAACGGGAAAAGATGTACAAAATATACGAAAAGGAAAGAAGATCTATGCTAGTAATGATCTGCTTGAGAGGTTGTATGTGTGTGTGAGGGGTAGTGTATTGCATGCGTTTGTGTAGTAAGTAATATATGTACTGTGCGTGCGTGATATTTTTAGTTGGTAATTTGAACCTTGATGGCACCAGTAGAGTAATCAGCAGCAGTGTTGAATGCCTTAAGAGCGTCCATGATATCGTATTTGTGGGTGATGAGATGGTCAATGTTGAGCTTGCCGCTAGCCATCAAGGCAACGGCACGGGGATAAGTGTGATGGTATCGGAACAGACCCTTGATGTCGACTTCGCGCATGGCAAAGTTGTTGACTGGCAACGACTGGTCATTTTTGCCGACACCCACCAAGCAGCAGACACCAGCGTCGCGCGTAGCCATGATGGCCGTGCGGAAGGACGACTCAATACCTGTGCATTCCAAAGTAAATTCCGTGCCTTCACCACCAACCAAATCGCTGATTTCCTTGGCTGCTTCGTAGTCGGGCTTCTTGGGATCCACCTGGTAGGTATAGTCAGCACCCATCTGTTTGGCGTATTCCAGACGAGAGGGCTGGACGTCGGTAATGATGATAGGGCTGACACCGGTAGCCTTGGCAACGGCCAAAACAATCAAACCAATGGGACCAGCGCCAGTGATGAGCAACGAACGGCCAAAAGTAACGCCGCAGCGCTCAATGGCAGAAATGGCAACGGAGAGAGGTTCCAAAAGGGCACCTTGCTCGAAAGAAACGTTGTCGGGGATCTTGTGGAGCCATCGGGCAGGGTGGGTGCAGTACTTGGCCAAGAGACCGTCATAGGGGGGTGTGGACTTGAAAACGACGGTAGGGCACAAATGGTAACGGCCAGCCATGCATTGCGAGCACTTGCTGCAAGGAATGCCACTGTAATAGATAGGTTGCCATTGCAATTGCTTATTTATTAGCGCCACTGTATCGCTGTCACAATGTATCTAGTCTAGCAGTCTTCCTTCGATGTATGATGGGGAGGATACTTACGCTTCAATGGCAACTCTGTCGCCTACACGGAGCGAGGTGACGCCTTCACCAAGGGCAGTAACAATACCAGCGCTCTCGTGGCCAAGAAGCTGGGGTTGGGTCACAGGGAAAATGCCAATTTCGCCGTATTTCCACAAGTGGATGTCAGATCCACAAATACCGGTAGCTTTGACTTGCACCTGCACCTCACCGGCGGCAGGCGTGGGCATAGGAATCTCGACAACCTGGAGATCATCCTTCTTGTTCAACAAGACGCCGTAGTTTTTGGTGCTTTCGTCAGGAATTTGGAATTGTGCGGTCATTGTTGCTGTTGTTGTTGTTGCTGTGGTGATGTGTATATGGGTAAGAGAAAGGAAGGAAATAAGGAATGACGGTCGAAAAGTGTGTGGAGTATTTATTTGGTTTGCTGAGTATTGTAAGCGCATTATGTACACTGTATATAATATAAAAGAGACAGGCCGGAGTGTGGAGCCACGTTTTAGCGTCCCGCGGGCTTGGAAAAAAGGTCGAGTTTATTCAAGGATGCACGTTGCTATTGGTTGCGCGACAACTCGGAATAATCTCAAACTTTCATTCCAAATGGAGAATTATTTTCAGGGATCGACAACCAATCGCATTTGTCTTTCTATGCATCGACAAGGGCCGAATGACATCGCTCTGCTTTGCTCCTCAGGGCAAGGTTTCACTTTCAGCAGTCCTGTCCTCGTCCTTGGACTGGTTGGCAACCGACCGGTCCCGCAGATGCTCCGGTGTCGATTCAGGGACAATTCCAAACAGTCGCTCGCTCAGGGCTCTGTTTGTTATAGTTTCCCAAGACGTTTAAAAAAGAAAGAAGCCATTGAATCGTTTTGCCGCAATGAATAGATACAATTTTACCTTTTATCGACCTTGTTCAGCAGCAGACTCAGTGACACTCGTCCTCGCCACACAGGCAGAGTCAATTTGTTGTTATGTGCCCCCCCTGGCTTGTCGATCGCCCCATAGTCAAACACACAGCATCCTAGCTCTAAACCAAAACAGTTTTAGCGCAACACATGGAAGTGAGAGCGTCTCTTTCCTGTATACACGCATACAAGAGCTAAAAAAAAAAAAACTCCTCCTTTCTCCACTGATCCCCCCTCCCCACTTATGCTCTTACCCATTGATTCCAACTTGGCAATTGTCTGGGCCTCGAATCGCTCGATCTTAGGATATGCCTCGGTCAGGAGCGTCTGTAGCTCGATATCAGATGCTAGCTGTACCCGCCGTCGCTCTGACAACATGGCGTTTAGCAGAGGAATGCTCTCCCACGTCAGACGAAACGGCATTCGATCACCCTCAGAAGAAGACGCTTCTGCTGATGACTGACGCACAAATACCCGAGTGCCCGTCATGACGATGTTTAGTCTGTGCACATCCGATTGCTTTAGCAATTCCTTGACTGCTTGGGACACAAAGTACATGTTTTTGCTGTTTCCTTCCGATCGTACTAGGAACTGGTCCCTGGGGAACGCACGGTCCAGACCATAGAATTCACTGTTTGTATAGTATGCATGCGATAACGATAAGCCTGGTTGGTTTTGTTGCTGTTGTTGCATTAAAAATACAAGTTGCTGGACTCTTCTTTTCCAACTCACCTGATCTGATGAATCTCGCCATCGCCTTCTGGTACAAGTTCAAAAGGTGCCTCGCGTGCAGCTCTTTTGTTTGGTCCACCGTCGTTATCGCCACCTTTATCATTGTTGCTAGCCGACCGCTTGGTTGGTAGAACGATGGGACTCGTAGTAGCAGTGTCTTCACTGTCATCACTACCACGCTCCGATCGGCTCATGGGCTTGACCTTGTCGAATACAGCAACAAAGAACCCGCCTGTGTTCTGCAAATGGGGATATATCCGGAGGCTACAACAAAGACATCCACCCGTTTTAACTTATGGTTTCACATCTTTTTGGGTTGTTTGTTTCTTCACACGTACCAGCGATCCAAATGTAACGCTTCAGCATTGTCAGGAGGGAACACTGATTTTGGAAATTTCCCTTTTTGAGCCTCTTGTTTGCTGTTGCTGTTGTCTTGTAGATCACCCATGGAACCACAGTGCTTGCCATCCTTAGTCATGACCTGTTGTTGTTGTTGTTGTTTACAAACCAAAACATTAGTAAAACTTGTCCGTCTGTTTGCTGCGTGCATGTTTGTGTGCGCCTGTGTCTAGTAACTACTATCATCAACGCCGCACCTTCCAAGTGTGAAGCCCAGGTTTTCGTTTCAATCCGAGAAGCTGATCGGAGACATCCCTGAGAATCAACGCGCCTAATTTACCCCACGTGCGGCCGTTTTTTTATAAGTATGGAAAAAGGCACTCGTTGGCGCGATTGAGTGGCAATAGCTCACCATCTGGATTATCTACTACCATTCAATCGCTAATACGTCTTTAGCACTGTACTATGCACATACCTTTGGCTTTACGCAACACTTCTGCTACAACTGCTTCATTCTCCACCGGATTGAGCGAACACGTCGAATACACAATCCGGCCGCCGACCTTGGTAAGGTGTGCTCCGCGTAAAAATATTTGAACTTGCGTGCTATTCCATAAAGAATCATATGCCTGGTCAAAAATCTCCGTGATAAAAAATATTTGCTGCCGTAAGCAACGGTGCTCGTACCTGTGTAACTCAAGCGCTCCACCTTGATTCCATTGCGTCCATATCTTTTCGTTCTTTCGCACCGTGCCATCGCCACTACAAATATGGCACTAATAATTAATCTAAAACACTTACACTAGCTGTGTGGCATCACGTATCGTATAGTCCCACTGCTTTACCTGCAAGGAACATCACACAACACACGATCGAATCGTAATGGACCTTCTATCGTGCCATCCGCATCCGTTATGCGGATTCCAGGAAAGTGAGCCGCGTCGTGGTTGGTCGCAACAAAACATGGTGACTATGCGCATCCAGTTAGAGATAAAAGCGTGCCAAGAACGCGTCCATCGACACTCATAAGAGTAAATCTTTCTTCTTGCCTGCATCCGCTTTAATTGATGGATCAACAAGTAGCTTCTCTTACGGTCAGCGTCATTAGCAACAACCATGCCCTCTGGACCATTATACAGGTAACAACCCGTGTAATTAGTTCTTCAACTTTTTGCTTTATCATTCGCTGCTGTATGGCTTTCTTTCACCTCTTTAGTACCTGGCAATTCGCCTAGTTGATCGTTGGCATGAACAGCCTCGATAATTTGTGTGGTCTTGGATCCTGGTGCAGCACACATGTCCAACACCCACTGATGAGGCTGGATGTCCATCAGCAGTGGGGGCACCATGCTAACTGCTTCTTGTCGACTCAGGTTACCTGCCTCAGTTTCGGCAACGATGAACTTGTGGAACTTTGAGAATTCAGGCGACCGTTTGACCACCATACGCGATGCATTAATTTGCCAGCCCAAATTGTCAGGATACCACGGTAGTGGCTGTGGTGGTTCTACTTTTTGTCCGTCAATCTTTATCTCTTGCATTGCAGGAATATACACTTCTTTAATCATCCTTTGGATCGACAACGCATGGCTTAACAGGACAAAAAAAAAAGAGGATAGATGAGGATATGTTATCTTTTGACACTAAATAATTAAAGTTTTACCTGCGAGTCCCTGTGATACGGAACGTGCTCGGTAAAGGCGTCTGCAGTGCCTTGTAAAATTCTTCGAACTCTTCTTCCGATAAGATATTTTGGCTCTACTTGCAGATAGACATCATTAAAGTATAGGCCCTCATAGTCATATTCCAATGAGTTAAGTTACCTTGTAATAGTTTCTGAATTGCTCATTGTCTTTCACTGTGACTCGAGTCGTACGCCGTGAAGATTGATCAGGACCGCCGTCCTTCTGCTGATCGTTTTTCTGACTTCTGCATAATTGCTTTTTTTAACAAAAGACTACAATTAGTACATAAAACGAGGTGCAAAACACTGAATCTAATCTTACAGCCTCTCGTCTTCTTCTTCTACTCAATGGTCCCATGATTTGAACGCGAAAGTTGCTGCTTTTATACAGCTAATAATACAGTCAATATGTCCTCGCAATGGCTCGTTGTCTGATCGGAATTACATTTTTGACAGGGAGAATGATAAGCCTCCAATCAGAAACTATAGTTGGTGGTTACTGAAATTGAACCTTTATTAAGAAGTGGTAGTATCCATCTACTGTGACTCTAAACATTTACCAACAACAGCCATTAAAAGATACTCTAAACCATTGCTGATGTGAGCTGATTAATTGCGTCGCTGAGTCCAGTAAGTGTCGGTATCATGAGGGTACATTGTAAGGCCCTGGTCGTCTAACGAACATCCGTTAGCAGGATCATCAAGGATAGACTCCATCTCCTTGGTAAGAACGCCTCGCTGTTCATCGGACAATATGGCAATGTAACTCTTAGTATTGACGCGTGTAAAGATGTTCTCCTTACGGACCAGAAAGTCGTTTTCAAATCGGGCATGATTCAGTGGCAGTTGGAACAAGTCGCTAGCTTCTTCTTTCTCAAAAACAGCACGCCAAGCGCCTGTTCTGTACTGAGGAGCTGATTTCTCGTATCTTTCATAGATGCTATTATTTGTTCTATGTTAGCATCATATTATGTGGGGCATTGATTAGACAAAGCTAGAGAACTCAACACTTGCTTTCTCAAACCGCGAACCCAGAGACTACGAGGGCTTTCCAAGTTCCATATCATAATGAAATAGCCGTTTGGCTTGAGCACCCGGCGAATTTCCTTCAGACTGTTCAAATCGCTGAACCAGTGGAAAGCTTGAGCGACCACAACAGCATCTTGCGATTCCGAAGGTAAGGGAATCTCCCAGCTCGTTCCATTCAACGTTGGAACATTGGGAAGAAAAGACTTGAGTTTTTCACGCATAGCCTCGACGGGTTCCACAGCGGTAACGTTCTTGTAGCCCCGATCGACTAGCAGTTTGGTGAAAATACCCGTACCCGCTGCTAAGTCCACAATGCAAGCATCAACATCAGGCACCAACGATTGTAATTGATCCAGAGATTCTTTTGGGTAACTAGGTCGCGTTTGGGCTTTTGTTTACAGGTATTTTCAAATCAGTATACACAGCCTCACTACATGTACGTTTCACGCTTGTACACTCGCTTAAACACGCATACGAATGTGCTCAACCCTTCTCACTCGCACAGAGACGCATAGATGATTCAGCGATAACCTAAAGGAGATCACCCACCGTAAGCATCAGCTTGTTTATCAAAGCCATTGGCAGCAGTTGGATGTAATGACGACATAGTAGTGTAGTAAAGTGGCTTGAATATTAGAAGACACGAAAACGCCCATTTACTTCTCGGATGCTTTTGTATTTAATCCAGGAGGAAAAAGGTTCATCCTCTCAAACGGAAGAAAGGAAATGCTGCTGCGCTTGTATCCACGGATCACCATTCCAAAAAGGGCGTCTATAATACAAGAGAAAGAACACCGCTCCCTCTTTCTTCACATTAAAGGAGTGTTGAATCTATGAGTAGCTATTCATGTTGTGAGAGTTACATATCTGATGTTGTAATGTAATGTCAACGACAGATAAGTAATACAAGGGATAAGACAACGAGGATAATATAAGTGGTAATATGTCTGTAACCATATCAATTTGCGATAAAGCGAAGTTTAAGAGAGCGCGGCTTTATTTTCATGCATGTTATCTCACATACTTTACAGAAACGTTCGATCAATTACATCGTTGTGTCCAATATAAATCAGTATCATGAGGATACCATGTTAAGCCATCATCATCTACCTTGAATCCATTGGCAGGATCCGCAAATACTGTCTCCAACCTGTCCAGAACTGCCTGTTGCTCCTCGCTTGACATCATTGCAATATAACTCTTAGTCATAACATATCGTAGGATGTTTTCCTTGGTAATAAATTGGTTATTTTCAAACGTTGCGTGACTCAACGGCAACTGAAACAACGCATTTTCTTTTGAGTCTTGTTGTTTTTCGAAAACGATCTGCCATTCACCACTACGTATCGTTGGGACATCGGGATTTCTTTCAAACGGCTCATCTACAACTCTTATAGTTGCATCCACATTGCGGCGAGAGGCCGTGAGGGCGGGGGCATTATCAGGTAAAGGAAATGAAAGCGGGTATTTTCCAGAATATACTTCACTTACTTGATTAAATGTTTGACCCACGGAGCTTTGTGGCAAGGAGCTTCCACAGTAAATGCAAATATGAAATAGCCATGAGGTTTAAGCACCCGATGGATTTCTTGCAGACTCTCTAGATCAGCAAACCAGTGCCACGCCTGTGCCACTACGACTGTGTCTTGCGATTGCGCAGGCAACGGAATCTCCCAGCTTGTTCCTTTTAAGATAACAACTTCGTCCTCAGCAACGGCAGATATGAGTTTCTCGCGCATGCTATCGGATGGCTCAACGGCTGTAGTATTGGTAAATCCACGGTCAACGAGTAGCTTTGTCATCAAACCGGTTCCTGCTGCCAGGTCTAATATAGAAGCGTCCATGTCAGGAATTAGTGCTTGGATTTGGTCTATTGCAGCTTTTGGGTACGATGGCCGTATCTGAGCTTTTTGAATTTAAAAGGAAAATAAATATCGCATATGTATCAACTAACAATCTTTTTCTTCTCAAAGCTTTGTCTGACCAACAACAAGTTGTGAATTACCATAATTGCCAGCTTGTCTGTCGAAGCCCCCGGCTGAAGTTGGATGAACTGAAGAGGACTTTGTCATTGAAGGGTGAAGAAAGTACTATATGCGTATCTAGTAAGCAACAAGAAGAAAGAATGGGCAAAAAACGAGTATTTATTTCATTATATACAGATTTGATACGCCGTTGACTCGTTTACATCCACATACATCGCACATGCAGTATTGTTGATACTACGATTTTATTAGAGTGCAGATCAGAATCATGCTTAAAAAGTTATAAGAGAAACTTTATGCTTTTAGCAATACACGCGGTAAATCACACTATGTTATCAAGTATAAAGTTGATGAATAGATTCCAATTAGCGCTATCAAACCGATCATATAAGCACCATTATGTGATAGTTAGAGGTGTTTTGGAAGCGACGACAAGATAATGCATATATTACTTGAAGTAATTCTTAGACTCTTTGCAGCTTTGTATCAGTTTCTACAGTGAGCTGTGCGTATACACACACTCATCAAAGAGAATCTATGTCATCAGTCAGCTACAGCTGTTACTGGATGAAGAGAGAAAGTAATAGGTAAAACTCGTTACCATGCACCAAATATCTGGCTTGCTATCTTGCTGGGGCGGGTAATAAAAAAATGCGTAAGCCAAGCGAGCTGAAACATGATAGAATCCGCGCGCTCGTTCCTTTCAGCGTCAGGCTCAACCCCGTGCCTTTCTCTTCTAACTGTTACCTTCTTCATTCTTTATAAATCTCAAATGATCAACTCACTGTTTGTAATAAATCTTCAAGGGTAAGCTACTTAAAAAATAAGGCAACATTGTGGGGACATTGGGCCATCTAATGAAGCAAACAAAACCTTGGCATGTATGCGAACGGCGCGTGCGGTTTAGCAAAATTATAGTCGAGAAGCATTGGCGCGGCATCATTTCTCGGCAAATCGTTGACGTATTCAATGACGAAAGCGCCAAGTTTATGAATTCACTACCAGGTGGTATGGAGGATAAGACTGGGTCGGGACAAGACTGGAAAGAGCCGTTTTATACACGAGAGGATGTACCGCCTATTCTTGAGACACCGAAATACTGGCTGCTAAATGTGTTGAGGGACGATTTGATATGGTTATGTCCTGTGGATCGTGAAGGTAAGATATGAAACTGGTCAGGCTATAGAGTAAACGGATAAATTGGGGGAAAACAATAAGTTTCCTGAGGGATCGAGCGTAACCCATGCCCTATCTGTTAATAGTGGATCCAATGCTGGTATTCGAGTTTATCCATCGCATCATCGACATCTTGACGGATTATCTAGCCGACGTTTCCGAATTATCGATACGCGAGAACTTTGTTACAGTGTACCAGCTACTAGAAGAAATGATGGATTATGGATACCCCTTGACGACTGAGCCGAATACTCTGAAGGATATTATCATGCCGCCGACTATTATGAATAGAGTTATGACAACCGTTGGCGCTGCAGCAGGGTAAGAGAGCAATGAAACACAAGAGCTTGTTTAGTAATTGGGACTTGCTTCTTACACTACACGGGCTTCTACCACTGTGCAGCGTAGCACCAAAGTTCCCGCAGAATTTATCCAGTATACCATGGCGAAAAGCCGGTGTCAAATACACGCAAAACGAAATCTATTTTGACATTGTGGAAGAAATTGATGCTACTATTGCTCAGTAAGTAATAGTAATTACCTACAAAAAGAAACTAAGAAATACAATTTTACTAATTGATTAGTAATGCTTTGTGGTGATAAATAGAAATGGCACAGTTGTTTCATGCGAAGCACATGGAAACGTGGTGGCAAATTGCCGCTTGTCAGGTATGCCTGATTTGACTCTTAGTTTTATTAATCCACGGGTAATCGATGATGTGAGCTTTCACCCATGTGTAAGGTAAAGATATCAGAGAAGGATAATTGTGCTGTGGATCGATCAAATTATAGTTACCAAGTTTTCGGTTTTTAGATATCGGAAATGGGAAAGCGACAAGGTTCTGTCATTTGTACCTCCAGATGGCCATTTTAAGCTCATGTCATACCGGTAAGAGAAATAAAAAGGATCTCAATAACTTGAGTGAGGGAGGAAATAAGTTAAGAGTATACTAAATATCGACACTAATATACGTAACATAGTGCTGAATTGACACACTATCAAGCCATGCCACTCCAAGTTAAACCACAAATATTAATATCTAAAAACGGGGGCAGATTTGATGTTACAGTCCATCCACGGTCGACAGATGGCAAGCCGATCGAAAACGTCAAGGTGACATTACCAATGCCAAAGAGTACCAACAGTGTCAATGCTACGTGTAACGCAGGGCAATATATGTATGATCCTGTAACAAAGGTAAACCCATATATATGCTCTCAGCAAAAAGTATACAGAAGTGTATGTCTAAACTTGACGTTATATTTTTGATAGTCCATTAAGTGGGATATTGGTAAGATCCAGCAGCGAGATCGGGCACCCATGCTCTCAGGAACGTTCCGAAGCAGGTTAGTTTAATTTATTGTGGAACTGGGAAAAATAGATAAGAGAGAGGGAGATCTGACATATAGACGAATGAATAGTGAGCTTAATCCAGAGACGGGTATGACAATCGGTGTGGATTTTCAGATCAGTATGTATTCAGTATCTGGGCTCAAGGTGGACAGCCTACGACTTTTCCACGAAGGATATAAGCCATACAAGGTAAATGAAGTGTTCCACACTTTACGCATGAACAGCTCCACAACCACAAAAGATTAATGACAAGTCTACCCTGCTCTCTTATTATCGCCAATAGGGTGTTAGATCTTTAACAAAAGCTGGAAAGTTTCATGTTCGCACTTGAAAAAATAAAACATCTTGCATCGTTTACTGAAATCCAATTGGCTATTGCAACCCACTTAAAAAGCAAATTCAGTCGCACCGCACACCCCTTTTTTTCTGCTTTGTATGAGAGAGAGGCGTTTGTTTCTATACCTACCGTAATCGCGTCTGTCTGCTCTCTTTTGCTTTGGAATCTCCCTTCTCCGCTTCCTCATCGATCCATCGCAAATCTGCAGTGACGTCAGTTTCACTCCATCTTGTAAAGGAAACAACAAACCTTCCTTTGATGCAATACAGCCAATTCTTTGACAAGCAACGCATGGTCCAAGGTGTTCCATCGTACCCGCCCATGCCACCAGGTGCAGCAGCAGCAGCAGCAGGGTATCCTATGGCTCGTCCACCACGCATGCCAGCAGCGTCTGTCGATTGGCCAAACACTGCACCAGCATCGCCGCCGGGTAATGCGCCTATGCTCGCCTCACAGCACAAAATGAACACCATCCCTAATCAACAGTTCCCACCGCACAACACATTAACAGATGCATCTAACGGATCGATCAAACAGTTTGCTCGTCCACCCTTGAGTCAACCGCTACACTCTCACATGCATCAACAACATCCTCAACAGCACTTTCACCCCCAGCAACACCCAGCACCACCACAATCACAATCACAACAACAACAACCACAAAACGTTGTTCTTCCACCGAGCGAGACCTTTCGACTCGAAAACGAAGCGCGGCGAAAACAGTTGCAACAATATCAAAAACGCGATGATGAATATCAAAAGGCGTTAAACAAACAGCATAAACAATATGTCGAACTTGCACGGGAGAAAAAGGCAGATATTGATGGGTTCCAGCACGACAAGATGTTGCGCATGCAACATAATCCTATGGCTGTGTTTGGCACAGGATATCTAAGTCAACAGCAACGTGATGGTGCTGATCTCAGGGGGCGTATCCTGTATCCGCGCGACCGAAAACGACGGAGACAGACCACAGATTTCCACTTGTAACATATCTCTTGCGTTATGATATAATCATCCATATCTAAAAGCACTTCTAATTCACTCACAAACCGCAAAACTTATGATTGTGTAGCCCGATGAAGAAGCTGGCAGAACAAGCATCCAAACAAGATACTTTGGTCCCTATTCGACTTGATTTCGACATTGATGGATATAAACTACGAGATACCTTTACTTGGAATTTGAATGGTAATAATGCCACTTTTTTGGTATAGGGTTGCGAGGAGCAAGGAAGGAAAAGAGGATTTAAGGGATTGATGAGTAAAGAAGAAGACTGCATGAATTAATCTGCTTTGGGTTATATTATACACAGAGAGTCTGATCACACCAGAGCAATTTGCGGTTGTCCTATGTGAAGATTTGAACTTGCCGATTGCCATGTTCAAGCCCAATATTGTTCGTGCTATTAGTGATCAAATTGAAGATTACGATTTACATGTGGCGAGTATGGTGACCGGCGACGATCAAACAGAGGATGAAGGCGCAGCTGCGATAGCACTTGAGATATTCAACAAGCAAACAACAGCAAATGGTGCTATCAAAGAAGAAGAAAACAAGGAACAAGAAGAATCGAAAATCACAAGCAATATGGAACAAGAAACTGGCCGAACGGAACAAGGACGGAAAAAGAAAAGTATTTCAGAATTACGAATGTTGGTCAAGGTAAAGCACGGACCATAAGCTGGAGAGGAGGAGAAGGTTGAAACCTTAGTATGGACGGTTTATATTACTGACACAACCAAAAAAAATGGGGAATCAGCTTGACATCACTGTAGGCAACCAGGCACTCATAGATCAATTCGAATGGGATATCAACTGTCGACACAATTCACCCGAACGGTTTGCCGAGGTACTGGTGAAGGAATTAGGTCTGGGTGGCGAATTCAAGTAAGCTCGCTCATACTCTGTTGGTTTCGATAGCATGGGAAATTAACAAAACACTGACTATTCGTTTCCGTCCGGATGGATATAGAACTGCTATCGCTCATTCGATTCGTGAACAAGTCCATTCATATGTTAAATACCTTTTGCTTACGGGTCATGAATTTGATGGATCTACAGTAACAGATGATGACATCAAGCGTAGCCTGTTGCCAACTGTAAAAACCATCATGCGCGATCTGAACATTGCAGATAGCTTTACCCCAGCCGTCCTCGAACTCACGAATGCCGAAATTGATAAAGTTGAACGAGATAGGATGCGAGAGGCTAGGTAGGAAATAGAAATCAAAATCTCAAAGAACTGAAGGAAGAGAAAGTTTATTAACAAAATATCATTGCGCAATCCATAGACGTAAACGACGCCAAGTACGCAGCCGTAGAGGTCTAATCTTACCTGACCTGGAACCGATTAAGACACATAGGACCAACTCTCATACACTGCCTCCTCTATATGACGGTGCTTCCGAAGACAACGCACGTGGATCAACACCCGAAGTATCAAGCCATTATTCGACAAGACGGAGTGCGGCTCAGAAGGCTCGCCAAAATATCGCTGCCGCATCATCATCATCACATCATCACCATATCGATGAACGAGCAACGACTGCGGCGCCATCATCGCTGTCGCAGATGCAGAACGCTATATCACTGAGTACTGGCAACAGGTTCGCGACGATGGCTGATCATGCTACAAAGCCAGTACCTAGTAAGTAACCATATAGTTTTTCTTTACTGGGTAGCAGGAAATGAAAAGAAGGCTACAGAAGAACTTTGCGTGTATCTGGTGTATTAACCACATTCGATTTCTTTTTTGCAAAAGGTCATATGGTGGATCGTTCTTGGCTGTGCTCAAACTGTCAATGTACTATACAACAGACATCTACAGTACGAAGTGGACCGTACGGTGAAAAGGTAAAAGGAACCGTCGTTCACTGTACAAAGGGGAAATAATACAAAGACAAGTTACTCATATATTTGTAAATTAGACATTATGCAATGCTTGTGGGCTTTACTTTTTTAGATTCAACAAACCTCGTCCGCCAAACTACACAGACTCAGAGATACGAAACCAACCTGCTTTTTAAGAATGAACAAATGCCTCCCATAAACTGCTGGACAGGATGGTTTTTTCTCTCGCTCTTTCTTCTCTGCATATAAAAAAATAATAACTTAGTCTTCTATTACTCTTTGTATTGTTCTGATTATCATCATTATTCGTTCAATTGTCGAGTAGAATTGTGACCATAATATTACCATATATTGATTGTTCTTGCATGTTCTATAAAAATTCGACTTATTACGTCCTATATCTGATAACATACAAAAATTCTTAATATCACTTTTCAGGTACGACCGCTGCTATAGAGATTCTAGGTACTTATAATATAGCGTTGCTATCTTCGTTCTTTCAAAACGCTTTGCGAATTTGGCGTTGCATCACAAAGGTCAACATCGTATTGAGGCTTTGGGCCAAGCACTTTGAATCTTTTCGCCAGTGAAAAGGTGTCCTATTGAATACATATACTGATGTTCTTATATGGTCCCTGACTTAGAATCAATGTGCTAGGAGCGCTGTTGTTGTCGCTGCTATTGCTACTGTCGGCGTCCATGATAGCGCCTCTCTTCGGAACGATTTTACTACCAACAGTACTATCTGAGAGAATGGCTTGGTGGTTATCCACCACACCAGTGCGCTTGCGCTATATACCAACTTGATTTAATCAGAGTCTTTCGACCGTCTTCACTGCTACTCTTCTTTTACCTTCTAATATTCTTTCGCACCTCGTTTTGAATCTCCTTCAACTTTATGCGCATGCTCTTAAAGGGGTTTGATTACTCGAAGTCTAGAAGTCTAAACCAACAAGCTAAGGTGCACGCTGTTCTGTTGTTGCCGTTGGTTTTGACACAGTAACCGGAACGACTCCAACTTGCTGCGATCATCATCTCGTAGACACATCCTTTGACATAAATGGTAGTAGCAGTAGGTAATGCTGCCACTTGCCCTGTATTAACAAAACGTTTTCACTTGTTCAGTCCACACTTTAGTTTGGAGTATAGGTTTTTAAACATAGTATCGACAATTGGCACAGCCTCTAGATTTAACAGGCAACATGCAGTGTTTTTGGTTATCACTTTCGAGATACAGCTGCTTCAGCACGGACAGTCTCTGGTACTAGCGAGTTTGGGGACTCGACAGAACGGTACAGAACAACTGTCTGATATAGAAGAATAGTTTATTGTCCCTTCCTTTTAATGCTTTGCTTTTGGAACTCGTTTTGTTTAAACAGCTCGACAGACCGATCAGCTTCGGGTGGTACAAGAGACCAGTATTTCCTTTTATAGGTTCGACAGAAGCTATTTAATCGAAACCCCAAAACTCTCTATACTGTCGAATTAGCATTGTTATTTTTTTTAATTCACAGTCCATTGTGGGGCTCTGTACTACATCGCAAAGAACACCGTCGTGAAAGAGTGAAAGGGCTTTGAGCCAAGCACTTTCAATCTTTTCGTCGGTGACAAGGTGCACCACAACAAAGCGTGATTACGATACTTTGATGTCTTATGCAATACAGTACTGACTTTTCTTGCTGGTAGAAACACGTTATAGCTACTACTACTACTGCTGCTGTTGCTGCTGCTGCAAAACGTCAGTAAAAACGGAAAACGTGAAACGATATTTTCTGTTTACTGAGGATGGCAATATGCCAGCCGAGGAATGATACCGTTGTAATGTCGGATAGCGTTGACATCGGAAAGCATTTAACGGGCAACAGATTCGCGCGAGTAAGTCTTTCTGAAACACCTATAACACGCAAAGTTCTGAATAGGGAACATCTTATTGTCTTTTATTCGTGTCGTTTGTTTGAGTATGAGATCTTCGTATTTGGAAAAATCGCGAGATCTTCATTTCCTCGAACGCTGCAAGATTTTTACGCCTTTGTTCTTGAGCTATCACGTCTAAACAGCGTGATCGACGTGCGCTACGCACACTATAAGCAAAGCACATCAGAGAAACAATCCAAGGAACGACCCGTAGGTCTTGAGATCTTAAGCTCTGATTACAAAAACCAACCGCGTGACAGAAAGCGTGGATTCCCTATATTGTACCATTTTGACTCTTTCCACTGTATGGATTTCTCACGTCTCTCATATATTTTTAAAAAAAACCTTAGATGATGCACAATTGCTATAGTGGCAGCAATGGAGGTATAGTTTGGTTCTTTGGAATGAAAAGGATACGTGGTAACAGTGGGCTGGAAGGGCAACATAATGCCCGGATGATTCAATAACATCAATTGGACTGAAGCAGCAGCCCGTACCTATTTGGTAATATCCTTATTACATCAAGTGTAAGCTATTAAGACATTTTAAGTATTTGATAGTGCTGGTTCACATGTTAATTCAGGTACAACCTTGTAGAGCTCGGGCAGCTGGTGTGATATGCCTTACACTCTAAATTTTGGTAGTGGCGATTACTTATTCATCCTTTGGCAATGATCCAATTTTTGCCAATAGAACTCTCAATATGCTACAGATACTCATATTTTAACAATCATACTACTGCGTGGTGCCTATAAAATAGACATTAGATCTGGCCATTGCTGTAGTGGGATTACAGTACAGAAACCTCAATTCCTGTGACTTCTATGACGTTGTCTTGTATTTTTGCCCTCTTGTGTCGTCCACTTTAATAACTTTCTTAGGGTTGCTCATTTGGACATTCTCCTCATAAACTCTTGTGCTTTTTGCAATAGTATCAATATTGACGTTAAGATTTCTCCTAGGGTGGTAGAGATAGTATAGATGATACCGCTGCTTGACACTTTATGGGTTTTGCTCTTTATCCGCGCTGCTGTTATTGGGGCTTCTATGCAAGCGTCTTGATAATCCAAAATTACTCAAAACTAAGTCAGCTTTCTTTATAAGTTTCTTCAACATGGCTTGTAGTACGTCGCCTTACGTTGCCTCTATTGACTTTCATTTGGAGCATACATTTAGTAAGTATATGATAGCGGCTATAATCTTTTACACTTACATTGACTTCCTTTGTTTCTTTCCACTACATCCTAACATAAAAGATTGCTAACTTGAGAATGTGAAAGGCTTACAACAAATTTCAGGTGCCCCTGCATGGGTCAGACAGACGGGTAAGATGCTAAGACACCTGACAAAAAGTTCAGCTGTACAAGCTATTTTTGCTATGTCAATAAGAGACGGTAATAGGGAAGAGCCAAAGCATAGATATAAGCATCATCAGGTAATAACTTTCCTGCATTGTCTATCATTTTCACTGGTACTCATGACACGCTGTTCACTCTTGAAACCAAAACGCCCTACTGCAGGTTTGTTTACGGTTACAACCGTGCCACTATTCGAAGTTTGACAATTTACACGCATTGCATTATCATACCATTGTCTATTCATCTTGTGCTTGCAAGACGTAGCATAATGGAAGAAGGATGAGAGATCTAGCAACTCATGTGCTCATACAGCAAAGCGAAACCCGTGGTACCATTGACTACGATGTCTGTTCACTCATAAGATACGCATACAATGCATTTCTTAACAGACCGTTCCTGTAATAGGTTGCTTTGCCATACATAATACAAGAGTAATCTGCATAAGCAGGGGCGAAGATCGTCATCCTGCTGTATCATACAGCTAAGAGGCTTTTGCTGTTACCAGGGTGATGGTCACCGGATCATTCTCTTTTTGGCAAACGAACCAAAAAATGGTTTCTTCTTACTTGTCACAGTCAACGATACAGCCACCAATTAAAGAAACAGTGACCCGGTGCTGGTGCCTGTGTTATCTAGTTTTCTCATTCAAACGATCGATAGCCTGCCCCGATGTCAAAGGCAACAATAATTAAAGTGACTAGCCTGCCCCAATGTCAAGTTGAACAAACAGGAGCACAAAAGAAAAAAGAAAAGAGGGAGTTAAATAAACACACACACACACACAGAGAGAAGCAACTATCCCAAAATAGCAATCGAGGTAAACAACAAGCAAAAACCTCTTTTTTTATATTATTTTACTTGCACTCATTTACCCTCTTGTTTTCCTTTTTTCGTGGGGCCCCTTAATAAGACGTACACTCGCAGGCCTTTTTTTTTGTTGAGAATATACACAATTTTACAAGCTGGATCAACAAATCTACAATTGCAATAGCGTGGCCGAGTACGGTCCCAATGTCCCTGTACTTCTCCATGTACCTTGTACCATGGAGAATCCAGAACCCATTGTCGTCATTAAGCGAGAATCCACACCTACCGGCCAACCGCCTGTTGTTTTAAGTAAATAATGGCTTGCTTATGCTAGCTTTGCGTGTGTAATAATTTTAGTAACATTAAACATATTAACCCAACAGTGTTTTGCTTGCACAGTAACGGGCGTATTTATTAAAGAGAAACGGCCCATTATTGTGGATGAACGACGGGATCAATCCAAAGAACTCATGGTCTTCGATCGACGATCGACCACCACGGTCTCCAAGGAATTCTCAACACCCGGGTTTTACCCGCTCGACGCCACGCACGGGCCTCTCATGTCACTGCTGGCGGCGGTTCGTCTCCTCGACCCCGTTGAATCTCAGTCTTCTTCAACAACGTCTGCTGCTCCTCAACAGAATAGCAATAACAGTAATAACCAAAATTCGCAGTTTTCGTATCCCATGATGCTTCCACAGAACAGCATGTACTACGGAATGCCTGTGCGACCCGGTGTGCCTCCCATCCCGTCACCAGCAAATCTCCCACCGCAGCTACTTCCAGTATTGCAACCGTACCTTTTTGGCCAGCAGCAGCAGCAGCAGCAGCAGCAACAGCTACAACAACACCACTCAATTCATAATCAACACCACCACCGCCATCCTGTCCACTCACAGCAACATCAGCAGCAGCATCATTCTATACCCTCCCAGCAAAGTTACCATCATCCAAGCTCATATACTCAACGCAAACCAGTACAACATGCGGCACTCGCAGCAGCAGTAGCAGCAGCTGGAAATTCACGTTCATCTCCGGCACTGACCCCCGGCGGCGGTCCGACAGAACTCCGAAACAGCTCAATGTCTCCAATGAACCATCGCATTCAACGTAAACAGCCGCAGTATCTTTCCAATAACAGCTCCAACACACCCGACAACAACAATAATAACAACAACAAGTCTGTACCTTCCTCTTCTCCTCGCCGCGTACGGTTTGCCAAAAAGAACCAGGTGTTCAACTATGACGTAGAGGAAGAAGATTACAATACACACCACTACGGAGACCGCGGTGATGATATAGATGACAATGACGAGAGTGACCAATGGGAAGAATATGAGGAGGAGGAGGAAGAAGAAGACGACGCCTATTACGGCAACGCTGACCAGAATCACTACTACTACGACGATCAAGAAGATGACATACGACGCATTCGACGGCCGTGGACTTCTCCAAGGATGATTGCAAGGGAGCAACCACATGATGTATATAGCTTTCCATCGTCACGCGCCACCTCTCGCTTCCCTTCCACTGGTAGTAGTAGACGGAAGGGAAGAAGACAGCAGTGGCCTGTAGTTTCTCGCTCAACGCTTCATTTGCATGATACAGAAGTATAATCACTTTTAAAAATTACAAGTTTAATTAGTAATAACCTCCCCTCCCAATGAGGGTGCTTGATGGTGGCATTGATATACATAAAAAGAGAGATAAGTAATTAGACATGAATATAGCATAAAGCGTAGTAAGAGTAGAAAGAGTATATGTAGCTGGTCAACGAAATAGTTGGATAGTATGTGCATGTGTGTAGAGAGAGAGAGAAAGATACAGTAGCGGGATTGGAGGGCATCATCATCAAAGCAAAGCAGAAACCTTATTCACCATGACGGGAGTGTATTGATAGAAGGTTGCAAATGACAGCGACACGATGATCAATAGAATTGCGTCTTTCATAATAACACACAAAGTCATTAGGTTAAAAAGATAGGAAAATATCATATAGACTAGACGGAGCGAATTTGACAGCTAACTTACTGAATAAGGTCTTCTCCCAAGGTTCCATGACATACACGGCCGTCATGAGTTCGTATTGTAAGAATTTTTCGTAGACGTAATAGCCCAACGACTTTTGCATTGCTAGATGCGAGATGTGGTGATAGGTAGGATACAAGTGAAATGGAACAAAAAAGAAGAGGAAGAGGTATGTATTCCTTCAATCCCGGATTATATTATATATCGACAGCGGCTTAAATATTTTGCCCCCGATCCTTACACTGTTTCGGGGATGGGTTTCATGATGGGTTTTCCTCCCGCCCGCGCTTTGTTTCCCAGCGTAAAAGTGCATCATACCAGCACCCCCTTTGACTTCTCAACTACTTCCTAGGCGATGATGGTCTATAAACCGACGGACAATGTATCGGGCCGAATGGTGTGATGCACCCCGATGCATACGGCTTTCCCAATTGTTTTTCCCTCTTTTCTTCTTTCTCGTTCTTTATTCCTTATTTTTGTATGTTCTTTTTGTTTCTTCGTATAGACCACGATGATATCATTCTCCTTGTGTATACGCTTTGGTTGTGGCACTTGACACGTAACCCTGGTCAGGATGAACTCCGTATTGTTTGCTTACAATTGAAAAGGATGCATTAACATTGTTCAATCAAGGGGGATAGGTAGTAGGAGGAAGAACAAGAGGTTTGCTAGAGCTTTCCCCTTTTGATTCTTAGCAATAATAGCAGTTGCAATTATTGCGTCAAGTGTATGGAACGGACGTTATTAACGTCACATGTTCATTGCTCTCAATGATAGACGTGCTGAAATCCTTCGCACGCGCGCAACTCCGGCTAAAATTACCTTTTTCTTGCAAAGCTTGCAATCAGTAATCGATCCTCTCTCTCTCTCTATTTCCGATATATGCTTTTATCTTTTCTAGGACGATGCCAGGGTGGCAGGTGGCACGAAAGTGTGCACTTGAATGAAGCCGTGAATTCTATCTCCAAAAAAGACATTTACAACCAGTTGCTTCTTTAAATTCACTTTCTCTAGTACGGCAATGCTAGCGGAACCACGACATTTACAAACTAACTTTGTGCAAGCAGAACACCCAAAACGTGAACGCGAGCGCGAAAGAGACGCGTCGAATGGGCAAAGCTTGGGCTGGCTAATTATCAGCTCAGCAGACAATTGCTTACGACTTTGACGACACACTTACAATGATAAGAACCATCCAAATCTAGAGCCGTGACTATTAGGACATTCCTTGGCATTTTAAAGCTATGCGCAGTCTAGATTTTTCCAATGGCTCAGCAAATGCATTATGAAGCATCAAGACATACACACTCGCACACCGCAGATGTTAGCAACCCACCTTTATGCAAGAAGCGAAGAACGAGGCGGCAGAGCTCGCTGAGAAGGATATGATTCGAGACGTGATAAGAGTACCAGCTCTGGCGTAAAAGTCTTCTGCGCGACAAGGAAGCGCTTAACGGGGAAGCAGCATAAATGTAATTTTTTGAGGACACTTACTGGCAGGCAATCATCGGGCACCCAGTCATGGAAAACTTTACGTCGGGCTCGCCAGACTCATAGACATACATTGGTAGTCTCACAGAATGATACTCTGAAAACCACTTTTATGTCTTCACTGGAATTCTATGACCGAAATGGCATCATCCGTGGATAGTTAATCTTCAATAGTCATGGCGTTTCGCTTGCGATAAGGAACCAATGAACTCTCAAAGTATCTCAGACAAAGATTTATGCACTCTGTTCATAGTGTTAGCAGCCACCACAGTACGTGTCCATTAATGCAAAACTTTAGCTTTTTATAGCATCTTTACATCTGACGATGCATTTAATGGAAATAGGTCGATTTGCCGCAAGACAAATATCCCAGCTTATTAAAATGGCTCGATTGGTGCATCATGCATGCATGCATGCAGTCAGCAGCATGATATTTGCTCATCCATCTGTCATGTAGGTGGCAATGTGAATGCTGTTGAACCGCTTCACGTATATAAGCAATTGATCAGACAATGTTTTCAGTCTTTTTCGACTGGCTCGCATCAACCGCTGCAACTCCTAACAAAAGCTCAGGAACGAGAACTGCTCGTTAACTAGTACGTTGCTCTGATAAGATGTCACTACCGCAAGCCATGTACACAATGGTTAAGATGGAAGAGCCATCAATATCTGCTTCTAAAAGGTCAGTTTATCAAATCTACCATAATCTGTCAATCGTCACAAACTGTCAGCAAAATACTGGCTTTGTTATTCTATCTTCGTATAACGAACGACCGACGGTGCCTCAAAGATATCCGGTCGACATCACGTGAGTCAGATCAATGATGTGTTGACCTGGCTGATGCTGCAATACAGTATGTATTCTTTTTAGTTTAGTGTGATGGACGTTTAAAAGAGAGATACTATGCAACCAATGAACATAGTCAAATCGCTTCACACTTCCTTAGCACTGAACATATCCGCAATAAAAAGCAATCATAAAAACTAATAGAATACGAGACAACATATGGCCACACGCTCTATAGTGCTGACTGCTACTGGTCCATTAACGATCGATGTTTGACCAGCGTAGCGAAACCGCCATCATTCGCTCTATCAAACGCAACATATAGCGACGACGACCGAGTACAAATTCGTATCATATTGTTGCTTGAAGCGTCTGAACCTCATGTCACCCAAGCTGGCACGCTTTAAATCATATAAAATGCGCTTTTGGATGCTATAAATTCAAGGGCATTGCATCAAGGGCTCTTTACTATGCAGCAGTCGATCATTCAGTATCATTGTTTAGACTTCATTGGCTCTTCCAACTTTGGTTTCACCGCGCATAAATAAAGCTAGGACATTGGATAGGATCTGCCGCTTCATGGCTTTTTATTGGAGCATATAGACTCTTCATTGTAGGCCCGCCGGGTGCCGGTGGGGAGGGTGTATAGTAGGAGAAGCGCAAAGGCAAGCAACTTTCCTCCTTCCGAACTCAACAATGGCACCCACGAAAGCTTCTGGTGCGTTAAACACGCTTATTTTTATACTGAATAGTGGATGGATAGATGGATGGATAGATGGATGGCAGGGATACGGGATGATGATGAGCTGGAGAAGCCAAAAAAAAAAAAAAACTGGAGACTAATGACGATGTTTTCATACATGTCTTAAAAACGTACGAATTTTCACGAACTATACGAATCTATCTACGACACTATAAAATTCCGATTCAACAATAACAACAACAACAATAATAATAATAAATAACAACAATAAATAACAACAGCATCTGCCAGCAAGGCTGCCGCTGCCAAGAAGGCCGCTTTGAAGGGCGTCCGTGGCAAATCGGTCCGTAAGGTCCGTACCTCGACCCATTTCCACTTGCCAAAGACCTTGCGTTTGGCCCGCAAGCCCAAGTATGCTCGCAAGTCGGTACCTCACTTGCCCCGCATGGACCAATACCGTGTCGTTCGCAACCCCTTGAACACCGAAACCGCCATGAAGAAGATTGAGGAGCACAACACCTTGACCTTCATTGTCGATGTCAAGGCCAACAAGCACCAAATCAAGGATGCTGTCAAGCGTCTCTATGATGTTGAGGCTTTGAAGGTCAATACCCTCATTAGGTAATTAACCCTCTTTTTTTTGTTGGGTTATGGGTGTTGGGCTTTTGGCTGCATGTAAATTTTGAAGAAAGGATGGAGATACACATGAGAATGGTATATGCTTATTGTGATATGATTGATGTGCATGCAGACCCGACGGCAAGAAGAAGGCTTACGTCCGTTTGACTGCTGATGTCGATGCTTTGGATGTTGCCAACAAGGTATGTAAAGGAGAGAGTTGGCTATGTGTATGATCATTAGAAGCCGCATGAACCTAATTTGTTGCTATTTTTTCCTTCCTTATCAACAGATTGGCTTGATCTAAAGTCCCTTTTTTTCACATTCTTGTAAAAAAAAACAATAAAAAGGATGGGGGTTTTCTCAGTGCCATATAAAGCAGAGAGAGGTGAAGGACAAAGCCAGTTTGACACATGAAATAGCAGTGGTTGAATGCGCGGAACGTAAGCAGTAATATTGTATCTCGGAAAAGGACAACACATGACCAGCTAGCACAAAAGGAAAACAAAGAGTAAACAACAACGGATGGTGATGGTGAGGAGGAGAACCCTGTTTTGTTCCAAGTTTTTGACAATGACAATGAGATAACAGCCCTCCTTTTCGCTCTTTTCTTCTTTTCCTCACTTCTTGTCTTGCTTTTTTGCACTTTCCCGCCTACATCCAATGAAGAAGTGGGGCTGGTCGTGGTTATTACTTGTATTTCTATGCTCCCTGCGAGCCTGTCATCTATATTGGCTATCCACAGCCGACTTGCGAGCAGCACGGAGCGGATTTCCGTGGCATCGTTTTCACCAACCTGCTACGCCTGAACCAAGCCCACTCTCACCCGACAATGACACTACTGTGATCGACGCAACTCCATCCAATCTATTCTACTTTGCACAGGTAGGCCAACGAACGAATAGACAACCACCTCCTCTTTTATGTGTTCCTGATGTATATATGGCTACATGTAAAAAAAAAAAAAGATTTCTGATCTGCACTTGTCCAAATACCGAGCAAGAGGACACACTCTTCATTTTCTCCACTTTGTCCGCTCCATCCTTCCGATCGTCAAGTAAACTATCCTTCCTCAACTCCTATGACCACGAGTAGTTTCATCATCATCGTGCATGAACCTGAAAAGAGTTAATGGAGTATAACTATTTTTGTATATAAAAAAAAAAGACCAAACTTTGTTGTTGTCACAGGAGACCTGACGGATGCCAAAGATAGCCGCCTAATCACATCACAACAGTACCGAGAAGAATGGCAAGTATATCGCCAGACGATAGAGCAAGGCGCCAAAGACATGCCTTGGTATGACATGCGTGGGAACCATGATTGCTTTGATCTGCCATCCTGGCAGTCGCATGTCAACTACTATCGGACGCATGGCAAAAGTGCCGAACAAATGGAAGCAGGCCAAGGTATCTACGCATGGCAGCACACTCCGTCGTACGGCAAATACCGTTTTGTAGCAATTGATGCCTGGTAAAATATGGATACATATTTTCATATGCCATCACTTTCTCTGTTGTTGTTACGGAGCATGCACAAAACATTAAACAATAACAAAACCCACATAGTCCGAAACGAGGGCCTTCCCGACCCTTCAACTTCTTTGGTTATCTCACCTCCAAAACAATGGATCGACTTGCAGATGCTCTCCAACCGGATTCACACTATAATCACACGTTCGTTGTAAGTATGGTATCTTTTTCAATCTTGTGCCACCAAGAGGGGTAAAGTGAGAGGTTATGCGTGCTTCATGTTTGACGTGTAACTTACATATACTTGATAGTTTTCACATTATCCGACAACCACCATGGTCTTTGGTGTTTCAAGTAAAGGTCACGGGTTCCGTGACCTTGCCAAATTGTACAGCGTCTATTTCTGTGGTCATCTGCATCGCCTCACTGCAGGTACGGCTCACACATATAACCCACTAGAGGAAGCGGGAAAAGCGAGATAAGCTCCAACTGATCTGACTGGATATGTGTCTCGCCTAGGTCTTGGTGAAGTGCTCAAGTGGTATGACCCAAACGGCCATTCTTTGGAGTTAGAACTAGGCGACATGATGGTCCACGGTGTTTATCGTATTGTTGCGGTCGATCATGACCTGATTTCCTTTGTCGATGTGGAGCTGCCTCGAAAGCAATTTGCGCTACACCCTACTGTCCCGCTTCAACCGAACGGCCACATTCTGTGGCCAGCCACTATCCACCCAGCACCTATTGTTCTGATCACCAATCCTAAGGATGCACGCTATGCGCTCCCACGTAAAGAACCGCTCCATCGAATCCAGCAGAGCCAATATATTCGGTTCTTGGTTTTCAGTGAAGCTGCACCACAGGACCTGCAGGTATCCATTATGATCGACGGCCAGCTTCATCCTGTGGCTGCTACACCAGCACATAAGTCAGCTTCATCACTAGCTACAGCTAATGTTAAACCCCATAATCAGTCATCGCCGCTCTGGATCGCACCTTGGGATCCCAGCCAATTCAACCAGGCGCGCATACACACTATTGAAATTCGAGTGACCGCACCCGATGGCCAGGTGGGCAAATCATCCAGCGTGTTTAGACTCGACAGCCATCGGGTCAAAATAGCCGGCGGGCCGGGTGAGTTCATCATCTCATCAAACATGGCTATCGAGGTAAGTGTTTTCCAGTCTATTGCACTAGCTATCTCGTAGTTACACCGTGATGCGATTTATTAAATGTATGTTGCTTTTAACAACTCTCTCACTTTTGTATGAACTTTATATACTCCATCGAATGACTACTAGCTCCAAGGTGTCACGTTGTTTGCCATTGCAGTCATGCTCCTCGTGCTGGTGCTGCCAAAATTCTATGATGACGAAAATGGCATGATCAGTAGACGTCTTTTGGAACGTATACACCGTCTCGAACATGAACAACTTGAAGAAGATGACCAACAGCAACACGAACAACAACGACGAGGAAGAATTACAAGAAGAAAATCGAATCTACGTCGGCAAGTGTACATCTGGACGCTGCGGTTCTTACAGTTACCACACGACCAACCGAGTTGTTGGTTTGCTAGCATGCTTTTTATACTGTCGCTCATCACGTTGCCATGGTTTCGGGCCGAGTTTATCCCGTCTGCTCCGCCAGACGAACGCTTCGGAACATTTTATTTGTGGGGCTTGAAATTTGCAGACGAGTGGATCCCGATTGCGGACACTTGGATGTTTGCGGCGGAGCAGGTCTGGCTCAACATTGTCGTGTTTGTTATTTTGTTTGCATGGCGTTCTGTGGACAACTTGGCGTCCTCGCCGTCATCCACATCATCACCGTCCGTGCATGCTACTGCTGTCAACGACGTTGAAGATGTAGCTTCTACTTTGTCCCTACAAAAGCAATCACAACGACGACAGCGTCAACAACAGAAACAACAAAGATTTTCTACTAGCAGACGTCAATTGCATGAATATCCATGGTTCAAGGGCCTCGAGGTTGTATACTGGCTATGGCGCGTATCCGAGTTGATGGCATTGGCAGCATTCTATGGTGGTGCGTCAGCACTCATGTATAACATCTTGGTTGTGTGGCTTTCGTTCGTCGGCTATAATCTTGCGTGGGGCAAGGGAGGCATGTTTAACCAAAAGCGCCGATCGCCATTTCCGAAACTTGCAGAATGTCCGTGCAACCAGCAGCAGCACAACAACAACAAGATCACCATAAGCCAAGACCAGGGCGAACAAGAGCAAGAAGGCGTCAATGTTTACCCTGATAATACCAGCATTCATCATATCCTCAAGGCCACGGATGACATGATGATGGTGCAAGGCAGTAGTACGAGCAATCCAAACAGCAGCGGTGGCGAATCGAGTAGTGGCAGCAGCAGTAGTAGCAGTGGTGGGAGTGCGTCAACTACTCCCTTCAACGGGAGCCCACGATCCTCAGCCAAGAGCCGGAAACGAAGTTTAAGAAGGACCTAAAAAGAACATGAAAAAAAAGCCCATGTTTTTCTCCGCTCTAATAAAAAAAAAAAGTAGTTATCCAAGTCCCTGTCTGGGTGTTTTACATCATTTTTCTTTCTAGCCTTCTTGTCGCACATCATTTTTCAGTAATTACACTTCTTTTTCCTCTTCTTTATTCCATATATGGTGGTCGAATACCAAGACGAGCCGCTCAAACGATCACGATGGGCCGTTATCCGATGGTTTCGTCTGGATCGTTTCCAACCTGAACGCGCCGTTACATCGTATTGGATGTCGTCGAAAGCTTTGCTGTTCATTCGGATACCGACGACTCTATACTCGACCATCATTATGTGGGGCTCGATCGGCAACTCATCAATACAAAACGAATTCCAGCGCTATTTCGCCCATTTCACTCAATTGACATTTATCGGTCTACACGCATACCTCGTCGTACGTCGTCACTAGTCTGTTGTTTGCCGATTATGCATTATAATTACAAACAAACAAAGAATTTACGCCCGCTATATTGACAGGTAGTGGGTTACTCATCATTCTACAAAAATGTTCTTCTGGTATCTAGACCGCCCTTTATCACCATGTCCGCTACCTTATGACACCACAACCTCATCAACCTCGCTCGTTCTTTAATCAGCCATCCGTTCTCAACTACTTGTTTTTATATTTGTATCATAGCATTGTAGTATTCAAGTAAGTAAGGGCCCAGAAGGAAAATAATTTGTTTCACCGATACCACTATACAACCCCTGGTCACTCCCCTTTGTCTCACATCACACTCACACGTATGGTTTCTGCTCATTATTGCAGCATTATTACGCCAATCGTATATTGTAAGTTGACGATGAAAGTAAAAGGAAACAAAATTGCACATTGCTAAACAGTGTATCATCCTCGAACTATGATAGGGTGCGCATTGTCACCTGTCGCCTCGTCGGGTAAGGAAACCAACCAATAAATTACAGATACCACAAAAAACGTGATGATCTCTGGTACTGATTGATTGTTACATAGTTGATGAGGAGGTTACGGGAATGAACGAACCGCCATTACAATGGTGGATCAATACGTCATTTCATGGTGTCTCGTTTGTTCTGATGATGACGGAGGTTGTGTTTACCCGAATGACGCTATATGTCAATATGGTGCTCCTAGTATTCATCAATGTTGTTTTGTACATGTTTTTAACGTTCATCATATTTGCCACGTAAGTTTCTATTCTATATACACAAATTTGACGTGCATCTTGTAACATGATTTATACTTACCAAGTGGTTACCAACTTTAAACGTCTTGCCTGTATCGTTGCTATGCTTTTTTATCGTATTTTTTTTTACGGAAATGTCGATAATAGGACCGGCTGGTGGGTGTATGGCTTTCTGGATTGGAGCCAGGGCGGTATAACAGCGGCTTGGTACATTGGTGTTGGTGCAGCATTTATCGTTGTCTATTTTGTACAATTCCTATTCCATATGCTCCGCGACTGGGTAGCCAGGAAACTGGGTCGAAATCCGCGGAAGCCCGAAATGCGACAAGCTAACGACGAAGAAGCAGGCCAATTTGAATTTAGAGATAGTGGCATTGCAACGCATTCGGAGCCACAGCGCTATTAATAATACAGTTATAGATAAATTAACCCCCCAACCCCTCATGTCTTCCTTTTATCAGTTGTACTTTTACGTTTACTTTCTGATTGGCCCCGTTTTCTAAGCTTTCGTACTCCCTCAAAGAGTTATCTTATCAGTGAAATTCGCGTACGAACGATTCAAGATTAGATATCTCTCTCTCTCTCTTTCTCTCGCTCTCCACTTTTTTCTTGTTCTACTAGCAATTACAAATATAATCATATCAGACATTACATAAAATATGTCCAAAGGTGGTCGACATCGTATATTTACAGAAGAACAGCGCAAGGATCGAAATCGGTTGGCACAAGCTGCGTTTCGTGCGCGGAGGTCAGAGTATACACATACACTTGAGCAAACTGTTGTTGGGCTTGAAAGCATCGTCAAGGAACTACAGGACAGTAATCGACAAACGAGCACCAGAGCCGACGCAGCCGAAGCTCGTTGTCAATTGCTCAAGGATCGATTGCGACATCTACATGAGCAACTTCACGCGGCACTTTTAGAAAATCAGCGGTTGTCGTCTGCTCAAGGTAAGCGAGAGAGTAATAGTTATACCCGGATTTAGAGTACTTATCAGCTAATCCAATTACTATGTATAGTTACAGCATCTTTACCGTCCCCTTCCTCAGTGTCGACATGCTCGTCGTCGTCATCGTCGTCGTCCTCTCTGATTGACCCTACAGAGGCAATTTCTACATGGCTTGGCAAGTGTTTCTTTGCTAACGCTATCTTATATATATAGTTGCACACATAAAGCACATTGATCCTAGTTATTTGCTTTTCTGGCTTTTCTTTTTATAGATTCCCGTTCTTCTTATTAGGTTAAAAAAGATCAATTGTGTCTTTAATTTTCCAACTCGTCAAACTCTCTCTCTATCCTCACCTCTTGATCTTCCCTTCCCTCATCCAACCATACTCTGTGTACATAATAACCGATAGTGTAAACTGTGTCTTTAAACTTGTAGCGAAACTAACCAATACATGTCTCTATTTTCCAAAGAAAAATCGATATAAATATTATATAGACCATATGAAGAATTTTACATATTTATAATATGTATATAATATGTATAAGAAAAAAATGTACAACAAGACTACTTTTAAAAGATATAAATGTCTAACTAGTCTTGGAAATGCCATAGCGTCCGCTGTTGGTGATTGTGATTGTGTTCAGATGAAGATGATGTAGGATGTGGAGGAGGGGGAGGCATAGCGTTATATAAGATGTTTGAAGCGGATGTCGTAGGGGGCTGTGGCTGTGGTTGTGGATGTGATTGTGATACTGCCGCTGCTGCTGCAGCGGCGGCATACTTGCCCAAAAGTAGATCGTTTGGGTTGTGTAATTGTATGAATTGATCCGCGTTATTTTTTCGTGCTGTCGCTAGACTAGGTGACATTAACCCACCCTGAACTGTCACGGGGTCCATAATGATCGACGCATGCAGTGTTGCTTGTGAAGAAGGTGATGATGACGATGAGGATTGCAAAATTGGCGTTGGTGCTGGTGCACCCCAGTCTTGTTGTTGCTGATGTGGCTGATGAGAATGATTATGATTATGATTATGGTTATGATGCTGCTGCTGTTGTTGTTGCTGTTGTTGTTGGTTCATAGACATAACCACATAGTCTTCGTTATCTTCTTGTCGCGGTGGTGGCGGCCCAGACATTGGTGATGTAACTGATGGGTAAGGTGGATGCGTTCGTTGCTGCTGCTGCTGCTGCTGTCCAAGATACATTCGACTTAGCACGTCATCTGAGCTTGTCATGTCGTTTGGGGCCAACGGAATGATCGGCGTGGGTGTGGAAGGCGATGGCATAAGAAAAGATCCTGCTGCTTGTCGGCTATCAAAATGTTGTTGCTGCTGCTGCTGTTCGACGGGCGGTTGCGTAGTAGTAGTGGTGGCGTTGATAGTCGTTGGCACCGCTGCCGCTGCCGTGGCAGCACTGACAGTTGCCATTACCTCCTCGGGTATCTCGTAGCCATCGGTGCTACTGCCAAGCTGCTGTAAGAACTTGGCGCTGTTCGGAATGGTGGCATAACGTCGTAACTTGTGAATAGACAGGATAGATCGATCAAACATGGCCCACGACTGACGTGCAATGCCGACATCGCTGTGGTATAAGTGCCGGACATGCACTTTAATGGCAGATAGCAGGGAATGAACGATCAGGTCGTATTTCATGATGGAAGCCGGTCGCTCACACATAAAATGAACAAGCTGGGTAATACATGTTGCCATGATGCGTCGCTGAAACTGGTTGTATGCATTGTTGGGCGCTCGAAAAAGCTGGTCGAGAATGCATTGATTGAATACTAAATGGAGATGGATTACCATGGGTCGCGGTGCTGGTAGCCGCAATACGTCGTCGACAGACAAGGTAGAAGTGGGCGTCCATTGCAATTCGCGTGGTAAGTTGCGTACAAAATCGGAGAAATGGTTCTGAAAGGTTTCTATTTTCTCTTTTTCGCCGTTGCTGCCCGTACCCCCGCTTGTCATTAGATGCTCGTTGGCGTACATGAGTGCGTCTTCGCACATTTGGGCAAATTTGATCTTCTGCTTCAAGTTTTCAAGGATAAGTTGCTCTTCGGCGTCGTCGTCAGGTAAGCCATTCGGTAGGTCGACGAGTGCAAATTGTTTAGTAATCATCCACGGCCGTTCCCAGCCACCGCTTTGCACCTTGTCAAGACAGTAGCATGACCAAAACACGCGTTTTCGTAACTCAATTTCCTCGCGCGGCAACTCCTTGCTGATATTGGATTGGTTATGCAGGCCGAGTTCTAGACACATGCGATACGCCATGCCACTATACATCCACGAGCGACAGAACGGACTTCCGCTGCGGTGAGTTGACGGCGATGGTTCGTACAGGCTCATGTAACATAACGCGACAACGGTGCTGATTCGTGGCATGTCCATAAAGTCGTCGAGCAGCCGCTTTGCTCGATGGTAAAAAACTTCGGGTTTCGGTAATTCGGAATTGTCCAAGTAACGACTGGTCTGGGCATAGATTGCATTGAGCAGGAGTGGCGTGATAAAGGGACCCTTACATCGCAGCTGTTCAAAAAAATATCGTCGAGGAACAATCGGCATCACTTCATAGTTTTCGCGAAAGAATTGCTCAAGCATCTCCATTTGTAGTTCACGCGATGGCATCTCAATGGAACCCGTGTACCGGCTCGGCAATGGTGGTTCGGGCACCCATTTAAGAAAGCTGCCATACGGCTCTGCATCTGTAAATGTTTTGCCGGAATGCCTGTCATATAGACTGACTTTCCGCAATCCTTCGCCAAGAGATGCGAGCGTGTTGCTGGTACGCGATTCAAGTGGTGGACCACGTCGTTTGCTCCGTGCTGTATAACCGTCTTTTGTGTCTGCAAATAGGTAACACGACTCTGTTGCATTTTCCAGATTGTTGATCGTGTACTGATCCGTACCTGCGTTCGTACTACTCGACGTACTGTCAGAAGAATGTGGGTGCTGCTGATGCGAGTGCTGATGCTGATGCTGATGCTGATGCTGCTGGTGCTGGTGCTGTTGTTGTTGCTGTTGTTGTTGTAATGAGTGTACTGTATCCTCGGGCATTTCTTGATCGGGATCGAACGAGCCGTCTTTGTAAAACGTACATGGCCGATTACGTGCTAAAATGTTATCATTATTGACGATCAGCTATCATTATGCTTTTCAAAGGTGATCGAAGAGGGTAAGGAAAAACCACAGAACGCGTGCACGCGGCCCAATCCGTGACCCATTATGAAGTTCTCGCGATGTTTTTACCTTTGCACTACATACATGTATGATGGAGTTAGATACAAAAGTGGTGCCTTAGGAAAGGAAGAAAAATGGTCTGAAAAGTACCTGCATACATGGCCGTAAACCGTCGCACTAAAACAGAAAAATCATCTCAATTTAGTATACGAAGCACCCACACATCAGATTGGATCAACTGCTGTTATTACTATCAGAGAGAAGCAATGCGAAACATGTAGTTTAACGGTGCATACGATGTATGAAAAAGAAAGCCCGTTGCAACGAACAGATTGCAGCTAAATTCGAGGAATTGATCTGGAATTGCTTGAATCGGCAGCATTACCTTGATCTTTTTGGCACGACAGGTGTAGCAGGCTCTACCGACTTTGAGTCGCTTGTGCCTTGAGTCTTGCGGTGAGTCCATGTGGTTATAGAGATTGGGCTGCGGAAACGGGGAAGACTGTGCGGTGGTGTGTTGGTGGCACTAGTGAAGATGTGGAAAGTTTGATTGACAGGTTTAACGACGCTATTTTTTGAGTGGCGCAAGACAAATGAATAGGGGGTTGCAAGAGCGATTGAATAGCGAGACGGAGTGCGGAGGTTTGAGCAAGATGGGTGTGGTTGGATGAGCGGTTCCAACGGTCCAAGGTCGAAGAGAAAGAAAAAGAGCAGAAGGGAGAAAAGGAAACAAAAGAAAAAGAGCAGCGATTTTAAAAGTGTGAGAGTAATGGGAGAGAAGTCTAAATGAAGGCATCTTTCTTTTTGAATATAAATTACTCTTTTAGGAAGTTCGCATTTTGCAGTGGATGGACTAGGCCCTTGTAGCTGCTGCGATGCTGCTGTCTGTTGTTCTTATGATATGATATTGACAGAAAGCGGGATTCGACTAAAGAATGTTTTATTAGTAGCAGCCCAACTGAGCATGCTTGCACTCTTTCATATAGCGCTGGAGATAGAGAGAGAGAGAGAGAGAGAGAGAGAAAGAGAGAGAGGTCGGGAACACAAAAATAAAGGACCTCAATGGTCCGTGATCAGTAAGCTGCGGGTACCAGCCAACCTGACAAAACGCTCAGTATGCTTGCTAATTCCCTTGCTTCTTGTTCTTTCAAGAACCTTTTCCCCACCAATGGCAAATGGTAAAGACAACAAGGGAAGGGGCCCAAGCCAGGACTGGATCTGTCATGCCCACGCAGGTTTCATTTGTTTCACTATGTTATTATCAGATTGTTTCATGCAGCATGCATGCACGTTACCAAAGCGGTTAGTGATTTGAAGCAAGGCAGTAATGAACAGCAAAGGCGCGGGGAGGAGGGGAACGAATTGGCAATCTTATTATTATGAATGCGTTGTACTTATTAGTTCCGACAGCAGGAGATAAAGTGTGAATTATACATCAGACATTAGATTTATTGTACTTTCGATTGAGCGGAGCCAGGGGTTGTTATTGGAAAGTACTTGATAGAAGGGCGGCGAGTGTGACAGACTAGACTCCTTTCAAAACACGATATGATCTGTCACTCTACACACACACACACACACACACACACGCACACACACACAAAAGACGCAGAAGAGAGTCCGTCGTGTGCCAGTAGATCGCAGTGACAGTTTAAGGTTCGCACCTGTTGTCAAGTTGTATCTAGATCGAACATCTGGTCGCATGCTCTTTAAGGGCAATTAAAATGAGATCATCTCTCACAACAGCCCTTTTTTGAGTCATCGTCACTAGGAAATGTATAACAAGAGCAAGCGTCGCTGTGTTTCTTGGGCTCCGCTATATTCGCTAGTAGCAGAGTAAATGGGGGCTGTTGTATACGTGAGTTGGATTGCATCTAACGAAAGAAGGGGAGAGGCAAACAAGGTTTGGAGATAGATGGACGGATGCTGCACATCGTTTTAGACTTGAACAAGCCCGTTAGGAATGTGAAAACTTACGAATCTTTCCGTCCATCGTTTCCCAGCAACCTGCTTTATTTCCGAGAACTCCCCTCCAAACCCACCCTCCTCCGCCCTTTTTTCCACTCTCGAGCCACCGGCCAACGGACAGCCCCTTGTCATCTCGCTGTTGCTCCCCGCCGGGGTGTAGAGTATCGTCGTAGCAACCATTTCCTATCTCTGGGCTCTTCCTAATATAATGGCATGTCTCTTTCGCCGTTGCGGGTATACTCGTTTTTTCGCACACACACGAATAAAAATTGTAATGCAAATATGAAAAAAAGAACGTGTGACACAATACAGCAAACCTGGGAGGGGGCGAACAATGTGTAGTTAAGGGTGTACATGTGAATAATGAGTTATGCATGATTTTGAAAACTATACAAGGGTGCGTCGCACAAGCAAACAGTGGTAATATAGATCGTTCGCTTAAGCCATTAGCCGAATGCACATTCTGCGTGGTGCCGCGATCAACCCCCTCAAAAAATTTTAAATGAGGCTCTTTATCGTCTGGTCCTACTCCAGTCCTCCATCACTTCTTCTCACAGAATATACTCAAGCTATACAGCCGGGTAAACTGAATAACCCGGGAAGCATACTATCTGCTTGCATAATGAGCTAAAGCCAGAGTGTCCCCACACGTTATTAAGTGATTTGCTGGGAAAGCGCGGGATGATCAACGCGTGTTTCTTTCATCAATACCTAATGCAGAGATAACAGCAGTGATCACAGCCTAGAGGTCTTCTGTTTTGATTCCTCTGTCTCTGCAATCCACCTCAAGTGGAGCAACAATAGTAACAGATTCTACTTTGATTTTTTAGAAAAATAAACTACGCTTTTGTTTAGAAGAGAATTTGGGTGACGCCTTTGCTTTCCATTCATCGTATTTTTTTATTGCACGGACAATAGCATCGACAATATTTTAGATGTTATACTATTTTTTATTCGAGGCCATATGTCGTACTGACACACGATCTCAGTGAAAAGCACATGCTACCCTTCCACCACGTGGCATGTTAAATTTCTTCAAGGAAATTCGCCAAATTACGGCGTGTGTTAACTTCACCCACTTATATAAAGAAAAAAAAACGACATGCGAATGTGCAACAAGATACAGGCTAAATAAATATGCACACAACAATGTTACTACTGTATATCAGATCAGATATCATTACTGTCAGGTAAACTCTAAAGTTCAGCAAGCTTTTATATGTAGCACATCGTACTCTTGTATCGCAAAACAAAGAGTTAGAAAGTAGATTGTATTTCCCGTTGTTTTTCTACTTACCATGCTACTATATGCGCTTACTTATCTTTACATAGCTGAACTATTACAATAAGCTGTGTGTGAAACTCTGCATTTCCCGCTAACGTTCCGCTGTTTTCTAGACATGAAAAGATATATAGTACTAAAGTATTAAAGTTATTGTTTACTCACGCCAATCGTCCGTGAAACTTTTGTGAGCAATCACAAGAGCCTGTTGATGATCGCATTTAAACGAACTTCTTGTTGTGATTATTCCTTTCGTTTCTCTTCTTCCTGCACACTGTTGCTCTAGGAGATTTGGTTATATCCTTACTTCGGCGTACAGAGTACAATAGGAAATGTGGGTGATAATAATTCCAACACTACTTTCTGGCTAAAGCTGTACACATCCATGACTGTTTCCGCGTTGCATACATAGTACTATTGAGTCTCTTATAAACGATATCCGCTTAAGAACATACGGATTATTAACAGAAACCAATAATCGAACATGGTGATTAGCTGAGAAGACGCTAAGTAAAGTGCATTCGTTACGCCTCTTTTTCTGCTTTCACATTGCTTTGCTATCTACTATGACATATGAATGCAACATGTTGAGAAGACGACAGTCATCGGTGGTAGTTAAAGCGATGCGGTTGCTAGTTAGTAATTATTAAGACAGTATAAACGATGTGGTCTTCCTACTAACACTAAGGTAATAACTTTATGATAGCACACCTTATATAAATTAGAGATGGGCTGCTCTCGGAGACCTAAACTTGAAAATGAATACTACAACATAGTTGGAAAGCAGAGAGCATCAAAGCTGACAATGAGTCGAAGAGGTATATCAGCTTAAGAGAACCTTGATCATAGCTGGTTCCACTGCTTAAGAATCAAAGTAATAAGCTACAAAGGCTGACGATCGTATTAATCGTATATTCATTGGTGGCTGGTTATGTAGTGGGACACATCTAAATTTGAGCATTGTCGACCGCAACTCCATTCAGTAGTACTTTGTAAACAGAGCAATAGGTTTACTCCGTTTTTCAAAAGACTTGTAATGTATTGCCATAAAAAACTGTCGCGTATATAAATGTACGGGGATACATAGTTGGTGAGAAGTGTGTTTGCTTTAAAAAAAGTATATAAACAGTGTCGTTCTTGCGACGATGTCAGAAAAGGGGAAAAGTGGTGTATACATTCAAGCTCTCCACGGCTTATTTTATATATTAAAAATAATGCCTCTTGCACATGAAGCTCAATATATGGCCATTCAACAGTTGTTGACCTTTTCATCAGTGCAGTAGACCAATGGGTATTTTGAACTAGTTGCATGATGATCGGTATGGGGCTACTGTTTTTCCTTGGGCCTTCGAACAGTAAATATAGAAGTGAAGGGCTGGGTAAACGGCGACTGGAACGCGATACCTATCGGCTGCAATTTGCGCGCAAGCCAGGGCACAATACCAAAACTGCGAAGGGCGATAGTTTTTTTAGCCTTCGTGTCCTTCTAACCCACAGGCAAGCTTGTTTTCGATTCTTTCTATGTCAACTGCAATAAAAGGGAAATGTTCAACGTATACGTTGATGTTCTTTTGAAGCATTGTAACATTTCGTTCTTGACTTCCATATACAAGTCTTCGCTTCCTTTGACACAAAATGCGATCGTCCTGAAACCACAATAGCCGTCCGACGCCACGTAATCGTTTTCTCCACGCTGTCGCCAGGTAAGTCCGGATGAACAAAGAAGTCGAAAACCTTGTGAGACCTTTTACTTTGTAAAATAAGTTAGTACTGAACAACATGATCGAGGATACTCAAATATAGATTGATACCTTTTCTTCCTGCTTTTTTTCCAGATAGTCATCTTCCAAATCTCTTTTCCCAGGTAGGATAAACTCGATAACATCGGGTTCGCCTGAAGTTGACAATGTCTCTTCTCGGTCTACAAACGATTTTTTCTTGGTCTTTTTATCCTCCTTATCGAAAGTTTCAAACTTGGGTGGTAATCTTCTTCCTTCTGTTTCTTTTGGGCGCCCTTTTGTTTTTACGTTCTCTGGAAGAAGCAGGTAATCAAGCTTGATTGGAGAATATGTTCTATAACACTGCTAATCTCTGCAAGAAGGTCGAGCTTTTGTTGATTGATTCTAGTGAATCTACTGCTTGCTGTGATTTTTCTACAATGTCGTTTTGCGATCTTTGTACTTCGTCATCGCTACTACGAAGCTCGAGGAGATCTACAAAATAAACAAAAGCGTCAGTACTACTGGGGCTAAACATAATATAATGAATGTTGAATTTCAAATATACTGTACCTGTGTCATATTTTCAAGTGCATGATGTTGACAAGGTGAGCCATAGTTTATAATTAACTCGCACATACAGTTTTCCGGCAGTCTCCCCTGCTTTTTGCAGCTCATTTCTTATCTTGCTTAATGCAAAAAAAGACACTTTGCCAAACAATTCTTGCATCGCTTGCATTTCCAATCGGTCATATATTGGCTTGTTACTATTACTGTTCAGGAACTCTTTTTCTTCTTCTTGCACCTATTTACCGGCTTAGTATATGAGACACTGTTTCAAAACACAATAGATACATATTCTTTGAAAGTTACCGATTTTTCCATGACAGCGCTTATAGATTTGAAAGTACGGAACAAGCTACCAGTGGTTTGCATGGTGTTCTTGATTTGAAAATGAATGCCTTCAACGCGCGATGTTGAGCGAAGTCCAAGGTTCAGAAGGTTACCGGCGTAGGGGCCGCCCCACTTTTCCTTGAAAGTAAGATATCTTACCGGTAGTCAGTAATAAAATCTTGCTAACCAAACCTCTACCATTACCTGTCAAAATATGTTTTTAGCTTGAGCTCTTTTTTTTGCAGCAAGGTTAGCAACATATTCGGCTTCTTTTAATTTCATTTGCTCAGTCGATTCGTTGTCTTCTTTCTTTTCATCTTTTGGCTCTAAGGATTATTATGCTTAATATTCACAAGCACTTTCTTTTCCAGCTTGAGGGTAAACCATAATAAATTGGTTCTTAGATAATTATTTAAATGATAGCAATGAAACTTACTTTCTTTACTATTTGTTCTTGCAAATGCCAACGCTGCCTTTTCCGCCAACATATAGTAAGATTCTACAGCTTCGTCGAAACTTTCTTGGTCTCTATTGTATACTTATGTATCGATGCATCGTCGTACTCCGTCTGTCTCCGGGCTTTTGGCAGGGAAACAAACACCCATGTTGGTTCTGAGGTGCTGGGTTACATGCCATCCGCATAAAACATGTTGCGATTCTGGGAACGATTGTTCGATTGCTCCAATTAACGCCCTTTCTTCGTCCGTTATAAATATACCCACGTTTCCAGCTGGCCAGATGGTTTGCTTCAAAGTGTCGACTTCCCATTCATACGAAGCTGCTTTTTCATTGGCAACAAAAATGGATGCGACCAAGACATTGCGCAGAGCTTTAGCACCGAGGTTGCTGACAGCCACAACATTGATCGACGGCATTTTCGTGGTATTCGTTTGATATATAGCATCCATCGCTATTATTTCAGTGAATCTTCGAGCTTTCTCGACGGCAACAGGATGAGTAACAAAAATGGCGTCAAGAGATTTAGAGCTGCTGTCGACTCGATAACGAATGATGTAATCTCGTGCGACCAAGTTCTCGAATATGCGACTGAATTTGCCATGACGATCTTCGTCGAAAACCTGCTGTCGAAAGTTGTAAAGATCACGCAAGTTCATAATGATGCCGTCGTCGTTATTCTTCAATTGCTTCCGTGCTTGCAATGGCTTACTGCCACTATCTGTCATCGAAAGTATTTGCATCGACATTTCTTCGTCTGGCTTGCAGTTCACGGCGTAGTAATCGTCATTTTTGTCAAGTGGATGGTTATGTTCGTCGATTCTGCTTACGAATTTCACGACCCATTTGCCGCCATCGTTTACAGCAGCTCTCATAATCAAGGTACATCCAGTCTTGATAGTCGATCTTTGCCGTTGGCGCGTCTCTTTCGTAACGGAGTGAGAGTTTTTGTAATACCCGCCATGTGCGCAATGGAATGTTGCAGCTCTCGATAGCCAATGCATTAGCAGCGGTCTTTATCGATTGTTTTGACACGAATTGGCGCCCAAGAAGCTCTTGCATATAATCGTGATCCATTGTCATTGTCGATACTGGAATAGTACTTTGTGATTTATAAGTTACATAGGATTAAGAAATCAAAAGCTCATACATCCTTGTTGCAGACGTCTGTTAAAGTGTCGGCCCAGGTATTACTTACAAGCGCGAACGTGAGTGAGTGGATGACAATATTTACGATAACAAACAACAGGAGGTAGGACTCGAATATGTCAAAGATAAAACGATGAAAGATCAATTCCAGGATCCCGACTTTATATATTACATCGGAATAACTAGCGGTTTATATGTCTGCTTTACTTGATATATAATCATACTTCTATATCTAGTGTCGCTATTATGTTATTCATCGTCCAGGCCACTGGTAGTTCTAACAGCCGCACCGTAGGTTGGATATCGTCGTAACGGTCCACGCCGTTAAGATGTCTATGCTCAGAACTATATAGATCTTCACCAATATCCTACCTCGTATGTTGAATGTACGAAAGACTAAAGGTTATAAAGCTTTCTTCGCCTGGTTCGTCTGGTTCCTTTCATCCAAGTAGCTTTTTAGGTGGCTGGTGTTGTATCAGCACCGGTGGCTAAATGTTCCCGGACCCCCGCAAATCGCGATCCTGATAAATCGGTAAAGAGATTGTCAATCATCACGTTCATAAGCACATATATTTGGTGTCTAAGAATTGGCAAAAGTGCTATAAAGAATAAAACAAGGCAAGTTTTTACATATACGCCTTTCAAAATTTCCCCCAAGGGCACGGCGCGTCCCACCTACATATGTCATCCGATTGACTTCTTACATGATACATACGCGCTGTGCTTCTTATGGGCACGACATCACCCATCTGCTATATAATTAACACAAGAGCGTCAACTATGCTGCTCTGTGTAAAGTATCATATTTGTTATCAGAACTTGTCGTGCCCATATTAATTCCCAGATATGAAATATGCCTCATTGCTTTATCTAGCGAAAACTTGACCAAATGCTGGAAAATTGACGGAAGTGATAGGAAATATAGCAGCCTCCTTATATTATGTTCATAGTGACGGGGAGGATAACGATGACAATAATTGTTATTGGTGGGCGAGGAAGAATTGGAGAGTGGGCTGTTTCCGGATCACTTGTTTTTAAGGTTTTTATTTTACCTTCTCTAGTATTTGTGTGACTTGCTGCTGCCAGTCGCCAACCAACTCAAAAACCCATTTTCTCAGGTTTCCCAAAGAGCGGAGAGAAGCTTCTGGTTCCGTCAAATGCAAAAACCCAAAGTTTTAAAACCGTTCAACAGAACCGAAATCAAAGTCCTATTGCTGGAGGATGTAAATCAGACGGCCATCGATGCTTTTCAAGAACAGGGATATCAAGTAAGTATATTTTATTATGCTTACTATAGCAGCAGTATCAGCATTTTTCTATCAACAATCGCTGTAAAAAAGACTAAATTCAGCACGTTCGTCGTTTAGGTCGAAACCTTTACAAAGACGTTTGTAGGCCAGGAACTCATTGACAAGGTCCGAGACGTCCAAATTCTCGGTATCCGGTCCAAGACCAAAGTGACAGAGGAAGTACTGAATGAAGCTAAGGATCTACTAGCTATTGGCTGCTTTTGTATCGCCACCGAACAGGTTGACTTGAAAGCAGCTGCCACTAGAGGTGTAAGTTTCGATGATGACAAGCAGCGTCATACATACAGCAACAGTTTCCCTGCTTCGCACAAGCACACACAACTCACTACTTCAGTACCACCATCATCACCCATCACTATCTCAATTTGACAGAGTATTTCTCACGTATGCAAAATCTTTGTCTTTTTTAGATTGCAGTATATAATTCACCGTTCAAAAACTCGCATTCCGTGGCCGAGCTTGTCATTGGTGAAGTTATCTCACTGGCACGCCAGCTAGGCGATCGTAACCGAGAAATGCACAAGGGCATCTGGAACAAGGTTTCAAAAGGCTGTTTTGAAATCCGAGGCAAGATTCTCGGCATCGTCGGCTATGGCCATGTGGGCTCGCAGCTCTCTGTGCTTGCTGAAGCGTTGGGGATGCGGGTCTATTTCTACGACTTGCTGCAACTGATGCCGCTAGGCTCGGCGCGGCAGCTGGATACGCTGGAGGAACTATTGGCGGTGTCGGACTTTGTCACGCTACATGTACCTGAACAAGATGACACCAAAGGAATGATCGGCGTACGTGAAATATCACTTATGAAGCCGGGCTCGTTCGTGATTAATAATGGCCGTGGATCAACAATTCAATTACAAGCGCTGGTGGATGGATTACGATCCGGTCATTTGGCTGGCGCCGCCCTCGATGTATACCCCAAACAGCCGACGTCTAACGGACCCCATTTTACTGACTATCCCGACCTACTTGATTGTCCAAATGTCATCCTGACTCCACATGTTGCTGGAGCTACAGAGGAAGCACAGGAAAATATTGGTCTGGAGGTATCGTCTTCGCTTATACAGTTCGTTAATGATGGCATATCTTTGGGTGCAGTCAACTTTCCTCAGGTTGGGCTACGCGCGATCCGTGAAGATGATGCACATACTGCACGTGTGCTGCATGTTCATCAAAATATACCAGGCGTCCTTCGGGTGCGTTAATCTTATAATATAATAGTAAAAAAGAAGAAAGAGAAAAAGTCTGTTATTAGGTGTCCAGTGAATAACACAAAAGTACAAAACTTGATTAGGAGCTTAATAAGATTTTTACGGGCCTCAATGTCGAAAGACAATATTCTAATTCTAAGGGCGCTGTTGCCTATGTGATGGCTGATGTTGCCAATGTTTCGGCTGTGGAACTCCAAGCACTCTATGATGCAATTAGCGCTACAAGTGCGAATATTAGAACGCGAATCATGCATTAGCAACTGTATTATGTTTTTTTACAACCCACAATACCTGGTGTGTAATTCTAACAGGGATAATGTATCTTGTTTTGTAATGTTAAAAATGAGCACAACGCTTCTACCTCGGTTTTCTCGAGGATAAAGCTTTTGCTGTCAATGTCATATTGTAGATCGTCTTAATTGGTTGTTTTTACTGTCCTTTAATCCATTTGACAACAGCGTCGCGCGGTGATGGCGGGCATAAAATTTTAATGACTGATCAAGCGATGTAAGTAGCAGTATGGAATGTGGAAGCTTCAAGAATGCACGGTGATGTACTGCTGCTAGGAATAAAGCCAAAGTCGCAAAGGTCGAATCAACATATTGAGAACAATATGTTGTTGCTGTTGCCAATACAAGTTATAACTATCAAAATCACGTTGCTGTGTACAGCAAGGTAAGTCCGGCATGAATTACTGTTCATACGATGCTCCATGGTATCTGCATAATCCGGAAGCCATTGAAGCAGCTCCTGTGGTACAATGTGGTTTAAAAAGGCTCCCATCACCACGCTAGTGTCAGAGACGAGGTCATTGAAGAAACCGTCGTCGTATAATCCGTCCCAAAACCGAGGCCCATATGTTGCGGGATAGTGCTGGGATTCGCGTCTGGCAAACATTGTTCGACTGAGGACAAGAACATTGGAAAAATTGCACATTTGATCAGGCGAGAATAAAACCATGGGGTAAATGCTTTGTTGAAAGATATGCTGCTGTATATCTTCTTCGGGTAGTAGGTAGAAATATCTGTACGAAGAAGGATGACTGACGAAGCAAAAGCAACGTTTAGCACTGTTTTCATATGTTATGGGCACATCGCTCAAAAAAACAACGGTGTTATACTTTATGTACTGCTACATGGTCAAAGTCGGTAACACAAAGGCGATCATTTAAATGCCAAGTAGTAATATAGGCAGGCGACGTGCCTCTTCTCCTACCCATGATTCAGAAGTATCCTATTTATCTAGCAAACTTGACCATTATAGAAACTTCAGTGCATCTGTTTGAAGCCATCGGTTTAAACGGCCCCGCGTATAATATTTTGTGCATGTTAAGGTTACTGCGTCGACCCCGCAGCATTCAGCGAGCGAGGGGCGATGTTAAAAATGCTGCCCTGCTACTGCTTATTACAGAGCAAAATAAAGCGGTATAATAGGCACAACACTGTAGATATACTACTAGCTCACTTATGGTTGCGCAGTGCTTCATTGTAGCTCTCACATACTAGTAACAAGATAGATGGAGCTGAAAAAAAATTTTATATATGAATGCAATATCTGGATCCGATATGCAACCAAGACAGCCAATAAACACTAGGCACTTCCTTCCACTCTCTATACTTAGATTCCAACTTTATTCTTCGATATAAACAAGGGGACATAGCATATACATTCTTACTTTGCAACAGCAATGGAAAAGGGATGGGGAAGAGGAGAGTAAACTAGTTCATTTCATATTCGGAATCGTCGAGATTCAAGAACGTGTCGATGCATTTCTTGGTGTATACATGTCGCTTGATTCCGTCGCATCGCTTAAACTCCCTTTTGCAAAGGTAGCACTGGAATTCCGCTGGGCCATCGTGCGCGTTGGATTTCTTCAGATGGCGTCGATAGTCTCGTGCGCGGGAAAAGACAATGTCACAGGTTTGGCAACTTCTGACTTCAAGAGGTTCGTTACTTCCTTCTTCTCGTTGAGGTGACGGCGAGCTGGACGATTCACGTGAGCTCGACAAGGTATATGGATAGGTGCTTACGCTACGATTCTGCTGCAAGGTAATGGTAGTCGTGTTTGCTTCTGCTGCGTTGCTAGGGTGTGTGATAGACTGTTTACGGGCTCGACGACCTCTAAATGGTTGAGTAGTAGCATTTACTGAACTATCACTGCCTTGGTGTTGCTGTGAGATCGACAGTTGTGGCAGCGACAAATTGACTTTATGGATTACCGAAGAGGGCGACGATGATCTTGCAGTGTTGCACTTGCTGAAGTTCATCTTTGTAGTTCTGGGCATCTTTATTTTCGAATAGCGATGGGGCGACATTAGATATGGATATGTGGCGAGCAACTGGGTTCAAGAAGAGAAGATGGAGCGAGGAAGAGGTAAGGATAACTTGCCGAATAGAGTGTCAGCACTACCTATTATATATATAACGAGAAAGCATGATAAAACTAAGAGCAACTCATGATATTCTTATGGCGCGCCGCTCGGATGAACGAGGATAATGATCCTGCACAGAACTGATCCCCTCGTACTCTTTTGCTAATGTAGAGTATCATCGTCACTTTTTGCTCAGGATGGGGTTATGTAGATAAAAGAGTACGTATACTTCCTGCTTCGCTATTGGGGGTTTGGGGAAACAACGACTTACATAATAGCTACTCGGAAGACAATGGGCTGCGTTCCTAGCACTTGACCGCGGCTTCCCTCGTGTTTTGACGTGGTCAATGCTGTCGATCCAGATCGTTTTGCTACTCAAAAAGACTCCGCTTCCGGAACCGCAGCATATACACACAAACTCGGGTTACAAAATGCAACTGCCAAGACTATTAAAAAGTAGGTTACGGATCAAGTATCTTTGTTTTCTTCTCGGAGCCAAGAACTACGAGTTACACTAACCTTCAAAGTGAATGAGAATGGGAAACTATATCAGTTGCTCAACCAGATCGTGTAAGTGAGAAGTATGAGAGTGAGAATAAAATACAGCAACGTCCAATATATAAAAAGAGGTGTTGTTGCGATAATAAAGTAACAAATAGTGTAGAATCATATAAGAGTAGTTTTAGCTCGATCTTACGTAATAACGACCCTTCATATCTTCTGAAAGACGTTTGTGTGTAAAATGATGCTAACTTTATTGTCAATACTGTTGTAGTGGCGTCTTAGTAGATCGGCATTGTACCTATCGGTTACTGTCGAATCGCTGGAAGCAACCTACTCCAAAACCAGCACACCGGCCGAAATGATTCGGCTTAGCCACTACCTTTTACGTCCATTGTATGACATCAATTGTGTGTGTGGCGTCATGGCTGACGCTAGGATAACGAAACAATACCCAACCCTGGGGTTGGGGCTGAAGCACGACAAACTATCGTTTCTTTTGAAGTTTCTTTTGAAGTTTCTTTTATGTACAACAACGGTGGCAGCAGTGTTCAGCGTAGCACTGCTATTGTTTCTCTATCTCAAGTTTGGAAAACGTGGGCATAATGAAAGATTGTAACCATGCTTTTTTCTTCCCTTAGTAGCACATTCAGTGGACACGAAAAACGACTGCCTATGTATTTATGAGCCTATGCTAACTACCTTAAGATTTGAATTATCTCGTTGCGTTATATGTGATACATCATGAAGGAACAACATCAGGCCCAGATGAAAGCATGCATATTACCACTGCAGCAATTGCTGAATTAAAAAACAGACGGAATTTATTGCTGTTATAAGTTAAGCGTTAAGCATCCTATAAATTAAAAAAATGTAGACACTTATGTTCTGCGAGAGTGGCCCAACCTCAATTTATACATACTGTACAAGAGGGCATACCAAGATCAAAGAAAAATCAACGAATCAAGATTAGTCAAAATGATAACAAAATGGCATGTGATTTTATTGGACGGAGAATTTAGATAGGCTGTTGTTGTTGGCGATGGCAATTAAAGTAAATCATAAAAAACGAATGGATCCATAAAATAAAAAGGGTAGGTGGTTACTTTTCTTTTACAATATACAGGTATAATGAAGATAGTAAGCGCACTTTATACAGAACATGATAATAGGTGAATGTGTATGAGGCATAAACAGAATTTCAACTTATTTTTGTTGGTGTATGATGTAATATGATGGTGTGGCGTATATTCCCTTTTCAACAGGTCTATTCTTCAGTTGTTGATGATGGTGATAGCGAAGGGCTCCTGCTACCCGGCATGCTGCTTAAAAGGCGACAGTAATCCTCCACAAAAATATCGTAGCATACACCACGGTTTGCTGGTACCACTTCGCTTCCTGTCCGTTGTCCAACGAAATGCCGGTTTAAACTGTCTTTTCTGGTAAACGGCTTTTCACAAATGAAGCATCGATATTTGTCTCCCTCATGGATTGACTTTAAATGCCGAGTCATGTCACGCTCTCTTGAAAAAGTCTTTTCGCACATAGTGCAGTGTACTCTAGAGGACGCATTGCTACTATCGGCTGTTGCTACTGGTACGCGTGGATGTACTTGTAGTGGCAGAGGTGTAGATGGGTCGACACTTTCTTGCTGTTGTTTCGGTGCTACACCGACGTTAGTATTGCTTTTGCTGATACTGATGGAATCATTGCTTGTCGAACTGGCAATAGGTGCAGCAGGGCAGCTTATAGAAGAACTATTGCGGATAGCGTGCAATGTGGTGCTATGGGGATTTACACTGTAGTAAGCCCAAGGTTGACGGATATCATTCGACGAACTGGTCGCCGTTGCAGCCAAGGTCGCTGTAGCAGCCGTAAAACTACCCGTCGCACGATTGTGGTCAAAAACTTCCTCCATGGCGAATACATCAGGTTCGTAAATACCGGCAGTGGTATCTTGGGTAGCTGTTTCACTTTCATGAGGTTGCTGCTGTCGTTGTTGTGCAGGTGATGCGACATTGACAAGTGCACGGTCACTGCCATGTTCTTCGGTTTCCACGTTATCCTGCGAGCGACAGTCTAATGAAACTCCAGATGATGTTCGGCGATGATGATAGTTTTGAAAATACGATGTCATATCAGGTGCTGTAGAGTGGGCACTTGTGCTTGCACTACCTCGATACGGGTACTTTTTTGAATAGTAGAATGCGTGAGATGAGTATGAATTATGCCCCATAGAAGCGGGTTTTTGTCTATACTATAAGAGAATCTTCATCGAATATTTCCGTACCACTGTTGATGGTGAGGCTTCACCAAATGGAACTTGTTGACTATCAAAAGATTGTCTATCATATGCTGTGTTCTGTGCCGGAGATGTAAGTGCCGTGGTATTGAGGGCGATATTGTTATCAAATTGATTTAGTGATGTTATTTCTATCGAGCAAAAGTAGTAGAAGACACATCAACATAAATGCGATCATGAGCGTAATTTGGTCCTCCTTTCCTTTCTACGAAAAAGCTCCTCCTGTTTACCCTGTTGTTGTTGGTTTTGTTGTTGATTATTGTAGTATTGATTACTATGTATTCCATTTCTAGTAAAACCAAAGGCTTCTGATTGCTGCTGACGGAGTAATTGAGTGGTGTGAGGCACCTGGACCTCGCTGGGTAACGGCTGCGGCGGCGCCGAGGAGGTCGATTGGGAATAGCTGTACGTGTTTAAAGTTGGATCACCAGCGTTGCCAATAATTTGCGAGTTTTGATCATGAAAAGCATGCTGTTGCTGCTGTTGCTCTTGCTGCTGGTGACGACGTTGCTCAATCTGCTGTGTTAACCAGGCTGGCGTGTGTTGTATTCCTCCACTAAAGGATACTGAATAAAGCTCTGTTGGAGAGGCGTTTTGGATAAGGTTATTGCTGCTGAATCCTCCTGTTGCGTTTCGAGGAGAAGAAGCTGGCTCAAAGATATTGTGTGGCGCGCTAGCTGTGCTATTGCTATAGCTACTGCGGCCATGCTGCGATATGAAATATTCAGACGCCCGGTTCCTACGTTGTAGCTGCTGGGAGTTGGAGAGGTTGCCGAGAGATGCTGCCAGTAAAGCTGGTTGTAGCTCAACATGTTGCTGGCTGCTCCCCGACGTACGATTTGACAAGTTACTGGAACCCCTATTATACCATTCGTAGTGGTTAATCATCGCTGTTTCTTTCTGACAATCTTTATAGATAAACGCGGATGAACGTACTGTATTCTCATTAGTTCGTTTTGTCTTGTTTAAAATCAGAAGAAAGGTAAATAAAAAGTATGAGCATAGAAAGGTACTGTCGAGGTTCCTAAATTGTCAGTCCGTGCTCAGGATTTAAATCACGAAAAGAAGATGTGGCCACCCGATTTATATACGCTAGCAATCTAATAAAAAGATGGTTGAGGTGGCTTTGTTTATATGGTAGCCCTTTTTACTGTAGCGGGTTTCTGCGTCTTTGACGGTTCGATTTCCCCAAACAGACAAAATCATTGGGCAAAACAAGAATGGAAATTGAGGATTCGCTCGACACAAACACTCGTACAGACATAATTCCTATTCTCTCACTCTTACTACGTAAAATACTGTGCCCAGAAGAAAGCATCTGTACTATAAATTGTTCCCACACACATGTATTGATGAAATACACCATTTTTGTTTCTTGAAAAAATGAGCTCCATTCGCTATGAGTGATCATTGTTGAGTCATTCCTACGACAGGAAGAGCCACTATATCGAATTGAGGAGTACGAGACATGAAAACATATAATCAGCTGTTGCTTACCTGCCTCAATAGATATGACCACAGCTGTCTACTTTATATAGTTGGAAGCTATACTAACTATCTTAACCTCTTTGCTCTTTCAAAATTGTATTACTATGACGACACTACAACGTATAATTAATGATTGTTCTACTATAAACTCCTTTCGTAATAATAGTTCTTCTGTATTTTTAGGCATTGGAAGAGGCAAAGAACAAAAAGAACAAACCTTAATGTAGTAGTTGCACTCAGCCACTTGTTATTTTGTGCTTTTATCAGTTGCGTCAGTAAACGGAACCAGAATAGGGAGGAAGCGTTCTTAAAAAACAAGGAACGCTAAATAGCCTATTTCTCAGGGGGTTGTAGTACGATCGTAGCCATTCTGGTTGAGAATTCGCGGTTATATTCCACGGAACACGCTTTTTGCTTTTTCGTCGTGTCAGTGGTACAGTGGAGGCGGCTTCTCCTCCAAAACAGAAGGTGCATTTTTGTTGAGCATCAGATTCTTATGCAAAAGATTAATACGTTATCTCTATCTATCATGATACACGCAATCGGGAGACCATACTCGAGAGAAGTATTATTAAACTTGATATTAGTATTTGATTTAGAAGCCGTGGATGGTGGTGGTAGCTACTTGTTCTGAAATGAGAATAGAACTCCCATTTATCGTCCTATCTGGAAGACTCACGAGAAGAGGGTTACAAAAAGGAGGGCTTTGTAATACTATACCGACAGGCTCTCCCGTTATTGTTGCAATGCATTTTTTCTGCGGACAAAAGTATCAGTTGCCGAACTAGCAAACAATACATTGCTATTCTGTAAAGGGCTATCATCCTTTAAAGATTACTCGAAGATACCTCAATGAAAATCACGCATTAAGTAGTAACCCCTTCGAGGCGGCATGTGAAGCTCGAGAGCGTTAATCAGTCCGTTCGCCTTGATGAGAACAAATGACACCACTTTTCATATAATCCTTGATTCATTCAGATATTTCCATTCTGTTAGGTTCTCAAAACAAGAACATTATCTTTTTTTGTAGCAAATCTCTCTCAGCCACTCACATACTTTATACTGTATGTTGTTAATATCTCAAGAAAGATGTGCTAGCCGGCAGCACAGTTCACCATTAATAACAAGCTGGTATTTTATTAGTAGTAATACTTCGAAGAAATCATTATATGAACGCCTTTTTCGCGAACAAACATATGTTCTTGTGTGATAGTGATTTCTCGATGGTACATTTTTTAACTCTATTAGTAATCCACCTGAAGTTGAGACCAGATTTAAAAGTTCTTCTCAGTTGATACAACAGTACTTGTTACTGGTTATTTTTTATTGATTTATATATTCTTTTCTTTATGCCCTTCGTTCTATTGATAAGTCGTTGAGAATTCAATATAAGCGTTTGCATCTGGCGATCTGCTGTTTTTGCTTGTGGATAGTTGTATCGCCAATAACTTCTTCATTACTGTTACAAAAACTTCTTCCATTGCCATTTGGATTGAATTGAACGGATTTGGCTATACCTTCAAAATACCAAAAAGAGACATATGTCGTTCTGTCACGCGGAGCCAAGCCTTATTCCGTCTGCCTGCCCCGGACCACTTATTTGCAAAAGCTCGGTGTAATCCCGTACCAGTACAGAGTTGGGGTCATAAGATGCATAACCTGCTAATACAAAACGCATGGACCAATTGACGTCATAAGATACCTTCTTTGACAGAAGAAGTACCAATTTCTCATCCGAGCAAAAACAAGGAGCAAATATTAAAGCAATTGATAGAGCTGCGATAATCACGATGATTTACTGTATCCGTTACGACCAACTACTAGCAAAGTGCTTCCATGTTTAAGAATAAGATTCTTATGCAACACTATTCATTTATCTTCAACTCTGAGACTGTAACACAGCCTTGGATGTACAACTAGAAGAACGGGATCCGCATTTTTTTGTTTTACTAACTGAACGACGGGGATGACAACGACCTGAAAAGTTTTACAAGTCGATTTTTCCAAGCGTTTAGATGTCTATTACAATCAAATTACGGACTGTAGTATCGATGATGTGCATAGCTACTTTCATTACTGATGTGTCGAGTAAGATGATACAAGATACTGTTTGAAATGTAGTAGTTCGTACTTACAGCTTGCGATACACAATGTGTGTGGTCATAGTACGGCTGTATATGCATCAGTAACAGCAACAAGTTCTTTAAGAGAATGAGAATGCATAGTAGTAGTATGCTAGAATTGCGCGAATTAACGTGAAAGAGCACAAGATTAGGCAACCAAACATCTCCTCTCTTGGTTTTGGGTGAGGGAAGCCCCGGACGGAGTCATAGTACAGCTTTGGGAGTAAAGAGACTTTAATCTTTTTATAAGCGGCATCGATGATTGTTTCATAACATGCTAGGACATTTTTAACCAAAGCTGGTCACATACACCACAGGACTCATCTCTAACCACATAAAATCATATTTACGCTGTTCTCATTGTTCTCGTGGACATACCATATTAGCCTAATAACAAGAAAAAATTGTATAGCAGATTTCTATTCAAACCTTACCCTTGCAATATTTATAGGCCGTGATGGCTCCAGAGAATAAGCATACACAAACGTTGTTGTAAGGCATCATGATGTATGATAGAAACAAAAGTATGTTGATTGATTTGCGACCCATATTTATACAGTAATTACTCACCATGGTGACAATAGAAGGGGAAACTGCTGGACATAACATGCTTTACTATATTTACATTTTTTTTTGTTCTTGTAGAGCTACTATTAACTATTTTAAACAAAGGTATAGGAAGGGGATGGGGGGGGGGAAATGCGTATAGGCAACAATACGTTTAGGGCATTACATCTACCAAATAGGGAAAACAGAAATTATACAAAAAGAATGGATAGAATAGAGGTGGGGGAATACTCATTTTTATAGTAAGAACTTATTACTGTTGTTGTTGCTGGGGATTATTTTTGTTGTCCCCGTCATCGTCGCAAACATCGTTATTTATGTCAACTGACTCTTTTTCTCCTCCCTGTTGATCTTTGATCGAGGCTGTAGCAACGGCATTTGTTGCAGTACTAGAAGGAGTAGTGCTGTTCCGTAGCAATGATTTGATCAGGTTGTCAAATTGGGTCAAATCAGGCATTGCTGGTGCCGGTGCAGGTACAGTATGCTGCATGGTTGCTGCAGCTGTTGCCATGGCAGCTGCATACATGTTTGCCATCATTGCTACTGCTTGAGGGCTTTGTGTCCATTGCTGTTGATGTTCATCGCAGCTGTGTTCTTCGTTTAATTCCTTTACAGTTGCTATTGCAGGTGTTGATGACTCGCCTTGTTGTTGTTGTTGCTGCTGCTGCTGCTGCTGCTCAATCTCTTCAAAAAGCCGCTTGTAAGCTTGCGTCGTTGCTTGTACATGAAGGCGTTCGGTCAATGATTCCATAACCAGCTTGACAAGCTCATCACGGCGATCAAGTTGAGCAATAGCAATAATTTTTTGCACAAGACCAAGCCCATGCACCTGGTCACGCAAGACATCGTCGAGTAAAGCAGCTTCGTTAAATATGGCGTTCAGAAGCAAGTTCCGGGCATCCAAATCTTGGCATTGGTTGATCATTTTGTAGATTGTCATGGCGCCGAGCTTGTGTGTACAAAGCTTACTCAGATAAGGAAGCAAACGTGGACATAAAGCGCCGAATCGACCAGGCAGTTCGGATGTGTCCAAAAGCCAGATCAACAAGAGGACGCCGTTGGCGTTTGTTGTCAACAAAACAGCGTTCTGGATGATAGCCGCTCCAACATATACCTTATCGCACGTAAAGTATTTCAACAAAACCATTTAGTATATAAACTTCTCTTGTACACACAAGCAATCATGCATAAACTAGCAGGATAATCACAAAAAATTACCTGTTGTTCTCTAGTAACGACGGGATTTTCAAGGATCGCTCGTACTGCACGTGCGCCGAATCTTCCCTGTCCAATTTCCCAGCACTTGTCGGCAATCGCATCCATGATGTATTGGCTCGAGTCGGCGCCTTTGCGTAGACAGCATTGGACAACGTAGTTTCCATATTGGTCTAGTAATAGCAAGGGCACGTACGGCGCAATGTGTGTAGAGATGATTTGAATCTACAAGTAGCGAAGATAAAAGAGACAGAGCCATGCATGAGTATTAAGTGAAAAAGATCTGTGTCCGCATAGTTCACTCGCAGAAACATACAAGGGTAGGTGTGTTTGCGTGGTCAATGATCTTTTGCGCAGCCCAGGTACCGTTCTTGTGGACACCAATCGAGGCAAGGAAAGGCGCAATACGCTCCAACATGCAAAGTCGTGTCTCGTCGGTGCAGAACTCAAAAATTTTTTGGATCACTGTGTTGCCAATATAATCTAACATAACGGAAGGCATATTGTGAGCAGAAATAAAGGAAGCCAAAACGCAAGACCGCAGATAAATGTACTTGAAGCGTACCATTACAAAGCTCTACAACTTCGTCCATGCATTCTAAAGCCATGTTTTCGACATCCTGCAACGCCTGTCCATTATCTAATCGCTTTCTCATTTCCCGCAAACGTAATGGTTCTAGTTTTCGATCTGAGCCCAGCTCAGGTACCAAAGGAATGGCAGAGCAATACGTCATGGGGGCTCTTTCATCTGCATACCATTTTTTTGTTCCAATATATCAGTTATCAAGTCATCTAGTCGCTCGTCCATGTTGACTGCCAACCAACTTCTCTCCCTACACTTTATCTTAGTATTTACCTTGTGATGCTTCTTCTGCTGATACAGTCTCATGATCTAGCTGCTGCATGATAAAGCGCCGTTCAGCTGCAATCGCAGCATACAAGCTGGTAGGATGCGCTGCTGTTGTTGCTGCTGCTGACGGCTGCGCAGGGTTATACTGCTGACCGATGACACCTTTCATCATACTCGACATCATCATCGCAGCAGCCCACTGAGTGGCCTGGTATGTGTCTGGGGAGGATGCAGCTGCCGAAGCAGCCGACAGTGTTGCATGCAGGTTAAATCCATCCCGATCATCGACTTCATCGATCGTCGCTGCTGGTGGTGGTGGTGGTATCACATTGGGTGCTGCTGTTCCTAGCACTGGCGCCTTAGCAAATCCAATGCGCACAGCGCCTGTACCTGGACCCAGAATCTCTTTGTTTTGTAATGCTCTGCGTGCACGCACTGCATCTTGCTGCTGCTCAAAATTCACAAAACCACAGTTTTTGTGTGACAGAACGCGAACAGATTCGATCGCCCCGAATGGCTGAAAAATCGTCCGCAGGATTCCCGGGTTCATGTTCGCTGGAATATTCCCAACCCCTATCGCATATAACCAAATGTCAGAAATTTAGAGCAGAACACTTTCTCTGATCATAAATAGGCTAATATAGGCTTACACAATGCACGTGTAGGCCCTTGAGCATTCGGACCAGCTTCGGTTGTGTTCGCCATGGCTTGACTGACATCGGCTTTTCCATATCCGACACGGACGGTTGCACCCTGCAGTTTACTTCCCAGCCGTGTTTCAAGATCATTCCTAGCAGCCACCGCCGACTCCACATTCGTGAAGTTAACAAACGCGCATTCTTTGTCCGATAAAATTCGGGCACTCTCCACAGTACCGTAGCACGAAAACAGCTGAAGAAGATCAGAGATGCTCAGCGACGGCGTGATATTGCCTAGCCACAGCGCACGCGAAGGGATCTGTGCAGCTGCAGACGAAGGGGAGGATGGCGTTGAGGACGATGATGCAGCGGTGATCAGATCCTAGGTTAGGCCACAAAGATGAAATTAATATAAGCTGCTGCTGCTGCTGTTGTTGTTGTTTCGCTCTGTAGCGTGTGTATGTGGCGCGTGCATTCTATTCCAGAGAGAAAAACTTTTTTCTTGCTTACCTGCTGTTGATAATCATGACCCTCGTCGTTGTAGCTCAACACGTCCAATAAATTATTACTACTGCGCGAGGTTCGCAAAGATGCTTGCTGTTGGTGCTGTTGCTGTGTCTGGTACATTAGTTGAAGTGACGGAGGGATGGCAGGTGATTCATCGACCATGCCCAAGCTAATGGCACGCGGTCTCTGTTGTTGTTGCTGCTGCTGCTGCTGCTGCTGTGTCGTTTGTTCGTTTTCCAAAGAAAACGGGTCAAACCGCATGGTTGAAGGAGCCAACAACCTGCCGATATTCGGTCGTTCCATCCGTGTTCCCACTGTATAAGCCCGGCTGCGGACAGGTGTAGGCAAGCCAGTACCACCCGCAGCGGGAATACTGGTCGACGGCGTACCACTTGCTGTGATCGACAGGGCTGGTAAAGGTGCATAACTACCATTGCTGTTGTCGTTGTTGCTTCTGCTGCTACGGTGGTTGTGAGTGTGGTGGTCTTGATAGGTTGAGTCATCATCTAAACCGAGCGAAGCCAAGGTGCTGACAATGGTACCACCAGCTGCTTCGTCAACCGACGACACAGGTGCATCAATGGACGACGATGGGCTGAGAGCGGAACTGAACAACGTTGCACCAAGGCCACTTTCCGTTGCAAACGTGGCCGACCCGGATCTATGCCTTGATGCCGCCGCTGCTGCTGCTGATGCTGCTGAAGAGGAGGTTGCATCGGTAGAAGAGACTAACGGAGCACCCAGCGTTGAGGACATGTAACTTTCGGATGCATAAGGAAACATCGAAGCAGGCATGGTTCCCGCCCTAGGTCGGCGGACGGTGGTGGTTGTGTTGCCGCCAGGTGCTGCTGACGCTGTTCGCAACGAAGAGTTATCAAGCGTTCTAAAGCAGGAAGTGAGTATGCAAGGCTGTTCTTCTACGCCCGGAGAGCATGGCAGCAACACAATAGTGATGAAGGGCTGTAGGTGTCTTACCTTACTAATGAGGGTGAAGGACCGGCAGTAGATGGCTTTGACAGGTACGGCGGATGCTTTCGAGTGCCGGTGACATCGGATATCCAGGTGAAGTCCATGGAAACGAGAGGGCGGATATAAAAGAGGAAGGAATAAACAGAAAGAGAGAGGAAAGGAAGAAAGAATCAAGTGTGAGTAGGGCTTATGTGACAGTAGTGCCAGCTTTGGGTCGGTCACCCCCCAGCCAGGCCAGCTTACTGACTCGTTGCTGCTGCTGCTACATACTTCCACACAGCCCACCCCCAAAACGGCCAAAGCTCCGCTCTTCCCGTCTTCACTAATTGGGGACATTCTTGAGGGACGTCCTGGCACTCAGTAGCTGTGTTTTAGATTGCCAAGCTCATCTCTGCCTATCATGCCGCTCAACATGTACGCTGGCAACAGAGGAACATGGGCAGTTGTTTTGCACGTCTAAACCGTATAAAAAATGCCAGTGACGCAATGAGGACAGTCGGGCATTCAAACACCTCCTCTTCTCATTTCAGGGCGGGGCCGAGACATTTTTTTTAAGGCAGAAAACCCTGCACCGTCATCGTCATCGTCATCACTGTTAGTACTGTATATGACACCTCTAATTAAGTATATCCAGACCCGAATATTAAGGTTTATTTTTAGAGCAGCAGAAACACAGTCTAGCTTTTACATATATGAAGGAACTCGGTAGGCTCTAGTTGGAAAGTATTCCAGAAATCACGCGAATCAAGCCGAGGCCTGACACCCCCTCGAGCAACAATTTCCTCGAGTGATCCGCTTCCTAACGCCTGGCGACAAGCGTCGTCATTTTTGGCAAGGTCACGAGCCATCTCAATTTGCTCTTCGCTTCCCCAAGCAAGAAACAATTGGATCCAGTCATAACAACCGCCATCTGTCACGATCCACCGTTGGCCCTTTTGGAAATGTTTGTGGGCGGCTACAATTGCCCTGGCAACATCGTTACCGTGAATCAAATGAAGTTGCCGCGCCAGCAATTTGCCTCGGATTGCTTGTTGCGTGGCAAAACGAGGCACCCAATTGCGTGGTTGCCTAGAATAGAAAATACGGTATGCAAAAGCTATAAGAACTTTCTCCAGCTGCTGAAAGATATGGACATGATTGAAAACAACAGAAAAAGAAGTGCTCGCCTGAACACAGTCAGGCGTCTTGGTTTTACCGCTGAGCACCCCATAGCCCGGCCAAGTGAAGCACTGTGCCACCACGCTCCAAAATAACAGCTTCACCTTCCATCCGTCCTGAAGTATCCTTGGATGGATCTATCGGTCCGTGACGATCGCTGGGATTGCCACTAAATGGCCGTGTTGACGAGAGTAAAATCCACTGTGTTTGACCGTGCTTGGACTCGTAAGCATCCATTAAGCTGCTCATGCATGCTGAGCTGCGAACAGGAAACGTAACTAAGACTGTTTTTGCTTGTGGCAAGGCGCTGACGTCTACGTGTGTACAGCTGTCGTCTTGTGGGAGCTCCCATTGAACAGTATCGGTGGTTTGGTGACGCGTCGTCGCAACATATGTAATGTGGAGTTGAGACAGTAATTCATTCAAAAACGTTCCTGTCCAGCCAAGTCCAAGAATCAGGAGTGGTACGCCGGTCGACATGAGTTGCTGATCCATGGCGTTTAAAGATTCCAAGGAAAAGTGAAAGCCAGATAAAAGAGAGTTGACGTTATCTGCAGGTGCTCTTGCGACATGTGCACTACAGCTGTGACTGTTCGACAAGGTTATGCAAGATGGAATCATCGATCTCGATACAGTCTTTGCTGTTTTACATTATTTGCACAGCAGCGCCAGCTTTAACATGAGTGGATTTGATACTTTCTATGTGGGAGCGATACAAGAAGGGGTAATACGCATAGGTTGGTTGGCATTGCAACTGTTGTTGCGACGCTCACATTGTTCTTACCGGCAGGTAGATTTTCCACTTCCGAAGGTCGAACTGGCCTCACGGTTCGGGCAGATCGCGCAAGCGCTACAAGAGATATTCGGAGTCATTTCCGAGGATACCATTGGCCGCAAGGACGATGGCGCAATAGATCACTTCAGCAGCGACAAGCTTCGATATATAAAACATCATCCGGAGAGTTAATTTTTTGTTTGTTTATTGACTCTTTCTCTTTTTTCTCCTCATACTCCCGCAAACACAATGGCCAACACTCCTCACGGCGGCGTCCTCAAAGACCTCTACCTTCGCGACGCTGACAAGCAATCTGCCCTTCTTGCTGAGGCGGAGACCCTTCCCTCGCTGGTTTTGACTGACCGCCAGCTCTGCGATCTTGAGCTTATCCTCAACGGCGGTTTCTCTCCTCTCGAAGGCTTCTTGAACCAGAAGGATTATGAAGGGTAAGCTGGAAGGAAAGGAGGAAAAGGACACGACAACGGGAATCGGAGGGCTCTTTCATGATGGGTGAGATGAGAACTGACAAATAGACGTACATTGTCCACACGTATATAGTGTTGTCGCAGATATGCGTCTTGCCTCCGGCACTTTGTGGCCCATGCCGATCACTCTTGACGTTGATCAGGAAAAGATCGAAGCTTCCAAGATCCAGCCTAACAACCGTATCGTCCTTTTGGACTCCCGTGACTACCAGCCATTGGCCATCTTGACCGTCCAAGATGTCTACCGCCCCGACAAATCAAAGGAAGCCGCTGGTGTCTATGGTGCCGATGATCAGGCTCATCCAGCTGTCCACTACCTTCACAATATTGCCGGCGACTTCTACGTCGGTGGTTCCCTCCAAGCCGTTCAGGCTCCCGCCCATTACGATTATGTTGCCAACCGATGTAAGTTTCTATTTGTTTATATGCAGAATGTACAAATGTGTGTGCGTAGGCGATCGATACTTACGTCTACCTTTATTGCAGTCACCCCCAGCGAATTGCGTGCTCACTTCAAGAAGCTCCAATGGACTCGCGTTGTTGCTTTCCAAACCCGTAACCCTATGCATCGTGCCCATCGTGAATTAACCGTCCGCGCCGCCCGTGCCCGCAAGGCTCACTTGTTGATCCACCCTGTCGTTGGTTTGACCAAGCCTGGAGATATCGACCACTACACCCGCGTTCGTGTCTACAAGGCATTGATGCCCAAGTACCCCAACGGCATGGCCGAACTCAGCTTGTTGCCTTTGGCTATGCGTATGGGTGGTCCCCGCGAAGCCGTGTGGCACGCTCTCATCCGTAAGAACCACGGTGTCACCCACTTCATTGTCGGTCGTGACCACGCTGGTCCCGGCAAGAACTCGCAGGGCGTTGACTTCTACGGCCCCTATGATGCCCAGGATTTGGTAGAACAGTTTAAGAGCGAGATTGGTATTGAAATTGTACCTTTCCAGATGGTCGCCTACTGCCCTGATTCTGACGAGTACATGCCCGCCAACGAAGTCCCTGAAGGTGTCAAGACTTTGAACATCAGCGGTACCGAGCTCCGTCGCCGCTTGCGCACTGGTTTGCCCATTCCTGAATGGTTCTCATACCCCGAAGTCGTCAAGGTCCTTCGCCAGTCGCATCCTCCTCGCGCACAACAAGGTTTCACGGTCTTCCTCACTGGCTTGCACGCCTCTGGTAAGAACGCTTTGGCCCGTGCCTTGCAAGTCTCTTTGAACCAGGAAGGCTCCCGCTCTGTCTCATTGTTGATGAGCGAGAACGTCCGCGCCGAACTTTCCTCCGAGCTTGGCTTCTCCAAGCGTGACCGTGATTTGAACATTGGTCGCCAAGCTTTCGTTGCCGGAGAATTGACCCGCGCTGGTGCTGCTGCTATTGTTGCACCCATTGCTCCTTACGACGAGGCTCGCAAGAATGCTCGTCAGGCCATTGAAAAGTATGGTGGTTTCTACCTTGTTCACGTCTCGACGCCTTTGGAAGACTGTGAGAAGCGGGATCATGACGGTGTCTATGAGCGTGCACGCAAGGGTGAAATCAAGGATTTCACTGGTATCGATGACCCTTATGAGGTCCCTACGGATGCTGACCTTTCCGTCAACCTCAGCGAACAGTCGATTTCCCAGGCTGTCCATGAGATCGTCTTGCTCTTGGAAAAGGACGGCTATGTTGGCTCTGCATAGATGTAAAATATCTTATACTCCCATTCCCATCACCTCCTCCCTTCGTCCTTATAAACTCATGTATACATTTGTGCCTTCGATATATATTTTGTCTTCATACTCTTTCATCATGAATTCTCTCCTATTCTCAAAATTCTGTAATATCTTCTTTGCTTTTTTATATACACCTAAAAATACAACAACTACCACTTGGATAAGTGGTAGACTTTACTATAATATTTTTCAAGTAGTTTACAGCTGCCGTTACTTTCTGTTGAATCCGGTAGTTGTGTAGCTGCTGACAGCAATTTGAAAGGTCTGTGTCACAAATTAACGGCATATTTTTTCCATTTTAAAAATATAAAGTTCATCAGTATCCACGAGACTCTGGATAATAATAGAACGGCTGAGATTCCTTCCGTGTTGACATTTCTTCAAGCAGATGAGACAAACAACCAGTGCTTTCTGCTTATGTCTTAGCGCACTATGAGAGATCGCTATGTCGCCGTTAAAATTTTACTTGCGAAGCAACCACTGCTTCTAGATTAATTAACACAGACGAAATAGATCTTCACTTTCTTGGGGGCCGTATAAAATATAGATAGCGGCAGCACATCCCTACACTGATCGAAAAAACAAAGTTAACTATTATACGGCTGGCTAAAATATAGCAATGTATGAGAACATATGCTTACGATAATATCCCATTAACGCAATCTGACTATGTGATATTTACATAATAAAAGAAACCCATTGTTAACCCTTCTAGTTTGCTTACAATTTCTATATTAAAGAAAGCGAAATAACGTATCACCGCAAAATAAGAAATTCACTTAACATGAGAATCATGGAAAGCTAGGAAGCATCTTAGTACAAAAAAGCAGTTACAAGTTAGAGCCTCTAGTATATGCGGTCCTCAGGTACCAATGTCGAAGCAAATACTCCATGAACCTTAGAAATTGGTAGGCAACATTGCGTCCGGTTGCTTTCCCATTTTCCTGACATTTTATAGCCATAAAACATTGTAATCCGGGCTTCTTGGAAATTGATGACATTCTCTTTTTAAAGTGACGGCACAATTAACACTGCCTACTAGACGTTTCTGATGAAGCATTGATTTCAGTCTGGCAAGACGAGCCAGTCGTTCTTGGACCATGGTGTGCGGCATTGTGCTGCGTAGATGTGATACTGAAGACAGTCAGTATGGAATCGCCTACGGATCAAGAATGTTTCGGTGAGGATGATCATGTCAATATTATTTTGGATGCAAATATTAATAATTTCCATCAGGCGAGCAGTTGACACCGGTCGCGTTCAATAAACCAATGCGTACTTGGCTTATTATTAATCTTGCTCCATAGTCTCCGTTTCATTGTTATTGTCATCGCCCTTGGACGAGATTAAGTTGCGTGCATCATTTACTGTGGTAACAGATTGACCATGATGATGACGAGATGCTGGCCTTGGATGTTTTCCTGGAATTTCTTCCAGTACTCAAGTTCGGCGTGGTGTTGATGTGGTGCTGATCATCGGGCAGCAGGGAAGTAAAATGGCGCATGATGGCAACAACGATATGCTTTTTCGGCATGCAAACACACAGTGCTAACATCCACTTTTAGTAGAGCTCTCTGGCGAGTGTGGCGCGTTCGTTTTTGGTTGTTTCGGCAATAACAGATGGATTACCAATCGTGGATGCGGCAATTGGATTGAAGGCATCCAATGGAATCGATTCTTGCTGCTTCATCTTTTCGTGCAACTCGGATTCGTACGCTGCATGGATCAATGAACCCACTACTTCAAGCGCCAGGAAGTGGACACCAGTCACGCGCTCTTGGTCACTTTGCAACAATTTCAGCGACTGATGGACCTCATGATGGGTAACACAACAGGGAGAAGGAAGGTACATCAAACATAGCCAGTTTTCTCACTTGCCGTATGAACAATCGTGGTGCGCGCTGCATCAACTTTGCTGATGGTGTTGTCACCTTTTCCGGTTTCACAACGACGTGCTTTGCTGCCATCTTTGCATACGAAATTGACAACGATGCATGATGCTGAACTAAATGATCGAGATGATGTAAGTCTTTTGATTGATTATTACTTACTATTAATCCACTAGGGCAGTTTTCCTCTAATAAATGAGGAAAAGTCCTTGATACGACGCCAAGAACTCTACCAAGAAAATTGAATATTTAATCTTCATTTATTTTTAATATCTTACAAGATAATAGCTAATATATTTACATTAACGATCATATTATCAGTAGATATTTGATTAGTCTTTTATTTTCCAAGTTATATAAGTTGATCAAAAGGTATAAATACTTTAGATGATATTAGGGGTCGCAATGTGACGGGACGGGTCGAGTCAAGGTTCTGACCCGTAGACTCGTGGTGGGTCAAGAAAACACTAAGCCGACCCGACCCATTCAACCCGACAGGTCAAAACTCGGGTTGACGGGTTAAGACTGATTTCGATGTGGTGATGAAGGAAGTGTCATTCAACCTGCACTTGAGTACTGGAAGTGCAAAACTTATTACACAGCTCTCAATTATGATGGCATGCACATTCCTAGCAGTGCTAGCAACATCTACTTTGTGTGCGATCATTCTCAAAGGTAAAGGGTGTTGTGCCATCAGAAAAAAATTACTTGGGCTCATATGCATTAAAGAAAACATAATGGTTAAAGTAGTGTGGTTGAAAATCGACTTCCCCACAGACCCCTAATCCTTTTCCCTTTTTCGTTTCTTTTCACTTCTTTCTTCTTATTTCTTTTTTCTGCAATTGTTTATTCTTTTCTCAATTCCTTTTTCGTCTTTTATCAAATCTTGTCTCTTACTGCCACTCTCTAAGCCTCTATTGTCCGTTCTCATTGTACTATTGCTACTTCTTTTCTCCTTATATTGCTTACAGCTTACTTATCTTATTCACTTGAGTATAAAATATGATCTCACAATAAAAAGAACATGACGGTATTCTAGTATGTTATAGTTCTATAGCAGATATATTTACAACAACATCTTTAATATAATGATGCTACTCAAGAAGATAATTGACTACTTAAATACCAGTACCTCATACATATTATTCATATACACGGGTCACAACGGGTTAACGGGTCGGGTCAAGGGGTGGGTCAGAAAAGCATCAATGCAACCTGTTGACCTGTCCTTGACCCGCAGGTCGATTTTGAACCATGGGTCAGATTGCAACCCCAAGATGATATATAGAAGAAGATTAAAAATCATAGTAAAGACAATAATCATCTTTACTACATATTTACTCTTAATTATCCCTCTGTCGTAGTAAAAATGACCGGCCTTTAATTATCCCGTTTTGGCGGCGCAACACTTTTGCCAGGCAGCAAACAATTACAACAGAATTCCGCTGCGCTAAAATACGTTGACAACATATAAACGAACACACAAGCAACGAGTAGAAGGCGTGATTCGACAGCATCGTAATTGTATCGTATTATATGGTTGTATCATATGGCAAGCGCCGAGGCACTTTATTAGCTAAAGATTATAAATAGCCACGCTATCACAAGCTATAAAAAGTATCTTTTAACAACCCTCTATCCTCTGATTACCCTTTGTTCTTATCCTTTCTCATTGGATACGGATCCACCCGCCAAAAAGCGACTCGACACGTCTTCTTTTGTCCCCTGGCTACGCTACTTCGGCCAAAAGCGTTTGACATACTGTAAACGGTTACAAAAAAAAGGAGAAAATTCACAATAAAAAACGCATCATATATGAAGCTGATATAGATTATCCGATCTACCTGATTCGAACAGGTGACCTAGAGATTACAATACACTACAGTCTCCCGCTCTACCAACTGAGCTAAGATCGGATCGTTGTGTCCTCGCTATTGTATGCTAATGATGTTGCTATCATTGCCGCAGCTGACGATATGGTTTGCTTTCTTCGAGTTACTGAGCAACAACATTCACAAGATCTGGGGTATCGATGGCATCCTGCCAAATGCGCGGTAATCGGCCCACCACCACCACGAACAACATACGACGACATTACTGACGAGCTTACTGTGCTAGAACACCGAGAACCGCCAGCCTAGCATACAAGCTCTACAACACCCCCATTTCATTTGTCGCCAACTTTAAATACCTAGGCGTACCTTTCAACCAGGAGGGCCTAGATAGAACATTCCTGGTGTCACAAAGGACGCAACTAGCCACAGGTGCTATAGCTACCCTACAAAGTCTCGGTATTCACCAATATGCGCTTGGTATCTGGGCAGCTCTACGCTCGTACCGCACTTTTGCAAGACCAGTGCTCGAATATGGCCTGGCCATAGCCGGTGTCAATGCTGCGGAAATCGAGAAAATCGAGACAGCACAAAAAAGCTGTATCAAGTTGGCGCTTAACCGTAAAGCAACGCGACAAATGCCAACAATCGTGCCTATGGTTGGCTGACCTGCCGTCGATGTGTATTCGTATTCATATGTTGCAGCTCAAGTTTGCAGCCCGTCTTCAAGAACTGCCAACCACAGCAATGTTACGGTGTGTTGAGCTGACACATTTGCGACACACACACCCTGACAAGCAATGGTTATCGCTGACAACGTGGAACCCGCTGTACTAATTGTACAAAAGGTTGAAAAACGAAAGAAACGAGGAAAATCCAGTAGGCTGCGCAATCCGAGAAAAAAGAGACGAGGAATTGGTTGTCCGCCAGGAAACCAAGAAAACGGTCCAGGTGCTCTGGTCATCTCAGATAGTAGATCCGATTCTCTATTTGCCAGCACATAGCCAAGATCGACATCGACTAGTAAAGTGGCGCACGTTCTGGCTGCCTCCCTTTCCTGAGCCATCCTGTAGGTGTAGAGAGACACAGGTTAAGCGCGACCATTTTGCTTCCTGTCCATTTATCCAAGAGCAACTCACTGCGCTCAAAGATGCTTTTGGTCCGATCCCTGCTCTTCCTCTGGATCAGCATATCGTCGACCACATCTTGAATTCACTACCATGTTCCGAAGCTAGCCTTCATATAGGCAAATGGCGATCAGCTTGGCCCGCGCTGATCTATTTCCTACGTGAAGTTGACTGTCTTTGTCACCCTGATGGCGAGAAGCCCTCAGCTTGCCATCACAGCCTGAGGCAACAACAACAACACAACAACAATAGCGTAGCACATCTTGCCGACTATTCACACCACACACACACACACACTTATCACACTTATCACACTTTGTATCCGACTCACTCTTGTCTTTTATTTTCTTTAGTAATCTTTTTCACTAGATAGAAATTATATTATATTTTGAGCCTCCTCCCCCT